CATCAACTCTATCTACAATACCCAAAAAGATATTGTGGCTCTCATAGACAAGCTCATAGTGGATTTGATGCTTGAAAACTACATTGGCGACGAGTGCAAGCAGTATGCACTGGACATAACCTCCAAATGTCTCAAGCTTGTTCGAGTAGTCAAGGCTGCAAATAAAGGCAGCGACACAAAGATTAAGTGGTGCGATGCATGGGAGAAGAAGTTTGCTGAGAAGTATAATGACACTAAATGAAGGGAACTAGATAGGGAACGAGCTTTATCAACTACAACGAACTAGAGAGCCCCAAATGTTTTGCGTGGTGCTTGGCATGAGCTTCGGCAAACGAACTGATGAAAAAGTATGAGTGGTCGTATCCATCCACCACATTCAAATCGACTTTACCTTTGTAATTGGATGCTTCTGCTGCTTCCACAAACTTTTCCGGTTGCAATTGATGGTCTTTATAGTAAAATCCGTCGGCTGCACCCTGATGGATCAAGATATCCGGTTGATGTTCATGCTGGTAAGTACCAATTAAATGAGTGGGATCGTACTTGTGCCACAATTCCTCGTTAGAGCCCAAGTAGTTGCCAAAGGCTTTCTTACCCCATGGACAAGTCAGCGGGTTTGCAATTGGAGCCCAAGCTGAGACAGACTTGTATTTTCCAGGGTTGGTAAAGAAGCCTGATAATGCACCAAACCCACCCATTGAGTGTCCTGCGATGGAAATTGTTTCAAAATCAAGCTTGGGGAACTCCTCTGCCAACTTTTCCTGGAGTTCTTTGTGAACATAGCTATACATTTTGTAATTTTTCAGGCCATGGTTCCTCGGTAGCATCGACATAGAAACCTGCCCCAGTTCCAAAGTGTCCCAAGATTCATCCTCTCCTTCAATTTTAGCACCACGAGGCGAGGTGTCGGGGAACACAATTGCAAAGCCGTATTTGGCGGCAAAAAATTGTAAAAACGATTTTTCACTGGCATTATTGGGAGTGCAAGTTAAGCCTGATAAGTAGAGCAATACCGGAACTTTGCCAGAAGTTGTAGGAACAAATACATTTACGTCCATTTTAGTGTTGGTTGTGGACAGGTCGTGTGACAATTTGAACAATTTGCCGCCGAATTGGGCTATTTCTGCATTTCTTGTGAACGACATGATGATGGTGGTGAAAGCAAGCTTGAGATTTATATGGGGAAGACGGGTGCGATGCCCCGATGCGGTAGTTGGTTCCGCGGAATAAAATTTAAGCCCTTATTAGAACAAGCTGCGTGCAGGAAATAAGTTGCAAATCCTACACCTACAACTACATTCATACCTACAATTTGAAGCGCAATGGATGATTCACTCCTGTGTATCACCAATCTAGATTAATCGTCAATAAGATTTTTTACCTCTGGGCTCGTAAGGAAAGAAAGCCGACAAAACTCCACACAACAAAAAGAGAGCTCCACTAACGTAGATTGGAGCAGAGGTGGTCAAGTCAGCAAATATGGCAATGATCGGCGCAAAAATTCCGAAAATCCGGTTTGCCGATGCCGCAAGTCCGATTCCGGTTCCTCTGATCTTGGTGGGGAAAATTTCCGGAGTGTAAGCGTAAAGCACGCCGTACATAATATTGGAGAAAAACGAGAATGCACAATTGTAGCCCAAATTAGCATTTGCTGTTTTCGCCGTAGTTGAAATGAACAAAAATACCCCGGTCAAAAGGAACGATAACACAAGGGTTCCCTTTCTGCCCAAACGAAGCTCCACCAAAATGGCTGCAATAATCGCACCGGGAATACCTATTACCGACACAATCAAGGCATTTCTGTAAGTCTCGTGCACCGACAATTCTTGTCCGTTATTTCCATGCATCTCAAGATACGTAGGCAAGAAAGCGTTGTATAATGGGAAAGCCAAACCAGCAAATGCCCACACTGCGATAACCAAGCCTGAAGAAAATGCTACTTTTCTTGAGCCGAAACACAGCCTGATATGAGTCAATTTGAACCTTTCGAGTTTTTCTTTCACCAATCTGTTTTCCACTTTTCCAGATTCCAATTTGTCGTCAAACTGAGTCAAGTCGTCTATGGTCAAAGTGCTTTCTTTGCGATTGATTTTGGCGATTCTATGGATGGTTTCAACGGCTTTGACGTCGTCTCCACGAGCCAAGTGGAACCTAGGAGACTCAAACACTCGGAAAGCAAACCGACTGATGAACATCAAAAGTGTAAATCCTCCCATAGTGAACAAAAAGTAGCGCCATCCCTTGTTGTCTGCCTTTTTACAATTCAAAGGATCGTCACAAGAATAGTTACTGAGAAGACCCCAGGCAATCAAGTTGGTCACGAGTTGGCCCAAAGCCCACCACGCCGACATGGCCGTCAACAACCATTGATGAGTAGACGGCAACGCCTCGAGGAAAATAGCCGAGTCTACGGGAAGATTTCCCCCCACGCCGAAACTCCAAAATGAAGCGAATATTCCAATGGCTACAAAGTTAGGAGAGCCACCTGCTATCACCGCAAACACACCGGTGATCAAAAACGTAAGATTGAAAGCCCACCGGCGGCCAATAATGTCTGCCGAGAACGACCAGAACGCAGCTCCGGCGAAAAGTCCCAAGTTTTGCGCCAAACGAGATATGGAGCCCGGTTGGGCGGATGATGAACACCATCAGTTTCGGTGAGTCTGCTGACTATCAAGGACGTCACAATAGGCCAAGCATTATCGGCAAACCAGCCAAATCCAGCAACGAAAAACAACCCTGTTTGGTACCGTCCAAACCCGATTTCGTCAATAGCATTTGCCAAAACCCTGGAACTTGTTCAAATAAACCAGGTCAAAATCACCTTCGGAATATAACGTGGAGTCCGGAAGTCAGGTCGGAGTCATATACCCGCTGGTCCTCAATAAAGTTTTCCTTGGTGGGATCATCGCTCGAGCCACGTTCTACAACGCCTTGATTTGTAGACATTGTAACCAAAGGAAACTGAAAAGATTAGGATTGCTGCTCACTTATATAAGTGATAGGCTACCATTACCATATACAGGTGTCTTCGTACATGCACTATGGCGACAGTTTCTGCACACAAGTGGAATTTGTGAGAGTTGTAGCCCGTAAAAAATAACGAGATTCCTCGTTTGGTAATATTTTTGTGGCAATAAGCGTTAGAAATGCCACAGTTTTGTGGTCACCTCGATAATTTTCGCCCCGCCACGGCGCTATCTAGGGTATGTCTGGTCACGTGCATCGGCGAATCGAGAAAGATAGTGAACCGAAAAAGACTGGACCAATTGGTGCGGCGCGAAGCTTAGCATTGACTGAATTGACTTTTGGATACTTTAACGAGACTTTTAGTTTATGCGTTCTATACTATATCTATCCGCACCAAAAACAACCCTGTACTCTTCCACCTGCCAATGACCAAACCATCCTTTCACCTTGGCCATACCTTGACGATGGGCCTTTCCTCCTCCTCCAGCTTTTGCATCTTCCTTACTTCTCCACCAACAAGTTGCCAAATTTCTTCCTAGGGTATCTTCTGGTGTTCCAAACCAATACTTGAGAAGTCCTCCAGATAAGTTGGCTTCTTGGTGCGATGCTTTGTCTACTTGACCAAGATACTCTCTTCTCTCTTCGCTCTGCTGTGTTTCAGTATGAAGCTGTGAACGAAATGCAATCACATAAATTTCGGTGGTGGGCAACGATTTTCCTAGCTTTATGGCATACTCGTGTGCTAGCTGCCAGATTTGTTGTATATTGAATGAGTCGTCATATGGGTCAAAAGCGTATCTTTGACTGGTAATTTCGAACGATTGAAGCGCCAAGGCTATTGCTCGATACCCAAACTGCAAATCATCAAGATTTAGTAGATGGTCAATTTCGGTATATGGAGAAGACTGGATCCGCTTCTGGTCCAAATCGGCGTAGCCTGGCTTCACTATGGGCTCAAAAAGATGTTTATCAACGTCGATCAAAGCTGTGGGCATGGTCAGTGAGTTGTAAACGTTTTGTGAGTATTTTGTAAATATATTTTGTCAATGAAATTTGTAAGTATATTTTGAAGATCTTTGAATTTGTTCACCACTTTCCATCAACAAATTCCGCCACACCATAGATAGAGCCACAGTACTCGGCAAGGTTGCAGCCATTGTCGCGCGCCGAAACATGCTCGATTTGGGTATTTGTTCCGTGAGCCGCACCGGTGCCGGGCCGTTACTGCTATTTATAAAATATTGCCGAAATGTGCCGACGTTTCTAGGCGGCTCATTTTCGGCCATAGCCCGCGCCGAATTGGCATTACGAATTGGGCATTAATGGCCACTTTACAGTAGTTTGAGTTTCTTCACCTTGCTACTTTCTCCTGTATATGCCATTAGATGCCAAATTTACCCAGATATAAGCACATATTCAATTGGTCCTGTTCATCAGTTCACGCTTCCAGTTCTACTTCCATCTCGAGATTATCTGCCATTTCACAATTTTTGCAACAAAAATGTTGTGTTATGTAATCAACTAAATGTGAAATTTGAGGAGCGGCAAAGCATCTTGGTGGAACAATTGGGTCACTTTGTATTTGAGCTTTCCCTTCAAGTTGCCGCTTTTCTGCCAAATACCAGAATTTTGCCGTTTCTAGTAAATTGGATTATGTAACTGATAAACCGTTTTAAGCTAACGATGACCAAGTTCCAGCCGTCACAAGATTCATTAACTATCATATCAGTTCGTAACTCTTCTGGTAGCTCCATTAACTGGTATCAACTAAAAATAACTTCATCATGATAACTTGACGGTTGCAAATTTTGGTAAAATATGCATAACTTTCGTTGTAAATTTCCCAAGATCTCCATATTGAACCCTCGATATCAATTATCCCGTTGTAGTGCTCAGTTGAACCTTCTCCCTACCTAACATAATTAGCACAATAAGGCTTCTTTTCGTCTTCCTCGAGCCCTGCTTGCGGCATCCATGCACCACGAACCCATACTGCGCACCAGACAATCTCAATATATAGGCACTTATTCTTGCCACATATTTCTCAATAACCAAAGTCTATGCCCCGACTTCATTCTGCTTCAGAGCCTCCTGCGACAGGGTTCTTTGCCAGGGTTCGAAATGAGCTCGGGAATAGAACCGAAGGCTTGCACCAAATCAACAACCAAGCTTTGGATTGGTATAGAAGTCAACTGCAAATACGACAAATTCTTATTCAAATTGGTGGAGTGGTGGCAATTGTGATAGGAGTTCTTGTGTTGATTTTCCACAAATATCTTATAGAACTTCTTGTTATAATCTCAGATGATTGGGCCAAACTACCTGGTGGAAGATTAATTCTATTTTTACTCGTTTTCTTTGTTGGTTTCCCACCCCTTATTGGTTATAGTGCCTTGTCTCTTCTTGCCGGTATGGTATATGGGTTTCCCTATGGCTGGCCCTTGCTTGCACTGGCTTCTGTTTCTGGCTCATTCGTGGCATTTCTTGTGTTTCGTTACTTTCTCAGAAGTCAAGGTGAGAGGCTTGTCAACTCCAATGAAAAGTTTCGTGCTTTTGCTGAGATTCTTCGTGAAGACTCGAGTCTCTTCTTGTTGGTTTTGATTCGCTTGTGTCCTTTGCCATACTCACTTTCCAACGGAGCTTTAGCAGCCATTCCTGAGTTGTCCGCATGGGTGTACCTTGGAGCTTCTGTGATTACATCTCCAAAAATGTTGATCCACCTTTTTGTAGGGCACAAAATCAAGGAGTTTGGAGACGCTAAAACAGATACTTCTACAAAGATCATAGATGTAATCAGTATCTTGGTCACTGGAGCTGCGGCAAGTTTGACGACTTTTATCATCTACCGCAAGATGCAACAGAAATTGCACCACAATAGGGCCGGTGCCAACTATGACGCTTTTGTGTTTGGAAACTTTGATGATTTAGAATCTGGAACAAACGTTGAATTGAATTCGGCAGACTTTGATCAAGACAATTTTATTATTACCGATGACGAATTAGAAGAAGAGGAACCCAATGGCTCTCATACTGCAACAGCAACCCAAGTCCAAGTAGCCCGAAGGAACTGCAGCAAAGCCATGACTATTTGTACATTAATGTTCGTATGATACGCCTAAGACTTACTTGACAAAGTTTCTCTATTATACACCATCCTCAACACATTTATAGTTCCACATACATCATCCGAGTTCTCCTCTTTTCGATGCGGTCAGTGGTCGAAAGGCCACGAAGGTTTCCATCTGCATCGCTATAAGATTGGCCATTGATAATGGCAAGCGCGTCGGTTTCACAGTAGGTTGTCCCATTAATGAGATAGTAATCGCTTCGAATAGTCAGGCTGCAATGTTCACAGCGCAAGCACGAAATATGCCACTTTTGCTGGAGCTCATTTTCAATACACTCACCTTCGATTCCACTACCGCACTCGGTACACAAGCTGTCATTCACTTCGTGGTAGTGGTGGTTGCAATATGGCCGATCGTTGAATGCATAACAAGGCACCGACTTTTTGAAAGTCACTTTACAACCTGAATATGAACATTTAAAGCACCCACGATGCCATTGCCCACTAAGTTCTCCAGTACGAGAATAAACCGATTTTTCTTTTCCGGTGGCATTAACTTCGATGTTCCTTTTACAGCTCCGACAAGGTCCTCGTCCTGGTGGAAACACCTCTTCACTATTTTCGAAATCCTCAGGTATTGAAATTATTGGATCACGTCCCAAATTCATGCCTCGAAGTTCTTCGTCAATCTGGTGTACTTTGGGACTTAAAGGTTTCACCTCTGATTGTATGCTCTTGATTCTTTCAGTTTTGAGGGGCTTGATGGACAGTCTTCGACTATCTTCGGTATTGAGATCAACATCCGAATCATTTGGATACTCGGAGTTGGGAGATGCTATAGTGGGCACGGCGTCAACTATTTTCCTTTCGGTAGGAGCTGCTTGCGCAGGATACGCTTCAGCATCGTCGCCGACAGTTAAACTTCTGAGTTGTCTTTCTAATTCACGCTCAACTTCATCTTCGGATTCATGGTCGTCATCGTAATGTGCTTCACCGTCTTTTGAAATAATCGAGCTAACCGTTGAAAATTGACTTTGACGCATGGTTGAACGAGGCGGTAAATTGTCACTCTTGAGAAAATGCTCGTAGTCCGTGCTGTTCCGCAAAACTGTTCCATCGTCCATGGTTGTGACTATAGCCGGCACAGGTGATTTGTATGGTTCAAATCGAGCGAGCCCCAACTCCGTGGGGGATGCTGTGGGTAACTCGGGAGGACCCTGTCTAGCAGAATTTGGTAACGGAGGAGAAATCGGAGTATATGCTTTGTGGTCTTCGACATCTCGTTTGAAGTTTGCAAGTTCATGCGGATAGACGGTGCCTTTCGTTGTCCTGGGTATTATCAGCATCATATGACGCCCAGTTGGTCAAGACAGGGGGTCCATTTCAACAGGGTGGTTCAAATCAAGCCAGCAAATTCGTTGAAGTTTCTAGATGGCTCCTGCTGGGGAGAAAAGTCGAAACTGTCATATTTACTGTTGTAGTTTCAGGTTTGTTGAATATGCAGTTGACAGAGAAGTATGATTTGGTTCTGGTTCTGAAAAGACATAGGTGGAATGGCCCGAATCATTCTCGTAAGGATATGGAGCGGTGGGATACGGCATTGGAGGAGCCGCACGGTCCCCGATGGCTCCTACCACGGCGGAAGTTGACAGCACCGAATCGACTGATTTGTTAGCATTTTGCATTTCTAAGGTTTCTTCTATTCTTGGCACTGGTTGATGAAATGTTGACGAGGTTGCTGAGGAGGGTTGTCTATCATATTCTGCCAACTTTGTAGTTGAGTTGTTGCGCAAGGCACGAGCTTGTTTGCGTGGATCATACTGCTCGTATACGACTCTTTCACCTTCCAGATGGTTAGCTTGTGGCTCTTGACTTGGTTCAGAGTTGGGCTGCGGCTGCATTCCAGAGTTCTTGGCAATTTGTTCGTTTTGGTGTTGAGTTTGTGGTTGATAGGCATACTGGCGACTCATTTGGCTCTGTTGCAGCCTCATCAGCGGTGCCAGGTTCACCAGCGCCACGGATTTTGTAGGCAGATGCGTAGAATAGCCTTCAGGCAAATCTCCAGAGCTTCCGTAGAGTCTGGTTTGTACATGCGAGGAACCATCGTAACCGTTTTCGCTAGGCAACAGACGTTGCAGTCGAGACTGGTAAGAGTGCATCAGCTGTTGCAGACGCTGGCGATGATGGGTGCCATTATTATGGACTTGTTTGCCCATAGAAGATGCAGATGAATAGGGAGGTGACGGATTATGTCTTTGTTGTGGATGTTTTGCTTCGTTTGATCCAAGATTCACATCAAAGCCGGCACGCTCATACACCCCACGATACCGATGCTCTATTTTAAAAGGTGGAAACGCCGAGTCTTGAATTTTGGGTGAAGGCTCGGACCGGAGAAATTTGGGTAACGAATGGAGACGAGTTTCCACAGTTTGGGATGACATATTTGAATGGTTGAACCCCATTCACCAGAAATAAATTATGAGCTGGAGCAAAAAGACTAATAATTATACTCCAATATGCAAGCAATTGGGAGTTGGCAGATATGTGCTGTTTATTTTTCAAGTCTTGAGCCGATTCTTCGCGACCGCGTCATGGTGCACTGGTGCACAACATTGCGGGTGAAGTTGCTGCTTGGCGCGATGCCGTTACGTGCATATGGATGTTGCAGCCATTGTTAAGTGTCGTCTGAAATTGTGGGTGAAATGGTTGGTGGAATAGAACTGAGAGTGGATTGTAAAAGATGAGAATGGATTGTTGAGTTGAGTGAGATTAGGCAGTAATTATAATATAAAGCAAAATTGAGATGTCATGAGAAATCGCTATGACTGGTATTAATAGGTGAAAGATACAATGGTATAAAGAGTCAGAAATTGTTATTACATGCGGAATTGTGAAAGTAAGCTCTAAGTGAGTGAGATGAATGGTTTGAGTTTATTTACTCATGATACTCAATTGGGGGTTTTGATATCAATGAGATAGACTTTGTGAGTTCATAAAAGTTTCTACCAACAATTAGATCGACTCTACTGCTCACTGAGAAGATTAGAATTTTGAAAGTTGACCTCCAATTGAACATTCTAGTATATAAATTAGCATTGATCCTCTTCAATTTTGCATGGAAAGAGCACCGTAGTTCAAGATCCTTATCATGCTTCAACATAGTATCGCTCAATTTGCTCATCTTCGAGGAAAGAATAATGAACTGTAAATGAGAGTCTTAATTTGTCTCTTATGTTACATTTTCTAGCACTGGTAATGTGCAGTTATTGGACACAAGGTTCGCAGCCGCACGTCTTGTACAATGCGGTGAAATTTTTGCAACCAAAATTGCTCGATACTTGATCTCAGGGTCTTGCTTGAATGAAGACTGTTTACCAATTTTGACGTAGCTTGGACTATGGTCTGAGCTAGTATCTGGCTAGCATCTGGCTAGCATCTGGTCTGTTACTATTCAGAAGCCGTTATTGAACTTGGAATCTCCTCTTATCTCCAGAACAACTACGGCGAAACGATGTAGGGAAACACCATTTGTGCTTTGGAATGACTTTAGAAGACAAGGAGTGGTATCGTCGAAGTGGAGTCCCTCCAATATTCGTGATTTCAGGAGAATAAGAAAGAGATAATTCCGTATCAGAATCTAACACAAAACCAGGTCATCTTGATTGAGTTCAAAACGACTTGACGACTCGAAGTTCCGAAAAACTTTTTAAAGTCGTTATTGTTACATTGACTAAACACAAGAGATGGCTGACTGCTCGACTCTCAATGAGAATGAAATCTCAGTTAACACTTACGACAAGATTGAAACAGTAATTCAAACTATAATTCGAAGAATTGGGAATGGTCTCAAATTACTTCCGAGACTCGAAAAATTATGAGGTATTGTCTGTGTGGAGAGCAGCATTGGAAAGAGGTCTATTTGAATTGTATCCAGTGACAAGGAAACTTTACTTGGAAGGAATTTGTGAAGAAGATTTTTTCAAAGGTGACTATATTGAATATTTCCATATTTCTCCAAAGGAAACCAAGATGCGCCACTTCGAGTATCTTATCACTTCTTTGAGATGTGACTTGTATAACATTCTCGCCCCAAAATGTCCACCGTTTGACTCAAGTACAATTCCAGGCGTACCGAATAACCAAGCACGTGTCGAAGAAATCTTGCAATATGTTTTTGCTGATCATACCTATTTGTGTGAGGAGATGGTCGCCACATAATTCGAAAGGTGTGCAAAATGGAGGGCTTTAGCATGGGAATCGCATTCTCTTGAAATGTGGAATGAATTTCAAGCCATAAAAACGAGATACCGGGATTTTAGAACTTTCACAAAGCTACCAGAAATGTGTGACATTGAGTGCTTTTATGCGATTGTACACTCCCACCGCGAGGCAAAGATAGAGATGGGAAAACAAATTGCAAAACAATTTATCAATTACAAGCAGAAACAGAAAATCAGGGGTATCTACTCAATCTTTCGAGAAGTGAACCGTAAAAGTGGTCTTAGATTGAGGGTTTGACCAACCAATTTCCATAAAGAAGTCGCAGATTACATTCGAAACGGAACATAAGGTCAGTGGCTTGAAAGCTTGTCTATATACAAGTATTTTCATCGAAGGGTATCTTCACCGTACTGTCCACCGGAAAACGCCAGGATGTGTCTGTAATGAAACAAGACCATAGCATTCACCATCTAAGGACAGCTACTCAATTAACCTTAGGATTCATGGTCTATATTGATAAATCTTAAGCAGTTCCCCGATGCAGATTTCCGAGGAATAGTCTAAATAAAGGAAACACTGCACTACTTGTGGAATATACTTCATGGTATTACTTCAGAGGTTGAATGTAAAAGCAAATCAAAAGAAGCATGGACATGAATACTTAAATCATGTCAATGGCATGACTTACTATGTGATTTGTACGGAACAAAATGGTTGCAAAAAATGGAATATCTGCGCAACGAAGGGCAGTACGGATTACACGAATGAAACAAGCAGATACATTCAAAAACACTTGAATTCTTTTCATAAAATGGTGCAAAAAAGGCAGACGAATAAAATTTTAGTATATCATGTCCGTGTATATGGGGCTTATACTCAATAAAAGTAGGGATTATATATATATGTGTCTATGAACCAATTCACATAATTGTCCGCGCAACTGGATGCGAACTGAGTATCAATGCGGTGAATGAACTCGCAACCAATTCAGATTGCAGTACTGATCTCAGAACCTTTTTAATCCGACTTGAATTGATCAAAGATCGTAATGGAATGTTGTTGCGCTTATACTGGGTGTTTGGGTCTCCAATAATCAAAAGTCGCAAATGATCCGAACAGACACGCCAATGCTCCAAGATGAATAATCTATTCACCGCGTTTTCTGTGGCTGTGATTTCACAGCTACGCTTTGCGTTATTCACGGACAGCGTGGAGTCTGCAGTAGAGTCATTAACTGCTCAAATAATAAACTTTTACAAACTCTCACATGTTGTGGTTGATATGAAAGAGGAACCAAAAGAGGAAAAACTTGTGGAGATGATAACTCAAAGACCACAAAATGGAGGAGAGCATCCAGAACTTGTCAATATAGTAGTTTTCAAAAATCTTGAAACCACTTCTGCATCATACCAACGAAAAATCATACATTTTATAAATGCATTGGACTCCTACAATACCAATTCCCTGCGATTACTGCCACAACCCATTCAATTTGCACAACTGAAGGCTTCTCGTCCACAGATATTCATGATAATACCGGTTATAAAACGACGAGAAGATGGAACACCTCCTCAATTGGTGCCTCACTTGCGCCATAAATTTGCATTTTCCCAGTTTTATAATGCTCTGGATCTGGATCTGCTTGCTGTTGCTGTAGTTCCCGACTTGCTAGCATTGAGGCTTCTCGTGGATCAAGTTTTCGTTTCGGCAGAAATCAGAGGGTATATCTATTCGTTGCTAGTGCACATTCGAACACATCGGCTCTGTTCGCTTAACTCTATGGGGGCCCGGCCCCCTACTGGAACCCTAGATTGGGTGAGGACGGTGGCAGCAGCTATGGTTGTGTGGAACGAGCATGAGCGAGAAAAGAAGAATAGTGAATCGGGTGAACAAACAGAAAAAAAAGAGAACGACGAAGAAGACAAAAAAACAGAGAACGAAGATAGAGAGAAGGAAGAGCTAAATGGTTTTGTCGAGCAGGTATCGGATACAATTTCTCTGAGCGAACGAGGTGGTGAAGAGAACGATCTATTTTTAACTCCCACATTTGTTCAGGTAGCAATCAGAAAAGTCACCTACTTCCAGGTCGACTGGGAACTGGACACCATCTTTTCGCGCCACTGGAACGGTCCTGAAAAACATCGTCAACAAGAAATATCTATGCTAACCGGCGATTGGTACGGCAGTGAGTGGGTATACGCCAAGCGCTACATTGACGAACATAGATCCCAGCCCAGTGACCACACTCCTACAGGAATCACCAACGATATAGTGGAGGATGCAATTGCCCGCGTGAGACCGCCGATATAAAATACCACATAGTTTACCGTATACCTTTGTACCTATGTACCTATGTACCTATGTAGTTTATGGCGGACATCCAACACCAGACGTCCAGCAACGTCCGGTTCCTGCACACATCGTCAGTGCGCGGTCCCCACCCGCACTCGCCCACTGAAATCACTCCTGACAAACATCAACGTTCAAAGCCGGAATGTCAGATATCCCCATTGACTTTTCCGAGTTGGCTCGTTTGCCAGCGTTGGGCATCTCGGCTCAATCGTTGGATTTCCGGTCCACAACTTTGGAATCTGATAAATATGTCTGTGTTCGAGAACAGGGCCCTCAAGGCAACACCGTGGCCATCATAGATCTCCAAAATGGTAACGAAGTAACCAGGAAGAACATGAGTGCAGACAGCGCCATCATGCATCCGTCTCAGTTTGTTATCTCGCTCCGGGCCAATGGAACCACGGTTCAAATATTCAACTTGGGAACGAAACAACGACTCAAGTCATTCACCATGTCTCAGCCGGTTGTGTTTTGGCGGTGGTTGACACCCGAGGTGCTTGGTCTCGTTACTGAGGACTCCTTGTATACGTGGCAGGTTTTTGATGGCACCAATGATGGTCCTGTTAAGTTGACTGATCGTCACCATTCGCTTAACAATGCGCAGATCATCAGTTTTGTCGCCGAACCAGCGCTCAATTGGTATGCTGTAACTGGTATTGCCCAGGAAAACGGTCGGATTGCTGGTCATATCCAGCTTTTCTCCAAATCTCGTAACGTTTCTCAAGCAATTGAGGGCCATGTGTCCAAGTTTGCTGAAATCAAATTGAACGGCGCTCCTCACCCTACCAAGGTGTTCTGTGTGGGTAACAAGAACGCTAATGGCGAGGGTAACTTGCACATCATCGAGATCGACCACCCTGAAGGAAATCCACCTTTCCAGAAAAAACTGGTGGACATTTACTTCCCAGCCGATGCCGCCAGCGACTTCCCCATCTCGTTGCAGGCGCTGAACAAGTATGGAATCATCTATATCCTCACCAAGTATGGTTTTATTCACTTGTACGATATCGAAACAGGTACCAATCTCTTTGTCAACCGGATTTCTTCCGATCCTGTGTTCACTGCCTCGGCCTATAATGAGGGCACAGGTATAATTGCCATCAACAAGGCAGGTCAGGTGTTGTCCGTCGAGGTGGCACGCGAAAAAATCGTGCCTTATGTGCTTGAAAAGTTGTCAAACGTCAGTTTGGCTCTCGCTCTTTCCCTGCGTGGAGGTTTCCCTGGTGCTGAAAACTTGTTCCAGCAACAATTCCAAAACTTTTTAAACCAAGGCGATTACACCAATGCTGCTAAAGTTGCAGCTCTGAGTGATCAATTGCGTACTCAGGACACTATCAATAAGTTGAAACACATTACTCCTCAACCGGGTCAAATCTCTCCAATCTTACAGTACTTCTCCACATTGTTGGACCGCGGTACCTTGAACAAGTACGAAAGTATTGAATTGGCAAAGCCTGTTCTTCAACAAGACCGCAAACCATTGTTTGAGAAATGGTTGAAGGAAGAAAAGTTGACCTGTTCTGAAGAATTGGGTGACATTGTCAAGTCATACGCAGATGCTGCATTGGCTTTGGCTGTGTATATCCGCGCCAACAACCACATCAAGGTTGTATCATCGTTAGCTGAGTTGGGCCAGTTTGACAAGATTTTGCCATATTGTGAACGAGTCAATTATCATCCTGATTTCACTCACCTTATTCAAAACTTGGTTCGAGTCAACCCTGACAAAGCCTCCGAATTTGCCACCCTGCTTTTAGCAAGCCCTGAGACCAAATTGGACGTTGAAAATATTGCTGATCTTTTCTTCTCCCAAAACTATATCCAACAAGGTACTGCTTTCTTGTTAGATGCCTTGAAAAATGATTCACCCTCAGAAGGTCATTTGCAAACGAAGGTTTTGGAGACCAATTTAATCCATGCCCCACAGGTTGCCGATGCCATCTTGGGAAATCAAATGTTTTCTCATTACGATAAACCCACAATTGGCAAGCTTTGTGAAAAACTGGGCTTGTTTCAAAGAGCTTTGGAGCATTATGACGACCTCAAGGACATCAAGCGAGTTATTGTGCACACCAACGTCTTGCCTAACGACTGGTTGGTTCAATACTTCGGTCAGTTGAACGTCCAACAATCCGTCGCTTGTATCAAGGAGCTTTTGAGCAATAACATGAAACAGAATTTGCAAGTGGTTATTCAGGTGGCCACCAAGTATTCTGATTTGATTGGTCCATTGACTCTTATCAAAATCTTTGAAGAGTTCAAGTGTAACGAAGGATTGTATTATTACTTATCTTCCATCGTCAACATCACTCAGGATCCTGATGTAGTCCTCAAATACATTCAGACTGCTGCCAAGATGAACCAAGCAAAGGAAATTGAGAGAGTTGTGCGTGACAATAATATTTACAATGGGGAGAAGGTTAAGAACTTTTTGAAAGAGGCTAAATTGGAAGACCAATTACCTTTGATCATTGTATGTGACAGATTCAACTTTGTTCATGACTTGATTTTGTATTTGTACAAAAATCACTTTTTCAAGTTTATCGAGGTCTACGTGCAACAGGTGAACCCTACTAACACTCCTCAAGTGGTCGCTGGGTTATTGGACGTTGACTGTGACGAAAACATCATCAAGGGGCTTCTCGCATCAGTTATCGGACGAGTACCAATCAAGGAACTTGTGGCAGAAGTTGAGAAGAGAAACAGACTCAAGATCTTGCTTCCTTTCTTGGAGAAAACTTTGGAAGGTGGATCCACTGATCAAGAGGTTTTTAATACTTTGGCAAAGATTTACATCGATTCCAATAACAGCCCTGAAAAATTCTTACAGGAGAATGACAACTACGATACTTTGGCAGTTGGTAAGTACTGTGAAAAGCGAGACCCCTACCTCGCCTACATTTGTTACTCTAAGGGTTCCAATGATGATGAATTGATTGCAATCACCAATGACAATAAGATGTACAAGTATCAGGCAAGGTACTTGTTGTCTAAATCTGACTTCGCATTATGGAGCAAGGTTTTGACAAGTGACAACACTCACAGAAGACAATTAGTCGATCAAGTTATTTCCACTGGAATTCCTGAATTGAATGATCCGGAACCTATTTCAATTACCGTGAAGGCTTTTATGGAGAATGACATGCAAGAGGAATTGATCGAATTGTTGGAAAAAATCATCTTAGAGCCATCTCCATTCAATGACAACACGTCGTTGCAAGGTTTGTTAATCCTTACAGCCATTAAAGCTGATCCATCTCGTGTGCTGAACTATATTGAGAAGCTTGATAAGTTTGACCCACAAGAGATTGCTCCCTTGTGTGTTGACAACCAGTTGTACGAGGAGGCTTTTGAAGTATATGATAAGTTTGAAATGAGAAATGAAGCTATGAAGGTTTTGGTCGAGGACATCATGTCGTTGGATCGTGGAGAGCAATACGCTGAGAAATACGACACTTCGGATTTGTGGTACCAATTGGGTACTGCTCAATTGAACGGTTTGCGGGTTCCCGAAGCTATTGACTCTTACGTCAAGTCGAAAAATCCTGAAAACTATGAGCATGTTATTGAAATCGCTGAACATGCAGGTAAGGAGGAGGAATTGATAGCATTCTTGGAAATGGCCAGAGAGACATTGAGAGAAAGTGTCATCGATGGAGCCATGATCAACTGTCTTGCTAACTTGAACAAGTTGGACGAGATAGACAAGTTTGTTGCTGGTCCAAATGTGGCAGACTTGGAAGCAATTGGTGATAAATTATTTGCTGCTAAGAACTACAAGGGCGCCAAGATCTTGTACTCCAACGTTTCCAAATACTCGAAGCTTGCCACGACTTTGGTCTACTTGGAAGACTATCAAGGAGCTGTTGATTGTGCCAGAAAGGCTTCCAATATCGACGTATGGAAGAAGGTGAATGCTGCTTGTATCGAGAACAAGGAATTCAGATTGGCACAAATTTGTGGTTTGAACTTGATTATCGATGCTGAAGAACTTCCTGAGTTGGTCAGAACCTATGAACACAACGGATATTTCAATGAATTGATCGCATTATTCGAGAGTGGTTTAGGTTTGGAGCGTGCCCACATGGGTATGTTCACAGAATTGGCTATTTTGTACAGTAAGTACAGCCCAGAGAAGGTGATGGAGCACTTGAAGTTGTTCTGGTCCAGAATTAACATTCCTAAAGTGTTGACAGCCTGTGAGGAAGCACACTTGTATCCCGAGTTGATCTTCTTATACTGTCATTACGAGGAATGGGACAATGCTGCATTGACCATGATCAAGAGATCTGAAGTTGCTTTTGATCACTCATCCTTCAAGGAGATTATTGTCAAGGTTCCAAACTTGGAAATCTACTACAAGGCAATCAACTTTTACATGAATGAAAACCCATCACTTTTAGTGGACTTGTTGGCAGTCTTGACCCCCAAGTTAGACTTGCCTAGAGTTGTTCGCATGTTCGTCAAGTCTGACAACTTGCCAATGATCAAACCGTTCTTGATTTCCGTCTTGGAGAAGAACAACTCGGTAGTAAACGGTGCTTACCACGACTTGTTGATCGAAGAGGAAGACTACAAGTCGTTGAAAGCTGCTGTTGAAAATGAGTCGTGCAACAGATTCAACTCTTTGGATTTGGCAGAGAGATTGGAGAACCACAAGATCATCTTTTTCAGACAAATCTCCGCCACTCTTTATGCCAAGAACAAGAAGTATGCCAAAGCTATTTCCATCTTGAAGAGTGACAAGTTATGGGCGGATCTTCTCAAAACTGCTGCCATATCAAAATCCACCAAGATTGCCCACGAATTGTTGGATTACTTTGTGGAGACAGGAAACCACGAATGTTTCGTTGCATTGTTGTACGTTTGTTATGATTTGATTGAGTTCGACTATGTTCTCGAGTTGTCGTGGCTCCACGACTTGAGTAATTTCGTCAAGCCATACGAGATCTCGATTGCATATGAGAACCGCAAGCGTATGGACGAATTGTATGCTGATTTGCAGAAGAGAAAGGCTGCTGAGCAGGAGGATGAGGAAACTCCCACTGGACAACCTTTGATGATTACAAACGGACCCGTTGGAGGTCTTGGTTATCAACCAACCGGAGCTGGTTTTGGTAACGCCTTTTAAAAGAGTAGAATAGATTGTTTTATGTTTTGCTACCTACGTAAGATCCCAAGTACTCGAGTTAGAGCACCCTCTAGAGCAGCAATATCAGTCGAGAGAACCGCTTCACACGCAGCTGATAGTTCGGCATTCCCTACAACCTCGGCCAGTATAACGGACGAAATATCACAATGAATAACCAATTCTTGGCCAGATTCGAGAAACAATCGAACTCGATGGCACGCCAAGTCTTTCTCCAAGCGTCGTATATCTGGATTCAGTGACACTGCTGCAAAAATATCATGCTTCATTTGCGTTTGTGAAAGATATCCATAAACCAATTTGGAGAATTTAACCACACTTTGGTCCACCTCCTCTTGCCCATATTCCAACACAGATTCAGCCTCGTTCACAGGAATGTACACTGGGAGAGTATGGCGAAAAACCGACCAGCGGTGATGATTAGGTTCTTTCTCGTGAGGTATCTTTTTTAGAATGACATAGTGAGGTGCCACGAATTTGCGCTCGTGGTTAGAATAAGTATCAAACCGAATCCCAAAGACTTCCTCGTCGGCAGATAACAAGGATTTGTTGATTGGAAAAGCAGTAATTCCTGTAAATCGAAAGATGTTCTCGTACAAAATACTGGCAGTTTCTTCTGGAGAGGACTTTTTTTTCACTTTGTTTGCCTCTTCCAATATTCGAGCAACTTCTGGGTCAAAATGGTTGTGGTAGATGGGTGCTGGTTGGGACTCGGATTCGGAATCCAGCAGAGATTCTGGCTCTGATTCTGATATTTGTGATGGTGGATCGGGCTGATTTTTTAGTTCATTTAGTTTCACGGAAGCAAGTTGTTTTTCCTGGGAGAACTTTTCTATTTCTGCCTCCAACTGTTCCACCTCGGAACGCAAAGTAAGGATTTCGGACATGAAAGTTCACGATATAGTGGTGATACTAGAAATGAAATCAAGGGAAATGGATGGTTTGGACAATTTAGCCAATAACCAAATTCAGTAACAAGCAACAAGTAACAACAAGTAACAACAACAATGAAAGCAACTCCTCTTTCCACTACTTGAATCAGCCACTCTTACTCGATTTCCTGTGTTTATGTCGCGATCAAATTCAAATCAAATTTAAATCGCGACCCACTCTTTCTCCACAGATGCCTTTCGCCAATCTGTATTGGTCGGCAGACTACCGACTGGGGATCAAGGCTCTTACGGTGCAACTGCAGCAGTCGCTCAGACAACTACATGAACTTCGAGACTTCGTAGCTCGCTATACTACTCATTTACGATCCAATAGTGTTTCACAAGAGAGATTTGCAGATGTAATTGGCGGAATTGGGGCCCCTTTTGAAACACCCACGGGCTCCATAGGGTCACGCAGTGTTAGCGGAAGGGTGTTTAGTGGAACACGAGTCTCGCAGGGAAGTTTTTCTGAAAAAAATTACATCCTGAATAATTCAGAAGCTTATGAATCAGAAGACGATAACAAGACTTTTTCAAAATTGGAATATGATAACAAGCGAACACCTTCACACTCTCGGACCTCTTCTACAAACAAATCACCACCCATAACGATTGCCACTGCAACAGAAACATACAGAAACGACTTTTTGGCCGAATCGCGATGCCTTGAAATATTGGCAGCGGCTCTCGACCGCCAGGTGCTTGAGGAGATTAACAGCTTTATTCGAGTGTATGAACCGGTGGTTAGAGCAGCCATTGAGACATTTGAACAACTTTATGATGAACAGAACCAATTATCAGTACTGGTCGAAAAATTAAGAATAGACTACAACGAAGCTCGACGCAAAAGTGAACTAGGCAAAGAGGCCCCCAAAGCAAATACGGTGGTGGTCCAGGAAGCGTCGGATGACGAGGCTGAAAATAGTGAGCTGCTGCCGTCTCCTCAGCTTATCGCCTCTGGAACTTATCTCAGCAAGCTCTCTCCACAAAAACTCTCGTCGCTCGTCGAGGACATGATTGAATCGATTCCAAGTCTGAAGAGGTCTTTCCCACTCCCAGGCCACTCTAATACCGTAATATCCAGCGAGCTGCTCTGTGCGTGGCTTACAAAGAATCGACCTTGTGCCTTGAATCCTACCATGAGAGAATTGGAGCATTTTGGTCAAGAACTCGTGGACGCAAAACTCTTGGTAGGTACATTCTTGGGTGCCAAAAAGTTTCGAAGTAAAGGTATGTGGTTCGAATGGTCAGATCTTGCACACTATGTTGCCGGGGATCTGCAGCCAAGCACTGCTCCATCGGCTGATAACAAGCGCTGGCTAGATACAACCAAACGATTCAATTCACTCGTGGTCAACATGTCCACGATGCTCGGCGGTAATATCGATCAAGCTGAGTCTCAGGTACAGCAACGATATGATGAAACGTATATTCAGCTTCAACGAACTCGCCATAGGCTCATTGAGGAATTTAATCATAAAGCACAAACTTTAGAGCGGTTTGAAAAATTACGGATCGAGCTAATTTACCAATCCTTAACTCGAATGCTGGAAGCTGTCTACAATTCATCATTAGCCTCATCAAAACGTCTTCATGAACTCGCAACCACTTTCATCTCCTCCATCAACAAGCCTCAAAATTATCAAGCTGAGTTTGAATTGCTTGAGTCAAACAATAGCACTGGGATCTTCTTCCCATCTGTTGTCGCGGGACTGGATCCTCATCGAACAACCTACAACTACTTTCAGAACATCAAGCATCAGTTCAATTTGTACAAAGACATTCCATTACAGATTCCCGTGGAAGGGGATCTCTTGAGCTTTGCATCCCTTCCTTTGTTCCTTTATCGTACAACAAGTATCATTGAGGAGAAGGATGATGGTACTGCAAAAGATTTGTGGCATGCTCCTCTCGACCACCATTCGTACTGGCAACTAAAGGAAAAAATTCTTTCACTTATAAGTCAGTATGACAAGCCAGATATGACTCTCGATGCAAATGCGAGCGATAGGTCTGTAATGGAGCCCATTCTACTAGTGCTCGAGCTGTCGCTGCTTGCCAATGTCATCAATTTTGTCAAAAATTGGCTTATGGAAATCAGCGATTCCGTTATACCGTTCATGGTATACGACGGGTTGGTTTCCAGCTACACCCATGAGCGTAACGACACTTTGCGCATTCTCTTGACAATCCCACGAAGCAATTTGAGTTCGCTTGTGCATCTTCTCGAGCATATTTGCTGTGTGTTTGGTTTGAGTCAAATTCCCAACTACAGCTTCTCTGATACCGTGGACCGTGATTTGGTTGCGCCCAACGATGAGGACAAAATAAAGCAAGTATCGAGTACCTTGAACGATATGTCCGCCATAGGAGCGGTTCCATTCGTTCACATTATTTTGCGTCCCTCTTTGTCAAAGGCGAGTTCCGGCTTTAAGCCACCCATTGACATTTACCAACGGCTATTGAGCGACTTATTGGATGTCGATTTGCGGGTACAATTGTTCGAAAGCTTGGTGGAGAGCGAAAAGAAATATCGAACTAAGAAGGAGAACACCCGCCTTGGCTTGAAAAAAAACCGTAACTTAACACCACCCAGAGATGAATTGCGTCTACCAGAACTCAAGAGCCCGCATCCTGTGGCAGCAGATAACTTTACCTTGAGACCTTTCAGAACTGGTACCACTCCCATACCTTCACCTGTTAGTTCTCCAGGGCGAGAGATTGTAGTCAAAAAGATAAGAGAACTGCATCATTAAAGCATATATACACGATCTATTATTTCACTTTCTGTCTCACCATTCGAACGTCCTCTCTGGCTAGTCCCGTCATCGTCACCTTTTGCACTCGTCTAAGCAGCCGTAAACTGATAACTGCTACTACTGCAAGTAAGCTGAAGCTTAGTATAACCGCAAATTCAAACCCACCGTCGTTTTCTTCAATGAAATTTTCCAAGTTCATACCGTATACCGCAGCAATATAGAGAACAACACCCATTGATAAAAGACCAACGGAAAACTTGTGACGCAACATCATGAGCTCATTTCGATTTGAGTCAAGCACCACGTTGATTATCTCCTCTGAAGTTTTGATTTGGGATCGCAAATTGGCAACAGTTTGCACCACTTCGTCGCAGGTATTGTAGTAAGATTCAAACAACATTTCCACCTCGTCATGATCTGTGCCAGTATGAGGCCGGCCAGCGGCAGAATCCAGCAAGTAAAGACCATTCAAATAGTCGTCTCGATCAAGCGTATCCTCGACGTGATCTCGAATAAGCGTAGCCTTTTGTTGAAACTGAAACACTTTTTTGGACTGGGTGAGAAGATACCGAAGCTTAACGGTGTCTACGTGATCCTCAAGTCCACGCAAGATGTTTTGGGTTACTGTAGTGTGTACCTTCATTTCTGTTCGAAGATTGGAGGTTACATGTTCAAAAATAGCTTCGAAGGCTCGGAATTCAAATGGCATTCCAGGAAGGTTTTCTTCACGAAGATTATAGCTAAGAGCTTTTGTAAGTTGTGAATGTGAGTACAGCTCAAAAGAACGCGAGCCTACCAAGTCAAATAGAACCACTCTATCGTGCTGGACCAAAGCTCGAACATCCAAAATGTTGAATAGCACCACATGAGATCGGGTGTGAAGTGAGGGAACCATCTGCGAATGAGGACGAGAAAACTTGCGGAGGTCTCTAGGAGCAAGATGAAACTCCTCCATGAATTGTGACCGTCTGACTTCTTTTCCATGGGCCACAATATCTCCCGTAGAGGAAAAAATCGTACATCGGATATTTGGATTTTTTGGGCTTTTTGTTGCTGATGTTGAACAAAAGGAACGTAGTGGTATTCTCCACAAGCTCTTGGATAATAGCATGCCGCGAGGTTGTATGGCAGATTGTAAGGTCCCTTAGCAGTTCTGAAGTAGCTTTTGGAGATGAACTGTCTACTTCTTTTTTACTTGATTCTGTATCACAATTGTCAAGTTATTCCACCTTAGATTTAAGAAGTCAAGTCCAAGATGAACCTTAGTGTTTCAAATTTCAGATTGAAATCCGATTATGAGTCCTAATTATGAATCCCAATAATGAATCCCGATTAGAATCCGATTATGAGTCCTATATGAATCCTTCCGTCTATTGATAAGTCGATGAGATTCGATTCGCGCGCTAAACAAATCAATACCGTAATCCATACAAATAGTATTGTTGCTAACACCCGCTAAACAGCTTTTTTCGGACTATGGTTCGAGTCACGTCAGCAGACGAACTAGAGGTTTGTGAAGAAGTTGGCAGAGGGGCGTTTGGAGTGGTCTACCGTGGCCACGTGAGAGCATCTGGACTCGAAGTTGCAATCAAACAAATCGATCTTGAAAACGATCCGACAGATTTGCTGGACATTTTGCGGGAGATTCAGATAATATCCGAATGCCGACTTCCTCAGATAACGAGTTTCTATGGCTGTTTTGTGAAAAACTATCAATTGTGGGTAGTGATGGAATTCGCAGATGGTGGTTCTATCTTCGATATACTTCGGCCTGGTCCAATGAAAAACGAAAAAACAATAGCCATAATTCTCAAGGAGGTTCTTGTTGCCCTTGAGTATTTGCATGACCAGGGAAAAATACACAGGGACCTCAAGTCACAAAATATTCTTCTCACTCGTCTGGGCAACGTCAAGTTGACAGACTTTGGAGTTTCTGCTCAACTCTCCTCCAACTTTTCTCGACGGAACACCACCGTCGGCACACCATACTGGATGGCCCCGGAGGTCATTTTAAACAGCAATGGTGGCCATAGCTTCAAGGCTGACCTTTGGTCTTTGGGCTGTTGTGCCTACGAATTGGTTACTGGTAAACCACCATTACAGCGAGATTATCCTCCCATGAGGGCTCTCCGTCACATATCAACGTGCTCAAGCGACGACAAATTTGCTGAGCTTATCGGGTTGGACGAGCTTGACATATCAGCAGACCTCTGTGATTTTTTACGTCATTGCTTTGTGGTGGACCCTACAAAACGCTACAGTGCTCCCAAGCTATCCAAACACCGCTTCATCACCAGCAATACAGTCTCTTCCGAAGATCAAGCTATTCTTATTCGCAAAGCCATCACCAACAAACAGCTCTGGGATCAAGAAAATCAAATTGATAAAACGCAAAAGTTCTATATAGAATCAGAAATTGCCAGGAACCAACAACAGTGGAAGCAATCGGACTCTCCCGAAGACGAAAAGTTTCCCGAAATTCAGTTCGATTTCAGTACCATCAAGGCGACTCCAAATGTCAAAACCGACATGGCATCTCCAGCTTCGCTGTCATCGCTGCCCATACGCCGTGGTACTTACAGAACAGCCTCGAAACAGGCTGATTTGGAGAGATTGGTTGGGGTTGAGCTTGCAAAAATACTCAATAGAGCACTTCATAAGCTAGAGTCTCGCGCAAATTTGACGACGGAACAATACGAGTTGATTGAGTCACTAAACGAGCTTTTTTTGAATCTACTCAGTGTGTGTCCTAGCTCTGAGAAGTCCGAAGGCATAACCGGCCGCTTTATTATCCTTCAATATCTACGCTATGTCTTGAAGGAAATAATGAAAGAGGGCGATTCCACTCGATCATTAATACAACGACTGGTTTTCCCCTCTTCATTCAGCAACTACTCCAAACCATCAGACAGTCTCACCACAAGAAGATACACATCCCAGTACGATGAAATCGAGAGCAGCCTTCTAGAATCGTGGATCGAAAAAATGAGCCAAAGTTAGCCGTCCATTTTTTGTGGTTTTTGCAGCCATTTTTTTTAATTGTTGAGCGAGACAATTCGTTTGATCCCGCCTCACTGAATATGCTCTGCTGAATCATCTTGCAGATCAAGGCGGTCACAACCAATTGTATGGAGTTGTTCTGCGGATCAAGGCGGAAGCGGCTGGATTTTTGGATCTGTTCTGCGGAATCGGTAATTTGCAGCCATTTTTTTGATTTTGTGTTGCAAATCAAAGAGTTTGTGTTATTTCACGATTTTGTTCTGCTAAATCATAGCATTCCACAGATACAAACCCACACTACTTAAAGCGCCGAAGTTCCCTGATCATTTCTTCTTCACAAATGTTGTTTGCTGTCTTAGCCTCCCCAATTTTCGTTCCGCTTTTCACCACTTTTATCGCGCTTGTGGCCCCGCCAGAAGTCGTGACACCTGAAGCACTACTAGAATTTTTCCAGGATCCTTCACTGGCAAACTACTATGCAACAACCACCAAGGCGACATCAATTGCCCCAATCAAAATTGGACTAAAATCTTGTCCAACTTTTATCCCAATGACAGATGAACGTGAATTGTTCCAAACCAAGGAATCTCATCCGAGACCAAATACCCCAATTGCCATTACCCTCTTTGACTATGATGCCCCACCTCCAATTACAAACTATGGACTGACGCCCAGCATCCTCAACTTGGCTACAATTGCCAAAACTCAAACTCCAAGTGGAATCACCAGTCCTACTGCTACCACTACTAGCAGAGGTTTGAGAAGATCCGAAGAACTTCAGACAAAATTGTGGACAGGACCAAGCGAGGACGACCTTCTTCTGATGAAACCAATGGTAGTAGTAATCAATGCTCCCACAGGACTTCGACAGGAATTGGAACTAAAGTTGGCGAGTACAAGAGCTGAAGAAGACTTTTGGAGTATCAAGACAATTTCCAAACTTCTACAGCTATTCTTGTTGCGAATTAAAACGTGGTTTTCAGAGTCCCAAGCAAAACGGTCTACTATACTAACTACATTGATGATGCTGGCCAAGGTACATGGGCCGCCGATGAAGTACAAGGTGGAGGCTACTAGATGGAGAAGGAAGATTATGAGACTTGATCAGCCCCGAAAGTAGCCTCTGGCCTAGAACCTTGAATTCTATAGTTCTAGTTTGTTTTTAATAAAATCATAAAGAATTCGAAGCCAACATAGAATCATTTCGCAGCCATTCAGTTCGCAGCCAAATCAGTTCCACTTCGCGCAGTTTCTCGCAGCTTTCAGTTCGCAGCCAAATTTCGCGGTCTGTTTTCTTTATGAGTTCTGACATCGAACAAAAAGACCCCACTTCCGAAACCAATGGAAGCACAGTAGTCGACAGCAGGCTTTACAGTGTTCGCTATGTTGTACAAAATCCCTCCGAATCCATAAATACAGTGAAAATTTCTCCAGATGGAAAAACCATGGCGACTTGTTCGTCCAACGGGGTCATCAGAGTTTATGAATTGGCGTCTGGAACGCTCAAACAAGAACTCCGGGGACACGCTAAGGGGGTTTCTGACGTGGACTTTTCACCTATAAATTCTGACATTCTAGTATCAGGATCTGATGATCTTACAGTACGACTCTGGTCGATCTCTCGAGGCAAATGCTTGAAGGTGCTTCGGAAACATACCTATCATGTCACCACAGTCAAGTTCATATCGCGTGGAAGTATCTTGTTGAGTGGATCTGCTGACGAAACCATCACCGTTTGGGACCTCACTTCGGGCAAAACTTTGCGTACACTTTCGGCTCACTCAGACCCCATACTGTCAGTAGCGCTCACGCCAGACGACACCATTATAGTCAGCGGGTCCTACGATGGACTCATGCGTTTATTCGACTTGGAAACCGGTTACTGTCTCAAGACTCTTGTATATAATAGTGCCAGTCAAGGCACAGCAACTGCTTCTACATCTGACGTGGTCAACTTTCCCATTTCCTACGTCAACCTATCGCCCAATGGAAAGTATATTTTGAGTTCGAGCCTCGATGGTGCCATAAGACTCTGGGACTACATGGACAATAAGGTTATCAAAACGTACCTAGGAGTAGGAGACGAGCCTAATATCAGCACCAAATTCACCTGTGAGACCTGCTTTATAACCTGTACAAAAACCCCATTGATAGCATCGGGTTCGGAGAGTTCCGGCTTGCTCTTCTGGGACGTCCAGACGAAGAAAATTGTGTGCCAACTAAAATTGTCAGAAGGCGCAGTTTTGGGCGTGACATCATACGACGATGGAAAGGTGGTGGTTTGCTCGGACAGCAATGGAACGGTTACTGTTTTGGATATAAATGACGTTGAATAATTGTTAATGGCTGCGAAATTGACATGTCAAAAAAATGCATTCATGAAGACTTAATCCACAATCTTACTTATATAGATTCTTTTAGGTGCTTACTCAGCGTAAATAACCTACTTGCGTTCCTTTCCCTACTTCACCCTAGTTTTTTTTATCCGGTATTGCCTCTCTTTATCGTGTTCCTGCATGTGCCACTATATCACCCATTCTCACCCCGAAGTCGATTATGGAGCAAAGAAGTAATTTATTCCGGTTCAACTTGGCGGGACTTCGGCTCCCCAAGTCGCAAAAGTTGAGGTCTGTGGGCGTGTATCTCGCTGGAGCATTGTATGCATTTGGGTTTTGGAGCATGGTCGATGCCGCGGTTTATTCTAAATCGGTAAATGCTTCCGTTGTTCACGTAACGTTTGTAGATTGGATTCCGTTCATTTGTTCGACTCTCGGCATGTTGATTGTGAATTCTATCGAGAAATCAAACTTGTTTAGCGATGCCAACAACTCCAATTCTTTTATGAATGGAGGGGGGAACACAGCATGGGCCGCACGAGTCATTTTGTTTTGTGGATTTTCCCTTCTTGCCGGAGGACTAGCCGGGTCATTTATGGTATTTATACTCAAGTTTCTTCTCAAGCATTACGGGTTTCCAACATTGGGGATGGGTGTTAGTAATGTTGTGTGCAATGGGTGCATTATGTTAAGTTGCATTGTGTTGTGGTTGTCGCAAAACATCGAGGATGAATATAGCTATAGTTTAGCATTGTGAATGTATTAATACAAGTATGTATCGCGTAAGCTGGTGCCAAATTCTAGAAATAGATGGGAATGCGTATTAATGATGTTTACCTCGATAGCAACTCCTCCTTACAATCACCCAATAGCTCCAACTCATAGTTGCTAAAGTTGAACATATTCAACGTTATGGGTTGCGACGAACCCCGGGGGTATACCTGGAAATGATCCTTCTTCAATTCATGGAAAAATGGGTGCACTAACACTTTCCGCGGGCTAGCCCTCATGTCGGGGTCATACACCAATATTTTTAACAAGAGGTCAATGGCGTCTGGCGGTGAGTTGCTGAAGATTTGCTGGAACCTCTCCGGCACCGTGCACGAAAAGAGCTTGGTTTGGTACATGCTGCCCCGGTACTGAGGATTGCTCTTGAAGAAGAAACTGTTGGGAGGAGGACCTAAAAGCTTCGATATCTCCTTCAATTGAAGCTCGGGCGATTGGCCCTGGAAAATAGGCTTGCCGAGAAACATCTCCGCCACCACACATCCCAAGCCCCATATGTCGATTTTGGTGGTATAAACGGTGCACCCAACAATGAGTTCAGGTGCTCGGTAATATCGCGAGCAGATATAGCTGACACTGGGTTGCTTGGGCTCGAGCTTCTTGGCACTGCCAAAATCACAGATCTTTAAAGTAACCGTTGATGGATCCACGAGAATATTCGAAGGTTTGATGTCACGATGCGAGATTCCAAATCCATGCAAGTAGAGCATGGCCCGGGTCAACTGGAACGTGTATGCCTTCATGTGTGGGTAGGGGATGGTGTACTTAGACTGTCTATAATACTTGATCTCGCTTTGAAGGTTGGAAGGCAAGCATTCCATCACGAGGTTCTGGTACACCTTGTTGTCTTCTTGACTGAGTTTTTCGAAAAAGAATCGCAAGCTGACGATATTCGGATGGTTGACCACTCGCAACAATTCCAATTCTCGGCTCTTGTATTCGGTTTGCGCCGGCACTCTTTTGATGGCAAACGGCCCAAGCCAGTTTTCCTCGGGTCCGTCGGTATGTCTCAATTTGGCCTCGACGACGGTTCCAAATGCTCCTTCGCCTATGCGCTTGTATTCCTTGACGGTCATACGACTGGAATTGTTGGTAGTGTTCTCCACCACCTTGTCTAGGGTGTATTCGTTGATTGTGGGGGACATGTTTGTTGATGTTCACCGGAAAGAACAGCGCTAAAAAAGCCTATGGTAATCTCCAGAAAATTGATGGGGTGGCGCCTCGGTGGGTAGTAGACGCCAGATCAACGTTTGGACGCTGGAATATAAATATTCTACCGAGTTCGGAACACGGTCACGTAGGGCTATTTGGGGGAGTTTGTAACCAAGCAAACAAAATCAAAATCAAAGTAGAACAGATATGGTATCGGTTCTCCAGGGTCTAAGGATGTACTTGAAACGGTTTTGTAGTAGTAGAAACCTCACACGAGGTTATGGGAAGGAAAGGGAGTAGACGGTGTAGATAAACTTGTCCGCAATTACGTGTATAGTGTTATGCAGGGCATGCGCGCTGGTTGGTCGTGGCTGCTGCAGGACAAGAAATGGCCAAGGCGGAGGGCAGGACATAATACAAAGTTGCACGCGTTCGATTTGCTCTTGGGGGATGAGGAATGTTTAACTTGTATATGAAAGTTGTATTGTGTTTGGTTTCTACTGATGACAGCCGCCCAATTTTTGGGTTAACCTTTTCATATTTGGGGTCAATTGGGTAATTCTAGGTGGTTTTGTATGATTTCTGTAAGTAATTGTATTGGGCAGTATGCCAATGGCTTTTTTCTGGCATTTTTTTGTCATTTTTTTGTCATTTTTTTGTCATCATTTCGTCGTTATTTGCGTTGTTCACCTCCGTCAGTCGCAGCTCGCGGTAGTGCATACAGCCCCAGGTCGATTTGAAAAAATTGAACCTCGCTCAATATAAACCTAGCATGAGTGTCTCGTGGTTCTCTGTATCCACGCTATTCCGGAGACTGATAGCGGGCCCTATACATTCCGGTGGGCCTGTATTGTCCGCAAGTCGCTTTTCACGCTCGTTCATGACCTCCCCAGCTCGTTCGGCTGACCCCATTGCATTCACCACCTCTCCCACAACACCCGACGAAACTATATCCAATATTATCGATCCCAGGTTGAAGTCGCAGTCACTCAAGGGCCGCAAGAATGAACAGGTGGTGTTGTGGAAACTCTACGGCTCGTTCCACCGTCATAATACGCTACTTTCCATGGTGGCCGTGGTTGAAGATCTCGATTTCATGGAAAAAAATGACCATTTAACTTACAACGAAAAGGTATTATACTACATGCAATTGCCACATCACGTAAAACTCCATGTTTCTGCCGGTCAATTGGGTTTTAGAAAGGCACAAAGAGCTGAATACGAAGCTGCGTACCAGGTAAGTTCGAGAATGTTCAAACAAATCGAAGAAAAGGGACTCTTGGGCCCTAACGATAAGGTCGAGTTGGTCTTAAAGGACTTTGGAAGGGGCCGAGAAGCATTTTTGGCTGCTTTACAAGGTAAAGAAGGGTCTCGGATCCGACCCAATATTGTCCGTATCAGTGACAATACCAAATTGAGATTTGGAGGCTCACGTCCTAAGAAATTGCGTCGTCTCTGAGACACTGTAAATAGCCATAACTACATGATAACTAGCAACAGACACACTAATACTGAAGTGAATGCGGTAGTGCTCTATTGGTGGGATGTGTCTAGGGCTCTAGCCCTGGTCACGTGTATGTTTGTGTTGGTGTACTGCAGGTAATCTCAGAAAAATTCTCAATCTTTGGTGAAAAAAAATTCTATAACCACCGGTTCAAGGACATAGGAAAATGGCACCAAAATGTAAGTTTGTCGTTTCGACGTCATGAATCACTAAATAAAACAGTCTACATTACATCTGATTGCTCCCCAGTGTTTATGAATTTCCATACGTGATTTGTGATGACTTTGAAATTTTCATCAATACTAACTCAGCTACCGTTAAAGCTTCCAACGCTAAGAAGTCCGCCTTGAAAGGTACCAACGCCAACAAGGTTGTCAAGGTGAGAACTGACACCAGTTTCCACAGACCAAAGACCTTGAAGTTGGCCAGAACTCCCAAGTATGCTAGAAAGGCTGTTCCCCACTACAACAGAATGGATGCCTACAAGGTGATTGTTTCTCCAATTGCCTCTGAGACTGCCATGAAGAAGGTTGAGGACGGAAACATCTTGGTTTTCCAAGTTGACATCAAGGCCAACAAGAACCAAATTAAGAGTGCTGTAAAGGAATTGTACGAAGTTGATGTTCAATACGTTCACACCTTGGTGAGACCTAACGGAACCAAGAAGGCATACATCAGATTGACTGCTGACCACGATGCTTTGGATGTTGCCAACAGAATTGGATACATTTAAATACTTCCACATGAACCATACAATACATTAATAAGTGCAAGGTGTAGCAAGTGATTGATATTGTAGATGACTGGTTGTTGTTGATGAGGACTGGTTGTTGTTTTGGACGACTGAGTTGAGTTGTGCCATTTTCTTGCTTATAAATCTGGCTCGTATGTGAGAATTATCGTGCTTAATCAATTCAAATTGTAGGTTGAAACTACCACATTTTTGAGCGCGAAAGATAAATTAACACTCAAAAGCTTATTTCTCAATAATCCAGTAAACCTTCATTTTTTGCCATTTCAGTCATACTTGACAGAAACTTATTTTCTTTATAATCTTAGGCAAGTTTAAATCTGATTCAAGTGAATACTCTTAGTTCGTCTTTCACTGCTATTTTCTTCTTCTGATCATGCTGCTGTTTACTACGAATCTCTTTTAATGAAATTCCATTCTTCCCTCTAATCCCCATTTCCTGGTTATGATCATATTGTCTCCACTATTGTCGCCATTGCAACTTCCGCCGTGTGGGTTGCGAGCCACCCAGAACTTGTGGGCACATGTCAATCGGCACACGCGCAATCCATCATAATGTGCTAACTCCAAACAAACAGTAGTGTATGGAGAAACGAATTAGAGCAGGTGCATTCGATGACGTGATGGCCAAATGGCCGGAATGGTGGGCGCCACCATTGCAAGCTGCGCAGCAGGTTGCGGAGCGGCTTGCGTCCACGGTACTAGATGGATGCATACTGTTGCATACTGTAGTACTGTAGTATACTGTTGTACTCTGTTGTGGCTGCTGCTGCCTCCCGCTGATTCTGGCTGCCGCCGCTACGCGGTCGGTGCCGCTATTTGCAGCCGGCCGGCCGTAGAATCCTGTATACCATCACAATATCATGACGTAACCGTACCTGGATTTATGCAGTCTGGGTCTCCCGATGCACGTGCGGTGCATACCTATTGGGCAACTACGTCATTTTGACGTCGATTAATCAAACACCGCAGATAATCGGGTTTTCACCCTTATATCGACTTTAGCCATCCATAACCATCATATGTTATTTGGTTGTCACCTTGTTTCCTTTTCTCCCGTTCAATAGCTATCTTCCAATACCAATTTTTCCCCCACTTTTGCATCCGGTGATGTCGTCAGGTGGGGCATAAAATGTGCACCGGAAAAAAAATTGACTGATTGGTCCTGTACACAGCCCAAAAAGAAACAAACCCGACAGATAGATCTCATGCTTTAGGAAGTACGCTTAGGTAATGCTTGATAACGGTAACCGCATTTAACCTAGATTGACTACTTTTCTTTTTCCGGTTACGACTGGTTTCCGTGGTATATAAACACCAGTAAATTCCCGTAAAAATTTTTATTAAATTCAATCCACATTCATTATGACAATTCAAAAACAACCAGCTGTCTTTTACGTTAACGCCGCCTTGTTCGATTGCGATGGTACTTTGGTCAATTCTACTGGTGCCATCTCTGAATTCTGGAAGGATTTTGGAAAGACTAGACCTCATGTTAACCCTGAGGAAATCATCAGAACTTCCCATGGTTGCAGAACCTTTGATGTGATTGCCAAATGGTCTCCAGAAGATGCTATTGTGGAGCAGGTGACTGAGTGGGAAGGACAAATTCCTGACTCTTTTGGTCAGTTTGCCAAGCCAATTCCAGGAGCTGTTGAGTTGGTCAAATCGTTCGACCACTTTTCCAGAAACGCCACCACCAACAAGGAACAAAGATGGGCCATTGTGACGTCTGGAACCTTGCCTTTGGCCACCAAATGGTTGAAATTGTTGACCATTCAAAAACCAGACTGTTTCATCACCGCCGAAAAGGTTACCAAGGGAAAGCCTCACCCTCAAGGCTACCAAGCCGCCAGAGACACCTTGGGCTACAAAGATGAAACGAAAAAAGTCGTTGTTTTCGAAGATGCTCCCGCAGGTATCACCGCCGGTAAGGGTGCCGGTGCCATGATTGTCGGAATCTGCTCCACTTATGACCCAGAAAAGGTCAGAAACGCCGGTGCTGACATTGTCGTTGACGACTTGTCGAGCTTTAAGATTGACTCGTATAACCCAGAAACCGATGAATTCAAGGTGGTTGTCGGTGACTACCACTATGCCAGCGAGCAGTACTTGCAGGCTGTCTAGACTCGCATTTGCTTATAGATTGTACACTAGTTATGCATAAACATATTTATTGGAAAATGTAGGAAATTAAAAATTTTTAACTATTCGAATTGACTTTGATCGAATTGAGTTTGATCTTGAATTGACTGGTTTGTCTGATTTGCACCCATTTTCGCGCTGAGTCAGCGCTGAGTCAGCCTTTTATATGAAAAATTCAAGATGCGATGATCTCATTACCATGGGTGCATTCTTTGAAGACTCCTACCCCGTGCACGCTCTTCTGAGACTAGCTGACTTGAGTCTCTCAAAGAAAGCTGTGTTCGCTACCCCTACCTCGTTCAAGGCGTCTCAAATAGATGTTGGCGTGTCTCGTTCTCTCATTCTGACGTTTGCACTCAAACCCACTCCCAAACTCGTGTGGTCTTATCCTTTGCCTCCATCGACTATTGTGGAGTGTATGGATGTGCACACAGTTGGCGATGAAGAGAAGCGCTTTGTGGTGGGATTAACTGACGGAAGAAAGCATAAACTTGTTTTAATTGATAGAAAAGGCGAGACATCAAATGTGTCTGAAATTAATGTTAATGGAAAGATTGTTGGAGTCAAGTTTGCTGGCCATGGCCATGGGAATATCATCTTCGTCTGCATGCATAATGGTGCTACGAAATTGTACCGGAAAAGTGTTGAGGGAAAACTTCAAGAAGTGAGTGAACTTTCCGGAGCGAAAGGGTCCAAAGTCATTTTCAATTGTTTCGTGGCAGAAAAAGAGCTTGGCAATGAACACGAGCTTTTGATCACGGTGGAGTGTCACGGGAAGGAATGGGCATACCGAATGATCTCGCTTACTGAAACTCGTCTACTTGAAGTGCACCAAGTTTTGGTGCCGGGACAGAAAGATTGTATCTTTGCTTATAATTGCGGACAGTTGTTCTGTCTCAATATTTCCACAAAAGAGATCAGCTTGCTCGACATACCAAGCTTTTCCATCGTCAAAACCATTTCTGTGGCACCTTTAATTCAACAGAAGACTCCTCTCGAAGCCATTTCTCTCCAGGTACCAGCTCAAAACCGGTTAATACTCGGGGTGAAAGGCACCATCAGCTTGATCAGCTTCAGCTTTGAGTGTCTTTTGGACAGTTTCAACATGAAGGGGGACATATACTTGGGTCTGGTGGTTCCCACTCAAGGACAAAGAACATTTATTCTGTTCTTGCATTTCAACTCGGACAAAAATACCACGAAAATACATATGATGAATGCTAACGTTGGTCGAGGAACGGTGGCAGAGTGCTTGGGAAAGAGCATGCATAGAAATGAGGCTGTCGTCTCTCAGGGAATACCTTTTATTCTTGATGAAGATTTGACTGAGAGCTCTAAAATTGGAGCCAATGAGTTTGGTGCCGTGCTCGATAAACTCAGAGAGTTGCGGAGTCAAAAACTGGTTGAAAAATGGGAAAGAGTGGCTGTTCCGTTCATGAAAAACGAGCTGTGGGAGTCCATTACCAAGGCTTTGAACAAAACCAAAAAACACAAAACATACCCTTATTCTGCATTTGACATAGACACAGACCGTCTGTTGGATCCTTCTTTTGTGGAGCAAATTATCTCGATCATTGTGGGCGGAGACCAATTTGTTCTCGACCCAGAATTTCTTCCCGAGCATACTGTGGTTTATCTCCTTACACATCCACTATTTCCCATAAAATACACCCATGGATTGACGGAAGAATTGGCTAAATTGGGTAACGAGGACCTCCTCAAACAAGCGTTAATTACTTGTCCAAATTTACCCATCGACCACCTCTGTCGTCAATTACTTGACTCGGATACTGGGGTATTTGCCGAATCTGCTTCGAGACTTGTTGCGGAAAAATCCATTTTGGAGATCACCAGTTCTTTCAAACGGGTATTGCAAGAAATGAACTCCAGTCAAGGTCTTGATACAGTATTGAACAGGCTCTTAGAATGGGACTCGAATAAAAAATGGATCTTGGTGCAAGCTATAATCGACGTGGGAGGTCTTCTCAACTGGCCAGCTTCCACCGTAGACTCGCTTGAGTCCATAATTGCCAGAAGAATCACATCTTTAACCACAAACAGTTATAATCTCACCTTGGTGGGCCAGGCGCTTTTACTGGCTCAACCAAGCAAAAAGTCTAAAAAGACCAAGAAGACAGCCAAAGCCAACGACATAATTGAGTCCAATGGGTTCCAGCAGCAGCAATTGGACTCGATCCTTGCAATGAACGACCTTTCTTCCAAGAAGGTGAAAGACGAAGCATTGAAACTCTCGCAAAAGGTGCCGAGCTATTCTGTAGAAAAGTTGGTGTTGTAACGATAATGCATCCGAATCTGTATTCTGTAATCTCATTCTGTACTTTCATTCTGCACTTTTCAATTTTATTTCATTCTCTGATTTGATTTAATTTCGTATTTTCATTTTTTTGCAATCATTCAAATCGTGCGAAATTTCCAATTTTCATCCATAGCTTCATGTCATCAAGAGCTCTTCTGGCTTACAGGGCAGCTTTAAGGGCCACCAGGATATCGTTCCAGCAAGACAACGACGTCTTGTTGGCGGCACGAAAACAAATTAGAGACGGATTTGAAGCCAGCAGAAACAGCGACAACGCCGAAGAAGAAATTGTCAAGATGAACGAAATAAGCAAGTTTCTCGTGCTGAATATCGTCCAGGGAGAAAAGCAGGGAGACGGAAAGTACTTTCTCAAGTTCCACGATCAAACAGAATTGGGCGACAACGAGACGATCAAGCAAAACCACAAGGCAAATATGGGGTCGTTGGCGGGCGCCAAAGCCAAGTGCCGGTAGAAGCGTAGCTAACTGTAAATAGGAAGAGTTGAAGAATCAGTCAACTAGAATTTTTTAAGAGTATGAAGTAGAGTCCCGGAAGAGAAGTAGAATGAAATAGTTAGAGATTTGTGATTAGCTCAGAGAGTCAAAATGTCTCTGAGTCTGAGTCTGAGTCTGAGTCCGAGTCTTAAATCCGGGTTTCTGGTCTGAGTCTGGTCTGGTCTCGTCTTGGTTTAGTATGAGTCATTCAAGCCATTCGAGCCATCGAGTCATCTTTTGATCGTGTACGACCATCATCGCGCTTTATCTACTTGTAACTTCAACAAACTTTGTACTTTGATTTTTTGGCATGAGCAGAGACGTAACCATCTCCAAAGCACTCTCGTACTTTCTTCGTCACGGAGCACAAAAGAGCAATTTGGAAATCGACGACAGAGGGTTTATAAAAGTAGCAGATTTACTCGCACACCAAAATCTCAAAAGTAAAAAAACAACATTGCAAGATATATTGCGGGTGGTGGAAACAAACGAAAAGAAGAGATTTGCATTGGAAGACCGCAATGGCGAATTGTACATATGCGCAACGCAGGGCCACCTGATACATACCGTCACCGAGGGCAATTTGCGGCCGCTAGATGAAGCCAGTTTACCTAAGCAGATTATTCATGGAACCAGAAAGAGGGCGCTTGAACAAATACGAAAAAGCGGCGGCTTGAGTAAAATGGGCCGGAATCACATTCACTGCACTAGCGACCACAACCTGGTGTCGGGGTTTCGCTCTACAAGTGATACTCTAATTTACATTGATGGAGTGCAGTGCTTACGTGACGGCATCAAGTTTTTTCAGAGCTCCAACGGCGTGATCTTGTCACCCGGAAACGACCAAGGAGTAATAGAATGCAAATACTTTGCCAAAGTAACCGATCGCAACGGCCAGCCTATCTAGACTCGCTTAATAAAATATGTACGCTACCGACGGTTCTAGCTGAGTTTCCGGCCAGACCTTTGCCGCATTAGGAAACGCACACTTTGAAAACGAATTTCGGCTTCTATTGTTAGATTTAAACTCCATGCGCGATTACATAAGCGGACGCCGATGCAACCACTCTCGCATGATATTACGTGGAGAACCGAACTGGCACCTGTATAATCAGGAATGCGGCCTGAAATACGAGCAGGCAATTGGTGCCGGTGTAAGGTGGAGATAGAAGTGTATGGCGCGCGACCACAGCGGAGATCGGGCCATGCAGCGGCGGAGTGCGTAGTTGGCAGGTTGTTGGCCGGCAGTTGACCGGCATACGTGCCTCGTCTTGCGTCGTCTTGCATTCCGAGGACATGTTGGCATCACGCTGACACCATGCTGAGCCAGGTAGTGGTGTATTTGTGTGCAGTACGTGCCAAGACTCTTAAACGTATTCAGCAGCAAGGATCCTTGCGCTCGCACCCTTGCAGGAAAGTGTAGATCTTAAAGCCTCATGCAGCAGTTTTGTAGGCGCTTGTTTGCATGGATGCGCTCGAGCTTTGAACTGCATACGCCCGGTGGTTATTTCTGCAGGGGTAGTTCATTGCGCCGATGTTGTGTGCAGAACGTCAACTTGGTGACAATTGATTAATGAACATCATTCATACATGATTTCAAGAAACAATCTCAAGAATGTTGAGCTGAGAATCATTCAAAAATATTTGATTCACCTATAGTCTGTATACACCTCAATAGTCTACTTGAGTGTTTTTCAACATTTTTGACTATTGACAGAGTCGCATAATGGGTGCAAATTGTTACCATCACAGACCACTGGATCCAATAAACAACGAATTACGATTCCGATCTCAGAAACTACTCGCGATTAAGACTTCTTAGCGCATTCTCCGTGAATGCTGGCCGAATGTTTGGCCGAAGGTGTTCCTATAAGGCAATATTCGTTATGCGCTAATGGGTACCAGACGCAAACGGAGAGCAATTGTTGGGTATAAATATCCCTGAATCCCTGTTTTCTATCTAAGAATCTTCTACTTATCAAGAACCTTATTTAAGAGTCCTTATTGAAGAATCCTTATTGAAGAATGTCTACTGATATCATCTCTTTTTTGTTAAACTGGGAGGCCGCTCCCTACCATTTGCCAATTTATTTGGCTCAAATCAAGGGTTATTACCAACAAGAGGGCATCAGATTGTCCATTCTTGAGCCCTCAAACCCTTCGGATGTGACTGAGTTGATTGGGAGTGGAAAGGTTGATATGGGATTGAAAGCCATGGTTCATACTTTGGCTGCAAAAGCCAGAGGATTTCCCGTAACTTCTGTGGCATCGTTGTTGGACGAACCATTCACGGGTATCTTGTACTTGAAAGCCTCTGGGATCACTGGAGACTTTCATTCATTGAAAGGAAAGAGAATTGGTTATGTGGGAGAATTTGGAAAAATTCAGGTGGATGAATTAACCAAGCATTATGGTATGACTCCCGATGACTACACTGCTGTTAGATGTGGAATGAACGTTGCCAAGTATATCATTGAGGGAAAGATCGATGCTGGTATTGGAATTGAGTGCATCCAGCAAGTTGAATTGGAAGACTACTTGAAGAAACAGGGTCGTCCAATTGAAGATGCACAAATGTTGCGAATTGATCAACTTGCCGAATTGGGATGTTGCTGCTTTTGCACCATTTTGTACATTTGCAACGACGAGTTTTTGCAAGCCAATCCTGACAAAGTCAAGAAGTTCTTGAAGGCAGTGAAGAGAGCCACTGATGATATGTTGGCTAATCCTCAAGAATCTTGGGCCCAATTCTGTGACTTCAAGCCACAATTGGCCAACGAAGTTAACCACAAAAAATTCCAGAGATGCTACGCTTACTTTTCTGAAAGCTTGTACAATGTCCACAGAGATTGGAGAAAGGTAACTGCCTATGGAAAGAGATTGGAGATCTTGCCTTCAGACTACGTTCCCAACTATTCTAACGAGTACTTGTCTTGGAAAGAGCCAGAAGAAACCGCTGATCCTCTCGAGGCACAGAGACAAATGGCCAGCCACCAAGAGGAATGTAGAGCTTGTGGCGGATACCGCAGATTAGTAGTTTAAGAATACGTTTGGAAGGTGTAGAGTGCGCAAGAGCGAGCGCCAGGGCACAAGAGCGCTGCAAGTTATGAGCTGCCGGCACTGTTGCGCTTGCGCTCTTGTGCTACGCTTACTTGATTTGCGCCCGCAATTCTTCCGCCCAATACGATACAAAATAAACGACATGCATCGCCTGAGTGCGATCCAACTGCAGATTTGTCCTGAAAATACAGGTGTGCCCTGCATGCACGAGAAGCGGCGGGCAAAGTCTAGATGCGTCGAAATTCTTTGCATGCAGATGACGCCCGGCCGTATTAGCCATCAAATATAACCTTAATTGCACTGTTCCACTTGGGCGTGCCCTCCACGCATTTGCGATGGCTCGGTTGCTTTAAGGCGACTAACCTATACATCGCGCTCTTCTTAAATTATCGCCTTATCCATTTAATTTTCTTTATTCTTGCACTTTCCTCCATCTACGATCTTGATGTTGGATACGGCAGATTCACCATAACAAAATAATACTTTCATAAATCTTATACCTTCCCCACTCAAGAGTATAAAAGATTTTTTTTCAGCACTCTTCATTTTTCCATAATACCACACCATGATGGGTCTGCTTCTGCACCTTCCCCGTCTTTCCAACACAGGGCATTCATCACAAAACTCATCACAAACCTCGCTCACTTCGCCTCGAAGTTCACTGCTGGAAGATGTGGGCAACCGCAAAATCGATGATCAAAAGATCTGCCAGTGGTATTGTTGTCAATGTGGCCAAAGTTATGGATCGATAACTTACACTGGTGAAGAACGTCATAATAATCTGGAAGATCTATCCACCAAACCAGACTCGCAGTCCACCAATGAAAATCGTGAGCATCACGACGAATCCAACCCACTTCAGGCTTTGCGCTACTACAGCCAGTTTGTGTATGATAATCCGGTCACCGGTGCATACTCATATGCCGCTTCGCACATTCGCGGATTTCTCGACGGAGATTCTACATCCGAAGAAGGCGAAGAAACTGATGGATCGCAGTCGTCACATCCACCCCAAGTATCGCGACAAAGCCTGACCAACGATGTAACCAGCTCCAATTACCTGATTCAACTCGACTCGCAACAAGTGTATATTTCCGTCCCCAGTCGGTTCAATTGTCATCGATGCAACCATATGATGTGTCCCTACTGCTTGAAAATACGAGTCAAAGATCTCAAACACAAATAACTAGCCCCCTCCATGTATACATATGTCCATATAGAATAATGACTTACGAATATGAAAAAAAAAGAATGCTCGACCTCGGAGAGGATTGAACTCTCGATCTTGCGATTAACAGTCGCACGCCTTAACCAGCTTGGCCACGAAGTCGTATTTTCTGGCAAAAGTGGCGGCCGATCGTGTATGTTCGCGCAAACTTAAAAATGAGACAAATCTGACCAGAGTTATTCTATCCACTTTGATGCTCCGTAGGCCCATTACAACCATAAAACTCACCCCCGAGGACGTCTTGGAATATGACGATAGTTTGTCGTCTACCCAAACCAATTCCAAAACTGAAGCAGAATCCGAATCAAGCAATGTTCGAGATCATCAAGCGTCCTCCAATGGACCAACAAAATTGAAAAAATCACGAAATGAACGACTTGGAGTTGAGTAACTTCAAAATTGGGCCTGCTTATGAATACAGCGTGTTTACAGAGTATCTATTCTCTAATGCAATATAATTATTTCCTGTTCAACGACTTGCGATGAAGCCACTTATCCCTCGAACCCACGATTTTTCGCTCTGCCATGGGAACTTGTTTCTTGTTGATCGTCGTATGCACCTGGACTCGAACGGGCCCTTTTTGAATGGCTGCACTTCTGGATTTTTTCAATGCTTTGAGCTTTTCAATTTTCAGCGCTCGTATATCTTTTTCATCATCGAACTTTTTGTATGTGTTCTTCTTCTCTGTGTACTCATCATTAACACCCAGAGTCTGTATGTCCGTCATAATATCATCAGGAAGAAACTCGGGGAGCTCAATTTGCTTTTCTGTTTGACTTCGGCTTCTCTTAAGCTCTTGCTGCTGTTTGTTATGTTGATCCTGCAAACGGCGCAAATGCTTCTGTTCTTTCATAACCTGGCGCCGTAGAGCCTTTTGCCGCCTTTGCTCGTCTATTAATGCGCTCTTTGCTGTAGATGTCGACTCTTCTTCAGGAGCTTCATCGGAATCAGATTCAGATGCTGAACTTTCTGAGCCATTGGGTTCGTCGTTAACAGTCTCATTTTCTTCAGCGGTGTTGTATTCGGATTCATTAATAGTATCGTCGTCATTGAACTTGATCTTCTTGGGCTTGGCTGCCAGTTGGGTGTCTAATCTACTCCTCGTGACCACCATTTCTCTGCCTAGCTCGTGCTCGACTTTTCGCTCATCGCGAGATGGATGGTGCACCCAAACACCACATATACCGAGTTGAGTCAAGTGATCCTCACTCAAACACCAAAGTGTTTCTGCCGTACTCTCTCCACTTGAGCCTTGTAGGGTCGTGAGTTATGAGATCAACTGCTGGATGGTTGCGTAGGAGCTGGAGTGTTTCCGTGTATATGGGAAGACCATGGAGCGTCATAGCTTGTAATTTGCAGCCTAATTCAGTACCGCTGTTGTTCGACGAACGCACCGATTCTAGTAGGGAAAGTATCCCTGTACCATCCAACCGCTCGCAAAAGCTCAAATCTATCGATTTTAGATGAAATTTTGATCTTTTCGTGGCTAGCTCTCGGGCAAAGTTGCGAAGTGTAGTATTATCGACGCCAACTTCATTCAAGTATAGGTGTTCAATATCAGGACACATTTCCATAATATTTCCTAGCGTCAATCGAGGCGAGTTGTTTCGTACCAAGGTATCATTCATAAACTGGATGTTTGTGGAATTTCTTATTGCTAAGCTTTGCAAATTTCCATTGTGGTTTGCAACTTGAAGTAGCCTAATGAACGACCTTGTGCTTAGCGATGTGGAATAAAGGTCTAGGTTCACGAGATCGTGGAGCTGTGGCAAATCAGCAGGGTTGACATCCCACGATCGTATTTGTGCAGTTGCCTCTCTCACGGCCAAGGAACGCAATTTGAACTGGGCACCGTCAAATTGAATATATCTCAAGAGTGAAGTAATGGATAAGGCAGTGTTGTTTTCAAGGTATAGAACACGCAAGTTCTCGCTGTTTTGAAGGAACTGACGGAGCTCAATATCGTTCGTAAAATTGAAGGAGGCAACCTTAAGAGACTCTAAGGATGGAAGGTCGTTAATATGGATGGGAAGGTTTGTAACTTGCAGACGCAATTTCGGGTGGTTGATGAGAGAGAGATGGTGAAGTCCATTGCGTGCACTCATCTCTCGCAGGCTAAAGTGATCGGCAAAAATCTCTGAACAATCCTTTCCCAAGGTATTTTCTAGTATGACCATCTCCAAACTTTCAAGACCCGGGAACGCAGAAAGCAAGAGATTGGCATCAGGAACGTAAGAATTGAACCCAATGCGAAGTGCTTTAACCGCAAGTAGGCTAGTGTCGCTAGAAGCAAACTTGCACACTTGGTTCATCAACATGTGGAAGGAAAGGTTTTGGTTCATAATATCCAATTCTCGGATGGTTATCGCGATCGAAGTTCGTGCCATAGATATGAAAAGCTGGTCCATAATTTTGCTGAAGTTGACCAGGTTGAGCACCGACCTTAGGCGGAACAGCTCTATTTGACGTGTGCTTGAACGGTTCATTACACGGCTCAAAAATTTAATGCCGCTCGAAAACTCTTGGCTTGTTATTTTCTCTCGCATACAGACCCTCTTGTTGTATAGCCTAGGTATCTTTGTGAGGAATTCGTACCATTTTTTGGACACTTGATGGCATGCAAAGATGGATTTCAAAGGAAGTTGAAGAAATACAAGTTCGAGGATATCATCTGTGAGAAGGTCAAGTGGGTCAAGTGTCTTTTTGGTGCTCTTCGTAGGGCGAATTTGTCTGATTATTATATCACTTGAAGAACGTTTCGCTGGAAGTATCGATCTCGAGGAATTTGAAGATTCTGATTCCGGGCTATTGGACCGCAGAGTCATCACCGTATTCTGTTGCTTAGTCTTCAACTGCTGTTTGAGATGTTTGCAACGAGCCTGGAGACTTGAATAGTGTTTTTCAGGTATGTCAACACGATAAAGTTTCTGAGCACGATCCAAATAGTAGAGCCCTCTTTGGGTCACCTTATAAGCATCCAAGTCCTTATTCATCATTATCAATATCTTGGACACTCGCAAATAACCCTTGCAACTGAGAGGCTCATATTCCATCAGTTGTTCACCTTGATGTAAAGCACGCTGCAAATTGTTCATTTTTTCATATGCAGCGGCACATTGATCAAGAACAGCCCCTAGCTTCGGATGTACCAATGGTCCTACCGGGGGGACCTCAGATAATTTGTAAATATTCTTTCGTATAGATCTAACATCATTTTTTGTTAGGTTTTTTATTTCATGGATAACCTTGTTGTACAACTTTATGGATTTACTGTACTCCTCGTTCTTGAAGTAAAGAGTTGCTAGCCTAATGCTATCGTTAACACTTTCTTCATCATACATAATTTGTAGATCATAACCTTGTACGCGAAAGAGTGATTTGAGTTTATCGCGCGCGACTGAGTTTTCTTAACGTTTTAAAATGCTGCAAATTACAGAATCGGCAAGGTAACCTTTTGTTGATTTATATGGGAAATTAGAAATCACACACTTAACAATGGGAAGCTCCACTATAAAGATTTTATGACAAATCCTAAAGATTTTACTAGAATTGGAATAGCTGCAAAATTCACCACTGAGAAAACTAACTCAAACAACCCAAGACTTTCATCCAACAAAATAAGAACCAAAAAATCCACAGCTCCGCTACTTCCTACCATTCATTTGGTATCTCACTTCGCTAACCACTTCGTTCACACTTTCGGTTCCTGACCCCACACTCGATTATGTAATGTATTTACTCTTCCAAAATACATTCATCACAACAGACCAAATATGATTGCACGAGGAATAGAACTTGCAGTATTAACTGCGTTCATGGGAGCCGCTTCTTACGGCGTGGGATCGCTTCCCTTTCGCATGAATCCCGACCATTCCTATTTGAATAAAATTTCCAGATTTAGTGTGGGAATTCTTATCAGTACCTGTTTGGTGATAGCGATCCCTGAAGGAGTTGAGATTCTTTATGATGCTGCTCACGTCAACTACTACGACCAGTCGTTGCTGTTTATGATTGGTTTGCTTCTTTTTTCGGGTTTTTTCTTCATGTTTCTTGTTGATAATTTGGAGACAATTTTCAAGCTTTGCAACCGTCCTCCATTGAACAATGACCAATTCGATGATTCAGACACTTCAACCGTGGCTAAGCTGTTGCTTTCTATCTTCAAGTCCACTTTATCTTTGGGTTTGCTTATTCATGCGGCCGTTGATGGAATTGCATTGGGCTCTGCGTTCAGCGAAGATTCAAAGTCACTTCAATTGATCTTCTTTTTCATGATCATTGTCCATAAAGTTCCCACCGCTTTTAGTCTCCCTACCCTTTTGTTGAAGGAAAATGTTCCCGTAAACATTGCAAAAACCCACTTGTTTTATTTCTCGTTGATGACTCCTTTCACTTCATTGTTAACCTATGTCTTGTTACTGGCGGTGAAGGGCAAGCAAGATTATATTGTCAGTGGTCTTGTGATCTTTAGCGGAGGGCTGTTTCTCTATGTTGTATCGCAGTTTTCTGCAAAGGCTCATGGTCTGAATAACGACTTGCCTCAAATTGGCCAAGAAACCAACAACTCCAATGAAACTAGTACAAACTTCTTGTGGACGATATTTGGAATGTCAATCCCGCTTTTGATTGCTCCTTTCAACTATTAAAAGTATTAATAATATATTCACGTCAACTTTTGTACGATTAACTACTCTTCGTCATTATCCTCAAACACATCCTCCTCGATTTTTTTATGAAGAGTATCGTCAGAATCGTCAGAGTCGGGGACAAAATCTTCAACCCTGTAATTATCGGAATCATCGTCTGTTTTATTAGGTGTACTTCGATCCAGAGCGGTCACTTTTCTAAAAGAGACATTTCGAGTTGACTCTTCGTTGGGTTTCTGAACTTGGAACTGAAGCTTTGCAAACTCCTCCAAATTGTAGCTCGAATTATTACCTGACTTTGATATGTTTGTCTCTTTGAGTCTGTTCAAGCCCACGTATGAGTTCTTGAGAGAATTGGAGTGGGAGATACGAGGCAAGTTGACACTAGCCTTCTCGGTTGCTTCAAGTTCAGGCTCTTTACTTTTATAGCTTGAAGATTTCAAGGCGTACTCAATGTATGGATTTCCAAATGCCCTGTCAGGTGCAAGTATTCTGCCTTGATGCTCATCTCCACCACGGGTTCCTGGAGAGCTTTGAATATTACCGGAGCTTCGAGCCCGACGTACTCCCTTCTTTTCCATGTGGTCCCGAAGCTTTGTGTGAATCCGATCTTGTTCCGTTCTCCACGAGCTGCTATCGGCAGATTTGGGAACTCGTGAATATGGTGAGGCAACACTATATGGTAAAGAAGATAAAGCGGTAGTAGACTTTCCTCTCGAAACACCGTTGCTGGCTGGAGAATGGATACTAATGGAGTTGTGTTTTCTTGGTAAATGCTTGCTGGCCGGCGTTGTTGCAACGGTATTGGAAGTTGAGTTGTGCCGGCGAATCGCAGGCGCTTTCCTCATCGGCACCGAACGATCAGGTGTGACTGGATTGGACAGCAGACGTGGTTGGTAGTTTTGTGGTACAGGGGTGCTAACCAAGGCTGAGAAGTCATTGTGCATCATTTTATTAATGCCATTCGGCACAACCAAAGTGTTTCCATTTTCGCTTGCAGTCGTAATTAAACGACCACGAAGCAAACTGATGGCTTTATCGAGAGCAAATTCCACACCACAATGGTTTTTTATGACCGTGACCTTGGGCCAAGACGATCTAGCGCCTCGAATAACGAAATCGAGTAAAAAATCCGTCGTTGGATTTTCAAAAATTTTCAAAAAATCAATCACCTTATAGTCAGGAAGAATGGTGATGTCACCTGAATAGTTTTGGATTAGAATTGAAATGAGCTTGCTTGACAAGTTCTTATAAATATTGAGTTCATTAAGCACCCGCAAATAATGAACAACTTCAGACGTAACAAAATTGTAGACATTGTTACACAAATTTTTCACTTTGTAGCTGAGTTCGTTATCGTAATCTCCACCAATACTGGTCACCGAAATCTTAAGCATCGGGACCACGTGAGGATTCACTTGGCATGCGATTATATGATCGACGTTAAACATTTCTGATAACCTGGCAATGGGAAGATCGTTCTCCATAGAGCCATCAACAAATTTCATGGAAGTGTCGTTGTTCCATTCTTGAATTTGATTGGTTTTAGGAATCTTTTCATAAATTGTAGTGGATGGGAAAACACCAGGAAGCGAGCAAGACGCACAAACTGCAGACCAAATCAAGCAATTAGGTGCAGTGGTATAGTTGAGAAGTCTTGTCTGTTCATGAATGGATGTTGGCGAGACCGTGATATTCAAGATCTTTCCCGTTCGATTGTAAGCCTCTCTGAACGTTAGGTCGCCCACAAAATCAATCATGGTCTTCTTGAGTCCACATATATCAAAAAATGTACCGTACTTGATGAAATGACTCAAGCATTCTAAGGTGTTCTTCAAATTTCCCTTCTTGGTCGGTTCCTCTCGGTCCAAAGTCGAGTTAATTTCAAAAATACGAAACTCTCTTTCACTGATGTTCTTGAGGAGTTCCACTGTCTCTTCATTTGTGTGTGAGCACATAATACTTGCCATGATAGATCCGGAGGATGAACCACTTATAATCCGGGGAAGTAAGTTCTCCTCAATCAAGGTAATAAGAACACCAATGTGGAAGATCCCAAAGGTGCTTCCACCAGAAAGAACGAGTGCAGTTCGTCCAATGTTCTTTCGGGTCTGGATGAGCATTCCCAATAGATAACGGTCGTCCAAATCGACCTGACTTCCATTGATCAAGTATTCCAACGCCTCCTCGCACTCTTGAGTATATTCCTCAATGAGCTTTTTGGTACCGACGTACGCATGGCGGTACAAGCCTATGTCACCCATATTGCCTATATTTCTTGTCCACTTGGTACGAATCAAGTACAACAAAAGCTTGTAATCTTTGGCCAATCTGGCTTCCCGCATCTCCATGAGACTGCTATAAATCAAGTCATAGTCATATAAACTCGATTTTGGGTTCTCTTTCCATGCGTTATTACCAAGTAATTCATCGAGCTGAAGTGATACCTCTCTCCAGCTTTTATAGGTGATACATGTGCGTTGCTTCTCGAGGAGTGCGCTTATTAGGCCAGCGTGTTCACTTTCGCCGGGTACAACTCTATTTAAGAGAGGTAACTTCCGAGCAAAGTTGGATATTGCAACATATGGGGAAGGACTCGCTTTGGATATGGGACTTCCATGGTCAGATAAAAGAGCCTCTATGATCTCTGAGTGGTCTTCGCGGGAGCTTATCAAGCTATCTGCCGTTTTCAACCCTATTTCTGTCATAGAAACCTGGTTCTGTGTGGTGGAGTAACGACAGTAAACCCACACTCACTGTCACAAGATAATGACATAGGATGTCGCGCTTGGGCCACCAGCCTTGCGGCATCGCCGCGACATCTGGGGACACACGTCTTTTGCAAATCGAGCAGAGCCATCCATGACTCAAGAGAGGCTGCACATTAATTAGGCGAGTATAGAATTAGTCACGGTGGTAAAAATACATCCATTCACACGTGTGCTCCATTCCTCATCGAAGTTTCACGTCGCAGCTAGCCTCAGAACTAAGAAAGGAAGGAGACCAGAAGTCAAGCGAAAGAAAAAGAAGAAGGTTTTAAGCGACAAGACCGGAGCACACTTGGTTTCACCTCAGTTTTTCAACTCTGTGAGCGAGTACAATACATTTTTCACCAAATTTGCCGATTTCAAGGAATTCACAAGCGCAATGTTCACATTCACAACCATTACTCACAAGACCAGTGACACTTCCCACCCACTAGTTATGCTCACCAACAGGGAAGGGTTCCGATATCTTTTCGGAAAGATCCCTGAAGGCACGCAGCGGGTTTTGAATGAAGAACGAATAAGACTTGGCAAGTTGCGTGGGATATTTCTTACTGGTATACTTCTGTCGTGGTCGCAGATTGGCGGTCTTCCTGGACTTTTTTTGACGGTGAGCGATGCAACGAAGAAAGATATCGATCTTTACTCGAACTCTAGCGGACTACTCACTTATCTCGTCTCTACGTGGAGATATTTTGTATTCCGCAAAGGTGTTCAGATGAATATCAAAGATACTACCACCGCAGAATTCATCGCTGACAGCACTGTCCTAGTGAAGCCCATTCGAACAGCCAGCAGCCGCCAGAGTGAAGTACCCGCTACTCCTCTGGGCATAGTGCCTTCGCTTAAGAAACTCATGTCATTGATGTTCCCCTCTGATACATCTGCTGTTAATGATCCCGATCCAGCATCTTATAAATCTGATCCTTCCGAAACCGAGATCCATACACATGTCAAGCTTCCCGATCCTCATGCGCTGAGTTTGGTCCAAAACCAGCTTGCAATCAATTACTTGATTCGCTTCCTTCCTATTCGTGGAAAGTTCGATCCAGTCAAAGCGAAGGCACTTGGGATCAAGCCAGGTATAGATTTTCGTAAATTGACCCAAGGCTCGACCGTGTACAATGAAAGCGGTGAACCAGTCTATCCTGAGCAAGTGATTGAGCCATCAAAGCATTTTTCAAAAGCCTTAATTTTGGACATCCCGGACCCGTCGTATTTGCATACCGCAATAAATACTAATGATTGGTTCGAAAAGAACGAAGAGGTTGGAGAAGAGGCTATTGGAATTGTGTACCATTTCTTGGGTGATGATATTGACATTGGTCTGGAAGCATACAGAGACCTATTGCAAAAATTTCCATCGAACTGTAAGCACATCGTGAGCCATTCAAAGTTCGACAAAGATGTTTTGGTATTCAAGAGTGCGGCCGAAAACCTACTTAAATTGAAATCCTTGCAAAGCGAATGTTACAATTTGCCGTACGTGGCAGACTCCAACCAAAGTATACCTCTAGAAGGTATTTTTAGATTGCATCAACAGCAGCAAGTTGTTGTGAAACCAGATGAGATCACTAATAATTACCGTCAAGACCTGAATGAGACTTGGGAATCAATCTACGATTCAGTCTCCACTCAGGGGTCCTTCCGACTTCCCGAAAAATCGCAGCTTTTGTCATCTGAACCAATTCCATTCAACTCATCGAACACAAGCTTGCGTGATAAAGTCCAAGTATACACCCTTGGTACTGGTTCAGCATTGCCGTCTATCCCCAGGAACGTTATCTCGACATTGGTTCGTATACCGTACTCTCTGGGCGACAAAGTTGAGTTTCGAACAATGATACTCGATGGGGGAGAAAACACCCTAGGTACCATAAATAGGATGTTCAGGCATGGTGATGGAAGCAAACTCCAACAAATCTTTCTGGAGTTATCTTTGATTCACTTGAGCCATTTGCATGCTGATCATCATTTGGGGCTAGTCTCTATCATCAATGAATGGTTCAAGCACAACAAGTCCACCGCGAAGAAGCTTTACCTTATTCTTCCTTGGCAATACAATCACTTTTTGAGTGAGTGGTATCGTTTGGAAGAATATTTTTCAGCAGACGTGGACATTAATCGTCTCAAATATCTTAGTTGTGAAGAGTTCTTGCGAGACAGAGCGCCAGAGTATAAGCAGTTTAGCATCCAAGAGTTTGAAGAACAGTTCGATCGAAAGGATCTTAAAAAGCTGATTGCCAAAGAGCCATTAGCACCTCGAAGTACCGCACTCATTGAAGAACTTTACGAAGAATTGAAACTAGTCAAAGTGAGCACCGTTCGGGCAATCCACTGTTACTGGTCTTATTCAATAAGCTTGGAGTTCAAGTTGGATCCCACCGAAACATTCAAGATTTCTTACTCAGGAGATACACGCCCCAACCCTAAGTTTGTGGATATCGGGTACTCTAGTGACTTGTTGATTCATGAATCCTCTTTAGATCACGAGTTGATTGAGGAAGCTCTAGCTAAAAAACACAGCACCATGATCGAGGCAATTGAAATGTCAAGGCTCATGAATTGTGGCCATGTGATCCTCACTCATTTCAGTACTCGGTATTGCGGATCTGCTAATTTCGTGTCAGACCAAGCGTCGTTGGAGAATCTTTCAGAGCAACTAAGAAACTATTTATTAAGCACGGGTGCCACACCCAATATTTTCGAGTACGGTTTGCGGTCGGAGAGACCTACCAAATCGTTTGAAGATGTTGTGGTTTGTTTTGCTTTTGATATGATGGTGGTTAATTTGAGGAGTATGGCCAAGCAAAAGGACAGCATTAAAGAGATCATGGAAATTTTCCAAAGCGACGAGCCTGAGGCAGATGGTGAAAATCAGCCCAAAGGTGCAAAAGAGGCTAAGAAGAAAGAAGAGAAGCAGGAACTTAAAAGGCTACAGAGATTGGCACTCAGCAGCCAGAAAAAGAGAAGAGTCAATGACGAAGAAGTTTGAAGCTGAAGTTAGCATGTAAGTATTGTAAATAGACCAAGATCTAAATTAGGCATTTTCATTTAAATTTGGACATTTGATTTAGTTCGCGCGCTATGTACGAACCTACTTATGAATGGGAAATAGTACTTCAAACTACTTGGATACAAAAGGCCGTTACCAGATGTTTGCAGCACCACTTACGATTCAGTGCTACTGATGTTGAACATCATTTTATACACCCTTCGCATAAGAAGCATGTTCGAGAAACTCCCATCATCAGAGTGTATCGATACCTCAAAACCACAGATCAACTAGCTTTAACAGCCATTGTTTCAGATACCAGACACTTAATCTTTGCAAAGTTCCCATATGACCCAACTATAATCAAATTTGAGCAGCTCTATCGTCAACGACTAACGTACATGACAGCGGGTTGTCTCTTCGTAATCAAGCAAGCCAAACTAAGATTTGCCAAGCCTGGTGAAGTTGCAAAAGACTTTGATTTTTCCATCTCACCGAATATTCAGATCGTGATCTTGGAAATTGACGATTTTACTGTCTTTCTGAGGGACCAAGCCATACTTCCTCACGAAGCACTCTCAAAAGTCAATATGATCTATTACGATCGAGAGTACTATGATTTGTGTGGACGAGATTGCTACATCCCAGAATACTCCAAAGATGTGGAGAAACAAGTCTCGGATGACTATGGGGATGTGGTCTCCGTCTAGCCTCACTTCTATGCAATTTCGACCTCGGTTCTAGGCAAATTTCAATGGTGCGTTTGTGGTTCACAAACAGCCTTAACCTACTATTACATCAATGTCTTCATCTGCTCGCCTACTGGACGCTTTGGACGATTTGGCTGTTCAAGCGTCTGGCTACATACGTGACGATCTGGTTGACGAAACCAGAAGCGTTCATCTGCAACACTCGAATCAATATTCGGCAAACTCTGGTAGCAGGTCAATATCGTCCGAGACCCACTCATACAATGAAAACGACCATCTCCTCCCCTTGTACCGGCAGCCAGGATCTGTACGGCCAAGTCTGTTTCTACGCCTTTTGGAAGTATTGGGTTCGATCAACGTAGACGGAGCAAGTACTTGTGCCATTTTATTTCGACTTTTTGTTATAGTGTTGGTAGCATTGTCCGGACTCTTTGTATGGAAGCTGGATATATGTAATGGATGGATTGAATATACCTGATTTTAGTGTATGTACATGAATTATCTACGTGGTCTGTCCTGGACCTTTCTCTTGTTAACGTTTTTGAACTTTCTGGTCTTTGCAAACTTCTTTAGACCCCACATCGATTGCGACACCTTATTGGACTTGGACTTACCACGTCCACCACCATGAGGATGATCAAATGCGTTCATAGCCACACCTCTAACCATAGGTCTTCTGCCTCTATGACGACTACGTCCGGCCTTACCCCATGAAATAGCCTGATGTTCTTTATTGGACACCACACCCAATGTGGCATGGCACTTTATGTTGACGTAACGGTGTTCTCCAGAACTGAGACGCACCACTACTCGGTTTTCTTCGGGATGCTTCGATAATAAGCGACCAAAAGTTCCGGCCGATCTCATTAATTGACCTCTTCCGCCAGGATGCAAACCAATGTTGTGGATGATAGAACCCACGGGGATCATGTGCAACGGTAAGCAGTTACCACGCTGAATGATACGAGAGTTGAGTAATGCTTCATCGATTTCACCATTGTTCGTTTCCTTCATTTCCTGGAGAAAATCTGCGGGTAAACCACTTCTAAACGACTCCACTTCATCGCCTGCTCTCAAACCAGAAGCAGCCAAAATGTAAGATAAATCGCCTGTTTCGTTATGTTTCACCAACGCAATGTGACCCGACCGATTGGGGTCGTATTCTATTCTGACTACAGTTTGCTTTCCTCCACGCAATCTATGAGAGTCCACCAAACGGTGGCGTTGCTTGTGGCCGCCTCCACGTCCCCTTATAGTTATGTGACCGGTATTGTTCCTACCAGCAGTCTTTTTCTTGGGTGCCGTAAGTTCCCTGATTGGGCGTCCCTTGTGGAGATGATCGTGTATAGGTTTCTTAAAATGCGTCGAACCGGGTGCGAGATGGCCATTGGCGTGACTTTTGAGTTTGACATGTGCCAATGTCAATTTTCGCTGCCGGCGGTAAATCTGGTCTCTTCGTTCAAGATCAGTTATTTCGTCCTCATTGGACCCAGAAGCAGAACCGCTTTGGGATACCGTACTCTGAAGCCTGACGAGTAATCTTGAGGCTACAGGCCTGTAAGAAGGCGCACCTACGGCCGTACGGAACCAAGGTAACATCAGCGATCCTGTTTCTCACGCAAGACCAAATTGGTGAGAAAAATTGTCAGTACCGATATTACGCGCGCGAAAACTGATGCTGGGTAAGACACAGAACGATGCTCGTCCAGTAATATTCGCGAATTGGTCGGCTTTCAAAGTAGACATCCTATAGCACCATCTCATACAAAAAATGATGTCCCGTATGTTTGTGCGTTCGATGGCATCGGCCACTAAGGCCATCAAGCCTCCAGTGCAATTGTTTGGCGTCGATGGTACTTATGCTACTGCCTTATACCGTGCTTCTGTGGAAGACTCCTCTGTCGAAAAGAGTTACCAAGCATTGACCAAAGTGAACGACTTGATCGAAACGGATGCCAAGGTCAACCAATTCTTGAACAACCCTGCCTTGTCGAGTGACGACAGAAAGGTTGTGATCGATACAATTGCTTCGTCGTTGAAGTTGGACAAAACTGTCACCAACTTCTTGACCGTGTTGTCAGACAACAACAGATTGAGTGAGTTCAAGTCCATCTACACCAAGTTCGGTCAATTGAACGACGCAGAACAGGGTATCGTGGAAGCCACCATCACCTCAGCCAAGCCTTTGGACTCCAAGATCTTGAAAAGATTGCAGACTGCCATCACCAAATCATCCTTTGTGGGAGACGGCAAGACTTTGAAGGTTGCCAATGAAGTCAACCCTGAAATTTTGGGAGGTTTAGTAGTTGAAGTGGGAGACAAAACTGTTGACTTGTCCATCTCCCTGAAGGTTGCCAAGTTGAACGCTACTTTGAGTGAAGCCTTGTAATCCACCCGCATTGCATTTTGTTGTCGGTTGCCACAGGTTTACTCATTCATGTAGAAACGTCATAGAATGATTATTTGTTGAATATTGTAGCCGAATCGTTTAATCTCTATACTCTTCCCTGTATGCCCTACTAAATCACCTTAAAATCTGGTCGCATTTTTATAGTTTACTCAAATCATGACAGGGTCCAGGATATGGGGCTCGTTGAAATGGGTGGTTACCATCGTTGCTGTTGCCCTCAATGCATTTGTGTATTTCTATCCAGATATTCTCAACGCCCCGGGTCAGTGTAATTGGCACAATCAAGCCCCATTGACTAGCAAACACAGTTACTTGAATAAGATTCCATCTCCATGGCGTGACTACGTTTTGCTGAATTTTCCGTCCCTCAGAACTCCCAAGGAAGAAGAGCCATACTCCAATATCCGAGACATCAAGTTGTTGGCGTTCGGAGATCCACAAATCAATGGAAACTGGGCACTGACTAAATACATCAAGCGTTTGGACAATTATGGAAACGACTATTATTTGGGCCACATTTACAAAACGATGAAAAATCGTCTCGAACCGGACTACGTTGCAGTCATGGGAGATCTCTTTTCGTCGCAATGGATTTTGGACTCTGAATTCTACAACAGAACGTACAGATTCGTTGAGCGTTTGTTCACAAGATTGCCCGAATATAAGCAAAATGTGTTGGAAACACACGCCAAACATGAAGACTACGATTGGATGGGTTTTCATGACCGGGAAAAGGCCATGGACCCGGTTGAACGATTCAACTCTCGCGTTTACAACGACGTATACGACTGGTACAATTACTCTGCCAAACCACCTGCAATAAAAGAACCACTTTTTATCAATTTAACTGGAAATCATGATATTGGATACAGTGGGGATGCTACGTGGCAGCATATGGCTCGGTTTCATTTATTGTTTGGGCAAAACAACTATGTGATAAATTACAATAAGGGTCTGCCTCAGGAATGGAGATTGGTTGTTTTGGACTCGTTGACTCTCGAGGGCCCAGCTCTTCAGCCAGAATTCTTGGATTATACTTGGTCATTCTTGGAAAACCTTCGTGACAGAGAAAACCCAACCTTCAAAGGAAGTACCGTGTTATTGACCCATATACCATTTTACAAGAAAGAAGGCATTTGTATGGACGGTCCCGAACACATTTATTATGACGAAACTTATACGCGAGAGACGTACAAGAATGGAAACCTTAGGTCCCAAAACCATTTGTCATACGAAACAACTCAAAAGGCTTTGGGTATCCTTTTTCCCAACGAGGATAAACCAGGCATTTCCCTTACAGGACATGACCATGAGGGGTGTGACAGTTACTACAACTTCGAAGGAGATCACTGGGTAGCATCTAAGACTCCAAACGCCAGCCAGAGAGCACCAGTTCGCGAGATTGTCGTCCGCTCCATGATGGGAGATTTCGATGGTCAAACTGGAATATTAACCGGGCAATTCGACGAAACTTCCAGCAAGTGGGAATTCAATTTTTCTTACTGCTCGTTTGTTGTTCAGCATTGGTGGTGGGCCTCAAAGGTTACCGCAGCAATCTCCTTGTTATTGCATTCAATAAGTTTTATTTCTCGATAATTTTAGGCTAAAGAATTATTTCAGCTCCTTTTGTTCCTCCTTCAGCTCCTCCTTCACATCGTCCTCCAGATTGTCCTTCAGCTTTTCCTTTTTGATGAAATTCTCGATTTCTTCTTTTGCTGAGTTGATACTAATTTCTGGGCTGATACCAATCAGTTTTACTCTGAGTACTGAATCCACAAAGATCCAGTGAGAGCGTTTAATGCCCAGGGGCAGCTTTTTAGCCCCCAATGGCCCGATCAACTTTTTATTCGGGTCCGAAAGAAGTGAATACTCCAAGCCCTGCTTGGTAATGAAATTTTTCTGAGCCTTGGGGGTGTCGCTTGAAATACCAAATACAGTTGTGTTAGAGTCTTTCAAGAATTTGAAATTCTTCTGGAATCCGCATACTTGTCTCGTGCAACCAGGAGTTGAAGCCTTGGGGTAGGCGAAAATTACTAGGTACTTTGTGCTTGCGGCTGCCTTTCTCAAATTGACTTCATTTTCGTCTTCATCAAGCAACACGAGATCAGGAATTTCGTCACCCACTTGCAAATCCTGGGACTTAGCGACGTCATTCTTTGCTGGTTCCGACTCCTCTTTCAAAGGTGTGTCAGTTTTTTGTTTCTTTTTGGGAGTCTCCACATCATTGTTAGTTGCAGTGGTGCCATTGGCTGACGATTGAGCTGCCAATCTTGACGACTGGCGTTTGGTGGACATTATAAATGAAAAGTGGAGGAAGCGGTTATGGCTTTATTAAGCCACAGCTTACATGCAGTGTAAAATTGAAGCTCTGCATATAGCGGTGTTGAGTACGATCCACGGCTATATCTATGCAAAAAATACGTACGATAAAGCTGATTAGAGTATTGCAGTGTAAGGGACTGATATCATGATCATTTTAAGGTCCATGAAATAAAGGTTTTTTTTTTTGAGATTGGAATTAGTAATAATACTGAAATTTGCAATATTCAGAATTTTTGTTGTAGTGTTTCCATTAGCATATACTCATTCACAACTCTTGTCATACTCAAGATTTACTTAACTACAACTAATTTTAAAGCAAGTGGCTAGGTTTATATAATGCGCATCTCTAGCGCGGGGCACCGTAAATATGCACAGAACAATTAGCGAGCAGCCCAATTGTTTACTCCAGTGTGGGTATTTCCATCCAAACTTTGCAATTAATACTATACTACTTCCTCGGAGCATTCATTATACTGCATCTCTAGACGCAGCTGATATTCTACAGTCAAGAACCGTCGTCTGCTACCAATACCCTAATTCTGTACAGGTAGCGTTGTGGCTTATTTGCAGGATCCATCCCTGTTCCAGACTGGTTGATGACTATTAAATTACAATTATGAAACGACTATTCCGTAAAAAGTCAAGTGGCGAGGATTTTTCTCCAGAGAGAGTCCTTGCGACTCGCACTAGAAGCTACAGCTTTCCTCTGGAAAATACTTATGAAGTTTTACACAGTCCTAGGGGCACTTCCTTTCCAAGTACTCCTCTGCTATCAGGAAATGTTTTTGCATTTTCCGGAAATCACCGGCCATATAATGACCCCGATCAGGTGGTCGATCCTCTATCAGCTGATGTGCAATCTGTTGCTTTGTCAGAGGCCGAAACATTGTTTGAAGAGAAAAGAACGAGGTTGCATCTTCAAGAAACCTACTTGGATAATTTCACCCATTACTTGCCATTCTTACTCCTGCGACAGCGGTTTGCATCTACTGAGTACTCTCTGGATGACGCTACGTCTCCATCGGAACAGGCACCAGCTTCGAATAATCATGGCGTGATCAATGGCGACGCAGGATTGACATTTGACTCTGGCGATGATCTTCCTACAATGATTGACGAGCCCATTGAAGAGAATGATACAACAGACAGCGAGGATAAAATACTAACGAAATCTTTGCGTAATTTTACTGTCAAGCGAGAATGCATTTTGGCCAGTGAGCTCTTTAAGGGTAATTCGTACGTGTTTCCTTCAATGGAATCGTTTCAGCTTTTTCGACAGTTGAGATCTAATTTGAAAAAGTCTCGAAAAAGCTCCACCTATCTATATGATAGAGGTGGAAGTATTAAGATGCAGCCAAGTCGGTCAAGGAGCAGCGTAGACGATGGAGACATAATTGATGAGCGACAGCACCTAATTCCATTAAATTACAAGATTAAGGGACAAGGACTTCCTCTATTGAAATTTTACGTCCCTTACATGCAATCTTTCCGTCGAAGTACTCCATTCATCATATTTAAGCGATTCAAGGAAATACCTGAACCACCTGAAAATAACGAAAAGATCGACTTGAACCCTGAAAACGACTTCGAAACTTACACGTATTGTACTGTGAACACAAAGTATAGCCAAGATCTAAGGCGTTACATTTTTAATTTTACCCCCGCTGGTCAGGAGGAATTTCAAATTCTTGTATTTCAGCACAACATGAAACCATTTGCTGATTTCAATTACAAAGATACTCGGTTTCGTGTCGTGGGAACTACCCTAGCTACTGGATACCTTGCCAGCTACAGCCCCAGAATGAAACTAATGGTCATTGACAGCAACAAGCCATCATTATGTGATAAAGTAATCGAAAGGAAAGGAGGATTCGAGTTGAGGTCTATAATGAAAAAGAAGACAACAACACCAAAGAGTGAACCTCAATACTCCGGGCTAAGAAACCCCTTTCCTGAACCATCCTGTCCCCTTCTCGACGACAACCATTTGGACTTTGCGATCGCACATAGTCAAACTGCAAGGTACGTTCCCAGGTCAAAGCCACCCTTTGGTGCATTTCAAGACTCAATTGTGTACGATGTTACACCCACACTTTTGCCAAAGAAATATAGTGAGTCTGGTAAGTTTGAAGTCTACCAGGATGGATTGTCGTTACCTGATCAGGACATTGATAGTACGTTGAGCGTGGACACTGACGTATTAGTGCTCAATTGCATACTACTTTCACTTCGAGAGGCGGGTATTAGAAGTGCAAATAGAGGTGCCACCAATAGTGTAGGACTAAGTCCTGGCCTTCGCATGCTCTCCGGCTTTGCTGGAGCAGCTAATTAGAATGTTTATGTACATTTTATTATACGACACTAGTTACAATTATGATCTATCTGGTGATCTGGACCGGTCTCTTTCGTGGGGGGATTGTGGAGGAGAGCGAGAATATCTCTCCCTAGACTTCTGAGCAGAGTATTCACTACTTGGTCGACGATCTGGGTATTCTCCACGGTCTGGGTAGTCCCCACGATCAGGGTAGTCTCCAGCATAATCTCGGCGATCACGATAGGCCCTACGGACCGGGTATTCTCCACGATCTTCCACGTAGTCCTCTCTGGACCTTGACCGTTCTGCACGGTAATCACGGTCACTTCTCTCGGGAGCACGAGGTCCTCTCAGACGAAATGCGTTTGGCGGTGGGCCGTAACGACTGGGGCGACCACGGTACTCCGCATCATAATCGTCATATCCATAGTCGTCATATCCCCTATATCCACCTCTACGGCCGCCTCTATAGCCTCCCCTAGGAGCATAATCGTAGTCTCGACGTGGGCCAGATTCGTACTCGTAAGAGTAATCGTCTCTACCTCGATATCCGTAACCACCTCTACCTCCAGAAGGCCCCCCATATGGATGATATCCACGGCCATAGCTGTGACCGTAGCCTCCACGACCTCTCGAACCTCTACGATTTGAGTATGGGTCAGACCTGGCGAGCTGGACTACCAATCCATCTGCTAAGGAATAAGGTAAAACCTTGCCATTCAATTCCAATGCCTTCTCACAATCTTCGGCTTCCTTGTACTCGACAAATGCATATTTTTCACCGTCATCTGTTCGTGGCGGAGGGATGTCAAGGCGAACAAGGTCTCCATACCTTTGGTTAATGTCTGAAGCAAATGGATAATAACATTATAATATTTTCCGGGAAATCAAGTCTGGGACCACAAGACTTCTGATGGCAAAATTCCGATTGAGGAGGTGAAGGAGGAGTTTGGGAAGGAGAAGATTGGAATCGAAAGCCGACATGAAATACAGTGGAGCTGATCAAACGAAGATTCGAGCGGACAAATAATATAACTAGGAGGGAATAACATACTTTTCAAATTCAGGGGCCAAGTCGGCCGCCTTAGACTCTCTAGAGAATCCTGTCACGTATAGGGTATTCTTGGGCATTGAGCCGCCTTCTTTTTAGGATGTCGAGTTTTCGCTCTGAAGGTGAGAATATACTCGCTTTGATTAGGTAATACAAGTCTTACTGCACATACTTTGCAAGTCACTGTGTTAAAGCATGGAAAGCGTAATTAGTTATTCGATTTTTTAGGTTTGTGACGCAGCTCGGAGAAAGTACGAGAGAATAAGGTTGGAGATGCCAGCCTGGGAGCAAATAAAGGGCATTCTTCTTTCCAATAACTCTATAATTAATACAGTGAGTAGCATAGTAACCCAAATTCTACAGTGTCTACTTTACGTCTTCTCTGTCCAAGAGTCTCTGTTCACTCTCATGACGCCTCCAGAACTTGCTGGATCAATTGAAAGGGCACGGTGCTAGTGCAGAACGTTTGATTTACACAGAGCCTGTATATTGCACCCTTCGCAGGCCCACCACCGAGTCGGGTAGTGGCGACCTCAATGAGCGTCGGATTCGAGACCAATTGGTTAGGAAGGGGCGTAATCGCAACAGGTCCTGTACACAATTTGAAACAGGTGTTTTACAGAGTTTTCAGTCTCAATAAACATGAAGTACTGTGCTGCAAACGCCTTTCAAAGAGGCGAGGCTTACTCACTACACGCTCATTATCGGACACAGCTCTTGCCTCTAAATAAATACAAGTACGCGTGTACAATGAAAAGAAAACAATATCACCGCCTGTGTATAGTAATACACGCAACAACAGGGCGTGCAAAGGCGAGATCGTGTGTAGTCGTAGCAACGCAGTAATGAGGCTTGGGGGCGCATTTCGCGATTTCTTGCGGATTCCACCCGCTTCGATGCAGGAAATTTAGGGGCTGTTTGGCAGTGAGGTGAGGGGAGGCGACGCAATTGGTGTGTTTCTGCCTGCGCCCACGCCGCGCTCATGCCGAAGCTCTTTTTTTAGCGCGTGCAGGCTTCGGAGAGCGTGCGAATCTGGATTCCTCGGCCAATATAAAGAGGAGAACTCAGCCAAGTCGCACCAAAATTCATTTTTCACCACTTTCTTTTAGGAAAGTTTTACACAGTTAATCCTATTGTTCTTACTAGAGCATTCCCTCGTCATCTTCGGCTTACACCCCTTTATCTTAGCCACCTGTCCATATTCTTTTCATCATGTCTGACGTTGTTGATTCGGTCTCGGAATCTAACCTCAAGTCGAGCTTGCCTCCAAGGAAGAGGGCAAAAACCAAGGAAGAAAAGGAACAACGCAGAGTAGAGAGAATTCTCAGGAACAGACGTGCAGCTCATGCTTCTCGTGAAAAGAAAAGGAAGCACGTGGAGTACTTGGAAAGTTACGTCGTCAAGTTGGAGCAAAACCTTTTCAAGCTTCAGTCAAACTTGGATAGAATCATGCCACTTTGTGACGAATCCAAGCTTCAGAGCGTTGAAATAAATGAAATCGAGAACTTGCTGGATTTGAAAGAGAAAATACATGCAAATCTCAGCAGCACTACTTTTGGCTCCGATGATAATGAGAATTCTCGGTCAGCTTCTGCTGATGTGGAACCTCCATTCAAAAAACAAAGAGTGTATTCTGAAGGAGATGAGCACGAGGCTGCAGAGGATGATGCCTCAGGCTACGATTCTCCTGTCAAATCTGAACACTCTGAGTCCAACGATAAGGAATTGTTGTCGGTCAACAAGGGCGATAATTCTTACTTCAACTACTTATCGCCCATTTCCATTAATTCCCCAATCAACAGCCCTATCGATTTGACCTTACAAAAATCGGATTCCAATATGCCATCATTCTCTTTGGATGATCCAAGTCACCAGAATGAATCGTCGATATCCCCGGTGTCCACTCCGGTAAGTCATGAACCTGAAACTTCTACTTTTGATGTTATGGGACAAAATCCAGAAGAGATTTTGTATCCTAAGTTGTACGATCTGGTATCGTTAGCTGTGGAGTGATGAAGTGGTTTAAAGTTCTCTGCTTGTCTGAGATGAATTTCGCTAATAGCGCATAGTGTGAGGAGCAGTATATTAATTTATGGTTGACCGCTAGGGAGTGGTTTGCCGTAAATTAATATACGTGGAATTTCTCCTAGCACTCATCTCCAGGTTTACAGCATCGAAGTAACTTTTTTCATTTCACGCTTTCGCTAATGATTCCACGTATTTAGCAACTTGGTGGTCTGCAGTGCCATTTCAAGAAGAAGACTTTCAGTTCAAGGCTGAGGAAGATGACGGAATATCGTCGATACTAATGGGTAGATTTCAAGACTACGAAGTAGTCGTGGATAACGGTTTCTTAGATAATGGAGATCTTGATGAGTATTTGGTATTCTGAAGGGTTATTTTTTTGGGTTTTGGGTTGTATTTAGTTTCTACTATGAGGTTGGTTGGCTTGTTAATGTTTCACTCGCAACTCAGTGAACATTGGATCGGAGGGTATTACGATAATTGGAAGCTTGAAATTCAAATTATGGCGCGCCCTTTGAGCAGCGACGTGTTTGATGCTTAAGTATCTCCGAGCATTGTGATATACAGACGGTTCAATATGTTCTCTGCTTGCAGTGAAAGTCCAAGTCTTCTGATTGATATTGATATATGTATTTTGGATCATGGTGTAGAATTACAGGTAAATCCTATGCAGGCCTTAAGACATATTTGCCTTGCGATAAACTACTTTTGGAAGGATGAGTTTGATTGATTTAGGAGAAGACATACTTGTGTCGAATGTTGCCAGGTATTTGAGACCCATAGATATCTTACATCTCTCTATGACTTGTAAAGATATGAGGTCTAACTTCGAAACTAACGATGCGTATCATATGTTGTATTCAAAGATATTTGGGTCCAAGCCAACTCCTTTAAGTATCGAGAACTACGATTGGAAACATCTTTTTCACCTACGTACGAGTCGTGCTAAACTTTACACCTGGGGTAGCCCTGAGCAAGGTCGTTTGGGATATCTTGTTAACGAAATACCACCTGATCATGTTATCACCAATGGCTTTCGTAAGGGTGTATGTTTGCCTACAAATGTGGTTCCGTTCAACCAATTGGTGGTGTCTGATATTAGCGCAGGAGGGTTCAGTTTCCAGATCTTAACCAATGATGGCGATCTATACTATACTGGCGGCAGATGGAAACGTCTTCAGTCATTGGGTCAACTGACTCCAGGGCCAGTTAATGGTCGGGATTACAACCCCTCTATGGGAAGCGGAAGCCTGTACTTTCCAACACCGCTTCCCTCTCTTCTGCAAGCTAGAGCTCGACGGATGGTGGGCCCAGGAGTAGCACCTCCCCCAGATATGGCTAGAAGATACGGCCGTGAGATGAATAATAGGGCTAGCATGGAACGCACGGCTGATTCTGATAATCTTACGAGGCCACCAGAGGCTCAGCCAGCATTGAGTAAAAGAGTACCAATTGATGCAAAGTTTGTTACCAAATTGGATCTTCCTGATGTGTTGGATGGTCAATCGATAGAGGCAAGAAGTATCATATCCGTGTCTAGCGGAAGAGAGCATTTCATAGCCCTTGATAACCAAAACGGAATATATTCGTGGGACACAGGGAACACAACAAATATCGGAGTTCGAATTACTTTTCCGGGTATAGATCCTAGAAAGCAAATCACCAAGATTTCTTGTGGCTGGAACCTTTCTGCTTGTCATATCAAGGGAGTTGGGATTGTCGTGTGGTATGCCCGAGAAGCAGTGAGCGAGGATTCATTTGAAGCCAAAAAATTATTAGCACCAGCCCGCTATGTTGTCATTCCAGGAACGAACGAGTACACTCCCCGTGACTTTTTGGCTGGGTTAGACTACGTGCTTATCATTGACAATGATGGAAAACTACTCCGGTTTGATATACATGCTCAAAGTTATGCCAATGGTAGTATTGATCCTTCTTTGGCTGCGAAACCCTTCTTTGTCAATTCATTTAATACGTGGGCAGAGAAGAAGAGTGAAGCTGGACAGGCGCCAACTTTTACGAAACTTAGTGGATGCTACAATCTGTTTGCAATCTTTGCTAGCGATGGCCTGGTAGTCATCGGCAACAAGACAATTACTGCAGCGGACAACGAGGACGGCGAGCCCGTAGTAATTCCTGAACTTCAGGGTAGAGGAGTGATCGACATGGCTATGGGCGACTATCATTATCTAGCACTTACAGATAGGGGAGAATTGCTAACCTGGGGTAGAGAATCTTCACTGTGTGGATGTCTAGGGCTCGGCTCCAAGGAGACATTTTTGTCTGAACATCCGGAAGCGTCGGGCGACAGTGGCTCTGATATAGTTGCAAACAAACCTGTTGTTGTGAAGAAGCCAGAAGAAAAGGGGGAGTGGCTAGCAATAGCCGCCGCAGGTTGGCATTCCGGAGGTATTTTTGTATGCACTGGTGCATAAGGCGGCTCGAGCCGGGTAACCCCGAGTCACTCAAATCTGTGATCATCTACTCGTTTAGATAGAACGAGTGGCAATACACATACAAACATATCCTTTTTGTGAGATATTTGAAGAGTCATTCAGCTATATTTCTAGATACGTGGCCCGTTATTGTTTTGCAGTATTTGCCAATACCATACCTCGAGTCCAATAAGTCTTAAATAAATTTCAGCTCGTATCATGACAACATTGAGTCCCTTTGCTGATCCAAACCAACGAGAGAGCGAAGCAAACTCTAGTGCCGGTGTATTGACTCCGTCGACGTCGCATCATGGAGCACATACAGTTACGAGAAGTAGAAGATCGTCATCAATAATCCAGCATCTTGAGCCAGATACCTTGGACACAAAGATCGATCAGGCATTGAACCCTAATGTGAATGCCAGCTGGGTGAATTTCAAAGGCGCTTGGGTAATTCATATCGTCTTGATTTTATTCTTGAAAATTTTGTTCAATTTCATCACCGTTTTGGATAACGATTGGAAGTGGACTCTCACAAATTTGACCTACAACATCGGTTCCTATATAATGTTCCATCAGGTCAAGGGAACCCCCTTCGAGTTCAACTCCGGTGCATATGACAATCTCACGTTGTGGGAACAGATTGACAATGGTGACCAATATACACCTACGAAGAAATTTTTGATGACGGTCCCAATTGGCTTGTTCTTAGTGAGCACACACTATTCCAACTACAACTTAAACCTATTCATACTCAATGGTGTTAGTTGCTTATGTGTGGTGGTGCCAAAGCTTGCAATTTCCCATAGATTAAGAGTTACATTGTATTGATTGCATCACTGACCGTTGTGGTTGAATCAATTACCACTAGACTAATGATCTTTGGCGCTACACTACAATAACACAAGTAATGTGTATACTCTATCGAATTGTATAGGTAGTTTAAGATTATAATATCATATCGTGCATTAACCGTTTTGACTCGTGTTATGGTGCAAAGACTCGGGTCAATTATAAAAATTTCCATTGAGGAGATTATTTAAGCTAGCCACCTCGTGCATACAAATCCAATTAATTCTCCTTCTTGTACCGAAAATGCCTTACGCCTTGTCTAAATCACACCAAGAATTGGTAGAGGGACACTTAAAGGACATTGATCCTGAAGTCGATCAAATCATCAAAGCTGAAATCGATAGACAAAAGCACTCTATCGTTTTAATTGCCTCTGAGAATTTCACTTCGAGGGCTGTCTTCGATGCTTTGGGAACGCCTATGTCTAACAAGTACTCCGAGGGTTACCCTGGTGCTAGATACTATGGTGGTAATGAGCAGATTGACAAAATGGAAATTTTGTGTCAAGAGAGAGCCTTGAAGGCTTTCAATGTAACTCCTGATAAATGGGGTGTTAATGTCCAAACTTTGTCCGGCTCCCCAGCCAATTTACAAGTTTACCAGGCTTTGATGAAGCCTCACGAAAGATTGATGGGCTTGGACTTGCCCCATGGTGGACACTTGTCTCATGGATATCAAACTGATTCCAGAAAGATCTCTGCCGTTTCTACATACTTCGAGACCATGCCTTACAGAGTTGACTTGAGTACTGGCTTGATTGACTACGATATGTTGGAAAAGACAGCAATTTTGTACAGACCCAAGATTTTGGTAGCTGGTACTTCTGCCTACTGTCGTTTGATCGACTACAAGAAGATGAGGGAGATTGCCGACAAAGTCGGAGCTTACTTGGTTGTTGATATGGCACATATCTCTGGTCTTATTGCAGCTGGTGTGATTCCATCACCTTTCGAATACGCAGATGTGGTTACAACCACTACTCACAAGTCTTTGAGAGGTCCCAGAGGTGCAATGATCTTTTTCAGAAGAGGAGTTAGATCTGTTAATCCAAAGACCGGTCAAGAAATTATGTACGACTTGGAAAACCCTATCAACTTCTCAGTCTTCCCTGGTCATCAAGGTGGACCACACAACCACACCATTGCCGCTTTGGCAACCGCGTTGAAGCAGGCAGCTACCCCAGAGTTCAAGCAGTATCAAGAATTGGTTTTGAAGAATGCGAAGGTCTTGGAGCAGGAATTCAAAGCTAAAGGATACAATTTGGTTTCTGATGGAACTGATTCTCATATGGTCTTGGTGTCTTTGAAAGACAAGCAAATCGATGGTGCCAGAGTTGAGACCATTTGTGAGAACATCAACATTGCCTTGAACAAGAACTCTATTCCTGGCGATAAGTCCGCGTTGGTTCCTGGTGGAGTGAGAATTGGTGCTGGTGCTATGACCAGTAGAGGCATGGGTGAGGAGGAGTTCAAAAAGATTGTGTCCTATATTGATTTCGCAGTTTCCTATGCTAAGGAGTTGCAATCAAGCTTACCAAAAGAAGCCAACAAATTGAAGGACTTCAAAGCAAAAGCATCGGAAGGCGATCCAAAATTGGACTCTGTTAAGCAAGAAATCTATGCTTGGGTTGGCGATTTCCCACTTGCTGTTTAGTTCACCAAATCAATAGTTGAATTGCTTGTTATTATGGTATATAAAAAACTAATCATCATTCTATCAAGCCCTCCTTCTTGAAAATCTCTTGCAACTTGCCTTCGGCCTCCCATCTTTTTAAGTCCTTCTCTGTTCCAAAATAGGATCCGTGAAAAAACAATGTAGGGACCCACTTTATGCCAGCCAAAGCAACAAAAGCATCCTCTAAAGATTTAGCTTCGGTCTGATCAGGGATCTTGTCAAACTCAATAATGTGGATTTTGTCTCTTACACCATACAGATCCCAAACTTTATAAGCATAATGACAGTCCGGGCACCATGACTTCGATAGCATCAAATATTCATGTTTTTTAATAAGATCGCGGGCTTTCTCTTCAAATTGAGTCATGGAGTAGTTGTTGTGGCATCGAAAGTTTTCTGATTCTGAGAAAAACTGAGGTGTAATGGCGTGAAATTTGTCAGTCATCTGGCATGATGTTGAAAATTGAGGGACCATTCACTGCCCCTTGATACGATACAGTCATTTGTGACATCTTGTAACCTACTAATTCTCATCGGCACCTTCTGTTCTCAAGTGGACGCAATTACGCTACTTTGAGATTCGAGAACCACCAAAAGTTTCTCATACAATCCGCAATTCTCTTCTTTCAAGGTGCACATTCGTGTTTATTGATTAGACTGGCATGAACGATCCTGACATTCATTAGAGGAGGGGCTACGCAGATTTGAGAACAATTTTGTGGGGTGTCGCATCGTGAAATTGTGGGTGACCGACCTCCGAAAATAATCTCGCGACTAATTTCACTCCACCCGCAATACTTCTAATTGATTGATTTTCCCACAATGGACAGTAAATTGGAAGAGGTACTCAAAAGCGTAGTCAATGATTTTGCCATTGACAAAGAGTTTCTTATTAAGGCCACTCAAAAGTTTGTCTCCGATATGGACGCAGGCTTAAGTAGTAAAGAGCAGACCAGAGAAAACATGCCCATGATCCCCACCTTTGTCACCAGTCTTCCCAATGGAAAAGAAAAGGGTCTCTACTTAGCAGCAGACTTAGGAGGAACCAATTTCCGTGTATGCTCCATCGATCTCCATGGCGATCACACTTTTGAATTGAAGCAATCGAAATTCAAAATTCCCGAAGATCTCATGTCCGACAACACTGCTGAGAATTTGTTCAAGTATTTAGCTCTGAAGGTGGGCTTCTTCTTAGATGAGCATCACAATGAAATTTCAGGATCATTAAAACTCGGATTCACTTTTTCATTTCCAGTGAATCAAACTGCGTTGAATAAAGGGACCTTGATCAGGTGGACAAAAGGGTTCGATTTACCTGAGTGCGTCAACAAAGACGTTGTTGAGTTATTACAAACCTGTCTTGACGCGTTAAAGCTTAAAGTGGACGTTGTCGCTTTGGCAAACGACACTGTCGGAACGTTACTTTCGAGAGCCTACTCGAACAATCCAAGTGAAACAAATGCCAATACAGTCGTAGGTGCCATCTTTGGAACTGGTACCAACGGTGCGTATTTTGAAACCCTTGACAATATCAAGAAATTAGATTCTGATACTGTTGGCGAAAATGTGTCAGGTATGGTTATCAATACTGAGTGGGGCTCGTTTGACAATACCTTAGATATTTTACCATCAACGAAATATGATGAGATTGTGGACAAACAAACAGCAAACCCAGGCTATCACTTATTTGAGAAAAGAATTAGTGGAATGTTCTTGGGAGAATTGTTACGCGTTACTTTAGTTGAGTTATTCAAAGAGGGCCACATATTCACTGATTTGTATAAGTCCAGAGGGGGATCTTTACCACATAGATTGGCTGAGCCTTGGCAACTCTCATCAGAAGTGTTGTCATACATGCAGATTGACGATTCAACTGATTTGAAAATGTCAGAATTGATATTGGAGAACGTATTGAGATTGCCAACAACGAAGGTGGAAAGAATCTTCATTCAGCAGCTCACTCAGGCTATTTCGAATAGAGCTGCATACCTCTCAGCTATTCCTCTAGCTGCAATTCTTATTCGGGTGAAAGATCAATATAAGGACGACCCGAAAGATTTCGAATTTGGTTGTGACGGTTCAGTAGTCGAATTTTACCCAGGCTTTCGTGAGAAAGTTCTTAAGGCCATTGAGCTCATTGATCCATTGAAAGGGGAGAACAAGAAGGTACGCTTACAAATTGCAAAAGACGGTAGCGGTGTTGGTGCCGCATTGTGCGCTAGCGTAGCGTAGATTGAATACAACACAAAAATATTCTTAACTTGATTTATCAGGCCACAGTTCAGAAGCTTTCTCATAACCAGCTCTCTCTAAAGACAGACTTGTTGTATATATAGAGCGTATTTTCAATAAAATCCGCGACCAATTTCGAAAAACTCTTGAACCCATACTCGTCTTCCTAATCATAAGGAAGAAATGACTACGGATAAACAGGTGTATCGCATGTCTCATAACTAGGTAAGCAACAAATTTAATAACCATTTCCAATGTGAACTGGCACATTAACATGCGAAATGCTACGACAAATAAAAACGATCATATATAACGAGAAAGCCAATCCAAGTGAATGCAAGACTGGTCATTAATGTTGCAACTATATCTCCAACAATCATAGTTACCGAGCCACATGGACCTGCTGGAATTATAGTAGTGGATAATTCAGATCCAGTCCAGGTAGAAGTTATAATAGTTACGATAGTTGCAATCTCGAACATCACTGAGCCAATCAGTATGCACAGTTAGAACTTTTTCGCCAATGCAAGTTCAAATTCTCACAAATACCATGCAGCCCAAGATAAGAATATATTTTTGCAGCACGTCAATAATATTGAAAAATGATAAGCATACTTTCGCAATTTGCAAATAAATATAAGCGTAAACTAGTACACACATGAAGCTCGACAATTACGGACCAATAAACTACAGGCTACAAGTACCGGAAAAGTTACTCATGAATCATGGGTGCTTGAACCCATATAGGATGACAGACACAATACTAACGATGACCACAACTCTCGACATGCTACAGTCTCCAGTTCAACACACTTTGAAGACAACCAGTAAACAAGCATAAACTTCCGCTACTTTCAATAACTTTCTATCCTTTCCTAAATGAAACATATTCGGTAGAACAGTGGTCACAGATTAAAATGTCGCAAAAGTATATCACAACCACTATCACCATTTAAATTGCTGAAACTAAGTGAAACCAGGCTAATGTTGAATACTTTTGGAAGTGTACTCATTCGCCGATCAACTATGCTTAAAATTCTTCAAATTCTTATTCAAAACATTCCTCGCAAGAGCATCACATTAGTACGACACCGCATACTTCATACATCAGTACAGAATTGAAAATCCTAACGTTCATGCTGTTTGCTGCTACGACTAAACAGCGGCTCCCGCGTTGTTGGTAACTGATATAATCATACTCCAAGAGTACATTGCAGTTTCTAGCTTTTACCTGGAAATAGAAGAATAAATATGACCCTAATGTCCTGCAACCTATATATAAACGCGGTAAGCATCACAACAAGCTTGCCAGTACAACTACATCCAGGCATTACAGTAAAATCAACCTTCGGTTTTCACCGCAGATCTTCCCCATGTAGTTCCTATATCGCAATTCCATACTACGTAATGCTTTCTTTTCAGGCAACTCCTATCAACTGATCTTAAGTCATACATCTAGGTAGAGTGAAACGGGTGGAAAAGAGTACAATGTATCCTACAACCATGATCAAGCGGAATAATTAAAACGTATTTATGCTGCTAGTCGTATTGTTGCAATGGGTCCATTAGTTGGAATCCTCAGATGTAGATCAGAATAAGCTTTACACATGGATCCTGCAAATTAGTTATTAGGGTACAAACACCATATTAACAATCCAACGAAAACGGTGCTTCATTTCAAATGACTAACCTTTAGCTGATTTGGTTCTTCTTTATTTCAAACTAGAAACTAACGTAAGAAGATACTTCTAATCTTTATGTGCTGAGCAGAATTAAGCAGATCAGTTAACGAATATATGTCCTGACTGGGGAAATCTATATTCGGCACTATGTATCTGGTTTTATTATCCGTAATAATACCATATCCGAACTCTGAGAATACACTAGTATAATACATAAGTATAGGCTATTTTGATATTTCCATTAACTAGATGGCCGACATTTATCTTATCAGCTTTCGTGCTGCATGATGCTATACATACTTCTCTTCATTCATATTTATATTTACTCCAGAAGAGCCTGGAATGTTCAAAATTGACCGTTTGCGGGCTGCTTGTAAGAGTAAGTGAACTTCTTTGCTTTTGTACTTCTTTCGGTTAAACTGACGTTTGCAATGGTGTTTTTACATTTAAATATCACCCCATTGCTAATTTAGGTACATCTTATTTTTGGTTTTCACCACCTTGGAGTTGATTCCCTGAGCAGTTGCCATTGAGATTTGACAATGCAAGCCAATGACACGGGTATTATGCTCTTTTCTTTTTGTGTTTGGGGAAATACATTATTTAGAACAATTGCCGGCTTGCTCTACTTATTTGGTTTCAATTTTAATCAATATAATCCTAAGATGGATGATAAGGCATGGTTCTTTGTTTCCTACAAACTACTTGGAGTCGTATCCTCAGAGCCCATAAAACGTCAATGTCAGGTTCTTAGAGGACCCTGATCCGTCTTTCAAACATTTTGTCTAATATCCTCGAATACTTCTTTTGGAGTTACAGAAGAATTTCGTATTGAGCAAGAGGGGAGGAAGGGCACCCCAAAGTATAGCCTTCAGAGCCGTCAATGTATCCGAAATGGTGGTGATGTTCTTTCGCCGTTATATACATGGATTTTCTGTCTCGAGCTATACACATTATATAGTTTCTATCAGGACCTTCTTTGCTGACTCTTTATCATGATGCAGAAAGTATCCAAATATCTTTTCCCACTGTCCCCTCTTGTGTAGCATTGCAAGAATAAGAACTGCAGGCAATTGCCACACGGAAACCCAAAATAGTTTCTTTGCCTGAATATTGGCAGCCGTAATTTGCACTTCGGAAGGCCTGTAGTTCGGCTTGTGATTGATATGTTGCTGTTTCCAAAACCTAAATGCCATCAATGTCATCCAAAAGTTCGCTATGGAGGAATCTAACATGAATCCCCAATCGGTGACATTGAAATAACATAGTCCAAAGCAAATGGGGAACATTAAGATTGAATAGCGCAACGCAACTCTGGCATTCAACTTGGGATATTCAGCTGCTGTCATGACATAACCCGCATTTTTGTATTGCTGAGCTATATTATGGGACAAAGCATTGAAGTGAGGAAATTGCCAGGCGAAGAGGAGAGCAGCAAGACACCATGCGCCCGGGTCTGTGAGTGAAGACGATGATGCCCATCCCATTAAGGGAGGGATGGCCCCGACTAAGGCACCAACCCAGGTGTTAAGAATAGTCTTCCTTTTTAAGGAAGTGTATATCCATGAATAGAGGACTATGTTTATAGCACCGAGAGCTGCAACAGTCTCATTAACACCGTAGTACAATATAACTGTACCTGCTGTGCCTATGATCCCGGAAAAGATATAGGCTTGCCTTGAGGTCAAAAGGCCACGAACAATGGGTCGGCCGACGGTGCGAGGCATTTGCCTATCAAAATCAGGTTCACGAGCCATGTTTATTGCATTTGCAGCCCCAGAACATAGTGCTGTACCAAGTGTTAGAAGACAAAGCTCAGGCACGGATACACTTAAAGGCGAAACGGCATAAGAGCATATTGAGGATAAGGTTACCAAGATTGTGAGGTTTGGCTTGGTCAATTTCCAGTAAGGCGTGAAGTAGAAAATACTGCTTGCTTTCGAACCCGAGTTGGTTACTGGTGACGCTTGTTTTGGTATTACAGGAAATGGTACGTGTTTCAACTCAGCAGGAGTTAGGCCCTGCGACAGTTTAGCTTCCACTTCCTGACAGTTGAGGACCTTCGACGCAACATCACGCATAAAGTACGTTTGTGACAGTATCTCGTTGTCTACATCTTGATTTCGTTTTCTTATTCTGGAATCCGGTGACGTTTTCAAAGGTCTTTTATTGGCTGATAAATTTCTGTTGTCGAGGAAAGATTGACCTTCCTTCACCCAATATCTCTTGGAGTTGTGGAAGAAATAATTCAAGTTAGACACATGATTGTGCCGCCTCTGAATGAGGAGTTTGTAGCTCATTTCTACAGTGCGTTCCACAATCGAATGCCCACTTCCCTTCTGGTTGATTTTCGAGGGCTAAACCTTGATTTTTAGCATCAATATGCAGAACCTCGTGTGTGAAATACTTAAACTATAACTATTCCTGTGGAAGACCCTCCCCTACCTCTTCTAATCCAGATGGAGGATTGGTGTCAGATGACTGAAGCTCTTTCAAACTACCCTTTTCATTCAACTTCTTGTTTTCCAACTTATTCTCGATGAGATCGTGGAATGCGATTATTGCACGAACAAGAGTACTGATGTAGACCATCATCAATTCGTCATTGGTTTTTACAGTGAATGCAGTAGATAAGGAGCTGGACACCGGCGCCTTGGACTGCTCCTTCAATTCATTTGACTCCAACCCAGAACCCATCAAGTTAGGAAGAAGATTGAACACATTTTGAAGCTTGCCTAGAATTGTGTGATTGATAGGAAGCTTTTTCTGATATACCTTGTCAAGATAGTTTGCAATATTTCTAAGTTTCTGGTGTAAGCCTAGTAATGACTGGTAGCTTTCGGTCACTTTCATTGATAGGTTTCCAGCTGCCTGATCCCGAATATCTCTCAACAAATGCTCAACACCTATTTCTTCAGCTTCTTCAGCCTCGATTAATGAAGGCACATGAACGAATGTTCTTTCGGCAGCTGATCCATCGTTCTTTATGTCGTCAACAGCATAATACGCATCTGTAGGGATACCTACAAGTCTTGGTTGTACGTCAACGATCAATAGGAGAGGGTTTGCGGTGTATTTCTTGAACACGTCGTTGATTTTCAAATCTGAAGATTTCAATTTGGGGCCCGAATGGTACCAACCAATTAGCCGCTCTTTCGCATTGATCTTTTGATACATATCGCCCATGGACTCGATAAAATTATGGTCCAAAAACCATACACTAGGATTCTTCTCGTCCTCTTCGAAGGGAATTGCGTATGAGTTAGTGACCTTGATCACATCCAGATTACTTTCCCCAAGGATCACACCCACAACACGTTTCTTCGAGTCTTTAGCAACTCGATTGTAGTGATCAACAACGGAGAGGAGAACTAACGGTGACACTGTTACCTTTTTAGTAAGGAAGGATAGTTCATTAGTAGCGGTTGGCATTTTGTGACGCCTGAAGTATCGTAACTACCGAGATTGCCAGTGAGTCGCCATCAAATGTGTGGTCGTGCGCGTGTTAATCTTAAACATCACTAACATTTTTAGGCTTGATAGCTTCATGTTCGGTCAAGTGGTCATAGGGCCACCGGGGTCAGGTAAATCCACCTATTGCTACGGGATGTATCAGTTTATGTCAGCGATTGGCCGTAAACTGTGTGTGATCAACTTGGACCCCGCGAACGACAGGTTACCTTATCCAGACTGCGCTCTTGATATACGAGATATCTTAACGTTGGATGAAATAATGGAAGAACTAGACCTTGGTCCAAACGGTGGTCTTATGTACGCGCTTGAGTGCCTCAGCTCTGTTGAGATCGAAAACTTTGTGGCAAAGATCAAAAAACTTGCAGACGAAAATTATTATCTACTTATCGATTGCCCTGGCCAAGTTGAGTTATTCACACATCATAATTCCTTGTACCAAATTCTTAAACTAATATCGAGGAAGGGGGGAATTCGACTATGTACTGTCTCTTTGGTGGATTCGATATACTTGACCAGCCCCTCACAGTACATATCGATTTTACTTCTAAGCTTGAGATCAATGCTTCAGCTCGATTTACCCCACGTTAATGTGATTTCTAAGATAGACAAGCTACACTCGTATGGGTCTCTTCCATTTAAACTTGATTACTATACGGAAGTCCAGGACCTTCACTATTTAAAGCCACTTCTAGAAAAGGAATCCAACTCCATTTTAGGGAAGAAGTTTGTACGCTTAACTGAGGCAATTGGTGAATTGATTGAGGACTTCAACTTGGTCTCGTTTGAGGTCTTATCTGTTGAAAACAAAAGGTCCATGATACACCTATTAAACATCATTGATAAAGCAAATGGCTATATGTTTGGAACTAGTGAAATAGGTGGGGATACTATATGGAGTGAAGCTACAAGACAATCGTCCTTGATAAAAGATATAGATGTTGATATCCATGAAAGGTGGATCGAGCAAAAAGATACTTTCGATCGCCTTGAGGAGACTGAAGATCGCCGCGGATTAAATGAGCCTAATACTACAGGTGAAGACGAAGCTGGAGAGGAGGATGAAGATGAAGCTTACGAAGAGGATTTGAGGGAGTGGGAACGCTTACATAGTAACTAGTAATATAATTTATATAAGGTTTTTCGTGTTCTATGAGTCTAGAAAAATTCTCAGTTTACCCCGATCAATGCTCTAGCTTCACTGGTATCTTCATCACCGTCGTAGTTGTCTAAGTACTTTGCGAGATTAGTTCTCTGATCTTCAACCTTTTTCCTTATTTCAGTGATCATCATTTGGGCTTCCTTCAAAAGCACTTCTTGTTTATGAATCAAGTATGGATCTTCATGTCTTTCCTTCATATCAGAGAGAGCTTTCTCTTGGTCGGAAGCTTCCTCGTCATATAGTTTCGACTCTTTCAAAAGTCGTTTCACAACATTAACCTTGATCTCCAATTTAGTAGGAGCCATTTGAAAGGTGTTTATCTATTGTAAAGTCACAGATCTATCGCTTGGTCGTGCAAAGACAAACACTTAACATCGGCTTCGTTATTGTGATTCTACTAAGCGGCGTAGCAGAAATCCCGTCTGTCAAACTTTCTTTCAGCATTCGTTTCGTTGAAACAGTTGCGTAAATATGTGTTTTGTCTCTTCTTTGTCAGGCTTACCGACGTCTTTATGTACCTAAATTCAGTAGAGATTTGCAAACTCTCAAAAAATTGCAAAATCCAAAAATTATAAAACTTTCAATGTACGAATTCCATCGATCGAAGACATCAACCACATTAGTCTTACATCAAATCAATGCAACCACTCTACATTGTCTTGATCGCTGCTAACTGAAGGCTCCAACAGTAGTCGTGTACGAGGCCAAATCAACTCATCTCACTATTTGCAACTCCTACGACAAAATGCCAGAACAGTATAGCCACTAATTATATGACTGACGATAATGTTTCATACCTGGCGTTGAGCATGGAGCTCGATCGTACAATAGAACACTTACGGGCAAAAGAAGGCGTTCTTGCATCAGAACGCATGAGTTTAAAGGAACTTGCAAGCGATATATCCGAATCAGCTGAGCATACTATAGTCTCGATAGGCGATGGATATTTCGTTTCAATGAACCATACAGATGCAACTTCATTTCTTTCGAGGCGGGACAAGTATCTTGAGAAAAGTATAGACGATATCCATTCAAAGATTGATTTCGCAGAGCAAATGAAAGTGAAGTTAACGGCGCCTGGCAATGGGAATGAGAAAGAAGAAAAGCTAAACGAAGAAGGGTTGCCTTTCGTTGAAATTGTTGAAGAGCTAGATGCAAATGGCAACGTGATCTCTTCAAATATAGGCGTTCCAAAAGAAAGGAATTCATCAATACGTATACCTGAGGATTCAAAAGTTGCTGAAATACAAGAAAACACAAGCGGTCAGCTGGAAGCTACAGAGGTACGCACGAATGAAAGCAAAGAGACAAACTCCCGTGAGGACAAAGAAAAAGATGAATGGCAAGAGCTTATGGAAGATATGGGTATCACAGAAGTGAAGGACAGTAAGGAATCTCCCCTGTCATCGAGGCAGTCCCATGAGAAGGATACTAGTGTGCCTTTTGAGGAGGACAAAAGTGGAAGCACAAGTCGGAGTGAACTTGCGATAAACGAAAATGACATGATTAAGTTGGAGCTATTCGACGAGTTAGCGGATGAAGAAGTGGATATCCCAGACAACATGGAGTGGGACTATGATTTCGAGGAAGGAAGCAGTGATGATGCAGACGATTCTCTAGCCGACGAAATGTTATACGGACTGAGAAAGACACAATTCTTGCCAGGAAAAAAGAATGAGGAAAACACCATTAATAAAATGCTTTGGGACAAGATTTCAGACCTAAGAATTAACAAGGAAAGAGCTGGAAATGTTACCACCGTCGAAGACATACAAAAGGAATCAATTAGTTCCTCGAAAAAGTCTGTGAGATTCTCGGACGCTCTCGATATAAAGAGTATAGAAAATGTCGGGGAGCAGCTCAAAAACATTACTTACCCAGATCGGAAACTTTCAAAGTTTAAACAGAATCGGGTTGCTATCGATAGAAATACTTTGCCTGAAGATGGTCCTCCAAAGTCGCACCATCAAGAGACAACAGAGCCATTGAGCGATATTATCGAGAGAGATGTTCCAGTTGGGTCATTACACAACAGTGAAAAATCACACATGTCCCCCCTCGAGGTAGAGGACGCTCATAATGCACAGGAAACGAATAATGTCACCACAAATGGGACAAACAAATTTGACCTCGATGCCATGGCCAAGGCTTACACTAGGGAACTTAACGAAGAGGACCGAGGTGCCGGTAGCATTGTTGTTGAGAAGCTAGATGACTTTGAGAAAGTCAACGCATTGATCATGTCGAGTCAGAATAGTGGAACACTAATGAATGAAACCTACAATGAAGAGTCCACTGAGCAATCCTATGACGATGATGGTAGCGACATAGATGTCGACAGCGATCTGGGGCCCATATTGGAAGAAGAAATAGTTGAAAACAACGATGTCACTTCCGAAGAAATTGAATCAAGTTTACTTCAAGAGCAGATCAATCGTGAGTACCAATATCTCTCACAAAAACTCAGAGCATCGTCGCCAAAAGATAATGAGCCATCTGAAATGGTACCGTTGGATGAAAACATGCAACCTGTACGGATCAGTAGGTTTAAGTCCACGAGAAACAAGCGATATCCGAGGGATTAAACTACATAACCGTATTATATGCATTCGTGCATCGTCGTGCGGTGCGAGCCGATGTAACACCTGTTTGGGAAGTGGTCGTTGTCGGACTTTAGCGCGGATCACTCCGAGAGAGGGGAACGTTTTATAGCATTATAAGTGGCTGCAAGCCCGCAGAAAGGTAGAGAAGCGTTATTCGATAAATCACTATATGATTCCAGCTTGATTTTACAAACTTGCAGCTGTACTGCCCCACAAGCATCAACAGCAATAAGATGCGTTCGTGTGATGCTCAAACGAGCAAAAGTCCGAAGCTCGGTAAGTCGGAGCTCGTTTGCTGGGCCGGGAAAAAAAAATAGTCGGCAGAAGTCCGGGGTGTGGAGCTGACAGAGTTTGCTAGTATAAATACCCCAGATTTTTCAGGCTCGTCTAGAAAACTTCTTGCTCAACAGATTTTTTTTTGCCTGTGAAGTGCGCGTTGTGTTTGTGTTCGTTCCCGATACGACCCCCGCAACAGAAATCCAACACTTTTCAGTTTGTTGAGACTTTTTTTTGGTAACAGTTTATAAGTCTCCGCTGAAAGCAGGACTACATCCTATTCAATTCGTATAGATCAAATGTCAGCTCTCTTGAAACAAAGGGTCAGATACGCCCCATACCTCAAAAAGTTGAGAACAGCCGATGAGTGTGTGGAATTCTTCAAACACGGTCAGTATTTAGGCTGGTCCGGATTCACCGGAGTTGGTGCGCCCAAGGCCATTCCAAGTGCCTTGGTTAACCATGTCGAGAAAAACGACTTGCAAGGAAAACTTGCTTTCAACTTGTTTGTTGGTGCATCGGCAGGCCCTGAGGAAAGCAGATGGGCCGAGCATGACATGATTTTGCGCCGTTCACCTCATCAAGTTGGAAAACCAATTGCTAAAGCAATCAATGAGGGCAGAACTCAATTTTTCGACAAGCATTTGTCAATGTTCCCTCAGGACTTGACTTACGGATTCTACACAAGAGAAAAAGAGAATGACTTGTTGGATTTCACTATCATTGAGGCCACTGCTATCAAGGAAGACGGTTCTATCGTTCCTGGTCCTGCAGTTGGTGGCTCTCCTGAAATGCTTAGTGTTTCCGACAAGATTATCATCGAGGTGAATACTAAGACTCCATCATTCGAGGGTTTACACGACATTGACATGCCAGTGCAACCACCCTTCAGACAACCATACCCACACACGAGTGTTGACTACAAAGTTGGTCTTGACTCCATTCCTATCGATCCTTCAAAGGTTGTTGCAATTGTCGAATCTACCACGGGCGACATTGTTCCTCCTAACACTCCAGCAGATGAAGGATCCAAAGCCATTGCCAATAACTTGATTGAATTTTTCGAGCACGAGGTCAAATACGGACGCATGCCTTCGAACTTGCATCCATTGCAATCCGGTATTGGTAACATTGCAAATGCAGTCGTGGAAGGTCTTGCTGGCTCTAAATTCAAGAACCTTTCTGTGTGGACTGAGGTTCTTCAAGATTCCTTCTTGGACTTCTTCGCCTCCGGTTCATTGGATTACGCTACTGCTACTTCGATCAGATTGACAGAGGCAGGTTTCGACAGATTTTATGAAAACTGGGACGAATTCTCAAAGAAATTGTGCTTAAGATCCCAGGTCGTTTCCAACTCTCCTGAAATCATCAGAAGATTGGGTACAATTGCCATGAACACTCCAGTGGAAGTTGACATATATGCACACGCAAACTCAACCAATGTCATGGGTTCAAGAATGTTGAATGGATTGGGTGGATCTGCAGACTTCTTGAGAAACGCTAAATTGTCAGTCATGCATACGCCATCGGCAAGACCTTCAAAAACTGACAAAACCGGTGTTTCGTGTATTGTTCCATTTGCTACTCACGTTGACCAAACTGAGCATGACTTGGACATTGTTGTCACCGAACAGGGTTTGGCTGACTTGCGTGGATTATCTCCAAAGGAGAGAGCTTTGGAAATCATCAACAAGTGTGCTCATCCTGACTTCAGAGCTCAATTGACAGAATATTATGACAGAGCAATCTTCTATGCCAAGAAGAACAAGTGCTTGCACGAGCCTCATATCTTGAAGGATGCATTCAAGATGCACATGAACTTACAAGAGAATGGTACAATGAAATTGGACTCTTGGGATCAGAAGTTCTAGAGTTTCAGTCATTTAGGGCAGGGAATACAAAAAACAGTAACATAACTCGTAGAAGATAGTAGACGTTACCAATACTAGTTTCCGGGTCATATATCCGCTTAACTAGGATGCCTACTTTGGTATACTGCATATTGACTTTTCTCAGCTGTAGAAATTCTTCGAATCCGTCAATCTACTACATCTCAATATTGAGACAATACATATCTATACTTGTTTTTCAGGCCTACTGCTATAGACATATATTAAATTCTTTATCTGAGCATGAAAGTCTTGGCTAAGTCCCTCTTGAACCGGGCCCATATATCAAGTAGAATAGCTAGGGCACCAAGGAGCAGCTTTTACTTGAACAGATTGCACGCTACACCTTCAAGACACTTCCATGCGAGCAGCGCAACTCTTATCAAGTTTGACCCTTATGAGACATTAGGAGTTTCGAAAGATGCGTCCCAACAAGAAGTTAAAAAGGCTTATTATCAGCTCGTAAAGAAGTATCATCCTGATGTGAATAAAGAAAAAGACGCAGAGAAGAGATTTCATAAGATTCAAGAGTCCTACGAGCTCTTGAGCGACAAAGATAAGAGAGCACAATATGATCAGTTTGGTGCCAGTGCATTTGATGAGCATGGAAACTCCAATCCATACGCTGGAAACCCTTTTGGTGGTTCAAATGGAAACCCATTTGGGGGCAATGCTGGTAACCCATTCGGAGGTATGGGATTTGATTTCGAGGATTTATTCAAGCAAGCATTTACAGGGGGCGGTGGACGTGGCTCCAGAGGTGGACTGTTTGTCACTGAACATGTAGGTGATAATATCGAAGTTCTAAAGACGATATCTTTTAAGGATGCCATCTTCGGTACCAAAGTTCAAGTCAACTACAAGGCTGTCGACTCATGTGGAACCTGTCAAGGATCAGGACTAAAGAAAGGGAAGAAGAAATCCACATGCCCAACGTGCCATGGAACCGGCCAAAGTACCCATATTGTCGGCGGTTTTCATATGTCATCAACCTGTGGGACATGTCAAGGAAGTGGTGTCATAGTACCAAAGAAGGATGAGTGTGGCACATGCCGTGGAAGAGGTGTAGATGAAGTTCCTAAATCTACTACTGTGGATTTGCCTTGCGGTGTTGCGGACGGTACTCGTTTACGCGTGCCTGGTGCTGGTGATGCACCTTTTGTTACGAAGGACCCCTACAATCAGACCAGAAATGGCGATCTTATCATCAGAGTACATGTTACAAGGGACCCAGTTTTCTCTAGAGAAGATGATAAAATTGTTGTCAAGCACGACATCTGGATGACTACAGCAGCTCTTGGTGGGGAAATAGTTGTTCCAACGATCGATGGTCAGAACATCAAGCTAAAATTACGTCCCGGCGTCCAGTCGGGTAGAACCTTGACCATTCCAGAGAAAGGAGTACCTATTAACAGAAATATCAATAACAGAGGCGATATGAAAGTCGTCCTCAATGTCAAAACACTTAATCCTGAAACACCGGTGCAAACAGCTTTATTGGAGGCTCTTGCTGATGCTTTCAACGATAAGAATGCGAAGCGTACCGATGCACACTGGAAAGTTGATGGCGAAGATGAGACCACTGATAAAGTGGATGAAACCTATGATGAGAAAGACCTCCATCCTTCCAAATTAAAGAAGATTGGAAAGTTTTTGGGCAAGTTTTTCAACATGAAAGATGAGCAAAGAAAGTAAACTTTGTATATAGTGTACATAGACTGTAAATTTCACGCCATGGAGAAATCATCCTCGTAGTGTGTATGGTGGATGTGTACGCGAAATCTTCTATTATTATTTTTTTTTTTTCTATCGCGAAAGCGCGTACAGTAACAAAGGCTGAAACGTATGTCATTAAAAGTATAGACCTTTTGATTTTGGAGGTATAGCAGCTCAAGCTGAAAATCCTAGAGGTGGTAGTCGTTCTGAAATATTGCAATTGAATCAGTCGAGAGTCATAATCAATCGTACAAACAACTGACGGATTGACGACGCGCTATTGTTCTTTACGAGAATACCTTCGACGCGCGAAAGAAGTTCTTACCAATTATTACTAGCATTGAAGCGGCGCATAGAAGATTCTTCGTTCTTATTGTTCATCATTGAAGTTAAATCAATCACAATGGACAAGAACAAATCTTTACCCTCGACCCCACAGTATCCCATAAGCGGGAGGCTGCGAGACTTTATAGCACTGTGCCCAAAGATCAACACAAGAGATTCTCCCAATACGCTGGCTGCCACGGTTCGTAATGCAGAACTGAGGAGAGATAACCAGTTCAAGCCGCTTGGACGTGGAGAGAACACCACGCGGCCACACAACCCCACATCAAGCATGAATGAGCTAAATGCTATTCAAAACTACGTGATTCCAATCAAACGAACGCCATCATACCTCACTCCTTCCCAAAGGCTTCAGCTTCGCAGGGACCAGATGTCCAACAGCATCGTTAATTATAGATTACCCGGTGATGACAGAGTTAGATCTAATCGCCAAACGAAAAACCTGGAATTCAGCTCGAACGACCTAGATATCGACGCGGAGGATGATATCTGCAATGTGCCTTTTGCTCCGAATCACGAGTACGCCGAGCAGGGCTACTTCAAAGGCCCGAGGGAAATCAATAGGTACTCAGTTAACACCGACTCCACAAGATCTTCGTCAATATGGAGTCACAATAGTGTCGCTGGAAGAGACTCTACCATCAGCTTGGACACTGAACTTTCATATGACTTTGATTCGAATACAGATTCATATCTTCGAATGAAGTGCCCTAGGCATTCTGACCTCGATGACATTTCTTTTAGGCTAGATGGGAATGAGGCAGCCTACGAATATGAGAACGCCCGTCAGAGATACCGCCTTTTAACCCGCTCATTGGAGGTGATACCTACACACTCGTTAGAATCAGTCCCAGAATCAGGGAGTATTTCAAGTAAGCACTATCTTGACAATTCCAAATCGCTAAGCAACGTCTTAACATACACACGTCCAACTTGGCTACCTCCAAAATCACCCAAGGATAGAAATAAGCATCATAAGGAGGCCAGCAAGATTTTCAGAAATGCCATGAAACAAGTCTCCACTGAACAACAAAAGCGACAAAATGAGATAAAATATCATCTTGAGCAAAGAGAGAAAGACATCGACCGTTGGCACAGCCTTCTAGCCGATGATGAATTACTTCAGGTACGTCACGACCCTCAGTTAAGGGATATGTATTGGAGAGGAATACCGTCGAGTGTCAGGGCAACAGTGTGGACAGAACTACTCAGTTCATCCTCGCGTCTAAACATGGGGGATTCTCGATGGTATCTCAACCAAGTTGATTTGATACTCTGCAATTCTGATCAACTTACAGGTAGTGGTAGCTATGCTGTTCCTTCAAATATCAAGCAGTTTGATCGCAAAATCATACATGATATGCGAAGCCAATTTGGGAGTCAGTTGACTTCTGAACAATTGGCAAACCTACGAAAAGTAATATGGGGTGTGATATTTTTCATGAATGAGCGTTATCAACTATTACCGATTACAAGGGCAACAGCTCAAAACATAAGGACAGACTACTTTTTCCCGGGACTCTTAGATTTGACCTATATTGTTTGGAGAAACAGCGGGGACGTATCGTCAGCCTTTGTCAAGTTCTGTAACTTGTTTCTGTCGCCTACGTTAGCTGACTTGGTCGCCTATATTGGTGAAACAAACGATTTTCAGAGGCGTATTATATTTGAACGATCATACGGCAACTTAATTTAACAGATTCGATTCATTGTTTGACGAGGTTGCCCCAAATCTTAAACTTCATTTCGATACCATTGGACTTCACACAAAGGACTACTTGCATGTTCTTATCTTAGGATTCTTGACACAGATGTTGTCCTCCGAAACCTGTGCACAGATCATAGATATTTACATTATTGAAGGAGTTGACGCATTGTTAAGCATTATTATTGCAACTTTCAGAGTCTATGGTCATAAATTTTTCGGTTCATTATCCGAGGTAAAGAACCTTCTCGTTAAAGGTGTGAGTTCAGAAGATGAACAAATAGGCTTTCAAAGTTCTATCAGAAACGATATGAACCTAGAGATTTTCAGCCTTGCAAAGGGGATCGTTAAGACCACCAATAGGATTTAATACATTCATTCCGTATATTTTTATACGGCTATTTGTACATTACAGTTTTACCTCTTCCAAAAGTTTCAGCAAGCTCTCACCATCGGTTGCCAACTTAAGCTTGAGGACATAGGTCTCAATAGCTTTTGTCTCGTTGTTAAGTACTGGAACTCTTACCATCGACCCATTACCCATTGTCGTATATGTCATAGTTTTGGATACCAAGGTATTAAGCAAGACACGAGAGCTTCCCTCGGACCGCATTAAGATTCTGGTCTTTCCTAATTTCGATTTCAATATACGAACATCACCCAAACCTTTGCTTGCGTAGGGCTGTTCCTTGTTGTTGGGATCAAATCTCATTAGTTTCGCACGCTTTGTAAAGAGCACTTCCTCGTCTTCTTCACCGGTAGAAACCTCTACCTCCGTATTGGAAAGTTGGGCAATTGGTTTAAAATTACCACCAACTTCCTCCTCAACAACCTCCTCCTCTTTCTTGTCATCAGCGGCCTTGTTGAGACCATTTGGGTTGGAAGAACCAAAAGAATTCGACACATTATTTGACCCAAACGAAAAAGCAGGCGTCTGGGCAGCAGCGGAGTTGCTTCCAAAAGTAAACGGCTTTGATGGTGCAGAATTTAAAGCACCAAAGGTAAAGGCAGGTTTTGTCTCTGTTGTTGCTGCATCCAGGGAACCTTTTACTCCAGAAAAATTAAACAGTGGCGGGGTATTACTACTACTCGTGAACTTATTAGGCTCATCACTGGATGTCAGCGTAATACCAAAACCAAACGAGGGGGTTGCCTTTGATTCATTGTTTGTTGCAGTAGAAGTCGTGTTTGTCTTTTCACCACTTTGAACAGCGGAGTTTATACTGGAAGAGCCGGTTCCGAAGACCAGTGGAGTTTCAGAGCTCTGCAGGGTGCCACTGAAATTGAACGAAGGTTTGTCACTATTTGAAGACTCTTGTGGATCAGATTTCCCTGAAATCTTGACAGAGCTCTGGTTTGAATTGAATGTAAAAGGCAGTGTCTGTCCAACAGTCGAGGATTGCGTTCCAAACCCGAAAACAGGCTTATTGGTGGTACTATCTTTGCCTGCCGAGAATGAAAAAGATGGCGCTTGGTCTACTTTTGTAGTCTGAGGAGCTGCAGAACTTGAACCAAACGAGAAAGCTGGCTTGTTTGATGCACCACCACCGAAAGCAGAGGTGGTCTGAACGGGTTTTGACTCAGAAGGGGCTGTAAAACTGAAAGCCGGTTTAGCATTTGTACTCAGATCTGTACTTGACTGAGTGTCCCTTGGTTTTCCTGCCAGCTCAGTTTGCTTGGGAGGCTCAATCTTAAAAACACTGTCCTTTATAGGCTTATTGAAGCTAAAAACAGGACCCTTGATCTCGACCTCAGACTCAGAATCCGAATCGTCCTTCTTTTTGGCTGGCTTGGGATCGAATGAAAAAGGCAGATTCTTGGCTGGCTTAGCCTCGAAGGTGAATTTTGGTCCCTCAATCTTAATTTCGTCTTGTTCAGAGTCAGAGTCAGAGGATTTGTTTTCATTTTTACCTTTGGTATCATCTCCAGAGATTTCCATTCCTTCAGGTTCTTGCGAACCTTCAGTTTTGGTGCTAGCAATACCAAAGGGTGTACTTGACACTTGAGGTTTAGGGCCCCCAGTGATGTCTTTGTAGTAATTGATGTACTTACTAGCAACACCAGTGAGGTCCGCAATAGTACCGGGGGCTTCTGCCTTCTTTATAGCAGCGATGAATTGTTCATTGAGGGCACGTATACGCTCGTTCTTATCACTTTCACCGTTAGTCGTATTCTTCGATGCAAAGTTGCTACCAAAAGTGAAGCCAGTACTTGGAATTGTCTCATTTTTGAATGTTGAAAATGATGGCGTGGTCGCTGTATTGGTTGAAATGTCACTAGTGCCGCGATGACCTCGAGGTTTCAAGATCTTTCGCCTACTCATAACTGCAGACGATGCTTTTGAAGGTCCTGAAAAAGACTCATCATCGGCCTCTCCGGTGCCATATGTTTCTCGGGTTATCTGGTCCTCAGCTGTTCGCTTCGCCATGTTTTGGTCGAAAGTCGGACTTGCTGGGATTCAAGTTACATACCATTTGTTTGTTAGACGACCGAGGTTGAGCCCTCGACGAGTGCACGCGGATCGAGCACTGTCACAGAAGAAACGTGACAAAATCCGGCACTTACTCCTTATCTGCAGGTCCCGCGCGAGGAGCGACAGCGAAAATTTTAAAGCTGAAGTGAACAATTTGTTAGTAACAAGAACCAGTCAAGTATGTGTGAAAATAACTATGTGAGGAAATGGTATACTGTGAATGATCAGTAGAACAACTGTGGAAGATGAATATAGATGATAAGAGTTTAAAGAATACTCATTGCACAATGGGTTTTTCCCATCGTTTTCCAAATTCATATAACCAAAAACACCCCCATCTGAGTGAATCAAAATGGACAAGACAAGACAAACTGGTGCTTGTGATTCACAGCTGGAAAGATTTTTCATCACGAATACGATTTCCTCACATCATAAAATTTTAAATCTCTCTACTAACAAACAGAATGGCTCCAAAGATACAACAAACCAAAGCCGCCAAGGCCGCTGCTGCCTTGGCCGGTGGTAAGAAGGGTAAGAAGAAGTGGAACAAGGGAAAGGTTAAGGACAAGGCTCAACACGTCATCACCTTGGACCAAGAGAAGTACGACAGAATCATGAAGGAAGTTCCAGGATTCAAGTTCGTTTCCGTCTCCGTGTTGGTGGACAGATTAAAGATTGGTGGTTCCATGGCCAGAGTTGCCTTGAAGCACTTGGAGGCTGAGGGTATCATTGTCCCAGTTCTTAAGCACTCTAAGCAAGCCATCTACACTCGTGCCCAATAAGCAGCTCATGCCACCTGACTACTTGTAGTCCTTGATAAGTGTATCTAATCAATAAATCAAGCTAAAGTAACTTACTAAGTAGCAACATTATTCTCGTTAGGTTTCTTTGGCAACTCGCGACAAAAAATTATTATTCTTACATATGAAAATGATAAGGCAGATGGGCATGGAAATACCCTCCATACGACGGGGTTCTCTTCGTATTGCATCGAACAAATTGACCTTGCAGAGATCATTTTTCAAGTTACCAACTCCATTTGGAACTTTTGACAATGGCCTTCAAGAGTACCAAGTGAAAAAAGTTGTGAACGTATCACCGTCCAAAATGTTTGAGATAGTATCAGATGTCTCAAGATATAAAGAGTTTGTTCCTTTTGTTGAGAACTCCTACATTAGCAGTAAAGATGCCCTGGGGCTTCCTACGGCTGCTGGTTTACGAGTTGGGTGGAAACAATTTGATGAAGAGTTTCAATGTAAACTTCGTTGCCAACAGGATGTCCTGGTTATTGCTGAATCTATGAGTATACTGGTATTCGACCTGCTTTACACCAAGTGGAACCTAAAAGAGGTGAAGAACGTGGGCACCACTTCAAGTTGCGAGGTGACATTAGACTTGAAGTACAGTTTTAAAAATCCACTTTACAACACGGTCAGCTCTCTATTCTCAGACCAGGTGAGTAAGATTATGATCAATGCATTCGAGGAAAGGGCAGTGGCTACAAAAATAAAGGAACGGCTAAAATTTTAAGCTGTCAATAGTCTTCATCTATCATTCTTGTACATATTACTTGATGATCAAGCGATTTTATGCTATAATAGTTCGTGAATCAAAGTTCCTTGGCCATTAATCCAGTTGTTCCAACCGTAAACTCCTTCACAAAGTGGTTAGGTATTTTTGATAAACCTCCATCAGAATAGTACATAAAGCTATCTTTGAAGGAAAAGCTTTTCTTTCTACTTTTCTGAGCGTTACTTTGTATGAGCAGTGAAGCGGAAAATGATGAGCTCAAACTTGCCAAGCTTGCACTGCTGCTGTGCGTCGTCGATGTGGCGTACTTCACATGTTTCAAGAAGGACAAATTGAGAGGTGAAAGGGACGATGGCTTCACCATAGGCTTATTCACCCACAGTTCATCCATGTTGAGAGGCTTGATACACCTCAAGCAATTCCTGTAGAACTTTCTCTCCGAGACGATGTTGTCTGGGTCTGGGGCCCATTTAGCGGCTGCGGAAGACCCATTACTACATGAAAAGGCTACAACATCATCGTCGTAGTCTTCATCTTCATCATCAGAACCTTGGAGATCACTCATATTTTGGACATCAATCAGTTCATTGTCATCACGGTCCACACTAGATGTCCTCACAAACCCTCTATTGGTAGGGTATATAGGCTCGGGCGTGTTATCTGCGCCCACATTGAAGACAGTGGTTCTTCCACCTTTGATAATATCATTGGACGGGGGAGGAGCTGGAGTGTTATTGGACCGGAACTTGGATCTGATATTTGATAACCTTGCCTTCATTGCTGAAGACTCTATACTCTTTTGAGAGTTTGATCTGGCTCTTCCTCGTGATACAGGATCTTCATAGAATTGTCCAATACTGTCTTGCCTTGATAATTGCAGAGGAGTGGAGGATGCTATAAAAGCCAATGTTGACTCCAGTATAGGAGTATTTCTGTTTCTGCGTCTAGGGACTGTGCGGTAGCGAGGAATATGTCTATCCTCAAGGTCCAACGATATGTCACGACCCATCGATAATGCGAAATGCCACTCAACCAACTCCTTAGTAGAGCCAAAATGAAGTAGTATTTGCTCGCTTTCCACTCTAATTCTTAAAACGTTAGGTTTCTTGAGGTAGTCAGCAGCTAGTCCGAGTTGAGCATGCTGCAACGAATAAGAACGTATCAATCTAGCTCCTTTCTTTGATGATTTGTAGCGAACGGGGCTTTGTTCTTCTTCAAAAAGTGATGATGCAGATGATGGTAAATGTGCTCTCAGAGGATCGAAGATGCCAAGGCGCTGACAGCCTTTGTAGAAATGCAAGTCCGAATTCGAAGTAAAGCGAGAACTGATGACCAGCACATCCAGCTCCTCCACAGAATTTAAAGCGGCACCAGTCAGTGACGAGGTACTTTGTATAGTGGATAAATGTGCTTCCAAATTACTGGGGACGAAGTAAAAGTTGAGCTGAGTGGAGTTGAGCTCGAGGATTATCAGCTTCCACAGTCTAGAAGGTGAGGGTTCGAAAGGAGAGAGCCATTCAATCTTGCGGGAAACCATGCCGATCTTATATATTGATGGCAGGTATTCAGGTAAAGGTTCATTAGGGGCAGTGGCCGGCACTTCGATGGGGAACCTTGGACAACCTCCAGGAGCAAGCAGAGAGTAAGGAGGAGCCTGCACTGGAAATGGTTCTAGAAATTGCAAGTAATCATCTTGCTCATTGGAAAACTGACTCTCGGTCTCCATGCACTTGCAATCTGGGTCTACCTCCAGGTCGCTAAATATAGGGGAAGGAGGTGTTCTGTATTTTTCGAGTCTGGTAGGAGACAAGTTGACTGAGCAGTCCATGGCTCCCAAAGAGCAACAGCTAGAAGATGTCGAGATGGAACTCTGAAGTTCACATTCACTTTCCGGTGACTCTGCTCTTGGTTGAGTATTATGCTGCAACAGAAATTCTCCAGCTACTGACATGATTTCAGTTTTGATGTAAATAATGCCGATTAAAAGCGCGTATTATACCTTGAAATGGTTGAAAGATGAAATGAAGATAAAGATTTTTCTCTTCTAATAGTGTATACGGGTTCCACGGTTCCGTGAAATAGACTCGGAACAACGATCCGATGGAAAATTGCGCTTCCGGGTAGACAAGAAGTATGGACGTGTCTCGAGGTAGATTGGTTCAGAAGTTGAATCTAAGCTGAAATGATGATGTCCAGTAACAATAATGTCAAAAAGGAGCAACTAAAGTTCGTGAATCAAAACCCGATCAATGGAAATCGTTCCCGATAAGAACCCGGCGCAGCATTGGGTGCAAAGATGTTTGCACCTGTATATCACCTCTCGGAAGTGCGGATATGCCCCTATCGTATGCACATGCTCTAAAAGTCACGTGAAGAACGTTGAGGTTTTCTTCGATCTATGCCACAGAAGAGACTATATCGTGTGAGTTACGAAAGGTGCATAGAGGTATCGAAGTCGGGACGGAAAAGAGACAATCGACGGCATTAAGAATCATTTACTTCTAAATATAAAGTTCTGCTCATTGGTGGAGTATATGCATAAATCGGGATTTAGGCTTACGGTGAGATTGCCTTGCAGCCTTCTGTTGCCTGGTGTTGGATGTACTGAGCAAACTTTCTTAATTCCGTTCCATCGCAGCGGCATGTGAGTTCCGGTGCCCAGCATCGAGCACGTTCAGCTATATTGTGAGCGGGGCATATCAACTGTTTGTAGTTATTATGGCTGAATAAATCATGAAGAGAAATTTGTGGCAGCTTGATTTGATCTGCAAGCAAGCCCATGATAGCAAACAATCCGGGCTCAGGGGAAGAAATTTGACGTGCGGCTGCAGCTTTCGCAGTGGAGATGCCTGCAGGTCCCATATTCGAAGTCATTGCATCTCCACTTCGATAGTAATAAGATCGACGCATTATATCACAAACTGTGGCTATCAAGTCGTAAAGGTATTCTGAGGAAGACTTTACAATGGTTGGATTGAGATAGAACTGAATTTGGCGGTTTAATCCGACAAACTCAAACATCCGTTCTTTCGTATCTTGACATGAGTTGCAAAGACATGAATCTGTCTTTGCTGTGGCCATACGCCATATATGAACAGATTCGAAGTAGTCGACGTAATCCAAGCACTCGCAGGAATTTTTTAGAACCCCATAAAGCTCTGAATTTTGAACATTGAAGATTTCAACCATCTCTCGAAATCTCTTGTCTGCGACCATATTGTGATAAGGATATAAAGCTGAGTTGGTGTCAATTGTGATATTTTTTAGTCTGGGGATACGTTGTAGAAACAGTATGAGCACCTTCTTGAAGTGATAAATGCTGTAAGGATTTGCAACAACCAGGTGGCCCATCTTTGAAATCGAAATACTTTTGAGAGAACGAAAACGATCCATATTTGATGCAAGCTCTTTGAAAAAACGATTCAAGCATCCACAATATTCGTTCTCTTCTATTTCAGCAAGGTGAGGTAGCATACCATCTCGCGAACAGTAGATATGATTGCAACCGACACTCAATTCCAATTTTTCCAACCTATCCACGTTAACTATTCGCAATATGTCCTGTAAAGAAAGCTCCATTTCCATGGACAAGTCATATAGGGAATTGAAATTGAACCGGTCTGTACCAGTCGTCTGGCCGTGGATGTGATTAAGAGACAAGGTTCGAAGTGATGGAAATAGCTCATCTCCAAATACCTTGCGAAGGTTCCGCAAAAACAGAAGACCAAGATTGTGAACACTGAAAACACGGAGATGAGAAACGTGGGTGAGGAAGTGAGGGAATTGAGTCGGGTCTCGCTTTTCCAAATTTGCCAATGTTATGCCACCAATGTCAGTTATATGAAAGTTAAGTGTTAGGTTATGGAACCGCAGTACGTCTACGCCAGCCAAAAGCTGATGAAGTTCAGGAATATTGCGCATTTGTAGGTTAGTGAGATTGCAAACCCAATCTTCTATCGACATGTAATATCGGAACACATCGTCATAACCTATACTGAAATGGTTCGTTGCAACATTCCCAAAATACACGGTTCTTGGACCTTTAGTTTGAAATAAGCGTTTTTGCCAGAATTTGAGCTTGAAAAGCACGAACGAAATGTCATCGGTTATTAATTTATCGACTAGAGCCGCTCTACTGGGATGGCTCAAGGACAGTTCTAGTTGTTTGAACGGGCAGTCGGATTCGCTAAATGAAAAGGTTACAATAGACCATTTGCTCAACTCATATTCAGATGTGGAGTCTTTGATGTCCCGGAAACGTTCGGTCGAGAATTTGCTGCTTGTAATAAAGAGGTTGGCATACAAAAGTGGAGTCACTAGGGCATTAAATCTGCGACACACACGGCCGATATTTACTTTATTTCCTTGGTCGAGTCTTGAAAACACATTCTGGAGCAAATCTTCGGGCAAATCTATCAAAGACAACGCCCGAGACACGTTGGATGCCATTACACCACAATTGTATACCAGTTTAGATCAAACTGTGTGCTCCTGCAGATATAACTAGCGTTTTATATGAAATCACACCCAATGCACCAGGCTACGGGGTAGTGTCGGTGGGTCGCAACAACGAACACGGAACCTTACAACATACCATGGCAGACAAATTTCCCGCCCTCGACGTCGACGCCGAAGTAGGTGACAACATCGACTCCGACTTTTTATCTCGTGAAAAGGAATTGCTTGGTGATGAATTCAAAACAGAAAACGACAAAGAAGCATTGAACAGTGACGACGAATTCACTGAATTCAACGAGCAATTTCCCGAGGTAGATCAAACCGAAGCAGCTCAGCACCAGCAGCCAGAAGCTTACGAGGAACCAGCATACGAAGCACCAAAAGATTTAGGAGACTCGAAGGCTTTGAAAGATTGGAAGGAAAGACGTGATTTGGAGATCGCCGAAAGAGAGAAAGCCAATGCTAAAACCAAGGAAGAAATTGTCAAGAAGGCACAGCAGACAATAGACGATTTCTACGATAATTACAACACCAAAAAGGAACAGAGTTCGCAGCAAGTGTTGAAGGACGAGGAACAGTTCTTGGAGAAGCGTGACAAATTTTTGTCGAAAGGAACGTTGTGGGATAGAGTTAATGAGTTGACGACAGAAGTAGGCGAGGTATCGCTGGGTGACAGAGACAAGAGCCGATTCAGTAAGATATTGAAGAATTTAAAGGGAAAGGAGAAGGTTCCTGGTGCTGGTGGTTACTAGAGTAGGTTAAGAACTATATTACAACAAAAGTGCTATCTTTCAATTCATAATGTGCCCCACAGCATTTACCAATGGGTCACTTTTGACATCGTCATCACTGGTGCACTCATTCAAACTCATGAGCTTATATACGCCAACACTCATTACGGCGGCTTCAATTCGTGACCAATTGACACCTCTAAATAGACGATGATTCTCCTTCAAAATCCGCCATTTGGAAAGTATGAGTATTTGGAAGATGTAGTCGTTGACTTTGTCAATGCTTTGTTTGGATAAATGACGTATGTTCTCTCCACCTTTTGTGATACCCCAGTCGGGTATAAAGTCCATCGAATTAGCTATAAGCGTCACAAACGCTGCAGTGAACCCTATGGATTTCATGTAAGTCTTGAGCAGCAACTTCAGTTTAGACGGTTTCATCAATGGTGCCGATAAGGAAATTAGCAACATTGAGATAAGATTGGGAAAATACATAAAGTTGGTCCAGGAATTGGCCATGTGCGCTGCATGAAGGAGATACTGTTTGGTGATGTGAGAAACCAGCTCCTCAGACATGTCATACTTGACTTTGTAGTAGAGATCAAGAAACTTGGTCTTGAATGTGGTGAGGAGGAAGAAAGCAGCAAGAATAGCATTGTGCATCAAATACCTGTGCAATAGCCCGCCCCAGTTGACGTAGTGGAAACGTACACCCAATGAAAAGTTACTCCAGATAGGGTCCAATATTCTGGATCTGATAAGTTGCGACTGGTACTTTCTATTGAGCCCAAGACGAGTAGGCGTGAGGTAGTTTGAAAGCAATTGACCGAACAAGGCGGGAAAGATAATAAGCTCTTTGTTCTCGTACAACTTCTTGAGGGTTGGACTATCGTAGTGGCTCAACTTTCTGTACTTTGAGAACCTGGAAACATAAATTTCCGTCGATGGTGAGTTTCTTTCAACATATGTCAGAAGTAGATAGATCAGCATGTAATCCTTAGCTATCCGAGCATTGTTTACACTTGCCCGATACAAGAATGCACAAGTGATAGCATTGCTTAGAGAAGAAATTGTTGCTGCTGGGTTACACCATTTCGCAATGAAGTCACCGTCTGCGTATTTTCTCAAGATACGCCGTATGGCAGGATTCAATGTCAAAAATGACGACCAAGAAAAGGGTCTTGGAACTTGGCATATGAGAAGTACAAGCACGTACTTGGCCCATTTTTGAATGGCAGGATCAACGTCTGCTAACATAACTGGAATGGAATAAATCAATGGCTTCGAATAAATAATAGCAATGTGTGCTTCAAGTCAGGCTCAGATTACACAATTGTACTTTCTGAGGTTCCTACAATTGTTGTCTGTTTCGTCTTTTTGAACTTGTTATCACAACCGAGGACAACGACCACCGCGTAGAAAGTCGCCAAGGAAAAGCTGAAAGTGGAAAAAATGCACACCCAAGCCTTGATATAGGATATACAACACAACAACAGAAAATAATGTGCCTTGTTTTCTTGTTCGGGCTGGATCGTGAAATCTACCAAATAGGTTGTGAGTATGGTAGTTTGGTTAACTTCTGATTTTCGCGCACTGATAACTGGATCATATTTACAAAAGAAGTAACTAGCACTTACACCATTTATAAGAAAAACCAATTAGACCCTGATCTCGCCATATTCTGAGCTTCCCACCTATACAATAATCTAAAGAAGGCATAACTATGGACCTTACACCATCACCCCGAAAACATCGGCTGGTATCTCACTCCCAGTCATCAGACTCTGGTCCCCCATCCTCAACTAAATCAAATTCTGGGGTTCCAGCAGGCTCCAATCGCAAGGGATTCAACATAAACATCGCGGTATCGCCCATTTCTGTCTCCAGCCCTCCAGTCTCACACAAACATACGCTCACAAGATCTCATTCACACTCACTGAAACACCGCCGAGGCAGCTCTGCTTCCACCAATAATCCGCTCCCACAACTCCTAGAAGACGCAGACGGACCTCAGCTACCCGAATGGCCTCAACCAGCAAACGAATCCCAGGGTCTCAGGTATAACCTTGAACTTCCTTCCGATGAACATCTAGCTTCGCTTGACATAGACGACCAACTCAAGTTTTTGGCTCTCAAGGAAATGGGGATAGTGGAGCTCAAAGACAAGATCAGCCAGCTCAATCTGATCCTTCACAAAGGCGAAAAGGATCTTCACCGACTTCGAGAATTGGTCCAAAGATCACTTTACAAAGAGATGAGTGCTGGGTATACAGGCTCGTCCAAACATGTTCGACAAAGCAGCAATCCTCGTGATGAAGCAATTGCAAGTACCAAAAACAGAACTAGAAGGCGTACGCTCTCGTCGTCATCGTCTCCGTCAAAATACCTACCAGTACCAGAACAATCCGAGCCGGACTCGAAATCTCGACTCTGGTCTAACCTTTCCAAACCTCTTGGTTTCATACAGCAGTTTGACTCTATGCTTCAAAATGAGTTTGAGAGGTCGTTGATACCACAAGTGCTGAATTCAGCCAATCCACAACCACGTACTTCTGAGGAATCATACCAGTCTCCATTACGCTCACGCTCAAAAAACAATGATGTAGACCTTCCAACAGAGTGGACATCCCTGCGATCTCTGCTGCCCCAAAGAGCATCTAGAAACCCAGAAGAGATGTTTCAAGCGGTTTCGTCATCTATTTGGTCGTTTGTTAATGACGTGAGGGAAAATATGCTTCCTCCTCGCGAAGAAGAAGAGAAAGACAAGGAGCTATACAATCTCGACAACGGTTCTACTGTCAGCGTTGAGAACATGAACAATAGCGATTACGATGAGACTACTACGGAAACGCTTCCAAGAAGACGCCTGCGTCAGAATAGTAACGCCATAGATAAATAGAAGTATATTGCATTTTTCATAAGCTTTACAATCCCTGAAGACCCTTTACCAATTCAGCTTGCTTTGTATCGTCGACACGTCCACCTATGCTGCGTAAATCTTTAACGATTATATCCTTCAATTTGTCAAAGTACACCTCTTGAAGCAAGTTACGAATGTTGTATTCGGCCTTCTCAACCAATTGACCAAGATTTATGAGATGGGACGTTTCCAAGTTTACACCGCCCTCAACAGAAAGTGACTGTGAAGACTCCACCTGGCGTGTCAAGGAACCTGAAAGTGAAAGGGACGAAGCTGTGGATGCAAGGTCTAGAATGACAGATGTAGTGATGTTGTAAGTTGCCGTAGACGAGGTTTCGGGAATAATCTCAAACACATGGATAGAGTCCCACTTTCCCAGCTTGTCGTCTGTTTCTTTACTCAATAAAACAACTCCTGCAAATCCATTTTCCAACAGAGTAGGCTCTCCTTCATCCTCTGCAGTGTCCCACAAGTACACAGAAGATACACCTGAGCCTTCGTAGTATAGATCTCTGTAAATATCGAAACTTTCATTGGCTTTGATCTCCAAATCACGGAGAATAGCAGAAGGATAAGGTGGAGGAGCGTCGTCGTCTTCGACGGTAACTGGGGGATAATACTTGTTTGACCATGGGGATCTATATGAGTCACCATCTCTATTGTAGTCACAGCAGAGATATTCCTTGCCCGATTCCGAGCATTTTCTGCTTTCAAGGGGAACATCAATTGAGGAAAGAAGCTCCAGTGTCAACTGATCAGTGTCGCCCGAACCATTTTGTACTAACGTGCAGACATTGTCAAGGTTTTGTTTGACATATTTTGGATCAAGCCTACGGAAAAGATTGAGACCTGAATCTAATTTTTCGTCAAATGACATTCTTTACCGAAATTACACGAAACAGATTATTTGTGGAGGAGTCGTTGCGTGCGGGTGGGTGGATGTGTTGATGATAGGTACTCTTACATAATACGGCTGCAAAAGTCAACCAACTTCCATAACGCTACAAGCTCTTTTACTAAAGCACATTTATTAAGTTTCCATTGTAATCCCTCTATTGCATTTGATAGTTTCCTCCCAAGTGAGGGGCGTTGAGAATGATACCATTGATGATTCCGGCAATAATACCAGCCATTGGCAAGGTAAAGATCCATCCCAAGTAACACCAAATAACCATACGCCAGTTGACGGCTTTCAAGTCTCTGTTACACAATCCAATAAATACGGTGGCACCAACAGCACTTTGAGTTGTGGAGACTGGAATCGAAAGCTGAGTAGCCATCACAGTGGTAATAGCGGCACCAAGCTCGATGGAAAATCCTCTGGATGGTGATTGAAGAATCAACTTGTTACCCAAGTTAGCCATGATTCTGTAACCATAAGTCCAGCATCCAATGACTAAAGCAGCAGCAGCGTAACACAAAACCCAAACAGGAACATCGGCTTTTGAGGCAACAGTGTTGCTCTTCCAAACCAAGTAGACAGTTGCGAGAGGACCAGTAGCATTGGCAATATCGTTAGCACCGTGGGTAAAAGACATGGTACCAGCGGTGATGGCCTGAAGCAAAGAGTACAAGAATTCAATACGGTTGTCGTAAATCTTTGACTTTCCGTGAACGGCACGGAGATCACCTGCCAAGGCACCACCATTCATTTGAGTAGAAATGACATCCTTGGTAAATCCATGGGAGACAACCAACCACAATAAATAAGGCCACTTTTTGGGACCTTGCTTCAAAAGCAGGAACCAGAGTTGTCTGGTAGTTTGTTGAGGAACTGAGTGATCGGTGGTTACTGATACCAGCTCAATATCCACGGAATCCGCCTTAGTATCTTGTTGAGGTTTTGGTTCTTCTGGACGACGGCCCTTATAGTAGTCGATGGTCAATTGATGGTTTTCAGGCATGGGTGGAATGTTGTCAGTTGACATAAAGTAGAAAGTTGGTCCTCTGTAGACGTCAAACCATCTGAGAGTCCAGTCATTGTGTACTAATTTCCGACGGTAAAATGGGTAGAAGAAGATCATGTACAAAAGGGTTGCAACAGCACCAACTCCGATAATGGAACCGGCGAGAGCACCATCTGAAAGCTCATCCAAATTAAGAGATGGAGCACCTTTCCACACGATCAACATAGTCAAGATACTGAAAGTGATGAACACCAAGCAAGGAACCAACAAAAGGGCATTATTAAGCGAGGTTGAAAAGTTCTTACGCTCAAGAACGAAAAATTTGGAGATCAAGAAGATGATGGTGGCAAAACATCCGGCAATAACAGGAGCGATAAACCAAGATGCAATGATTTGTGAAACACCATCCCAACCCCACACAATATTTTTAGCACCCTTAGCCGCAATTGAGGATCCAATAACAGCACCCACAATCGAGTGAGTGGTGGAGACAGGCATACCAACAGAAGTGGCTATGGTCAACCAAAGAGAAGAACCAATCAAGGCGCAGGCCATGGTTAACATGAGAACGGCAGGGTCTGCTTCGAACACCTTGACATCAATAATTTTGTTTCTGATGGTATCACTCACACGATTACCAACAAGCACGGCTCCTAAAAACTCACAAATAGCCGCAAGGATCATAGCTTGCCAATATCTGAGGGAACGAGACGAAACCGAAGAAGCGAACGAGTTGGCTACATCGTTAGCACCAATGTTCCAAGCGTCAAGAAACGCAAAGATCATGGCGATCGCAAAGATATAATCGAACTGATGAAGGGCCATTGTTGCTAGTTCTCTCTTTTGCTGATCCTAAACGTTCATCATGGGTCTTTTTATAATGTCTGTCATTTGGGTGCAAACTGGACTCAGCAGCACGTCCTGCACCTGTGACGTGAAAAGTCTTGGAATCCTCGGCGTCTTGGCAAAACGTGGGCCGTCAATTAATGGTCTTTCGAGGGTAATTTGTTCATTAGAACCACCATCTGACCGTGCTTAACACCCCAGATTGCTCAAAAACCTCATAAATGTCTTCAAAAATGATATATCCGCATCGACCGTTTTTACGATAAAGCCCCGGATGCAAAATCCTAATATGGCTTGTCGTGCGACCCTACCTCCACGTGGTGGATTAAAGTGACTAACGCCGCTTGTCGCGAATAATTTGCGGCAAATAGGTTAGCACTTAAATTTCCCTCGTGGGCAAATTACGCCCTGCACTGCGCCCTCGGTTCGTAATTGACAATCAAGCGATCTAAATCATGCCGTGCCCACGCGGTTGGCACATCCAGATCAATCCAATCCACATAAAAGTTATGCATCGTATGCGGCTGTGTCAAAGCAGCCAACGGGTCGCTTGAGCGCCGCAACTCATCCTGCACTAACCTAGGTTATTGCACCCAATGATTGACACCCGCACACCACTATGTCTTTGCTTTGTTACCGCACGAGATCGAAACCCTAATCTTTAAACATGTCACTTTTCCGCGGGGTTCGAGGTTTTCCTCGTAATTTGCATATTCAGAGCCGGAATCTGAACAAGTATACCTTCTATGACCTAGTATGTGCCACACCGTCGCATCCTAAACAACCGCTTGAAGCGGCGCTTATGACCGAAGACGAACTAGACTCCCTCAAAAAGACCACTTCGAATCGATACGAGGGCAATTACTCGGTGGGTGAGCTAACCGCAGAGCAGAAAATGGCCCGGGTCTTTGGAGGCCGGATCAAGGGAGAGTCACCGCGATCTTCCAGTCGACTTTCGCGAGGAGAACCTCGAGTAATTGCGGGGATTTCGGTTCCAGACCGTCCGCCAGAGCCTGATAATTGTTGTATGAGTGGATGCATCAATTGTGTATGGGAGCTCTTTCGAGACGATGTCAAAGATTGGAACAGTAAAAGAAAATTGGCGGCAAAGAAGCTCCGCGAGAGAGGTGGCCGATGGCCCGAGAATTTCTACCCTCCGGTTCGTCACCTAGCAGACGAGAATCTTCCGCTATCCATGGCAAAGAATGCCAAGACAGTTCGTGAGAAGACGGAAAAGAAAAACGAAGAAGCCGAGTCGTGGGCCAATGTACCGGTTAGTATTCGAGTCTTTGCGGAGTTTGAAAAGAAAAAGAGTCAAAGGCGAAAGAACCAGGCTGAACACAACCAGGGTGAAAACCAAGCACAGTCAGCGTGAGAGAAACCAAGAAGCATAGCAAACATTGCAAAACACAGGGTAACTGTTCATATCAATAGACCGTTTATTTATACATGCATCAATCCAACTGCAAGCCCTTAGATTTGTAAAATGACTTGGCTTCGTCTATTTGTTTCAACAACTCCTCATACTTTGCCTCTTTGTCCTTAAATGTCAATACACCCCATCCCAAGGTTGCCAACGAGTATGAGCCAAAAGTAACCAAACACCAATAAGGGATATAAGGAAGAATTTCTGAGTGGAACTTTTCAGGTGAAGGTAATGTGCGCGTATACAAAGCAAAGTATATAGCAGAAAGGGCCAATAACACCACAAATGTCTCTGTAGCTTTAGTCATAATAGCTATAGAGCTGTACGTGTTCGCGTTGATAAATTGAGCTACAGGGTATATGCAGGACAACAATTAGAGCTAACATTATTGAGCTAAATGTCCAGAACTGAAAGCATTAATTCTGAGTTATTCTAGAAAGATTGAGACCTTTCTACGCCTGTAAGTCATCTTGGTTCACGTAGCCGGCCAACTGGCGTATAGGATGCGATTTGTCCAATTGAGCAATACGTTCTTTCAAGTCTTCCGACTCTTCTTCTTCCATCGATTCATTTTCGCTTTCGATATCGCTTGCTTCTTCTTGGTCACTTTCTTCTCTTTCCACGTACTCTGTGTGAACGATTTTTTCAATTTTGGATATTTCAATTGGCTCTTCCTTGACCATTCGACTGAGTTTATACCGGATAATCCTACGAACGGTCTCTATACTTTGTCGATTTATCCAACCATCTTGAAAGTCTGGAGCTTCACGAAAGAAGCCAGCACTCAGAGTTTGCAAAAACTGAACAACATCTGGATCGGTAACGTCTCCTACTTGATAGGTGACTGTATGTGGTAGCCTTGTACCAGTGAACAAGAGGTGGTGAGATATGGCAAAGTCACTGACACTCACCAATGAGTTATTGTTGGTCAAACTTGGAGGAAGTATTCGTTCGCTGACCTCTCCTACGCCAAAATGAAGACCGGGAATCCGAAAATATTCACTTTGAAATAACCAGTATTTCTTGTCGGACTTGGGATCAACGCCAAACTTAACATTGCAAAAACGCCAGGGTCCACTTTTGAAAATATAAGTGACATAGGGAAGAGCCTGTTTCAATACTCGACGAAGGTCAGCGGGAGCAACATCTTCCAAATGTTTTCGAAGCCATATGGGTTTGACTTCAAGTGCCTTATGGAGCCATTCTATGCAAGACAAAAGGGCAGCATCCAAACTTCCAGGTTGTGGAGGTGATTTCTTGAGGTTTTCGTAATTTTGGCGCAACGCTTCGGCGGGCTCTTCAGGGACATGCTGAGATGAGAAATCTATTATTATGGTGTGCAACTTTAAAGTAGTTTTTCGGGATACCACTCGCACAGTGCCCTCAGCATCAGTAACGGTGGTGGTCAATGGGTTTCTATTGTACTTGTAGTCGAAGGGAAACGATATAGGACTGAACAACGGGGGTGGAGGAAGATGGTGGTCAGTGTTGGCAAACCCAGAAGGATCTTTATAGTCTTCAATGCCCTGGAAATTGGATCGTTTTGTGAGTATATCGGTAATTGGTTGCAAACTATTGGCATTGATGAGTTGTTGGTATTCTTGGGCAACTGGGTTGTGCTTGGTGATGGCCTGGAAATCAGCCATTCTTTTGAACGAATAAGTTTTATTGATAATTGCAACCGGTTGCACCTTGTACTGTGCTCCAGAATTGGCGCATTCCATTAAAGCTTTATGAGCTGATACATTTTTGTCTAGTTTTGACATGACGCGCTTAGGCACCGACACTTTTAGTAGTATGCGTTCTTGGTTCGTTAACAGTGATTGAATTGGATGATGGAAAGGATCCTCACGGAGTCGGAGTTCTAGTGGAATTACCGTACCTGCAGCAGTGGTGGGGGCAGCACCGGCCCCATTGCCCGGAACTGGATGAGGTGCCCCCGGATTTGCCTCACTGATCGCGCGAGCAATCCGTTCTTTTCCGCCAAGCATGGCAATTGCGCGGTCGGTATCACGCACGTTCAACGGCAACTCCACCGCAGCCACGCGTGGCACGTCCATGGCATGTTTCTCCGCCGACATCACCTTTGAATAAACACAATCGCCATCCGTACACCAAGAGCCAAATTCACATTGCAACAATCCGGCATATAAGCAGCCGATCAGTCCTCGGAACTGTGGACGAGTTCCGTCGGGACATGTGATCCGCGATGTGAGAGCGAATGAACACCATCAACAAAATGAGCCACGGAAACGAGAAAATTTGCTAAAACTCATGGAAACCCACATTAAACGGTTGTAGCTACACCATCCTTTGCAATTGACCACATGGGCCTCGGGAACCCCCCATTCACCACACCCCTTTATCCACCCGGTACACCGGCGGTTTCCGGTGCCCCCGACGCTGATTGGTCCTCTGGTCCGGAATATAAAAGTGCGAAAAGTTTCTGGGGTTGAAATATCGCAAATATGTTCACCAAGATCGCCACAAGATCGTTCTCAAGCACTTCTGCTTCTGCCTACAAAGTCGCCGTGTTGGGTGCTAATGGAGGAATTGGCCAGCCTCTTTCTTTGTTGTTGAAATTAAACCACAAGGTCACCGACTTGTCGTTGTACGATTTGAAGGGTGCCCCCGGTGTTGCTGCCGATGTTAGCCACATTCCAACCCACTCCACCGTGAGAGGTTACAACCCTGAAAACTTGAAGGAGGCATTGACCGGAGCTGATGTCATTGTCATTCCTGCCGGTGTTCCAAGAAAGCCCGGTATGACCAGAGATGATTTGTTCAACACCAACGCTTCCATTGTTCGTGACTTGGCCAAGGCTGCTGCTGACCATGCCCCCAATGCTGCTGTGTGTATCATTTCCAACCCAGTCAACTCCACCGTGCCAATTGTCGCCGAGGTGTTCAAGTCCAAGGGTACCTACAACCCTAAGAAATTGTTCGGTGTCACCACTTTAGATGTGTTGAGAGCCTCCAGATTCGTCGCTGAAGTTGCCAACACCAACCCAGTTCACGAAAAAGTGACTGTTGTCGGTGGACACTCTGGTGTTACCATTGTGCCATTGTTGTCTCAAACCAACCACAAGTCTTTGGACGCCGAGACCAGAGATGCTTTGATCCACCGTATCCAATTCGGAGGTGACGAGGTTGTCCAAGCCAAGAATGGAGCTGGTTCCGCTACTTTGTCTATGGCCCAAGCTGGTGCTAGATTCACCGGAGCTGTCTTGGACGGTTTGGCTGGTGAGAACGATGTTGTCGAGCCATCTTTCGTCGACTCTCCATTGTTCAAGGACGAGGGTGTTGACTTCTTCGCTTCCAAGGTGACTTTGGGAACTGAGGGTGTCAAGAAGGTTCACTCATTGGGTGAGTTGTCTGGTCACGAAGAAGAATTGATCAAGACTGCCAAGGAGACTTTGATCAAGAACATCCAAAAGGGTGTTGAGTTTGTCAAGCAAAACCCTTAAATAGAGAAATCTACTAAATTATTGTAAATCGGAGCTAAAAGTCTTCTGGAAGCCCCAGACATCCATACACCGCATACGTCATTATGCAACCGCCATGCATATTCACCGGCGACTACGCATACAGACTTTACTCTCACGACCGTTGCAATAAACACACCCAATGCAACATGCAGCTACAACTTTTTTTTTGGAAAATTGCGTTTGCAGCGTGCGCAATTCTTGGCTTCCTTCCTGGAACAAGCATATGCTTCATGCAATATTCTCCACTGTCCTGCATGGAAACTTTCTAAGCGAATAGACTCTATTGTTCGCAGCCTCACTGTCCACGCCATAATTGGCAACGCAACTCATCCGCACAGTTGCGGAGCGTAACGTTTCGTAACTGTTGCTATTCAAGGTTAAATCGAGCACGCAATGGACCGGGCTCATACCGACTCAAAACCGAACTATCATCAAATGAATCACAAGATAACCGCAAACTGAATTAGAGTTTTCAACACTCAACTGTCCAAGCCTTGCTAGAATCGGTTCTTTCTCCTAAAACGGCGGCTCAGAACGAGGCGCGACACGGATATAATTCGGGGGAGCAATGGTGCTGGGATGCGTTTTATGCAACTTTTAACCGGGATACCGGGGAGGCAGTGGCACATTCCGACCTCAGAAGTTACGTAGTTCGAGTTATCTGCAGTCCCGACCATGATTGGCTAGACGACAATAATCATTATAAAGTATCCACAAATACTCTTGGTAGCTCCCGCAAATATGTAGTAACCAACATAAATTATATACGCGTCATTTCATTGTCTCATGGTTTTTCGCCGTGGCACCACTCATCGGCCGTTGCTTCGTTTGCCCTCGGAACTCGGCCCCAAAGACGCGCGGCTCTCGTCTCACATTGCCCTCGGAAATCGGGGATATTGAATAACGCCGGCACTTAATCCTGGAACTAGCATCCACGTACTACTAACATAAAAATATTCAGGCTCCACTGAATAGTCGAGTAGGTTCGTGAGTGCTTGTAGATACTGTCGTTACCTCACTCTACCGTCGACAGTTCCAGAATCCTATTGGGTAGATTGTGGTGTTCTGTTGAAATAATTTTCAGGACTTTTTTATTGGGCGGAGACAGGTTGAAAAGGTGGTTTTGAAACATCTGCGGGTTTGATATCACCATTAGGGAGTTCTTAGCATTCCCCGGTTACGCGTTCGCTAAAGTAACCCCTTTGAACCTATTCAATATCGACAATCACCACTAAAATCGCCCGATCCTGCCATTAAAGATACGCTATTAATAACTGAAAATCACGTTGAAAATCTTCCTTTCGTTTAGTGCTCCGCACAACATACCACTTAGCACAACACATTTCAATTGCATTACAAACCAGTCGAAACCAGTCGAAACATGGATAAATTCCTCATGAGTTCACCGTCACTGCGACATGATTACGACCACGAGAGTATGTTGGAACTCGCTCCCGCTCAAGCATTGTTTCCCGATAATGACGACGAAGTGATTCCTGCTTCAGATAACTCGATGCTGAATATAGTCAACGTCAACTTCCCCAACTTTCGACCTCATTCTCGAACCATATCTCTCGACGATCATATCAACCAACGGTATCTGCACCAGCATTCCACCTCAATGGCTTCTCTCAACCAGGATCCTCCGTTCGCAGGTGCTCATACCCAGGTGCCTCAGCCTATACCTACACAGCCACCGCAGCTGCGAGGGCTTCATTACGTACCGCAGCTGCTTCTCCCACAGTCTCATTCACAAAATACCTTGGCTAGCAGTGACTCGGTACCACAACTATCCAACTCCCTATCCAACCATTCGCTTCTGGATTCGCCGTCTTCTGGCGTGAAAAATACCCCCAGCCGTCACAAATCATTGTCAGTATCTGCTGGTTCTGCCTCTGCCATATACCAAACACCGCTTCGAGGACAGGGTGGTTCCAGTCTATCTCCCGCCAATCTCACGGCAGCTGCCAACTCCAAAATCAAGAAAAAGGGCCATTCAAGGTCCCGTTCTCGTCTCTCGTTTGATGCCAATAATCCTCATGGCATTAATTTGTTAAAACAACCACTGAATCCCTTTGTTGCTCCAAATAGCCAAGAGGAACTTGATACCCCATTAACGACACCGCAACAAATGCCACCCGGTTCAGAACGACAGTTCTTGAGTCCCGGATTGAACATGAAATCCGCTGGCAGCAGTGTACGTACAAACGTATTTTCTACGCCTTTCCCGTTGCATAGAAATGACACCCTAGAGTCGATCAAGATAGATGAACAGGATGATGATGCCTTCAAACAGGTCCAGAAGGCTAGATCATATGTGAATCTTGCATCTATCGGAAAACCTGATTTGTCACTTCTGCTCCAAGATTCTGGCTCCAGACTGAACTTTGAAAGCGAGGGAATTGCCTCGTCAAACTCGACTCCTGGAGGATTATATTCTCACTACTCTCCAAGTGGAATACCTTCCGCGGCGGGACCTTCATCTTACTCGGTTCCTGCAACTGCTGGTGCCTCAGTTATGGACTTTTCTGCACAATTTAACCAAGACTTACTGTCGGAAATGTTATACCCACCAGATATGAACGAACAGCACCAGATGGAGAATCTTGATTACGATCTACTTCAACACCAGTTTGTGCCCAAGACAGACTCTTTTATGCGTTCATTTCCAGCCTCCAATGATTTGGCAGGTATCTTTGGTGGACACCATGGTGGACAAACAATCAGCCAAACAACCCATGGTAGCCAGCAACTACAACATACTGATCATGGATACCCTATGGACCACTCAATGGAGAAAAATCTTGCGTTAAATCTGCTGGTGCCCATGCCACAATCACAACAACAGTCTCCTCTGTACCACGATCATCGAGGCAACTCGCTTCTACCACCTATGGCTACGTTCACAAAAGATGAAAAGCCAGCATCTTCACCGGGAGAGAAGAAAAACAGTAATGACAAGAAGAACAATAATGATAAAAAGAAGCGCGAGAAAACACATGAATGCCATTTATGCCACCTGAAGTTTCATCGGCCAGAACATGTGAAGCGTCATTTGAAGAGCCATTCCTCGGAGAAACCGTTCCAATGTGACGAAGTGAATTGTGGAAAACGATTCAATCGTAAGGATAATCTTCGAGCTCACTTGAAGAAGGTTCATCATATTTTTGAATTTAAATCACATCAATAATATTGCATTTTTTATTTCGATGTAGTTCTAACCACTTGGTCTATCGACCGACAAAAGTAATCGATATTGCTAGAATTTAACCCAGTGACATTCACTCTACCATTAAGAGTCATGTACACATGATAATCATCAATCAACATGCGGACTTGATTTTGTGATAATCCAGAATACCAAAACATGCCCTTTTGTTTGACAACATGGTCCCATTTTCCAGGAGTTTCAAGCTTCACAAGTTTGTCCATAATAATATGCCTGATTTTTTTAATTCTTGCAGACATCTGGAAAACTTCTTCAAGCCATTGTGATCTCAATTTCTCATCGTTGGTTATTTGAGCCACCAACCGAGCTCCAAAAGCAGGTGCAAACGAGCATTCCAAGCGGAAGAGAGATACCAATTGAGACTGAACATTCTGAACATGTACCGAATCACGCCCGACAACATGCAAGCATCCTGCTCGTTCACTGTAGAGACCCAAGTTTTTGGAAAACGATTGACACACCATAAATTCCATTTTTTGGTCCATAAAGTAGCGAACAGGCCAAGCATCTTCATCAAGACTACCACTTGCTAATCCCTGATAAGCAATATCAAACAATGTAAAGTGATTGTACTTGGAAATGGCAGACGCAATTTGTTCCCACTGTTCTCTAGAGTAATCAGCACCGGTAGGATTGTGACAACAGGCTTGCAAAATAAAAACTGATCCAGCAGGTACCTCTCTAATTGCGGTGAGCAAAGCATCAAAATCAACTCTTCCCGTTTGTGGATCGTAGTGCCTATATGTCTGAACTTCACCTCCCATATGCTTGACCATGGGTATATAATTATCCCATGCTGGAACTCCAATAACGTACTTGGTTCTCTGGATTTTATTGAGAAATGCCATGCCCATGTGTATGGCACCAGTACCAGATATTGTCTGCACAGATGCAATTGTTGTCGAGGTTGCAGGTCCAAAAATCACTTTTCTAGCTCCTTCAATGTACTCAGGAATTCCCCTCATATTGGTATAGCTATGACCAGGATCATTGGCAGCAAGTCGTCTTTTCGCCTCCTTAATAGAGGGCAATGTAAAGACAGAACCATCTTCCGATTTGTACACTCCAACAGATACATCGATTTTCTTCTGATAGGTGTCCCGGGAGTATTTATCCATGATATCCATAACTGGATCCACAGGACACGCCTCCACATTAGCAAATGCCGTTTCCACTGTCATTATTTTTGATCCTCTGAAAACCACCCACTTTATAATTTTTCATTACTCCGGGCCGGCCCGTGTAAAACCGCCATCTACCGCTAATTGCCGTTCAGCCCCGCAATGATTTTCCGGCATATAGCCTCGAGATCGCCTAGTTCCTCTTTGGAATTGCCCGTTTCCAACGTTTTTGCAGCCACAAACTTTAAATTGTTAGCCACCACTGAATTGCCCAGAAAGTCACGATTTGCGAAAGATGACAAAAGCTTTGCATAGTCGTCATAATTGAGTTTGTCAATTCCAATTTTGACAAGAAATATACCCAAACATTTAACTTTTTCATCGTAGTATATAGCAGGTGCTTCGGGTAAAAATGACATCAAATGCTTCATAAGTGTATTGTGAAAATGCGACGAGTCAAAGCGACCATTCAGGTACTCAGTCAGCCCTATCAAGGCAAATAATATTCCAACATCAATTGGGGAATCACAGCGTTCCACATCAAACCAGAGATCTTGATATGACGCTAGTTGTAAAGACAGAGATCGAACAAGTTTGGTAAGAAACTTCAAGTAGATGGCCAACACCTCACGATAGTATTGTGCGTTGTCAATGATGACTTTGCTGATACGTAATAAGGCCTGGTAATGGTCTTCCAATATAATCTTGGACATCGATTCTGTCATCAGATTGTTGAGGACATGCAAAGCTTGAAATTGTATCACGTCATTGAATAGTATGGAGAAAAACTTGTCAAGGAAATCTTTGAGGTCAACACTCTCCAAAAAGTTAGATTTTGTTTCAGCTCCATTGATTGTGTTGCCCAAGTTTACGGCACAAGCACCCGCACTGTATGGATCCTCTGAATCCAAGAACAAAGTAATCATTGTTCTTAGTGTTTTTTTATTGTCGTACCCATTCATGGACGAGATGTTGCCACACGCACCAAATAAGCGTCTTCGTATCATTGTTTCGTTCTCTATTGCAGGCACCTTGGGTAGAAGCTTTAAAATATCCGTGGAAATGTTCGTATTGTTGAATCCCGGATCCGACTCAAATTTCGTCAAGTTGTATAACAACGAAGAAACACTTTCAAGTATCATGCTATCATCACCGGCTTGGAGTTGTGTTTGGTAGATTTCCACTAGTTTCTGAGTCCACTCAATTGCTTTCCGTTGCCAATTGGAGTCTACAATAATTTTATCAATGGCAGATGAAACTATGGCTGCTTCTATCTCCAATTGAATATCCAAAAGCTGTGAATCTTGGTCCAAGGCATCGAATAATGCATCTGCAATACCAAAATCATAAAAGGTGTTCATAAAAGTTGCCTGAAGTTCGGTGTTGCGGATAAATTGACTCAAAAGAATGGCATACCTCAATCTCAAGTTGAAAGGGCTACCACCACCCAAGTTTGACTCGATGATACTCATCAATTGTTCATTCTCAGTTACAACCAATCGGTTTTGATCGCTATCGGCAGTAAAATTGACCAAAATTCTGACCGTTTCCATCGCCACTTCTTCACTTTTCATGAATCTACAACATTGTTCTATGAAAAATGTTGGCTCTTGGCCAAGCTGCTCTCGAACTTGTTCTGATCGCAACTCATCTCCCAAGGTCTTGAGGTGCGTTAAAAGATCTGGTGAATCCTCGTCGAGTCTCGAGATATTGTGCAAGATGTTCATGATCCACTGTGACTAGCGGTGCTGAAAAATAGAGCCGGTGTAATGGAGGTACTTTGCAGCAATGAGATCAAGAAGTGAAAGTTACTTTAAGTGAAAATTACTTCAAGTGAAAGTTACTGGTGGGTGTCATATGTATGTCTAGTCGTCTATTCATGTACTCATCTTTCAAATAACTTTTCTCCACTTCTCATTCCCAAAATGTATCGTACATCGATGCATAAGCTTAAGCTGCGAAGCACCGGCAACAAATTGAGCAAGTCTCGATCTCGTTGATCATTAATCCACCCCTCGATCATCACAGCATTGTCATCGTGAAGGGCGTAGCTCACGGGTGAGTTGTCTAGAATAACCACGTTTTTCAAATCATCTTCCTTTGTGAAAAACTTGGAAAGATCTTTGATGTATCCGACTCCAGGACGGTAAGTACAGTCTTGGCGGTAGTAGCGTCTTGTGAACACTTTCTGTGGTGTACTATGTGGATCATGAGGATTTATGCGAGCACTTATATCGCCTTCGAGCCAATCTATGATTGGATCTGCATACTCACGGACCGAGGCGGTGAAGATTTGTAGTTCATACCATTTGGCGATTTCACGAAGAAAGAAATCGCAATATGGACGCTTGTGTACATAGTATAACGTGGCAACGTTGTTGATTTTCACCTCGATCATATGGACCAGTGAAGATGAGCCCGAGAAAGATCGAGGAGACCCTCTACTCAAGGAGTGAATTAGTGTCTCGTCCAAGTCTAAGATGAGTGTTTTCCGCTTTTTTTTCTTTCCAGGATTTCTGGATAATGGGAAGAGCCGTTGAGGGGGAGGAATGATGTATTTGGAAGACGCTGTGGGAGATTTGATAGTGTTGGAAAGAATATTTTCTTGCTTCAAAAGTTCGGTTTTTTCGTCAAGGCTCTGTCTGTTCACCTCTAGCTTGGGTGGTACCAACAAATCGTATAGGTAGCCAAACGGGAAGCTGATTATCCACCACAAAAACATCAATGGTTTGACAACCAACAAATGAGGAATAACATACAAGATCGACCAACAGCTCCGGGCTCTAGTACTTTTCTCCATCTCTTCCACATTTTCAGACTCCTGGTTGTCTTCGGATATGGTGTATATAGAATATTCTTCCGGTCGAGTATCATCGGAGTCTTGGAGGGTGTCTCGTTCCGGTGTTTCTGGATCATTTTTTTCGTTTTTTTCGGATCCCGAGGCCCCGCCACCGGGATAGTAATGGTCAAGTGAACCGACCAATATTTTAACACTATTCATGGATGCATACTTGTTGTTTTAAGGGCAAAGCAGGGAACCACAATACCGATGCTATAAGGAAAATGAAATAAACAACCAGATCTCGATTCTCGAGTAATACCGATTTGATGCTAAATTAGTTATTAGGGTAGATTTTTAGCAATTGACCCGCTCTACAGTTGTTTTAAACCTCTCTAAATATACCCCACTAATGACCACGGTCGGATATTTATATATCGCAATCCTGCAGATGGTGTGCAGATGGGCCCAACTTTTGGGCCAAAAAAAATACCTGGGATGCCAAAACTTGGGTATCGAGGTCAAAGGATGCTGATTGTGAGTATTCCAGTACAATTTGAATATGGTCACTGTATATGAACTAAATAGTGATGGACCACGTTTTCAGTGCACGTTGCCGTTCGGTTCGGTATCAATTGAATTATCGAACAAAGTATGGGTGTGAGGATGTCACCGGATTCCCGTTCGGGATTATGCTGCATATCGAGCCGTTTGGCTGCGACATGATTTATTCTCTGGTTGCACTATTTACGAATCCTTGTAGAATCGAGGTTATGGATGATATGTTTCTTTGAACTGGTACAGGTGGAGGGGACCAGTCTACCAAACTTCGCAAATTGACAATGTTTTGCGTATCGTCTTCCTCGTCCTCATCTTCGTCCCCTTCACTAGTAACATCAGGTCCACCTTCGGTTCCACTTTCAAAACGAAAATTGCTCTCAAGATTGGTATGCGATAATAACATAGGCACGGAGGTGGTTTCCTCTTGCTCTTCTTCCTCTTGTTCCTCTTCAGGTTTGATCAATTTGACTTTGTTGGTATTATAACTTTTGCAGTATTTGCACTTGAGTCCCAAAATATGATACGGCACATTGGATTTACCTTTGCAATCATTACAGTTGATGATACAACGCCAGTTGCTATAGGGAGCAGGAAGAGGCAGCTGGCTGATTTCTTGGTCCAAAATACGAAACTGAGTGTCCATATTGACCACTGTTTTCTTGCACACTGGGCACTTGTAAGAATGCTTACTCAACTCGTCATAACATGCTTGGTGGATCAGATGGCCGCATTTCATGAACACAACCTTACTGACTGATGTAAATAGGTACTCGTTGCATACTGGGCAGTTACAATGAGTATTGTTGGACAAGCATTTGTGTCGCTCTTTGAGATCTATGCTTAGACATATGTTACACTCGTCGCAATGGAAGTAATCTTTGTCTAATCCTAGTCCCAAACGACAAATGCCACACTTGTCACAATGATATATGTCTTTTGTAGCGTCGTTATCGTAAAGCACACATATGGAGCAAAAATACCGAGCAAGTTCTTGGCCACAATCGACACAGCAATTCTCGTCGGGAACTTGAGGTGTTCCACAATGCATGCAGAGAACATGTTTAACTTCGGAGCGAATTAATTTGTGGTTTGATTCTTCATCATGGCAAAAACGACAAACGTACCATTTTTGGCACGTTGGACACTCAATCTTACAGTTTCGCTGGTAGTGCTGGCATCCTAGTATGGAGTTTACTGGAGCGTCGTGATATGATGGTTTGGTGTCTTCTGGAGTGAGCTGAACAAAATCGTCTTCATCCATGGCATCAGCGTCATTGCTGTCCAAAGGAGTGTCTTCAGGTACGACAAGCTCCTGTTGTTTCAAACCCTTTAAGAGTGCACGGTCTTCGCTTTTAAGTTTTTCATTAACGATTTTGTAATAATTCCCCAACATTAATTGAGTTACTAACTTATTTTTCAGCTTTTGTGACAATTCTTTATGGTCGGTAATCGTCTGGATTCGTTGCCGAAGGATCTTTTCGTCACGAAACTCATCCAATGTATCAAGATGGGTCAACGCACGGGCCTCTTCCGAGGTGAGTTCCTCCACATCCAAGTCACTAGCATAAGCAGAACTATCAGTGTCGGACAAAACATGGCGTGCTGACTTTATGCGGTGGCGTCCACGAGTGTGGCGGTGGCCCTCTTCGTTTTCTGGGATCACCAAATCATGCAAAACAGGGTGGTTTTTTGTGACAACTGCGTCCACTCCTCCGGGTTCAGTTTCTTTGTCGTCATCATCTATATCCGAGGATTCGTCCTCAGCTGGTAGTACTATTGTTTCGTGTATGATATTGGTCAATGGCTGTAATCTTTCAATGGCTGCACTCAACGAAAGACCATTCTTTAAATCAGACAAAAACTCATTCATTTGAAGCCGACTCGTCACCGCCGTTCGGATGGAACTAGCAAACTCCTGCTTTTCAGGATCTTTCTTGTAGGTCGATATGTATCTGGAAATCTCATTAGACAAGTCTTGAAGCTTGGGTAGGTTGGGTAAGGTGGGTAAATCAAAGGTCGGAAGTGACAAATTATCGCGATTAAGATATGATGATAAGTTGAGGTTGGGCATATTTGGAAGCGAGATATTAAGATGGAGCCTTCCGATCTGGTCTAGTTCATCAGCTAGAGAGTCCACGTCGGAATCAGACGACACAGGATCATTTTTGGTGTATCGGTACATATAGCTAGTCACTCCGATCGCACTGGAAAGTTGGCCCTCGGTGCACCCAACCGCATCGCGGTACACGCACCGAAGTAAGTGAAACAACCTGAAATAACTCATAAATTTAATAATGTTCGACCCCCAAGTTTTGTCCACGATAGAAAAGACAGTGGGGTACATACGAAAAAACGGACCGTCGTTTGAAGAGAGACTACGAAATAGTGGTAATCCAAAATTCAGTTTCCTCAATCCAGACGATGCTCATCACAATGAGTATTTGCAAAGACTCAATAGTGCCACTACTCCGACTCAGACTGGTGACATAGAAGTGAAAGAGACGGTTGAGGAAGCACGTAAAATACTTTTCAAGATCGATATCCCACCGATTTCCGAATATGATCTCGATATTTTAAAACTTGCAGCCCTCTTCGTTGCTAGAAACGGTCCAGAATATGGGTCAAAGTTACTTTCACATCAACGTGGGCGCAATGGTGGCGCTCAGTTTGGATTTCTTGATAGTAGGCATTCCTTGAATGGAGTTTTTCAGGCTTATGTGTACCAGTACAGACTAGCCATCTGCTCATTGCGTGCACAACTCCAAGACGAATTGTCTTTGAATGATGAGAAATTTAAGGCTGATCTACAACTTGTAGACCTGCTGCTTTCACCCGACTACTCAATAATACTGGATGCTTATAAAAGAGCGTTTCATCGCAAACAAAATCGAATGCGATCAAGAAATGAAAAGGTGGCTCAACAAGAACGTCAGACTCGATTTGCATCCATTGACTGGCAGGATTTCTCCCTTGTGGGCAAGCTTGAATTTGATGTCATTGACGAGGTGAGTGAATTGCCGCCTCCTCTTACTAGAAACGAGGTGATCTACCGATCATTAGAAACTCGCCAGGACGATGTATTGAGCTCTCGCAAACGCCCTGCTGAAAATGACCTAGATGAAAAAGAAAAGGAGACTTCAACAGATAAAGCAGCCGCGAAAATACCAGGTATGAAGATCAAAGCTGCTGGTGAGTCTAGACTTCGAAAGCACCAAAAAACTGAACCAACTATCAAGTGTCCCATCAGTGGTATTATGGTACCAGAACTGCAATTTGATTCACACCTAAAAAGTCTCCTAAGAGACCCAAGATACCAGGAACAACAAGACAACTATATCAAAAAGAATTTCAAATATGCATCCAATTTGACTACAGATCAAGTCTACGATAATATCAAAAGAATTGCCAAACGACAGTGATACCAAAGTACGTACAATTTATTAATACATATACCCGAGTGTATACGTTTAAGCCTTCAAGGAAGAGGCTCTTCTCTTTCTAATCTCAGCTCTCTCGGCCTTACGTTCGTGCAAACGTTGAGCCAACAATTGGGCGTATTCAGCAGCAGCGTCTCTTTGTTGTTGAGCGTTCTTGATCTTCTTAGCTTTCAAAGCTCTCTTTCTTTGCAAGGTTTGAGGAGTAACCAAACGTTGAATCTTTGGAGCCTTGGTGTATTTCTTGTCACCCTTGACAACCTCACGTCTGACAACAAATTGTCTAACGTCATCCTCCTTGGACAAACCAAAGAACTTTCTAATGTGGTTGGCTCTCTTTGGTCCCAATCTCTTGGCAGTGGTGGTGTCAGTCAATCCCTCAATGTCAGCTTCACCTTGCTTAACAATGGACAAAGACAAAACAGCCAAGTCTTGACCAACAATGCATCCTCTAACGGACTTTCTCTTGCGCTCACCGGTTCTTCTTGGTCTGTAACAAGAGTGTCCCTTGGCCAACAACAACTTAACTCTGGTTGGGTGCATAACACCTTGTTTCATTGGGAAACCTTGCTTGTCGTTACCACCAGTGATTCTGAAGATGTAACCCTTGAACTCGTCACCGACAGAGTCACCTTCGACTTCTTGGCCCATACGCTTCTCGTAGAAGACTCTCAATTTGTGTTCATCGTCAATGTCGATACTCTTTTGGGTACCGTTAGCGGGATAAGAGATGTTTAACTGAGTTAGTATCAAAGATAAAAATCCTATCGATCATTTAGACTTGGCTATAGCACGGGCTGGTATATCTTTCGAGTTATATGGACCATAATGTGGAAACTTACCTTCATGCTGGTGATTCCTATTCCTGAGACTTCAACAAGTGAACTGAAAATTTTCGTGCTAGTCTTTTTTTCTGAGAACTGTATACAGGACGGCGGGTCGCGGGGATCTGTGGTAGTGGTCCCGTGCCAGGGCAGAGCCCTAACGAGGAAGATAAGCAAATGCAGGATATCAAGTAGAACTGTACGACTTACTACTACCTTGTATTGTTACACGAGTTTATAATGTTACATGTTCAACCCTTAGCTTCTCTCTCTAGTTTACATCTCATTCCTTTTTTTTATCGTAGACTTCATACATCAGCGACGGCAGTGGTTCCAGCTTTCCCTGCTGTGGTGTAGGTCGGCCTTGCCATGGACCACCAGATGGCATCATATTAAAGTACTGAGGCATACCATTGGTCATGGGGGTCATACCTGGTTGGGGCCAGTCTTGAGGAGGATAAAAATTTGATGGAGATGGAAAAAGGTCAACGTAACGAGATGGTAGTCCCGATTGTGGAGTCTGATCTCCGCCCGAATTGTTATTTATTGCCCCCATTACAGGAGCCCCGGAAGGCTGATGCACAGAAACAGGATACTGTTGGCCATGAAGAGGTCGTAATTTGTTGTAATTATTGAATGGTGGATTGGGCATTTTGGGAAGATTTTGTGTAGACGGCGAATGCTGAGCTGATGGTGGACCTCCAGGAACCTGCCATTGGTACGGCTGTCCCGAAGTAGGACCACCTACGGGCAGAGGCTGTGGAAGTGGACCATAGAAACCAGGAGCCATGGCACTTGCTGGTAATCCAGGTGCCGTTGCACTAGACGGACTGAGTTGATTCTTACTCTGGACTGGCAACGGCAATGTAGGTTTATGGCTATCATTTGGCTTGAACGAGTCCAAATACTTGGTTCTGATACTGGGAGTTGTATTACCATTGGCATTGCGATCACTATTGTCGCTGACTGCCAGATTGGAATTATCTGGAGTTTCTTGTCGAGTAACATCAATGGCAGTAATGGTCTTTGCGCTATCATCGATCTTACCCTTGACATCAGAAGGAATTTGCACTCTCAATACAGGCCTTTGGTGGGCCACATGGTCCACATGAACCTGGGGAGGCGCAGGCGGGGCGACTGAGCTTTGGTCAGACTCGCCATATGGACGACCTATTCGGATAGGAATGCTGGGTTCCAGCTCCCGCTTCCGTTTCTTACGTCTAGGAGGAGTGGATGAGTCGTAGTCAGCCTCCGAATCTTCGTCTTCATCGTTGGCATAATCACCAATATTGCCCATAAGTGGAGCACCTCCAACATGCTTTTTTTTCTTGTAGCCACCATAATCTTCCGGCGACTTGGCCTCGTACTTGATGTCAATATGCTTGTATGTCTTCAAAAGCTCGTCTGTATCAACGCTGCTGTATTCGTACACTTTGGAGTTGTTTCCAAGGATGATGACCGCGAGATCAACCTGGCACAAAACCGCCAATTCATGAGCTTTTTTGAAGAGACCTGCCTTTCTCTTGACAAACGTCACTGTCCGGTTTCGCTCGTCCGTAATTGGCTCGATTTCAATCTTTCTCCGTCCCATTTTTCAAACAAATTAGGGGAACTGAAGAATCACTAGTGAGGTAAAAATGACAAAGAAACACACTTTGAGCTCTGATGGTTGAAGTATGACAGTAATATATGAAGCTTGATAGCAATTCTGAGCTTTAAAATGCTTTAGATGTTGTCGAAGTGATGGTGTGTTTGTCCCTAGATCCGTTCGATGAGGCTGTATCGAAACAAAAGTCGCGCAGATGATTAAAATTCCAATGAGTGCACCGGCACATAAACCTGGTTACCAAAGAAAGTTATCACTATATTATAGTGAAGGTAGAGGTTGCAATTGAACAATAAACTTGTGTAATTGTTCGTAAAAAACACTAATTTTTAGCGTTTTTTTTCGTCCCTGACATCATGCCCCCACCTACAGCGGGGCGCAGTCACAGTCAGCCTACATGGCTGTGATCTTAGGTAATTACGGGCAGGGGAAATCTACCACCTTTATAAGTACTTTTAGATGTTTCCACTGGATCTATTAATGGAGCATGGAGAGGGCATCTAATCTCGGGGTTCTGCATTGTTGTCCGCTTCTATTTATATCGGAATGTCAGAACTATTTTTAGATTACTTGGCAGACGTTGAACATGGCGATCGGAGATGCAGGTGCTAATTGAATATTATAATGCGAAATTACGAGGTCTTTGTGTAGATGAGATAAGACATAGAAAGGGATGATTGTATCAATTGATAGCATTAATAAATTAATCTTTGAAAATGGTTTATAGACGAATCCAGTCACCCAATACAAATCTAGTCTCATATTACGTTAATTGACATTTGCAACTCACTTACTCTCTAGTAGTGTTGCGAAATACTGAATTACTGCAAAAAGCTGAAAAATTACCAAAAATAAAAAATTTCCAAATTTCGAAAATCAAAATTCAAATCTCTTAAAATCAAAACCAACTATAACGAACAACCACATTAGTCCACCCTGTCTCCACCTGTCTACCTGTCTTTCATTCTCATCCACCTTGATCTTGCCTGATCCTCACATCCATACACCGACAATGGGAACACGCTGCGCGCTTTGGCCACACCATAAAGGCTGTCGTTACAACCATGGAAAGTGACGCCGGTGCCCAGCAGCCTCCCGAAGCGTCAGAAAACTCAAATATGTACGGGGGATACCAAACTGAAACCGAAAGTGATCCCTTGGTTTATAAAAGTGATAATAATCACAATCCTGGTTCAACGAATTTGGACGGCCCAAATTCCATTGTTGCTCAAACCGAACCCAATGCCGTTTCCGAGAGAAGAACAAGTGTTCTTCAGCAAGCAGACGATGTGCTCCCTCGTCATCTGTCCATAGATGATGCAATTGCTTCGGTAGCTCGTCAACTGGCGGGATTTAGTGAAGACTTTCTTCGCCGTGACCTGCGAGTGTCGGCTTCTCATAGTTCACACAATGAAGCCGGCCATCATGCTGATTCTGAACAGCTTGAAACCCGTCTTCCAGTGCCAGAGAATGTCCAGGAACACAACAATGTGTCCAATACTGAGAACCATGAAAGTACAGGAGCTCCAGCAGATGATTCGTTTTTTTCTGAACTAGCATCCAGACCCGAGACTTCGGAGCAGTTTTTCAGCACTCATGCGCAAGAAGAGATAACCCCCTTAGTAGATCCATTACAAGAGGTGGACGAGCGTCGTGAGTCATTCCCATGGGAAGAGCTGAAGGAAGGAGCCGATTTCTTTTCGAGCCTAGGAAACTCTGAACACAACCAGACCCCTGCCTCGGGTACGGAAGAGCATGAACAGTCTCATGTCTCTACTCTGTTTAATGAAGAAGAAACAGCGATTACTCATGGCAACGAGGAAAGTATCCCATGGCCCTCTTACGACGAAAATAGTCACGAAGCTCATGCTCAGCATACCTCTGAGGGTGCGCAAGAAACTGACTCAGTTGCTCCTCTGGCTCACACTGTCCACGAATCAGATTCAACGCCTACTCCAAAACCAGACTCGACCAATGAGCTTGATGAGCTCTTTGCTGGAGACGACGACGATTTCTTGCAAGAGATTGTGAAAGACCAGGAACCTGTAACAAGCAATGGAAATCAGGATACGAAGACACCCAGCTCGCAGGAACCAGAGCCAGCCGAAGAAAGCCAAGTTAAAAAGAAAGATTCCTTTGCATTCTTGGAATTAGACGATGACCTTCTTTTGGATGATGATTTATTACCAGATGAGGAGGACGAAGGAGAGATTAACAGCAACGCAACAGTAGTCCAGCCACAGACTACAACTACATCTCGTTACAGCAGACCACTGCAGCCAACGTCAACTTCATCGTCTTTTTCCAAGCCAGTTGCTGCTCAAGAGTTTAACAAAAAGCTTGAAGAAGCTAAAAAGAAACATGATGCGTATGATTTCCCATCAAATTTACTACACCTGTCAATTAAACCAGCCCCAAGAACGAACAACAAGTATGCTGCACCATCGGGCTCAGCTGGCTCTCCAAATTCGGCATCAGCTTCAGCTCCACCACCCCTGCTGACTACGTCGCTACCATTGCACCCTCAAGCAGCTCCAGGTGTAGCACAAGAGAATCGTCCACCTCTTCAGTCGCACAGTTCTGCACCAAATCAGGCTCCTTCCAAGTCTCCAGCCAAAAAGTCATTCTTTGAGGAACTCCCCATTCCTACTCCAAGAGCTGCAGTGAGACCCGCAAGAAGTGGGCCATCGAAGCCATCTCCTGTGACCGCAAAACCGGCAGTTGGACAGGCTCAAAAGAAACCAACACAGCCTCCTGTCAACCCATATGCCATGCAAAACCTCAAGACTCCCTCCGCAGCATCCAGTCCAGCAAGTGCTGTCCCACAAGTTACATTGCCCAACGCACCTGTTGGTCCAGTTCCTCCCGTGGCCCCCATTGGTGGTGTGGTAGCTCCAGGTCCATTTTCTGATATGGCATCGGTAGCTCCACTTCCACAATCGGCACCCCAAAACTCGTTGCTGGCAACTCCCAATACGACATCACAACCTCGAAAGTTGTCAAATGCAGGTTCTAGCCCATATGTTCCCAAAGTGGGTCCTTACGGACCATCTGGCCACACCAGACATCATTCCAGAGCGAGCTCTTTGGTAGGAGCAAAAGGTAAGGAGGTCAATCCCTATGCCCCTGCTCTTTCTCCCGTGAATGCAAGTGGTGGGCAAATGCTGCCTCAAAATCAAGCTTCGAGTTTGTCCGCTGTAGCACCACCGACAGCTCATCTGTCCGCCACGGCTAGTAGGTTACGTCGGATTTCGAATCCTCGCTCCATTTATGGAAATGCAGTTGCGCAACAATTGAAGCCAGTGGACCCTAATATTAGGTTTCAAAAACAATTTCCAATCTTCAACTGGGGTCTCAATAACAATGTTTCTATGATTCCTAAGAACATGCAGAGGAACATAAACATCAAGCAACTCACGGGCGGTGCGTTTACGGAAATCTTGAAATCTTTCCCGGGACCTTTGAGTAAGAAACTGAAAGCAAAGGACGTTGAAAAGTGGCTTAAGACCAAAGTGACCCATTTGGACAGCTCTACGCCTAATGTGGCCACAAATGAAGCGAAGCTTAGCGATGAGGTCGGTGAAATCCTAGCAGCTTTGGTGGCCTCGAATGGAGACGTTAGGTCGCAAGAATTCATCTCTACTGCGTGCTCCGTCTTAAACCCACACCATTATTCACAAGTGGAGGCGATGGCAACACCACAAGGCTCGAATCATTCTGCAACGGCATACAAGCTCGACAACAGTGGTCTGAATCAATTACTCACTTATTGCCAGGCGGGCCAGACTGATCGTGCGCTAGAGCTCTGTGTGGCAGCGGGAGATTGGGCGTTAGCTTTGATCATTAGTCATAGCATGGGACCCCAGGCATTCGGAAAAACCGCTAGCGACTTTGCTCGTACCTCGTATCCATTCCAAAAATCTCAAAGCAAGTTGAATCACCTTATGCCTATTATTTTGAAGGTTTTCTCTGGAAATGTGAAAAGCATTATTGAGGATTTCCAAAACGTTGCGACTGAACTCGAATGGGTATTGTTGCATTGGAGGGACGTGGTGACTCTGATAGCTGCAAATGCCATACAAAATGGAAAGGTGAACGAATTTCTCAATGAATTTGGTCAACTCTTAGCATCGCACGGCAACTTTATAGGGCGAGACGTTTGTTTTATTTTGACTGGGGCACCTCTTTCCCCTTCATTTTCAGTTGTTGGAGGAGACAGCCAAATGGGACTTTTCTATACTGAGATTTACGAGTATGCTCTCAGCCAACGTTCAGCAGCAACTGCAAACACTTTGTTGCCAACACTTCTGGTCAAACTCCATCATGCCCAGCTTTTAGCAGATTATGGGCTCAATGTTGATAGTCAACGGTACTGCGATCAAATCGGTGCATCTTTGAAAACAACCAAGCAACAGGTGCCGCCGGCAATAATTCACGAATTCCAAAGACTTTTGGTACGGGTTTCTGACACCGGAGCAAACGATCAAAGTTGGTATGGGGGTATTGGAAAGATCAATAAGATGTGGGGTCAACTCGATAAGTTGATCAGCGGTGACGAAAACACTGAAAAGAAGGGAGAAACTGGGTTGTTTTCCAAGTTTAGTCCTTCAGTTTCGAGAAATGCTTCAACAACTGACATACATGCGTTGGATCGCCCAGAATTTCACAGTATGGTCAGCTCCATGTCTGCTCCCATAACCCCTGGTGAACAATATGGAAGAACACCCTCTTCTGTGGCACCTGTCACATCGCTACTGGGAGTGAGCTCATCTCAAACGAGCAACCCTTTGACTTCCGTACCTCGTTATGCTCCGCCAGCCAAGAATAGTCGTCCACAGCAATCTCCACAGCAACCAACTAGAAGTCACGACATGGCCCCACACAGCGGACTGCGCTATGCGCCATCAAACGCTTCGCTGCTGAATTTGGGGAACCCTGAAGAAGCCATTCAATCACGAAAACCACCTTCCAAGTACTCTAGACCTGCTCAAGTTGGAGCAGCTTTCTCTTACAATAATCCAGTTGCTGAAGCCTCCAGTCTGTCAATTGGCCTGTACGGGTCGCACGCTGTTCCAAATCCACCACCAGCTACTCAGGGCCACACCAAGCAACCCTCGTTCAATAGCATTGTGTCCAATGATTACTCGGTCATTAGAGATCACAACAGATCTCCTCTGGTTCAAAGTGACATCAGCTTGGATTATCCCGTTGATTTTAGAGAAAGAATCGCAGAGCTGAAGCAGGAGTCAGAAGAGAATGCAGATATAAAGCAACTAAACGAAATACCTACCAACGGAAACGGCAACGAGAATACTCAAGCTCAGTCTTCGAAAGACCAATCTTCTCCATTACCCTACGCTAACCAATCTGGTACAACCATGGACTCAACAGAGGTAGCTTCTCAACAATCACAGCAGCCACCACCACCACCTCCCAAACTTACACAGACACCAACGCAACTGCCATCAAGAGGTCCACCACCAGCTGTATCAAGATCGCCATCCCAACCACCAAAGGCCAATCCTTATGCCCCTGGAGCCCGTACGAATAAACCTCGTGGAAGAAATCGGTATGGTCCTCCCAGCGCATTAGGATCGAATGCGCCTAGCGTTCCTGAGGTCAATGGTAATAGAGCACTGGAAGAGCCCAAGAACGTCAATCCAAAAGTACATGAAGAAAAGACTTCAAATATAGACGACAGCTTTACTAGCAGTTACCAGGAAGATACACAAATGAGTCTGCCTCTGCTCATGCTCAACCACAACCAAGGCGCAATCAACCAAACAGAAAGACCAAATAGTAAATTTGGTTTGGGAGACGAGTTCCCAATTCCTGGATCGCCTGAAGTAACTACAAGAGCAAATCTGGTCTATGGTGGCCATGGGGGATTTTTCCTGTCTAGATTGTCCCAGTCACAGCAGTCGACAATGTATCAACAGTATGAGGTGACGGATGATACTGTACAAGACTATGTGCCTGTAGTGGAAGAAGAAGACGAGGAAGAAGATGCACCCAAATCGCAATCTAGCCAGCCAGCACAGAATGGAAGCAAATCAGCTGCCAATGCAAAGGGACAAACAGGGCTATTCAGCATTTTTGGAATGAGAAAGAACGACGGAAAGCCAAAGCCTATACGTGCCAAGATGGGAGAGCCTATGAAGCTAGTTTATGATGAGGAGATGAAGGCATGGATCGACCCTTCAATTCCTCGCGATCAGCAACTCAAAAAGGCAGCACCACCACCTCCACCGAAAATGAAGACCAGTGCTAAACCTAGTAACGTACCAAGTGTCGGAGAAGCACCCTCGCAACAGCACACACCTCAAACGGGACCAGTGCTTCCACCAGGCAACCTGAGTGGACCCACCCCAAAGCCGATTGGCAGTGGACCCAAACCGCCAGCGCCTAGAGCAGGCACGAAACCACAATTGGCAAATGCTAATTTGGACGACCTTTTGTCGCTCAGCTCTCAACCAGGAGCAGCAGGACGGAAACCCAAGCGTGGAGCTCGCCGTGGCTACGTGAACGTCATGGAGCAATGATTATCGTTTCAATATATAGTACTCGGGAACCACGGTATGATTCCTCAATTTGCGGTCGGTTGGCGAGTCGTCTGCGAGGATATAGCCGAGTTTCAAGTACCATTGGAGTGCGTGGGTATTGTCTGTGAACACGGTTAACATGGTAGCCTCGCAGTGTAAAAGTGGAGGTGTTTCTGGAGATTTGAGAGTTTCTGCCAACCGGTGGAAATCCAGAAGAAGACGAGACCCAACCCGAAGGTGCTGGTAAGCGGGATCTACGTGGATTTCGTATAGATAAAGTACCGGTTCATCGTCTCCACGAGTAAGCATATAGGAAAGAAACGCTACTAATTTATCATCGCAGACATACAGTATATATACGAGCCCTGGTGTGACCATTTCCTCTTTCTTTTGTTTGTGCCATTGTCGACCTTGGGTCCGTATGTAATGCTGTCGCAAATTAGTATCTATTAATGAAAGAAGATTTGGGATCTTTACAGTACGAAAGTCTGAACAAATTCTTTTGGCCGACAATTCCCCAACTTCCAAGACATCAGGAAAGATAGTGCATGACACAGAGGACAAGGCAGTGGCCGCAGCAGCAACCAATTGAGGGTTATCCTCGTCCAATTCTTGATTCAATGCGATGCTCATCAAGGTATAATTATGCAATAATTTCACGCGCGAGCAATACCGCGAAATAAAATAGGTAACGCTATTCTTCCTCTCTATATTCACCAAAAGGTATCAGAACGCAAGATAAGGTGACTATCAAAATACTACATTGCCACAAGTCACAGCCACCCACACTTGGTCACCAAATAAGTTGTTCAAGCTCAATTGCAATTTTACCATGAACTCATCTCCGTCCCAAATAGCTCACCAAAGAGCCACAACCCATCGTCGACCCGTCCAAAACGACCACCGCAAGCGTGGGCGACGAGAGGCTCAAGAAGCACGACACCGCACCCAAATGGCGCGCATAGATTTGGTCCGAGAGAAGCAAGCTGAGCTTCAAGCTACTGGTGATATTCACCAGCGCGCGGCACGTGACGCCAATTGGGAAAACGATTTGGATGCACTTCTCGAGGAAGAGCAGCAAATCCTCGAAGAAATGCAACAATTGGAACTAGAAGCATTGGAATTGGACGAAACTCTGGCCGATCCCTCGTTTCAACCCAGTTGGCAAACGTCAAAATGCGAGCAAGCGGCCGACGGCGCGCGGGCTCAAAACCACACAGCGCCAAATTCAAGTCAGAATTACGACGACGACGATGACTGGGACATTGGCAACGAAACGATCGAGTGTATTCTCGCGGCGGAGGCGAAGCTGGCTCAACCACATGATTGGAATTAGCCGAAGTACATTTTTCGCTTTCACGATGGTTTCGGACCCTGATCGTGTTTCACACATCTTTTTTAATCAGATCCATCGCGCAAAATAATCTCGGCACGAAATTAAGAATTGGGGTTACAATAAGCGGTCAAAAGCCCTGGACTAGAACCCACTTCATCCTGCAATCGCTGATTGTCACACATGAGGCGTACGGACATATACCCGAGCTTATTAATGATTACCGGCTAGTTGTTATGCATGCGGGCTATTCAGCACCAACACATGCATGGGCAAGGTTAGACGCAGGAATTGTGACTGTTACGGGCGTGCGAGCCCCATCAAGCGCATTGTTTATGGTTTGGATGCAGTCCTGATTTATCTGATTATTCCAGTTTCTGCACTGGTTGACGCATGGTGTGCGGCCCGCGTGCATTGACATGCATATCGGATAACAACTCGAGCAATAGCCATGTGTGCTTCTACCAACTACAGCCAATCAGTGCATACGGTAATTACCTTATTCTGTCGGGCAAAAAATTTTCGTTCTTTCTTTCTTGCGGTATAAATTGTCGACGATAGTATCAGGGGTTGAGCCATAGGGAAACTATAAGGGCATCGAATAAATTTCTATAAGCTTCATCAGCCTCACCAATCTTTTCACAAACTATGCTATTGATAAGATATTTGGCACTTAGTTTGCTAAGCTTGTTCACTGCAGTTGCGGCAGAGGGTGGTTTACATATCTATTCCAGAGATGAGTGTGCATACCTAGCTTGTTCAACGCTTATTGGCAAGCAAGCTCTCTACTTTTCTGAAGAAGAAGAGGATTTTGGATACTGTGACAATAATCGTCAACAAGCATTTGGTACAATGGCTTACTGTTTGATGACAAGTCCTCGAAGCGGGGCATTGGATTATTTCATCAACTACTGTCACGATTACGGATTCGATTTGACTCATTCTGACCTCATCAAATCAGCTAAGAACGCTTCGGTTTACGCCACGAACACTATCACTGATCCTGATTTCAGCGAAACCGCTTTATACTACAAGCCTGCTCTTTTGAAGCCAAAGAAGATCGCATCTGCTTACTATTCAGCTTGGGGAAGATTTGGAAATTACAACTATGGAACATGGTTCGGAGTAGCATTGATCGGATACTGGTTTTTTGTGTTCCTCATTGCCGGTCTTTGCAACTTGACCTATTTTTTGTTCCCATCTTTTGTCAAGTCCCTTAACGGTCGCATCTCCAAGACATTCAGGGCCTACATTTCCCTTCCATCTTTTGGACGTAAGACTCACGCCCATCACAAATCGTTCTTGTATGCATTTGAGTGGTTGGTTCCCACTCGTCTCGAGTCTATCTTGGTTATTGCTTACTGGATCATGTTGCTTTGTTTCAATGTTACCGTCTACTCTCATCAAAGTCCCAACTTGTATTGGCCAAAATCCAAGCTGGCAGAAATGGGTCGCAAGATTGCAGACAGAACTGGGTTCATGAGTATGTATATGATGCCTCTCTTGGTATTATTTGCCGGACGGAACAATTTTTTGCAATGGTTGACCGGATGGTCTTACTCAAGATTCATGATTTTCCACAGATGGATTGCCAGAAGTGTCACCTTGTTGGTGTTGCTCCATGCTGTTGGAATGACATACAATGCCAAAGGTATTGGAAAGGGAAAGTATGAGACGAGAAATGCCCAGCCATATGTCAGATGGGGTTACGTGAGTTTCGTGGCTATGTGTCTTATGTGCTTCCACTCGCTTTTGTGGTTCCGTAGACACCATTACGAACTCTTTGTTCTTTCCCATATTCTCTTGGCTGTATTCTTCATTGTTGGCGGGTGGATTCATGTTGCTGACGACCAACTTGAACAATTCTTTATTGCGTGCACTGCCATCTGGGTATTTGATAGAGTGGTGAGAATTGGTCGCTTGTTGAGTTTTGGTGTCCAAGAAGCCACCTTACAGTTGAGAGCCAACGAAACCATCAAGGTCACCATTCATCGTCCGGCTTACTGGAAACCTTTCCCTGGATGCTATGCCTTTATTCATATTTTGAGACCTACCCACTTTTGGCAAGCCCACCCATTTACCATTGTTGAATCTGCCATCGAAAACAATACCATCACCTTTTACTTGAAGGTTAAGGGAGGCATTACACATGGCTTGTACCGTTTCTTATCCAACCAACCAAATCAAACTGCTAAAGTTAAGGCTCTCGTTGAAGGTCCCTATGGCCAGCGCAGTGCAGTTGACAGATTTGATAACACTGTGTTTTTAGCTGGAGGTAATGGTGTTCCAGGGTTGTATTACGAGGCAATGGACATTGCCAAGCGTGAAAATAATGCTCACAGGGTGAGATTTTACTGGGTTATCCGTCACTACCGTTCTATTGAATGGTTCTATGAAGAACTCTTGAAGATGAAAAATGTCAACATTGAGCCTGTGATCTATGTCACGCAGCCTGATGTGGGACTCATCGATCCGTTCTTCAGAGACTCGGAATCTGTTTCGGAGGAAGAACTCGAAAAGAGAGAGGAGAACAAGGAAGATGTCCTTGAAATAGAATCGCAAGATTACGTCCAGGGCTTGAAGGACAAACTTTCCTTTATAGAATTCAGAGAAGGTCGTCCGGAATTGGAAGCCTTGATCGACCAGGAGATCAAAGATGCCGACGCTCCTATTGCTTTCGTGACTTGTGCTCATACCTCCATGGTAGACGACACCAGAAAGTATATTTCACAACAAGTTCCCGGGTCCAAGCATCGTATAGAACTCTTTGAACAGATTCAAGGATGGTAATTAGATTCTATAGGAAACTCGACATTGAGCAAACTATTCACATACCAAATCTGTCAATATCAAGCGACGCCGCAGCCAAGCCTCCGGCACACAACGACTTCCATTACACAAAACGCGACTCCAATCGCGCTCCAACTCTTTCAACAAAAACAGATCAGGAATTTTTTTTTACCGAAATATCCCTCAAACAGTCATTCTTTTCCTAAGGCGAAAGGCACCAGTATCTTTCCCACCTTAGCCACCTAAAACTCACTTTCCTGTGTTGCTTCAGTCAGTTCTGATAAATTTCGGATTTTTCTCGAGCCATAGGACAGGGGTAATAACCATCGTTTGATTCCAGCTCTGGCTACTACACTCGCTTAACATCGTACCAGATACTATAGAATGGATCCTGCTAACATCTGGCCTTTGCTTTTCCCCCGTAAGTCCGATGACGACGGATGCAGTGGGAGCAATAAAAACTCAGCCAAATGCGAAAAACCCGTCAACAACGACGATTCTTTGACCATCGGATTGGGAGTGGGTATTCCCGTGTTTGTGATTCTTTGTGTGTTGGGAGTAATTTTGTTCAGAACTATGCGTCGGAACAAGAAAGAAGCTATGGAACGTGATCCCGATTTTGACGAGACTGGCGAGGCTACCGCGTTGCCCGATTTTCCAAATACTCAACAAACCTATCAAATGGAGAACCCCTTCCATAACCGAAACTCATTGAGGTATCCACAGAGCATGGGAGCTCATAACAAGTCTACAAGTTCTTTGAATAAGAGTGAAAGTAATGATCCATACTTGGATGCCATAGTGTTGCCATACCATCACGATACAGGTTCCAAAGCATCACTCGATATGTTTGCTCGACAATTGAGTGAGCTCAACACCACGCCGAGAGCGTCGGGAATCATTACTAGGACAAGAAATTCTAGTTTCACTAACGCCAGCAATTTTCAAATGCCCCACTCTAATAGTGTCTCTCCTCAAAAATCTAATTTGAAAGAGGCCAGAGCTCCTCAGGGCCGTAGTCCAACTAAAAAAGTCGGTGGTACAACGTATGCCAATGTCCCAAGTGGTGCTGAAGCTGCTGTATCTGATGCTGCTTCATTGGAGCTGGTCTCGGATTCGGAAACATCTGGATCTGACTCTTTGACTACAGGAACTAGAGGGGACAAATTCGCTCTCAATTACGAAAACGAGTCTACTGCTAGCTTTCCTAATCAAAGCAAGGAGTATGCTGGTCAGGGCTTTTCTTCCAACACTACTACCGACCACTCTTATACATGGGATGAAAAGGAACACGCCGTACCTCAGTTTACTATAAACAGCCCAGAAACTGAACTGAAGGAGCGAGAACCAGAGGCCAAGAATATAGAGCCACCTAGCATGACTGAGCGTGAAGAGGAAACTGAACATTCTCCATTCAATGACTCACAGGTTGCCGAGACTCTGAGCAATTTTTTGCTCGGAGAAGAGCCATCTGACCGCCAGGAAGAGTTGAGCACGAACTTCTTCAAGGCAGGTGAGCAAAAGGGACTTGCTGTTGAAGAAAAACCGGCTCGCAGCAAATCTCCTAGAATTTCTGCTTTCAATTTACTCCAAAACGATAGTGATGACGAGGGAGCGGACGAAAAAGTACTATCAGCTGAGCAGGAAGAGGAGTTGCAACGTATGAAGTCGGTCTATAAAGTGTATTTCGATCGTGAAAACTCTGTTAAGCATACGGGTGAGGGAGAAAACAGAGAATTCAAGTATGACCAGACTCAAGCGCTTCCTCAGATCAATGCTGAAGAAATGGACCGATTGAAGATCAACAACGAGTTGCACACTGATACAAATTATGACAAGAGGTTGACGACTACTTCTTCGATTTATGAGAACCCCGATATTTCTTCAGCTGAGCAGTCATATATGTACCAACAGCAGCAATATGCTCAGGGTCAGTATAACCCCAACTACTACGGACAAGAATATGGATACGGAGGACAATATCAGGGTCCTCCTCCAGAACTCCCACAGTTGCAACAGTTACCCCCACCTTCCGATATCCGTAAGTCTACTATTCAGACATATACCGATTTCCAACCGAAGAACAAGAATCCAGTGAATTCTCCAAAACAACCATTTGTGCCCATCGAAAATGAGGGAGTGTGGTCCAGCCCGGTGGCTTCGTCGCCACTGTTACAGTCCATAGGTACGTTTGGACCTCAGCTGACAGCTTCGATGCCCACCTATCACGAAGGTCTTGGAAACCCAGGAGTCATCCCCTCTGCTACCCAAATGTCGCGGTCATCGGTGGTAATGTTGAACCCAGTGACAGAGATTACCAAACAGAGGACTTTCCGTCCTGCTGGTTCGCTTCCTGGTAACAATTCACCCTACATACCAAGTGGTTTCAACCAGTCGGAAAACGACTTGATCCCTAACAACCGTAAGAGTGATGTTAGGAGAATGATGAATACCAACTTTTAGCTACTATACATTTCATTTATTTCATGCTAATTCGTAATCGTCGATCTTGTTCTTGTACTTGAGAACATTCCTCTTGATCTTGGAAGTGTCAACCCAAGTCAAGTAGTCCTCCAACAGACGAGTGATTAAATATGCTGGATCGGTAATCACATTGGGTCCGACTCTCACATGTCCTTGTTCTATAAATGTGACTGCGTCCTTCAATGTCTCTGCCATCTTGAGACGGCACATCACCACTCCTATTCTTCGGCGACAAAATGCACTCACAGAAACCTTATTTTCCAAGTCAGAAATCTTGGACTTACTTGCCAAGACCCCCATATTGTAGAGCTTCTCTAATAAGAGCTGCTCGTGCTTGATTCTATAGGGATCCGTGGGTTTTAAAAGAGAAAGTTTGTGTGCCAACTTGCGAATCTCACCGCAGATTTTATTGTACTTGTGGTAGTCTTCACGGTTCTGGATATGGTATGTACGCATCACCTGCGTATCGCGGTGGTTCTGGTCCTGCTTCCAGTCGAGGAAGTCGACTTTTTTGAGCAACTTCAGCTCATGATGCTTCAAGTGTCTAACCATTATTGAACTGTTTCCGCGATGAGGTTGAAATATATCGCTGCTTACGTCAGCGGTGGATACAGTGAAATACTAAAACAAGGTATAGAATTAAAAGTGTTTTGTAGTTGTGATGAAATATTAGCTGAATCTTGTGCCCACATGTAGTAGGAGTCTTTTCGTTGACAAATGAAATTATGACAGATTTCAGGCTTTTGAAAAATCTTAAACTTTCGAATCAAAGACAATAGATTGTCTTTTTTACCCTAGCTCCTATGACAATTAGCCGTGCTCCATGACTCAGTAGCACTTCCTGCAAAAGAATACCAATCACTATTTTTATTCTATCAATTCTTTAACCACCTCCAGTATCCTGCACACAACTCGTTATACGCAATTTTTCACCAACTGTCGATTTTGTAACCACGAATGTTGCAATCGATCCGACTTTCGGCGGTCCGGTCCTTCTCGTCCACGACTGCAAGGCTTTCCAATGTGGGCAAGCAACCCATAAAACTAGGAGAAGGCGTAGAATGTTACACGGAAGGCATTCCATACGAGTTTTGCAAGTCGTTCACGAAAGGTAAAAACACCATTAAATTGAATAAACAAGTCATTGTAAAGGGACCAAAAGGAGTACTCAAGGTGGCAGTTCCCGAGTTTGTCAAGGTGGAACTGGGAGATGGCTTGGTCAAGGTTAGCGTGAATGATGCTAACGACAAAATTCAACGTACGATGTGGGGAACTTCTAGAGCGTTGATACAAAACCATATAATAGGAACATCCGAGGGTCATTTGGCGATTGTTAAGTTTGTTGGTACGGGATACAGAGCCACTATTGAGCAGAAGAGCGATGGTACCTATATCGCCTTGAAAATAGGATTTCCATACAACCCTGAGTTGAAGGTTCCAGAAGGCTTGCTGGTGAGTTCTCCAGCACCTACTAGACTTTTAATTGAAGGTAAAGACAAGCAGCAAGTGAAACTCTTTGCTGCACGCATCAGAGAGCACAAAAAGCCCGAACCATATAAAGGTAAGGGAATTTATGTGGATAACGAAACGATAAAGTTGAAAGAAAAGAAGGTGAAGTAAGCTGAATGGACCGAAAAATTCTTAGGACAACCGATCTCTAGTGTTTCCGTCATTTCCAAATGTTTAGAGCATCTTGTACATATACATAGTAAAAGTGACACAAAAGTGCCGTGCGATAGTTTCAAAATCTCGAAATTTTCATTCTACAGTAATGATCAGGAAGACATTAACTACGCACCTAGCGCCGTTGAGGCCGCTAGTGATAGCGAGAAATGTAGCACAGATCACACTGATCCATTCTGTGCCTTCGATGAAGACAAAAGTCCCCACTAAACAACATTCGTTGGAATTGTCAAACTTGCGAAAACAGCTATTGGACAGACCCGGCCTTCTAGGCATCAAAAGAGGCATGATCACCTGGTATACGGAAGACGGCAACCAGTTTGCTGCTACGGTATTGGAAGTAGACTCATGTGAAGTCATGGCCAACAAAACTAAGGAGACTGATGGGTACACTGCTGTAATGGTTGGACTGGGAACAAAGTTGAAAAATCTCACACCAGACCAATTAAGGTTAGCACAACAAGCTGGAGTTTCTCCTAAACGGTCTATAAGAGAATTCAGAGTGAGAGATGAGTCTGGATTGATTCCCGTAGGCACTGAATTGAGGGCAGATTATTTCGCAGTCGGCCAGTTGGTGGATGTGTCGGGAGTGTCAAAGGGTAAGGGATTTGCTGGTGTGATAAAGAGACATGGATTTGCTGGACTTCAAGCGTCGCACGGTGTGTCCAAGGCTCACAGATCCGCTGGTTCTACTGGTGCTACACAAGATCCAGGACGAGTATTGCCCGGTAAAAAGATGGCAGGACACATGGGAGCTGTCAACCGCACAGTGTTCAACAACGAAGTGTTGCATGCCGACGGAGATGCCGGCATTTTGGTGGTCAAGGGCGTTGTTCCTGGCCCCAACAAGTCGGTGATCAAGATCAGAGACGCCAAGAAATTATACGGCCGGTCGCTCTTGAGCATGAAAAATGTAAATAGAACGTGAATACACGCTGACGAACTACAAATTTTTAGCTAATTCCTAGTTGCTCACTCTTTCAACGTCATCCTGACCTCAGGATAATGTCCAAAGCTGTAAAACAACTGATGCAAAGCATCATGAGAAGGTTCCAAAAAATAGCGAGCACCATATAAAGACAATACCCGGATGGTTCTGGTAAAAGGCAAGAACCATGTACGATAGATATTGATCTTCTGGCGCCAGAGAAATGGAGAGCGCGATGGCCTTTTATATTGTGTTGCCGGCGTGCGTGTACCAAGATGTCGTTCCCGATTGGGTTAATCCAAAAATTGCAGCCAAATCTATATCTATGTACAATTACTTCGTTCTAGTCAAGATTGAGTTCGTCAAAAGCTCGAGAGCACTACGAGCGTCCGACTCAGGCAACACTCGTAAATTACCAAGGGCCTTCATGCAATATTCTTGCGCCATCTTCCGAGTTTGTTCCACTCCATTACACTGATCTACTGCCAGACGAGCCAACTCCACATCTCCAGGTTCTTTGAATTTGCGTGAAATCAACTCACCGAGTTCGGGTCTCTCTTTCCAAGCAAAGAGAATAGGTGCCGTGGCAAGCCCGAGCTTCAAGTCTGCCTGGCTGGGTTTTCCAATGGCATTGTCACTCGAGGTGTAGTCGAGCATGTCATCGACGATTTGGAAACACAAGCCCAAATTTCGGCCGAAATCGTAGCAATTTTGCACCACGTCATCCTGAGCACCACTCAACACTGCCGCTGCCCGAGCCAGTTTGGACATTAAGGACGCTGTCTTCAAATAAGTTTTGTGAAGGTAGTACTCAAAAGCAGCATTGACATTGGTTTCATGATCTACATCGGCAGGTGTTTGCACCGAGTATTCATGCTGCTTGGTGGGAACCTTACCCGTGGGTGTAGGCACGGGCTTCAGTTCTCCTCCGTTATTGATATCTGAACTTTGGTTGAGAACGGTGTTTTTGAGCTGCATAAATTCACCCTCCACCAAATTGGCAATGGTGGTGGATAACAACTCAATGACCTCAGGATTACGGAGTCTGGCAATGGCTACCGATGCTCTGCCCAAGAGGAAGTCTCCAGCTAATACTGCCATTTTATTGGTAAAAGCAACATTCCCGCTGGGTCTACCTCGGCGAGCATCGGACATGTCTATAACGTCGTCATGGAGTAAAGATGCGGTATGGATCATTTCTACGATTTCTGCAAGCCTCCTTTGTTTCGGCAAAATCCCATTGGATGCATCGAACTCGGGCAACGCATCCATGGGCTTCGAAAGTGGGTCTAGAATCACCTTGGGGTTGATACCATGAAGAATAGCCAACGGCGAAATAGAATCATCTACCGATTTCCCGGCAACCACGGTATGCGAAGTTGGGGTTCCCTTGAACGGCTGCTGGTCTACAACGTCCAAGTCGTCAATTGCCGTTCGGTTTCGTTGTTCCACAGGAATTTTCAGCAATGCCTTCGACAAAAGCAACACAATTAATGGTCGTACGTTTTTTCCCTCGGCCTCAAAATAGTACGAACTCACCCTATTGAGGGTGGGATGGCCCGAGCCGATCATGCTGGCAATGGATTTTGCCAAATTGGACATTTCATGGCTAACAAGCAGAAAAGGGTCGTTGAACGACGCTCGGCTCGAAGGCAGAACCAATTTTTCAGCGGTTTCCACCGCAGTCTTAAATGTCAGTGTATGCCTAAGGGCCATAATACCCATGCTGGGGCGGATGACTACCCGCAGAAAGCCATACATTCCAACGTTGCTTTGGGTTTGCCTGAAACGAAAATGTCAAACTTGTTACAAATCTACCGGGCGCACGACTGTCGTGAGGATTTCGAGGCTTTCATGACATCACTCGGTGACGTAATTCTACAGTTTGCGGCCAGAAAATTGTTGTATAATACTCTATTATTGGAAAAGCTCACGCTGTTTGGGATGCATGTTGCGCAAAAACACCTCGGGGGGTGTCAAGGTGCCCAAACATCTCTTAGCATGTAGATTGAGGAAAGTAAGTCCCAAAAGATACGATGTATTGACCCACCCAAAACCTTCCGTGGCAACACCTTTGAAATCAAGTCCTTGATTACCATACTCGGCATCCACTTTGTGAGGAACAGCACCCTTGCAGACATTGTACTTTTCAACGATAACACCATTGTAGTCAACAAATGCTTTGGTGATTAAGTAGAGCCATCTATAAGCCAACCGGTTAGCAGCACCACCATAGCCATAGTTTGCCAAACCAATCCACGCCAAGATTTGCTGAGGTGCCCATCCGTATGGGTAATCCCATTGACGAGATGGTCTGCTAATACTGATCTCACCTCTGGATCGAAGAGTTCCTGCTGCCAATCCACCAAACTCCTCGAATTTGGACAAGGAATTTTTCACCAACTTGTCTGCCTGATGCTGCGATGCCACCTTGGACCAAAGAGGCCAGAAGGCAGTGGCTGACTCATATTTTGCCTGTTTCTTTTCTTTGACATGATAGTCGTAGTAAATAGAATCTTCTTCGTTCCACAAATACTTGGCGACATTTTCCTTTCTCTTTCTTGCTCGCTCTTCCCATACCCCTGGAGTATGTTTCTCGTTGGTATATGGATTAACAAGCTCACCATCAAAGAAAGCCTCAATAATAAACTGGATATCAACCTCATACTTGTATAATAACGAATTGAGGTCCACTGTGGCAAGGTATGCTGCCTTTCCTTCAAGTCTGTAACTGGTGTCATGTCCCAGCTCTCTCACGGCACGATCGTGTAAGAAGTATTCATCCAAGTCTGGCTCAATGATTTCTCCATTGTTGTACTTTTCAATGAATTCATCATGGGAAACGGAGTGTTTCTCAGTATATTTCTTCAAGATTGCGTTGAAATGAGATGATTCAGTTTCTGGGGGAATTCCCTTACCTTCAGGATGATAACAGGACAATCCAGTCAGCTCATCAAGACGAGGCGGAGCACACCAAATTGTCTCGTACTCCTTGATAGCCGCAAGAGTTGCCCGACGTAAAAAGTCTATCAGGTCCTCCAATCTCTCTGGGGCTACCTCCATGGTCTTGTTAAATACTCGCAAAGTCATATCCGTGAGAAATGGCGGTTGCGACCGTCCCAAATAATAGGAACGATTTGCGTTCAAAATCTTGCCGTAATGATGAATCTCGTAGATGAAATTTTCGGTCATTCCTCTAGATAAACGGAGATGCTCCTGCTTCTGAGGGGTAACATCAGTTAAGAGACCAAGAACCATCATGTACGAATCCCAACCGTACAACTCATTGAATCTTCCACCAGGGACGACGTAGGGTTCGTTCAACAAGTTTTTCGGATCGTTAGGATCAGGCTTAGAGCTCAACACCAAGAGACCTGGCTTCTTGTTGATCGACTTGATATAATCCGCATCGATCACTTCAGGAAGCATTTGCACGTCAAAATGCACATTTGGGTCATTTGTCTTGGCCAGCTTGAAATATTCGTATTGGTCTGGACGATTATGAGGAATATATATCCGGTTGGTCTGCCGGTTGACAACCTTGTTACCATTTTCGTCGATGTATTCCTCTTTGATTTTGGTGTCTTTCGACATTTCCACCACATTTTCCCGGGTGAGTTCACGAGTCAAACCCTTCCAGAACTGGGTAGTAATGACCCTTTGAATTCTCGCCACAGGGTTCTCGTTAAGACGGCCCTCGTCCAAAATCATCTGCTTGCGGCCGTATCTTTTGGCGATGGTGAGTTCTTGAAGCAAGTTGGACAACATGTATGTGCCTCTCACATCAATCTGGTTGTAACCGTTCGAGTTTGCAGTTCCCAACTTGAGAACCTTGGGTCCTGAGTCCTCGATGGTAATTTGGCAGTTATGGTCGGTGTCTTCATTTTCCAAAAGTTGTCTCAAAGTTGCATCGATGTCACTGATGTAAAACTTTTGCAGTTTGAATGCAGAGTCGTCGAGAGATGCCCTTCTCATTTGAAGCGATGACTTGGGCACAGACACCGAGTCTGGCAGTTGAGAAGGTACCCGTGGAGGAGGCAGCAGTAAACTGCCGGTACTCTCTGCTTGGACATCACAAGGATAAATAGATGGTCGTTTTTGTTGCGGAACCTCGTTCACCGTATCAGTTGAGTCCCGTGGGTCCGGACTGGATTCGTCGGAAACTGGGGCAGAACCTTCGACGGGATCCAAAGGACCATCATCGTCAAAAAATCGCAGTTTTGTCTTGGGCTCAAACACAGAAAATGTCCTCACCCTTCCCAATTTCGATTTAGCCGACAAATGCGAAGGGTTGGTTTTTCGTCCGTAATAGTTTTCCGCGGTATCAAACATGTCTTCTTCGCTTGATACCAGCAGTTGCCGCCGTGGCCAGAACGAACTCATTTGTACCAATTATAATATGAATGAAAAGTGAGAGTTTTAAAAATCAAAAAAATTAGAAACGGTTCGGCCGGTATTTATTATCTGTTTCAACGGTAATCTCAGATCAGCGCTGGTAAACCTTCGAAACGTGACCCCGCAAATGTGTTGTCCGTCCCGATAAACCCTCCATGACATAATTGTGCGCGGGGCGATCCCCACAGATCCTGCACATAGGGTATTGGATGCAGGTAAGCACCCTGGTACCGGTTGCAGAAGGGAATAATTTTTGCGAGCATTTGCAGGTACTGGGGGGCTTTGGAAGCGTGTCGGTTAATGGGAAAAATTTACTTATGATTGGATAAGCTGGGTTAGTTCCAGTAGACATTTTTCTTCCATATTTACTTTTGCGCGTAATTTACATTTGCACATCAGGTTCTTAGAAATTCGGTAAAATTCGATTCATGTCAACTTTGGACCCCCCTATTATAGAAAAGGTCGATATTGCCCTTAAAAAGGAATGGGATGGAGGGAGACGGCTTCTGGTGGCGCAAATGACCAGTGCTGGAAGGTCGGCAGAACTTCCAAATCAAGTGATTAGTCCTGCTGATGCAAATTCAATTGTGTCTAGTATTCAGGAGCAAGAACAACCGGGTCCAAAACAGCTCCCGCCCATGACGAGCCGCAATCCGCCTCGGAACTTGTGGAGAATTGTGTCTGTTTGCTTGTTGAACTTTGGGAACGGGTACCTGGATGCCGCTCCTGGTGCATTAATTCCTTTCATTGAGAAGTATTATGATATCAGTTACTCAATTGTATCGTTGATTTGGATGTCGAATGCTGCTGGGTTTATAGCAGTGGCTTGCCTATCACACAAAATCCGACCATTGCTTGGAAGACAGAAATCTTTAACCTTGGGGTGTTTCTTCTTGTGTGCAATGTACTCCATAGTTCTGTCCGGAACTCGTTTCCCGGTCATAGTGTTGGCATTTTTCTTTGGCGGAATAGGAATGGCTATCACGTTGGCCCAAGCAAATGTGTTTCTTGCTGGTCTAGATAAAGGGTCGAAATACTTGAGTTTCTGTCATGGTTCTTATGGAGTAGGTGCTACTATTTCTCCTCTCCTAGCCACATTAATGGTGACCCATGGAGTTCCATGGCATTACGCATACATCATCAACCTTACACTTGCTCTATCCACCGGCACAATTGTTTGGTTTTCTTTCCGTGGTGCAGACGAGGATTTGCAGCCTTGGGACGACGAACATGAACCTTTGATCTCAGACGAAATGACACCCTCGCAAACGGCCGACGAAGGTATTCAGCTTGGTGACATGTCGCAAACGCCTCGAAGAATGTCAACGGCAGCTCCTCCAAAGGGAATGAGCCATTGGGATCTCATGCAATTGGCATTGAAAAATTACTTGACATGGACCATGGCACTTTGTGTTCTCTTCTATCAAGGTTCTGAGGTATCCATGGCAGGATGGATCGTGACGTATTTGACCGAGTACCGTCATGGCAACCCTAATTCCGTGGGTTATGTTGCTTCTGGTTTCTGGGGTGGTTTGACAATTGGCCGGCTTGTAGTCGCACGTCCTGCTCATGTCTACCTTGGAGTAAGAAGAAGCGTATTGATATTTTCTGCTATCACAGTTGCATTGGTAATCATGACATGGGTCTTGCCCAACGCCATAGCAGCTGGTGTTTGCGTATCACTAGCTGGTGTGATGATTGGCCCATCGTACATTTTGATAATTACAATGGCTGCGAAAATCATTCCTCGCAAAATTCAAATTGTCTCTATAACTATCATGACTGCCTTTGGGTCGTCTGGAGGAGCAATTTTCCCTTTTTTGGTTGGTTTGCTTTCTCAGAGTGCTGGAACGTATGTGGTGCTTCCCGTCTTTATTGCCTTGTATACAACCATGATGATTTTGTGGGGTTGCTTACCCAATGCCGAACGTATGGATAAAGGCGGTATCCATTCGATATGGGAACGGATTTGGTAAGATGGAAGATTGCAATAGATTGAAATAGATTGTGATAATAGATTTTGATATGATATGGAATGCAATGGTTGACTTTCTCAGTATTCTCTACTGCTACCTTCGCGGCAATAGAGTGCGCCGCTTGCGTAAAGTAACTTTGTTCCCGGTTTGGTGAAATGTAATTCTCGTAATTGCCATCAACGGGCGGGCGTTTCCTTGCGCTTAAACTTAAAACTGTACTATAATCGCATATGGGGTAAAGAGCAAGAGCCAAAGTTTTGCATGTGGAGCAGAATTGCATTAGTTGTGTAGCAGCAAATTGTAGTCTTACTTCGTTTATTCCATTTTAACCACATACTCCAAAAGTTTTGTCTTTTTCACCATATTTTGTGAGATGCAAAACAAGTTCCATAATTAGCAATCGAAAATGACTAAGAATAAATCTCATAGATACTCTTAAACAAGAACATCCTGATTAATGTATTTGCACTCTCTTATAGTTTAAAAGCAACAATAGGCCATAATAGAAGAGCGTAGCATTCAATTTGGCATGACCGAAGGTATTTCGCTGGACGATGCCATACCAACCCAAATCGATTGAATCCACAAAAATTCCCATATCTCAGCCATGAACTTATCGCTCGATTGTTTCAAACTTGTGTCATCAGATAAGCATGTGGTGGCGATAGGTGGCCATTGGTGACAATTGGTGGCAATTTCGTTCGGCTCCGTATTATGGCCGCATAATGAGTCATTGGCGGAATTATCAACGGAGTAGTCTGCAAATTTCATGATCGCTTATCGACGTACGGCGTCATTCTGGAATCTAGAACACACAAATCTATTTGCAATTACCCAAGCCAAGCCATGGAAGAATTGTGCTGATTATTTAGGGGACCCGAAGTTGACCATTTGTCGATCATCTCAGTCAGTCAAGCCGTTGAGATTACTAAAGCAGCCTTGCACCGTTCTTCTCAACGCAGATCCTATTGTATTTTGCATTCGTGAGGCGCCGAAAGTAAATGTGCCGCTCATAACCTGTGACGGCAAATCGGATTCGCAGCCACTTTCGGAGCTGTGGCCATTACGGCAAAATAAAATAGTGAAAAGCAACGAAGAGCAGGCGCAATCTCTTCAATGGAAAACAAATTACAACATAGAGTCAAGCAATCATGGATTTCAAATGCACGTATATTGATAGGCTGTAGCCGGAGACTCGGCTCTATCTAATTCCGCTTTTGTCGTTTACGAAACCTGCGCCCCACGCGCGGCTGTACACCCAATTAGGCATGTAGCCCCGTTTACATCCGTTAACTCCTCGAATTTGTTAGCCGCTTATCTAATCGTGCGTGTGTCATGGCGCCTCATGAAGCGATGGCATAGAATATAAGCGCAAAGTTGCCCCCAAGATCAGAATTGCCATCGTATTTGAGACTCTTGAAGTGGAATTTTTATATTTCGATCACTGGCTATTTTATTAGCTTGGTATCATTTCGTGAATTTAAATCTATACTATCAACAAGAGAGCATACTTGCATTTGTCATTATCTTGGTTGTTAAACGATTACAAAATCACCGTGCAACACAGCTTTTGATTTTCATAAAAACTTGGAACATTGCTATCCAAGGAAAAGTTCGTTCATTATAATCACATCAAAACCAATATTAGTGTATCATGAGTAACGCTGAAGGGCGGCTCGAAGCTGATGTTCGGCCTCAGAAACGTCTCTTATCACGAGTACTTTCGAAAAAGGTTCCACCTATACCGCTTGATGATGAACGTAAACCATACCCACATAAATCAGCCAACATTATCTCCCAGATATTTTTCTGGTGGCTCTTTCCTGTTATGAATGCTGGTTATAAAAGAACATTGACCAGTCAGGATTTGTTCACTCTTCCTGATGATGTCAAGGTGGAGACTATGGCCAACAAATTCTATAAATCGTTTGAGATTCGTTCCAGTAAAGCTCGTGTCAAACATATACAAAAGAAATGCAAAGCCAGAGGTGAAAATTTGGGTAATTCGTCGGTGGATGCAGAAGACGATCTTGCTGATTACCAACTTCCCAAGACAGTTCCCATTTTTGCACTTTTGGACACTTTTTGGTGGCAGTACTTGACTGCCTCGATATTCTTGGTGTTGGCAAATGGTGGTATGACATGTAACCCATTGCTAAGCAAACATTTGATCAAGTATGTTGAATTAAAGGCCTATGGACACGAAACAGGAGTTGGAAAGGGAGTTGGTTATGCCTTGGGATCTGCTGGCGTCATCTTGGTTACGGGTCTTTGCATTAATCACTTCTTCTACAGATCAATGCTTACTGGCGCTCAGGCAAAGGCTGTTCTCACAAAGGCACTCCTTGATAAGTCATTCAGACTTAATGCAGAAGCCAGACATAAGTACCCCACAAGTAAGATCACCTCCATGATGGGTACTGACTTGGCTCGTATTGATTTTGCCCTTGGTTTTCAACCATTCTTGTTTGTTTTTCCAATCCCAGTTGCTATCGCCATCGCCATCTTAATCATCAACGTTGGAGCTGTTTCCTTGATTGGTGTTGCTTTGTTGTTCATTTTTATGATCGCTATTACGTTGAGTACCGTAAAGCTTTTCAAATACCGTGCAAAAGCCAATGCTTTCACAGACAGAAGAGTTGATTACATCAAAGAGGTGTTGAATAACCTTAAAATCATAAAGTTTTATTCCTGGGAACCTCCATACCACGACGGTATTACAGAAGTGAGAAGAAAAGAAATGAAAATCATCTACAGCATGCAAGTCTTGCGTAACATTGTGACAGCTTTTGCTATGTCATTGACCTTATTTGCATCCATGGTGTGTTTCTTGGTACTTTACGCAGTGAAGAGTAAGAGCAGAGACCCCGCAGCAATTTTCTCCTCTGTATCATTGTTCAATGTCTTGACTCAACAAGTTATCATGCTTCCAATGGCTTTAAATAGTGGTGTTGATGCTTACATCGGAATCACTCGTGTCGGAGCGTTCATGGATGCGGGTGAGATTGACCACAAAGATACTAAAATTGAAGCCGAGGGTGACAATTTGAATCATATGATTGAAGCCAACGATGCAATCCGCGTTCAAAATGGTCATTTTGAGTGGGAAACTTTTGAACAGGATAATGAGGAAGAGGACAAAAAGAAAGACAAAGCTGGCGAAGCCAGTAAAGAGGATTCAACTCAAGAAAAAATCAAGGGTGACGATAAATCCGAAGGTAAGACGTCCGATGATGATTCTAGCACCTTGGAGGAGAAGTCCTTTGTGGGACTCAAGAATATAAACTTGACGGTCAAGAAGGGAGAGTTCGTGGTTATTACAGGTCTCATTGGTTCTGGTAAATCTTCCTTGTTGAGCGCTTTGGCTGGATTCATGAAGAAGTCAGAGGGTACGCTCGCCGTCAACGGGTCGCTTTTACTTTGTGGATATCCTTGGGTTCAAAATGCGACAGTCAAGGAGAATATCTTGTTTGGTAATGAATTCAACGAAGAGAGGTACAAAGACGTTGTGTATTCATGTTCTTTAGAGAGCGACTTGGATATTCTTCCTGCTGGAGACAGAACTGAAATTGGAGAAAGAGGTATTACCCTTTCTGGTGGTCAAAAAGCCAGAATCAATCTTGCCAGAGCCGTCTATGCGAACAAAGACATCATTTTAATGGACGACGTTTTGTCTGCTGTCGACGCAAGAGTTGGTAAGCATATTATGGAAAATTGTTTTTCACGTATGCTTGGTGATAAGACCAGAATTTTGGCAACTCACCAGTTATCTTTGATTGGTAATGCCGATAGGGTCGTGTTCTTGAATGGTGATGGCTCCATTGAGATTGGAACATTTGAAGAATTGAGCTCGAGTAATGCCGGTTTTCAAAAGTTAATGGCTTTTAACAGCGATTCACAATCTAGCAAGGATGATTCCAGTGAATTGATCGAAGACGCAGACGACAATGAAGTGAGAAGTTTGGCGTACGAGAAATACGAAGAAGATGAAGAACGCGAATTGGAAAGAGAGATGATCCAGCGTCAAATTTCGAAACGTTCATCGATCAAAACAAATGAAATTGACGAGGAAGCACTTCACAGAGATTATAACAAGGATAAGACTGGTGATGGAAAGCTTTTCATGGACGAAGAAAAAGCCGAAAATCAAATTTCCTTCGAAGTATACAAGAATTATGCCAAATATGGCAGTGGTGTTTTCAAGAACTATGGTATTGTTCCGATTGTCTTTTTGACATGTGTGTTAGCGACTTTCTGTCAGATTTTCACCAATACGTGGCTTTCATTTTGGACTGAACATCGTTTCGATGGAAGAAATGACGCTTTCTACATTGGATTATACATTATGTTCACTTTCCTTTCCTTCGTGATGCTTACCACTGAATTTGTTTTCTTGGTTTATATGACCAATACGGCTTCTGTGAAATTGAACATAATGGCAGTCAAAAGGATATTACATGCACCCATGTCATTTATGGACACCACTCCTATGGGACGTATATTGAACAGATTTACAAAGGACACAGATGTGTTGGACAATGAAATTGGTGACCAAATGAGATTCTTGCTCTTCACTTTTGCTAACATTGTCGGTGTCATCATTCTTTGTATTTGTTATTTGCCTTGGTTCGCAATTGCCGTACCTTTCTTGGGTTTCATTTTTGTGGCTATGGCAAACTATTATCAGGCATCTGCTCGTGAAATCAAGCGTCTAGAAGCTGTCAAACGGTCATTTGTTTACAACAATTTCAACGAAACATTGAGTGGAATGGCGACAATCAAGGCTTTCAAAGCTGCAAACCGGTTTTTGAACAAGAATAACACTTTCTTGAATAACACAAATGAAGCGTACTTCATCAATATTGCGAACCAGCGTTGGCTTGCTATTCATTTGGACATTTTGGCATGTGTCTTTGCGTTGATCATTGCATTGTTGTGTGTATTCAGGGTCTTCAGTATCAGCGCAGCATCTGTTGGTTTGTTGACCTCTTACGTTTTCCAGATTGCTGGCCAATTATCGATGTTGATTCGTACTTATACTCAAGTTGAAAACGAAATGAACGGAGTGGAACGTTTGTGTGAGTACGCATTCAAAATTCCAGAGGAAGCTCCATATTTAATTACTGAGAACACTCCGCCAAAGGAATGGCCACAACAAGGTGTTGTTTCATTTGACAAGGTCAACCTTTCATATCGTCCTGAGCTCCCATTGGTTTTAAGAGATGTTAGTTTTGATGTCAAGCCTATGGAGAAAATAGGTATTTGTGGTAGAACAGGTGCTGGAAAGTCTAGTATCATGACTGCTTTGTACCGTCTCTCTGAGCTCCAAAGCGGTAAGATCATTATTGACGGTATTGATATATCGACATTGGGCTTGCAGGATTTGAGATCAAAGTTATCTATCATTCCTCAAGACCCTGTTTTATTCAGAGGCACAATCAGGAAGAACCTCGATCCATTCGGAGATTATGACGATAACAAGCTTTGGGATGCTCTCAGAAGATCTGGATTGATCGAGGGTTCCAAATTGGAAGCTGTCAAGGAACAGGACAAGGATCTGCCTACATTGCACAAATTTCATCTTGACCAGGGAGTGGAAGATGAAGGTTCCAACTTCTCGTTAGGAGAAAGGCAGTTGATTGCCTTTGGCCGTGCTCTCGTGAGAGACTCAAAAATCTTAATTCTTGATGAGGCTACCTCATCAGTTGATTACGAGACGGACAGCAAAATTCAAGCTACGATTGTTAGAGAGTTTTCTCAGTGCACCATTTTGTGTATTGCTCACAGACTCAAAACAATCATTGATTATGATAAGATCCTTGTGTTGGATAAGGGAGAGGTCAGAGAGTTCGACACTCCATGGAACTTGTTCAACCTGGAAGATAGTATCTTCCAACAAATGTGCAAGCGGTCTAACATCACGGAGCAAGACTTTACCAGAAAGGAAAGCAATTAATACAAGTAATTAGTAACATATAATCTAAGGTATGGTTTGATTATTTTGGTCCGCTTCAGCTATCGATTATGGTGTTGCTATATGATGTCGCAATTGAAATGTCACAACCCTTAATGTTCAAGTAGTCAAGATGAGAAAGAGCGCCAGCATCAAGCATGGTAACCTTGTTATATGACAAGTTTAGCGATTTTACGCTCGTAGGGAGATTCCTGAAAATTGAATTGTCTAGGTGATTAAAACTCAAATCGCAAGTTTCAAGTTCTGGACTTAAGCCTGATATGGCTGTAAGTGCATTGTGTGAAAGATCAAGTATTTTTAGACTCTGAGGGAACTGAATGTTTTCTGTGCTTCTAAGTCTGTTGTTTGATAAATTGAGCTTTCGCGTAGTCCATGGTATCACCAATTCATCAATATCACTCAATTGTAGGTGTGTAAGTACAAGTTCGGAGACATTCAAATTTGATAAATAGTCGAAATTTATTCGTTGGGAGTCATTAAAGAAAATGCCACTGGATACATGCAAAGTTACCATTCTTCTTAGTTCAGTAAAATGGCCGAGAATGAAGTTGATAAATATAGTGTTCAATTTTTGAAGGTCCAGATATTCTTCAATAAGTGTCATTTGTGGCAGTGGGTCAAGGAAAAGATACATCTTGCTTGATACCTCACATAAACCACACAACCCGCCTTTAATGATTTTACACAACTTCCTGATGCTCTTATGAATAGGTTCTCGCTCTCCTTGTGAATCAAGAATATAGTATATTCGTCTAGGAACAAGTGTTTCCTTATTATTGGTTTCCATGAATAATGACTCAAACTCAAGGGTGGATAGTATAGTCGAATAGTCAAGAATATTGTTCAAGTCGGGTTCTTTCAAGTTCCGTAATTGATGTTTCAGCATGTTGCAAACTATGATCGTTGAGTACCTTGCGGCCCGTAAGCGTCTCCAAATCTCATTCTTGATTTCATAGTCGAACAATAGAAGTAAATTGTCTATTTCATCCACTGTCAACCTCAGGAAAACATTATCTAGTATATCGGTTGGTAGTCTCCAAAATTCCATAATTTCGCACTTGGTGCGAGACTTTAAATAAGCGATCGATTTTCGGATATCTAGCTACCTAACTATTTCATTTTCTTTTTGTAATCTGCAAAAGAAAGCTTCTTCACCTTGGGTGCTGGTCGCTCTTCTTGTATTGCCTTGGGAGCTTCCTCGGCTAAAGGTATGACAGGCTCTTCAGCTTTAGTAGCAAGTGGAACCTCTGCGATAATCTCCTGCTTGGCAGCAGGTTGGGGTCTAGCACTAGAGATCTCAGCCCCTTCTGTTTTCTTAGTGATGGTTTCAGCAACCTTGGCCTTAAGATTTTGCGAAACAGGTATAGGAAGCTGGGAAATATCTACTTTTTCCACATCAGTTTTGGATTGCTTCACTTCTGCCAGTTTAGGTGCTGTTCTCGCTTTTTTCATGAGCTGCTGCTTGTATGATAGCTCCGACACGTTATCGTCATTCGACTGACTGGTAATGCTGTCGTCATAATCTTTTGGATCCAGAGTGTCTTCAGCAGTCAAACTTCCATCTTTAGTTGTTATACGCAACTCCATTCTTATACCCTTTTCTCTCTCTATCAATTTTTGTTCCCACGAAACGAACTCTCGAGGCTGTCTTGGAATGAGCTCATCCTTCGACTTTGTAATGTTAACATTGCTAATACCAGATGCCTTTCTCGTTGAACGAAGGAGATATGAAGTTGCTTTTTTAACTTTGAAAATGGCACAATCATTATTAGCATTATGATGTTCATTGACCAAAGAGCTTGAACAGCCACATTCAACAAAGTTTAAAATGTTGTCGACACCAGATATCAATACCGATTTTTCAACGTCACTAAACTGATCAAATTTCACTCCCGTGTTAGAATGCAATGCATCACCATACATTTTCCGGATAGGGTGAGTCTCGTCCCACTCCCAATCCAAACGTAACTCTTCGTCTGGCGATTCCAGGTTTAATTGAATGGGTTTCGTTGTAACCACAATGAACCTAAACGTGTTGGAGTCCTTCACATACATAGGAACAACTTTGCAATTACTTGTGGTAGGACATGATTTCCGTATAAATCTTGCTTCATTTCCCACAAACCTAGCATCAAGAACAAGATCCAAGGGACTCTCATTATCATTTTGAATTTTGACTCTAATCACATTTGGCTTCGGTGAGCCCCATAATGCATACTGGTTCACCAGGTCTTTTTTGTAATTATCAAACTTGTCAATTTCGCCAAGATATTCAATGACTGGAGTCCCTTCAGGGATTTCAATGCTCATTACATCTTTTGATTCTGTGGCATCAGTACTGACACTATCTTCGTCGTGCAGCATAAAGTCAGAATGAGATATGTAGAGACCCATTCTTGTAATTCCATTGAATTTTTGCTTTGCATTCTCGGAATAACACTTAACTTGAACCACATATTCAGGATTTCCAATAACAGGTTCACGGTTATTCTTGGTTCCAAGGATTCTAGCCAACTTCAAATTTTTGAACTCTTGAAGTGATACAATGCGAGGACTATCAGTCTGCAGTTTTTCACTTAAACCTGTACCAAAAGAGCTAAGCAATTCCTTGATGTGTGGGGTTTTGAAATCATTAGCCTTCAACTTATAATAGACAGATTGATAAGGTTCAGCATGATTGCCTTCACTTACTTGGTCATTGTCCTCGCTAACGAAAACCGGCTTTGGTTCAGGTTTTACAACGTAGAGTGATGACGAGCTGTTTTCTCGAGATTGCTTTCTTCTATCAGCTGATTTGAGGCCATCGACCTTCCCCTTTTCTGTTTTCCGTCGTTTAGAAGTATCGGCACTATCTGACGATTGTTTACGCTTGGGCTTCTCGCCATCTTTCACGTTTTCGTCATCTTGTTCTGCTTCTAAGCGCCTTATGGTCTCCTCGCGACAAGTAGCTGGATCCATTTTGCCCCACTTGGAGGTGTCACAGAAATAGCACTTGTACTCATCTTCTGGGATCTCGTCACTGGAATAAAAGCCCATACAAATGCAATGCTGCCATCTGAAGCATATATCACATTGCACGGTAAACCCATCGTCGTCCTCTATACCACAAATGCATCCTATGACGCCAGCGTCTGGATCCACTCGGTATTGATCTAATGGAGGCACAGTAAATGAGAACAGGGCTTTTCCTGGTGCCTCATTTGACTTTTTAGATTCTGTGGGGTCTTTGGGAGGAATCAGTGCTCTGGACAGTTCATCTTCTGTCTTTTCCGAGTCTTCTTCCGTTTCTAAAGCTGGTTTGAGGTGAGTCTGCGTCGGTGATTCTTCTGAATTCTCCTTTTTCAAAGAATCCCTACGCAAAGGAAGTGGCATATCTGCAGCAGCCGCAAGTGCAGCAGCGGCCAAGTGTGCGTTGTCGTTGTTTCTCTCCCCAGAAGCCAAGTTGATTCCCCTCGCTAAAGCAACACTAGCCGGTCCAGGAGACTTTCCTGGAGACTTGGCAACGCCTGGGGATTTGACAGCCCCAGGAGACTTAATCGGTCCAACGCTAGCAAGTGGAGATGGAGATTTACGTGGTACCGATGGAATCAGCTGGCTTTCAGAATAGCGCTGAAACTGGACAGAAGGCAGTAAAGGCGGTTTGGGCTCTATGTTTGCATATGGCAGCCTTGTGGGCCTTTCTTTTTCAGGGTGTTGTGTTGGGCCCGATGAAGGCTGTGCATGGCTGTGTGGTTGATGATGAGAATGAATTTGATGAGCTGGCGGCTGGCCCATGATGGAAGGAGCCGCCATCCGGGTAAGTGGGGCGGCTTGTGGACCGTTATACTGAGTACCAAGCTGGGGAATCTGTGACGTAGCTGACAGTCGAGGCGGCATGGAACCGACAAGAGGAGGCAGCCTGAGTGGTCCTGAGCCATAGATTGCCCCATTTTGTTGATACGGTGGATGCTGTGGTCCGGTTGGGTTCATGAGGTCTTTTATATGGGGAAGATTTGGTTTTTGGTGAAATTGAGGCGGTTGCTGGGTTGGAGCACCATGACCGTGCAGTTGTTTGGCCGCTACATTTGCAAACATAAGAAGCGTCGATGCATCCTGGAGTAGCTGTTCATCTTCTTTGCCTTGCTCAGACATGCTAGAAAACGAAAAATAGCCAGAAAAAAACACACCGGAAGAAACTGTGTTGTTTTATGTTTAAAAATGAAGGTAAAAACTGGAACCAAAAAGTAGCCGCGGGTGCATGGGTTTTTCGGACAGTATACGAGAATACGACGGCAGGAAAAAGGGCTGACGCCAAATAGAGTGAGAAGCAAATCAAGAACACTAACAGCTTGATGTCTGTACTATTGCTATATACATTCGTAGATATGTGACTGCGACCATTAGATGGACCACAATATAGTGCGGTGTACTGGATGCGAAATGAACCGTAGGTGACCGCAGGCGGTGATGATGAGGTGGCGAACGAAGCCAAGAATCTGATCAAATCAACAAGAAAAAGTTGGAGCAACTATGTCTCTGTCGGTCCATGGTCTCCCTCTTTTGCAGCTTTGAGTTTTTCTAAGTATTCTAGTTCTTTGCGTAGTGTGTCCATGGCATAATACACTTTGGATTGAAGGTAAAAGGAATTTCCTTTCTCCTTGGAGTTGACTTCAAACAAATAATTATACTTTTCGTCGACCTTATCGAGAGAAAGATCCTTTTTATCCAAATCAAGAATCTTGAATGCTTCATCGACCGGAATTCCTCCAACAGACCGAGCCTTAGCAGCACCTCCGGCAGCCGGAGCAGCAGCTGATGCTTTTGCGGCCTGCTTGTAGGCTTCCGTGAACGCTTTTCCAAACACGGAGGCACCTGTGAAGATGACGTTGACAAGTAAGCGATGAGCCATGACTGTGGTGACAGTTGAGGAAAAGAAAATATATGTGCGCCTCCGTACACCCGATCGAGAAGATTCGTGGTCAGCTTTTGGGTGTACGGGTGTTTGGCTTGGCCCGTAACAAAATTTCAGTTGACAGCTTACTCTACAGAATTTCTACAAAAATGTAGCATCGTGTGCTAATCTGCGGCAATTGCCAGTTGGCGCGCCACAGAACTTAACCAGCACACATATGCCAAAGCGGATCTAAAAGACCGAAACGGAGTGATAACTGTGGCCAATCTGTTAAAATGGTCAGTTAAGACTTAGCTGAACGTAAATTCCCAGTCACACGATCACTAATGTGGTGTAGTCGAGAAAATACTAGGGTCTCTATGTAGCTGCATTCCGAAAAATGCAAGTTATATATCTTATTAAAGAGATAGTATAACCACTACTGATGATGAAGAAGTTCGCAGTGGTGGACACCGCTTTTATAGGCGGCCGGCTGGCGCACGACCCACCGATGCGATGAGCTGGTGTTGTGGGTGCGAGCACCAAGTTGCAGCACAGTGAACGGTAAACAGAAAGCAGTTCTTTGTCAGCTGCTGACCTCAATTCTTCTCGTTTGAATTCCTTGGCACCCTTTCATGCCTGAAGCTGCTTCATATCCGGTCATTCAATGGCTCCGAGAAAATGGTTACTGGAACAGTGAGTTGGTAGATCTTCATAAATCCAGCTACGGAGGAATTGGAGTATTTTTGAGACCAGATGCAGCTGAAAAAGTCAATTTGGAGACTTACAGCGTGGATGAAAGTCCGGAAATCATACTTCGTGTCCCCAAATCAAATATTCTTTCGGCCAAAAATAGCTTTCTTTACAGTCTTTTAGAGGACTACGAACAAAACAGAGAAAAGTCTGAAACAGATTTGGAGGTTGATTCGGAGGTTGATTTGCGTAGTGGAATGCATGCAATGGTTCTCACATACATATACGAGTCAGCAGCTGGTCCAGAGTCACCATGGTACCAATATCTACAAAGCATCGACATAGGTAACAAGAGCACTTCTGATCTCGAAAATGTCCCTATTTGCCTTTGGCCCGAGAATATTAAGCTGAGTATGCGTAATACGGAGTGTGATATACTCAACATGCTTGATAATCGAGAACTCATACAATTTTTCATAGAATGTGTTCTATTCGCAAAGTCGTCGGCTGCACTTGTTCCAATTCCAAGTGTATTAAAGTTGCCAGAAACTCATCTCAGTGTTGATAATTTGCTTTCTAAACACTACGAAGCAATCGTGTATTTCGGAAGGCATGTTCAAACAGTCATTTCCAGAGCATTCGAGGTGGACGATTACCATGGTCTTTCGCTTGTTCCTGGAGCAGATTTATTCAATCATGCATTTCCCATTGAAAGAGACTCTCATACTATAGGGCAGGAAAATGTGCATTTTGTGAGCAGCAATGAAGTGTGTCATTTTTGTGGAGAAGTTGAATGTGACCATGAAGAAAATAGCGACGACGAAAGCGATGATGAAAATAGCAATGATGACAATGACGACGAGAATGACGATGAAGAAGGCATTGAACTGGATGAAGAACTTGGCGTTCACTCGCTGGAAGCAGAACTGGAACAACAAGAGGACGAGGAATCCACAGATATGTCAGACGCAGAGCAGGAAACCCTTCCCGCAGATGACGATTTACGAAAGGACCTTGAGTCGGGAGAAACATGCTGCGATATTGTGTTGACGAACCCTATAACTGATGGTGAGCTTCTCAATACCTATGGTAACGACCTTCCTAATGCTTATCTTTTGCAGCGATATGGATTTGCCAATCCTCCAGAATACCCAAATCCCAACGATTCATGCTTATTGTCGGTTCAGATGTTTGCATACCTCAAAAACTACAAACAAAAGTTGAGTACAAAGGAAAAGGCTGCTTTGGAGAACAGATTAATGTGGTTCGAAGAGGTGGGTTATGGAGCTGTCAATGAAATTATTCAGCTGGAACAAGAGGAACATGAACAAGATTGCGAAGAGAGAGATGGATGCGAGCACAACCATACTGAATTCCTGGATACTTGGCAACTCTCCCTCAAAATTGAGTATAATGGGAAGCCTTCTCCTCAAACGCATGCATTTCTCAATCTTGTTAAAATGAAAGAACGGGAATTTAAAGCTTTGGTAAAGTCCGTTGAACTGAATGATTTGACCAGGTTCACAACACTCTTGCTCAGTGAGTCCAATACTAACCTTGACATTATAAATGAATGGCGTCACCAACGACTCAAGAGATACGGTGAGTCACCTACTGGTGATAGTATTCAAGAAAAGTTTATCCGAGGTATTATTACTCAAGAAAAGAACATCCTAAACAAGATGATATGAACAAGAGTACTAGAATATACATACATTAGACTCTGGTGGAAATCTTAAAAAAATTTAAGTATTTTGCACCCATGTAACCCACGGTTCCAATATGCGGCTCCGCGCGACATAACATTTTTTGGTTATTAAGGCAAGTTCAGTATAACATTTGTCCACAAAAGCAACCATATAAACCAAGCGCCTGGATCCACCTTTGCTTCTAGACAATACCAGTGTCCACAGATCTCACCATATCGTAACAAGCGGTTTAAATACAAATTTCTTATTTTCTGACTCATCGCCACCATCAATGCTGGATCTGGATCAGGATTATGGCTTCGATGATACCGAGTCTGAGTTTTCCTTCGACCACGAGGAGCCTTTTGGCTCAGACACCGAATCAGAAGACTCTCTGAACCAAACTTATCCATCTACACATCCTGTTTTTGGAACTGATGTGGAGCTCGAGTCCAATAATTCGGTGACATATTGCCCATGGACCCTCAACAGTTACGTGGAAAAAGCCTTTATGAACCGTGCAATGAACCTTAATCGCCAGCAACTTCCACGGTGCTCAGTGGACGATATACTTATCATGCTTCACTTCTACAACTGGGAATCCGACACCGTGATAAATGAGTATTACGATAACGGCACGAAGCTCAAAGAGCTTTGCGGGTTAGTCACAGACGCTAACAATCGATTGGAGATTGTAAGCGAATTCGACTGTCCTATTTGCTGCGAAAGCTATTCAAGTACGAAAACCTACTCTCTATCCTGCGATCACCATTACTGTTTAAACTGTTACGGCGCCTATATCACAAACTCCCTCTACCAGGGTAAGCTCATCAGATGCATGCATCCAGATTGCAACTTGACCATTCCCCACCGTCAAGTAGATACAATAATAGCCGAGCTGGGCAGCTCGATACTTCAAACACCTTTCCTCAATTTGGTGGCACGTTCTTACGTTGACACAAACAAACAAACGATGAAATGGTGTCCAGCTCCTGGGTGTGACAGTTTTGTTGAACTCATTCGAGTTTCTGCTGGTTCCAACAACTGCGATCTATTCAAGATACCCATTGCGACTTGTAAGAATAGCCATGAATTCTGTTGCGAATGCTCTTACGAGAACCACCTTCCATGTACATGCCAAATCGTCAAGATGTGGATCAAAAAATGCCACGATGACTCGGAAACCGTCAATTGGATCCAAGCTAATACCCAGTCCTGTCCCCACTGCAACTCTCTGATCGAGAAGAATGGAGGATGCAATCATATCACCTGCTCCACTTGTCGCTTTGAGTTCTGTTGGATCTGTTTAGGTCCATGGAAGGAGCATGGAACTGAGTACTACCAATGTAATCGTTTCGATCCTGAAGTTACCTCACTGATAAAGAAGAACCAGACTCAGAAACGCAAGTCCCTCCAACGGTATCTCCACTATTATAGACGATTCACTGTACACGAGTCTTCGATGTTGGGAGACAAGAAGACCATTGCCACAGTTGATGCGCAGATGACGGCTTATATGAACGAACAAGTCCGTAAGCAAGTTAAGAATTTATCTTGGATAGATATTCAATTCCTTCACGATGCGATACGAGTGCTCATTCAAGGAAGAAAAACCCTCAAGTGGACATATTGCTTTGCCTACTATGCACAACTGTCCAACTACTCGGAGATCTTCGAGGGAATGCAAGATTATCTCAGTAAAACGGTTGAAGATCTCTCACGCATTTTTGAAGATATCAACTCAAAGAAAAATCATAGCGTGAGCACCACACTTATAACTAACAAAAAGCAAGAGATCATCAACTTGAGCAATTTGGTACTGAAACGCCAACGCTTGCTTGTTGAGTGTGCCCGGACTGGGTTGGTGCAAGATATGCTTCGCTTCGATACTGATTGATGTTGACCCTATGACGTCATGATCAACATGCTTATCGCTGGTGTACTGATGCCATAGATAAGGTCGACATCGAAGAAGCTACTGTATGAAGCAATTATGAAAGAATCTCATGGACGACGAACGCCAGAAAACGGCAGTTTCCATGGTTCTCGCAGCAGACAACGGAGCCGAAGTCGGGGCCGTGGCTGGGTTCCTACGCATTTAGAAGGACAACCTAGTGAAAGACACCATTCTGCTCTGTCCGTTCATAGCCATGAGGGCCCGAGAAACAAAAATATACCAATGGTGTGGGAACAACCAGGGCCCTATACTAAAGGAGGAAGTGACGTATCGCCTTTAATGATGATTCGAGATCAGTACAATATCAAGCGCCCACCATTCGGATCAGGTATAGAACGAAACATTGAGCCATTAGCAGGGCCAGGTGCGGCACATCTGACTGCTCCTAGTAAAACTGTTGGATCTACTCCTGCTTCCAAAAAGCTTGAATCTTCTCTCTCGCTGAAATACCATAGTGAACCTGACGATGATTCGGACGATAATCACGATCAACAAACTGAGGTGTGGGAAGGTGTCGAAGGGTTTGTGGATAACAACTTTTTAAATGTCCCTCCTCCAGAGAAGCAGAATATTAACGAGATCTTGCTGGAGATCGACAATTTTCAAAGCAAATTTGTCCAAAAATATAACGCGTACGCCCCAAATGGGTACGAAAAGACTAGAACGCCCACAAGTCGGGTACAGCAAAAGGTATTGGACTACAAAGACTTGATGAGTACTGATAATGACGACTTTAATAGCTCGCATTCATACTTGAGCTTGACTAGCATCAACAACGATGCGAGTAGTTCTTTCGCATATGCCATCAAAAAACAGCACGAGATGATCAGTTCCCATTATACCCTCATTCGGCTACGTTTTCCTTCGCTGCGTAAATCCGGAGTTCTAGGCTACATTTCTCGCCAGGTGAAGCCGGTTGCAAATCTGGAGCCGAGAGTAGACGTTGTGAAGTTGCAACAGGCTCGAGCCTTTTTACAGTCAACATGGGACGAAGAATTGCAAACGTTGGAAATTACCAAACGTTGACACTTCTCGAGAATCATAAGCTGATATTGCATAGACTCTGTATATATAATGTAAATCTACCGGTCACTCACATGCAGTCCCTTTCTTCAATTTTGCGAGTTGGCTAATTTACAACACTACAACATGAACAAAAGATCCAATCTTCCATACTCCACCCAGGATCTCTTCCCACGAGTAGAACACGATCCCGTGAGTCTCGTTGACAATTCTCGTTCTATGAGGTCATCACTGCTTGTTACAGCTAATTCAGACCCCATAGCACCATCGCATAGACATGGCTTCACACCAAGAAAGAACATTCAACGGCTAAAAAAGATGCTTAGGCGATTGTTTAAGCCGAACTCCCTAGATTTTGAAACTGCCATCTGGGAAATCTTCAATTTGATCTTCAATCCTAGAAAATTGTACCGCTCGCATTACTACTATAAACAACAACTGACGGGGAATAAAGTGAGTTATACTCGAGATGATCCGTCTTTTCTTATCCTACTTACCGGATTCTTGTCTATCAGTGCAATTGCATGGGGTCTCGCTTATAGTCCAAGTGCCTGGGAGATAATCAAGCTCATTGTCTACATGGTGATGGTTGATTTTTACTTGACGGGAGTGGTCATAGCCAGTATATTTTGGCTCGTAATGAACTGGACTTACAATAACACTTTTGCAATGATGGGAGATGCCAGTCGCTTCAATGTCAACTACATCGAATGGGGGTTCTGTTTCGATATCCATTGTAATTCCTTTATTGTAATCTGGTTGTCGTTGTATCTCCTCCAGTTCATTCTATTGCCGGTACTCACCATAGAAAAATCGTTCACCTCACTACTCGTTGGTAATTCTCTCTACTTTGGTGCAGTGGGACATTATTTCATTGTCACTATGTATGGGTTCACTTCGATTCCATTTGTTGGGAATCTGTACACCGGTGCTAATGAAGAATCAAGCCATGAAAAATTGTTACAACGAGGACTTCTCTTTGGTATCTTGCCGTTATTAGCCATAGGCTGGCTCCTCACTGTGGTTCTAGGAATAAACGTGGCAACAGTGATGGTAAAAACTTACTTTAGTTGAAACATGCACAAATAATGTATATACTAATCCAAAACATCATGCATCATAAATACTGATTTCGAAGCTTAGTAACACGATCAAGTGACGCCTTGATATTCATGCTGGTTCGACTGCTCATCTCGTAGTCTCCGATGTCACTGACAATTTCAGCCTTCTTCAATAAAGTCTCACAGTCTGTGATGCTTTTGCGAACATCAAAATCTGGCGCAGAAGTACGTAAATTCCACACAAACCTTGACTTTTCGTACAATGCTGTTGGGTATAAGAACGGACTGTAAGTCATTTTGGTGAACTTGAAATTTGCCAAAGGAGAATCCTGGGTGACATACTTGGAAATAACGTGAGAATCAAGCAACGCTAATCCTTCACTGTGTCTACCAAGCAGCCTCAATGCCATTGCTTGGAAGAAGTACCGCAACATGGCTTCATCCATAGTTTCCTTGATATAAGAGTAATTATTCAGGGACGTGTTGGCTGAAAACTCGCTGTCTGGAGCACCACTATACCCAAGAAGCTTAATACTTAATTCCAAGTCCTTGGTGGGCATTCTGTTGTATCCGTTCCAGAAATATATGATTTCATGGTAAGGAGATGTTCCAACACAGTCAATAAATGCCAATTTGGGGTTCTGCTTCTGTACTTCTTCAAGGTGGGCCATTTTACGAAGAAGATATTTATCGAATGGAAGTTGCTTCTTGTTGCCTCCAATTCCACCCTTTTTATTCGCAGCGTTGACTCCATGACCTGGAACATAAGTTGGACCAAGTTTCATAAAATGCTCGGCTTTTTCTGCTAGCTCTTTTAGGGTTTCTTGTTCATTTTCCACTTGAAGTAAACCAAGTTTGATCATTCTGTACTTCTCGAGATAACTGCAGCCTGCAAAAAATAAGTATAATCCTTGAGACCACGAATTTTTATCCACAAGTTTAACGAAATCACGAGCACACTCGTCAAAACTGTGCCTGAAGGCATATAGCATGGATCTGTCGAATAAGAAAAGACCTTCGATTTGGCGCATGTTGATCTTGTTATCGGGGTCATCTGTAAATCCTTGCATCAAGCTAATAGCTTCATCCAATTGTCCCTGAGCTGCAAGCATTCTTCCTTGTTGAAGTATCCAAAGTGCATTGTGTTTGAAATGTGTCCTAGCTCTTTCCAACAATTGAGGTGTATAAGAAGATGGATTCTCAGTGATAGCTTTCAACTCTTCGTCACTAACTGTCGACCTATTATCAATGGCAAATACTTCTCGTGCAATCTTGGAGTCCTTATTGGGTACCTGGTACCCATTGTCAATGAATTCAATTGGGCCATCGTAAAATACCAAGAGGCACAAAAGAGCTAACTCTCCATGTATATTCCGACTGGTGATGGCAGTGCGCCAAAGCATTTTCATTCCAGCTTCAAAATCTCCTTTGAACCCAACGATAGACAAAACTTTACCTATGGTTGGAGGGATAAGCGATAATACTACCTGGAGGATACCAAAACACAATTGGACTCCAGAATGAATAAATTCGTCGATGGTAGATACATGTAGATGGTTGCTGTTGAGATCGGATGAGGTGCTTGCCGAGTAATCTGTGCTGAATGAAATGATAGACTCCGTCCCCGAAGCTATTCTATTTCCTCCATTGGATTTCATGTAGATAGGCATTGGTGCCAGTATGGGAATATCTTCCTGGAGTGTTTCCAATGCATCTGTGAATTCATCGTCGTCTTCATCTGAATCATAATCTGTACCGATGGGTTTATTCAGGAACACCAGGTTCTGTAGAGCCACATTGGGAGACACTGCCCTTGGAGAAGGATTGGCTTGTAGATCTCTCAAGCTGCTCATTCGAGGAATATGATCACTGCTTGCATCTTTAAAGAGATTCACACGGTCTGGGTTGACGTCACGTCCTAGATTTGTTCCTTCAACTCGAGACTTTCTCATTTGAAATATTTGTTCAAGCGAATTCATAAGCTTAACGTCCTCAGGCAACGAAGAAGACGAAGCATTCGAAGAACCAAGATTATCAGTGCTTTCGAAGCCAGGTAAATCGACCGTACTAACATTCTTTGAGGAAGTACCGCGCTTAAGTTTGGCCAAATTCCGATTGAATACAGGCTCCAGTTCCTTTATACGCTTGTACAAGCTATCAAGAGTTTGGTATGCTTTACGTAGCTTCAACAATGCCTTTGCCGCTTCCAAAAAGCTATTGTTTTCGGTCAAAAGCATCACCAACGCATTTAATAACGTCAGCTCGGCCAAGGTTACCTGAAATTCTGTTCCTGGAGGATATATCATAGATGTATTGAGCTGGTGCTTCGTATTGTATTTGGAGTTTGTGAGCGAGGCAGCTTCGGCATTGGAAAGGGTTTCGTGGGCCCTTGCCATAACCTCAGGTTCAAAGCCTAAAGTGGCTTCGATAAAGTCCATTACTCCCATTGCCAAAGGAAAGATACCTGCTGGCTGGTCACTATGCATTTCTGAATGTTTCTTGCTCTCTGTTTCAAGAAGTTTCATACCTTCTTCGGCACGGTCGTCCAACAAAAAGTCCATTGCTCGAAGTGCAATCTCAAAATCGCGCACTTGTTTGAGTATTTTGGAGTATTGAGGATGGTTCAGCCCGCCTAAACTGGCCAGGCTACTGGTTGGTGTCAACAGAAGAGCCAGAGCTTTCTTCCGGAGTCCTTTAAACATTTTTGTACCAGGGTCTGAGGATATTTGCACCAACAGCGCTTAGATCGGATCGCGATTTTCCAATGATACCGTGGGTGTACTGGTGCCTCCTTTTAATGCGGGTGCCTACATGACATTTCGCGCGGTATTTAGCATGGCTGCGAATAAGTTGGGGAGCAGACGAGCTAAAGAAAATATGGAGAGACAATAGATATGAAATATGTTGGCAAATCGAGTGGGGTTCTCATATGCCGCCAAATTACCCGGCAGGAATTCATTGTGATTTACCGATCTATTTTTGGTATTTGGATCCAGCACATGATTTGATGTCTATTTCCTGTCAAACCAGCGCCAGGTGTCACCAAAAACCAGGCTTAGCGTGCATGGACAACTCGATCATGATTGAGCAGCACCACTTCTTTTCTGCAGGACCGCAAAAAATGGTTCCGGATTCAGGTGCAGGAGCCAGCCATTTGCTGGCTGCGAATTGGCTCCAAGCGTTTTGGGCTTGCACCCACCCCAATCAGGAATGAACCTTTTAACCTCCTTCCTAAAAGCTGGTGATTTGGGCTGGTCTTGGCTGCTGGTCCGATTTGGGCACTGCTTGCACCAAAATGGTATAAAGTACCCAGTAGTCGCTGATTGTGGTAAGGGAACACTTCTACTTCATCCATTCGTTGCAACCAACTCCATCCACTCTTTTTTGGATTTATCCTAGTCTTTCTTTAAGTTATAGTCTCCATTCGTTATGAGATTATCCCACTTTCTTACCCTTGTTGCTGCGGCACAAGCAGCACCAATTATTCGCACAATCGTTCATACTGCTGCTCCAGTCACCCAGGTAGTGACAAAAACCACAAATACAGTTGTTGACGTTAACACTGTGATTCAGACGGTAAACGGCACGCCGCCAGCCCCAACTACTGAAGCTACTACTGAAGCAGCTCCAACTACTCAAGCTAACGCAGCAACTCCAACTACCCCAACAACCGAAGCTGCTCCAACTACTCCAACAACTGAAGCTGCTCCAGCCCCTGAGACTCCAACAACCTCAACTCCAACCACTGAGGCTGCTCCAACCACCTCAACTCCAGCAGAAGTTCCAACTACACCAGCCACTTCTGCACCAGCTACTACAGCTACTACACCAGCTACTTCTACCACCCCAACAACTACATCCACCCCAGCAGCACCAACCACCTCCACTTCCCCAGCACCAACTACTCCAGTTACAACTTCTGCTCCAACTTCAACCACTCCTACAACCTCCACCACACCTGCTTCTACTTCGACTTCTGGCGGAGACCAGCCTTCCAGTGGTTTTGAGTCAGATATTTTGCAAGCCCACAACGATAAGAGAGCTCTCCATGGAGTACAGCTGCTTACGTGGGATTCAGAGTTGGCAAAGTATGCTGCAAATTATGCTGCAAACTCATTCTCGTGCAACAATGTTCAATTAATCCACTCAAATGGTCCTTATGGTGAAAATTTGGCTGCTGGATATACTGGCGGTTATAGCCCAGTTAATGCCTGGTACGATGAAATTAGCCAATACGACTACAATAATCCAGGTTTCAGTGAAGCAACCGGTCACTTTACCCAATTGGTATGGAAAGATACCTCCAAGGTCGGATGTGCTAAAGTCACCTGTAACAACGAATGGAGACAATACACCATTTGTGAGTACACCGATTCCAGAGGAAATGTTATTGGAACCGACAGCAAAACCGGAAAGAGCTACTTTGAAGAGAACGTTCTCCGACCAATCAGCTCATAAGTAAAAACTTTATGTATGTATAAGAATGTATTTTAGGAAATTGACCGCACCAGTACTAGAAATTGCCATAAATATACTCGTATCTGCCTCACTTTGCATATTACCGGTGCACCTCGCCGGGCTGGTACATGCTCGTAACCAAGACCAAGAAAATTTTGCGAATACGCCGTGCGATGGCGCTTGTATGCAGTATATATATTATTTGAGGCAGCTGTCAGCGAGATCGCTTACAATGCCCCCTTTTGGGCGTGGACGAAGCAGCCCAATTTCTACCCTGATGAGCAAAACGCCGTGCAATCGTGAGTAATCTTGTAATTTGCCGTACGGTAGCACATTCGAGCCCCGCCACTTCGTGAGGCTTGTCTTTTCCCCATGAAATTAGCTAGCCTCTGGCCAGGATCCTGCACCTGGCCATAATGTTACGGCGCCTTATCGCGGGGTCCTTCCCCACGTTATCTCTTCGCGATGTTCGAGTCATCTCGGTATAAATATGTCGAAAGAATAAAAAAATTTAGGGCATCAAATTTTACACTTTAAGTTACGCTCAAAAACATTATACTGGTATCAGGTCTCGCACTATAGACGAAACTTGGACAATACTATACTTCGATATTGTTGGCCAAGCATAGTGCCATATACTGATTCGGAGTTGCAAAAGTTATTGAAAGGTTCACAATAAACTCACAATTGACTCATTATTGACTCGATTGATTGTTATCTAACTGCTAAAAATTGCTTCTACACACTTGAAGTGCCTTATTATTCGTTTATTCAATTCTACCAGATAAAATGTTTAAAGAAAAAGATGCTTATAGGGTCTCGACGGCACCTAGTGTCAAATCAGAAGGACAGCTATCTGTCGCTGCGTCCCGTATGATCGAGGAAAATATGGCATTGTCTCCATATGGAACATTTCGTGGCCAGAAAACGTTGGAAAGAGGCTTGAAACTGAGACATGTCCAATTGATTGCCTTGGGTGGTGGTATAGGAACTGGTCTTTTCGTTGGTACCGGTTCTGCTTTGGGAGCCTGTGGTCCCGCTGCTGTGTTTCTCAGTTATATTTTCATGTCGTTTGTGATTTGGATGGTGATGAATATGATGGCAGAAATGGTTACGTTTTTGCCAGTTCCTGGTAACACAGCGCAAAACTTTGTCACCAGTTACTTTGACGAATCTTTGGGGTTTGCTATTGGTTACAATTACTGGTATGCATTTTCCATTTTGGTGGCAGCAGAAGTCACGGCGGCTGCTATTGTTATTGAATATTGGACTACAAAGGTGCACATAGCAGTTTGGATCTCCATATTCTTGGTGTTGATCTTTGTACTCAACATGAGCTCAGTGAAATATTTTGGAGAAGCTGAGTTTTGGTTTGCTTCATTAAAGTTGATAGCAATCGTTGGCTTGATAATACTTGGAGTTGTGTTATTTTTTGGAGGTGGTCCTAATCATGACCGTTTGGGGTTCCGCTACTGGAAGCATGGCAAGGCGTTCCAGCAACATCTTGTTGGTGGCTCAACTGGTAGATTTTTATCTGTTTGGACCGCCATAGTCAAGTCTGGTTTCTCTTTCATTTGTACTCCAGAATTGGTGACTGCTGCTGGTGGTGAATGTATTGCTCCAAGAAGAAACATCCCCAAGGCTGCTAACAGAATGATCTACAGATTAGCCACTTTTTACATTTTGGGTTCGTTGGTTCTTGGAGTAATCTGTGACTCGAGTAGCAAGAGATTGATGTCTGCCTCCAGTGATGCATCTGCTTCTCCGTTTGTCATTGGTATTCAGAACGCAGGTATTCCCGTCTTGAACCATATTATCAACGCCGTGATTTTGACTTCTGCTGCCTCTGCCGGTAACTCTTTCTTATACTCGGCTTCCAGAGCTTTGTACACTATGGCATTGAAAAAGAAGGCACCCAGAATTTTCACAACGGTAAACAAATTCGGTGTTCCATACTACTGTGTCTTGATCTCTTGGGCTGTGGGATGCCTTGCATACCTTAATGTGTCTAGTGGATCTTCAAGTGTGTTTGCTTGGTTCTCAAATATTTCCACAATCTCCGGCTTTGTAAGTTGGATTGCAGTTGCTTTTGCTTATCTCAGATGGAGAAAGGCAATTGTGTATCATGGACTCAGCGAACGGGTTTCGTACAGAACCGTTTTGCAACCATACGGCGCATACTTTGTCATATGCTTCATTGGTCTCTTGACAATTACAAACGGTTACGCTGTATTTTTCGATTTCGCCGCCGGCGACTTCATTGCTGCTTACATTACTTTGCCAATCGTTCTTGTCCTCTATGTGGGCCACCAAACTTACGTATACTACCGCGATGGAAGATTGACTTTTGTTAAGCCATTGCACGAAATCGACTTGATAACAAACTTGGATGCCGTCGAAGAAGAAGATGCCATGATTCCGCCCCGCGTACCCAAAAACTTTTTGGAACGGGTGTGGTTCTGGATCGCCTAGTTCAGGTCTTTATGTCTATATAACGCCAACTTAATGTTATTGCCTTTATTGTTAAATGGAACCAAAAGTAATCGCAGCCACTGAGTGACAATTTGCAGCCATTAAGTATGGGTCTGCATATAACTCGATGATCCGGCTTGCACATAAACATCATCTCTTAAATTTTTCGGCTCATCGCATCACAGTTCACAATGAGTTTGTCACAACAATTGAAGCAGATCAATGAAAAGTCTGCTTCGGTGGCTTTAGACAGAAAGTCCCGTTCTAAGCTTCACTCCAAGTCGCTCATTTTTGCTCCAAAGGTTGCCGCAACTCAGGACTATGACTACCTTCATCTGGTTGGAGTTGATGGTTTGACTGAATTATGTACCATTGACTCTCGCTTTTTGAAGTTTCAGCAGACTTTGTTTGCCGACTCCACTGTCAACTTTGATAGAAATGTCCAGACCAAAGAGATTGTAGATAACTTGGACGCTTCAATCGCAGCATTCTTGAACCTTGTGAGTCCATTCTACCCATTAAGTCCTGCTGTCAAGGCTGTGGAATGGCTTGTAAGAAGGTTCTACATCAACATTCATAATTCTGAGGCTCTCATCCTCACATGCTTGCCCCATTATCAACTGCAGATCTTTGCACGAGTCATGAATGTCATACCAAAAAGCCTGTGGCCGCCCATATTTAATTGGTTGAATGGGTATAGGGATATGTCAAAGAACCCTCCTAGTAGTTCCATATTAAAGGCATTCAGGAATGACTATCAACTATTCAAGCTTTACTCCGAATACATCACTCAACAGGTTCTGGTGGAGACTGTCTACAAAGAGCAGCTTGTATTCTATTTGACCAACACAATTCAACTCCTAGCATCGTACAGCACTGATATCGAAAAATTGAATGAGGTTTACTTGCCTGTCATTCTCGAAGTCATAGGCAAGTTTTTGCTTGCGCTGAACACCAGTCTTGATCACGATATCAAAATCGCTGCATATACTCTTATGTCTGTCGTTGTGTCTTTGGTTCCTTTGGCAGACGATGTGCATATTTCTTTAACCCGGTCCATACTACAAGTACCTGGTGCATTCGACCCTCAACTCAAGAGACAGACTATGATCATTTTAGCTCAAACCTGGCAACGTTATACTGGAGCTAAATTCGACTTTGAATTTTTCAACACAATTCCTCTCGACTCGCTACTCAAAGACAATTTGTTGGAGTCCTTGGTACACGAGGGGTTTGATTTCAATAATTTTCTCCTTGCATTAATCTCATCCACAAATGATAAAAGGACATTATCGCTTGCGAAGCTTTTCAAAATAGAGCGTGCAAATGAGGCAGTAGCCACTACCTTCATATCCCGTTTGATAGATGCTGCAAGCTTCAAACCTGACACCGAGGCTCGTGCTCTGATTGTGGCAGCTTTCGAGGCAATGCTTGCAGGTTCGAGAGATACCTTGGTTGAATATTTGGGTTCCAAGAAAGAGCCAATGTCTCTTGCTGACCTTGAAATGGTGTTACTTACTACTTTGTCTTCGAGTGACGTTGATGACTCTGAGATTAACGTTGCCCAATCTGACGAGGTCCAAGAGGCCAATGGCTCGTCAAATAGTGAGCCAGTGACTTTGGATGGAGTCAAGTCTCACACCAAGTCATTCTTGTTTCAATGTGAAGACTTTAATGATTTATCGAGGCTCCTTGTTTCTTTCCTCGCACCGTTCGAATCCAATTCGTATGCCAACCAGATTGCAAAGTTCTGTGCGGCTGTCTTTACAGGGCCCAATGCTTCCATCACCTTTACTCTTCGCTGTTCTTTGACTCCAATTATACCTTTGAAGGTACGTCTCGCCTGTTTAATTTGCTTGAAGAGAAAATTGAAAGAGCTTGCCAAGTCTGGTGACACCAAACTTCATTTGATTCTCCCAATTCTCATCTTAGGATTGTATGATGATCATCAGAGCATAAGAGCAGGTTTCGCTGAAAGCATACACTCTCTTTCCACTCCTTCAGCATCGAAGAATGCAAGCATATTTTTGGAGGACGAAATGTATGCAGATGTTGCAGCAAGCAACAAGGTTTTGATTTCGCCCAAGGATGGTGACAGCCTTATCAACTTACTCACCTCAACGGATTCACTTCTCAAGGAGACTGTGTTGGACAAAACCCGCTTGGTTTCGGTGTTGTTTGAGGTGGTTTTCAAAGCGCAACAGCCCTCCAAAAAGTTTGGTTTGGTATGTCAAACTTTCTTCATCGCCCAATGGTCTCAGCTACCATTTGCAGCCGTATTCAAGAGCCTTATTTTCAAGATCATGTCTGGAAGAAATATAACAGCAGAATGTCCTAGTCGTGAAAGCTTCATCAAGGGCGACGTTGCTGGACTTTTTAGCGGCTACGAAGCCTGGATGGCCTCGGCTCAAGAGAGCAAGCTTGATTTTGAAAGCGACATTGTTCTGCCTCTTGTAAACTTGGTGGGTGGTCAAGACGAGCTTTCTACGCCAAATTCACTGGAAATTGATGAGGTTGGTTGGCTCATAAAAGCCACTGATTTCACTAAATGCCCAGTTATTCAGGTGGCTGCGACAAAAAGAGTAACCCAAGTATTTGAGTTTCTCAAACCGGAAGATAAGGTTCGACTTTATTCAAAATTTATTGAATTACAAGCCTCAGACGACGAGCTTAATTTCGACGCACAAGAAATCTTGCAGGCCATGCCTCTTGATTTCAATTCGGCACTCACTTTACTCAAAAACTTCCAGTTAGTTGCACAAATTCCAGAGCAACAGATTCCTAAAAGAAGAAGACGGTCTTCCAACTCCAGCAAACAGACGATGGCTCATGAAGAGTTGGTTAGCATTGCTTCTGTTCATCTTCGGAAACTCACAATAGTGTTGGATCTTTTGGAGTACAACTTGCGCAAGAATTTGAAAGAGATCAAACCCGAGCTTTTGCTGTCGTTTTTCGGAATATTGACAGATCTCGAATATTTGGGTCATGATGGTGACATGCCAGTACTTTACACCCAGGAAGTTTTGGCTACATGCATGCTTTTGGCAGTTAAGCATATCAAGGCGATCAACGAGAATGGCTCCGGTCGGATTTCTATCGACTCGAATTCTGTGCGTGCCGACTTGATTGTCAACACTATTCGGTCTTCAAATTCACCACAGATCCAAAACAGACTCTTGTTAGTCATTGCAGAGTTAGCTTCTCTTGCCCCAGAGATTATTCTTCATTCTGTAATGCCGATTTTCACCTTTATGGGTGCTCACACCATTCGTCAAGACGATGAGTTTTCCAGCTTTGCACTCCAAGACACTATAGCAAAGGTAGTGCCGGCTCTTGCAAAGAGTGGAGCTTCGTCATTCAGCAATGAAATCGAGTTCCTCTTGACAAGCTTTGTGACAGCATTTCAACACATTCCTAGACATCGTCGAGTCAAATTGTTCTCGTCTCTCAGCAAGACTTTGGGAGCAGGAAATTCGATTCACACCATCCTCTTTTTATCGGGAGTACAATATGCTTCCTTGTTTGGAAAGGGGAAGCATGGAGATTGTCTTTCCTTGTTAGAGTTCACGCAAGGTTATATGAAGCAATTCCAGGCTTCCGAACAATTATCAGCTATTCACAAATTCTGTACCTTGTGGCAGCTCGTACCAACTAAACCACTTGATCCGGATTCTGACGAATTTAGAAACTTGAACTCAAGGCCAATATTCGGTGCTTCTATTTTATCATTAAATGATACTGAACTTGTCGAGTTAAAGGCAGGTTTGATCACATTTATTGACAGCTTGTTGCAGACTGACGAAGAATCGGTCGGTTACTTACAGCTCAGGGTCAACCAATTGCTTTTAGACTCGCACTCCACCGATGGTGAGAAGACGATTATCATCGATGGCTGCAAAAATGTGGCTTCGTTGCTTTTGGGTTCTCTTGATAATTTTGGTCAAGTTTCAAAAATGACAAAAGTATCCGACAACTTGTACCAATTCTTGGATGACATCTTGTCCCTTTTGCCGTTGGTATATTTCTTAGACTCTATTATTGACGTCTTGAAGAACCCAATGGGTGTTGACAGGGTCGCTATAAACTTTGCACGGTTAGCAGGCAACAAAATAGAGAATGAGTTGACAGCCTCGAATTTGGATGAACAGATTCAATTCTCGCTCTTTGAAAAGTTGGTTCCAGTTTTGATTTCTGGAATCAAGAGTAATCAAGATGCTGAAATTAGCCAAGCATATATGGATGCTACAGCTCAAGCAGTTGCCAAGCTAGGTAACTGTACTACTTGCTTCAACGAGGCTAAGAATGTCAGTGTGTTGAACGAATGTTTGAGCATCCTCACCTCAGAATCAGGATTGAAGAGCTCCAAGCCTGAGTGCATCATTTCTTCAATGAACTGTATATCTTCGATCATCAATATCATGGGAGTTAAAGCTATTGGATTTTTCCCAAAGATTTTTGAGCCCACAGTGGAGATCTGGAAGACGACAAAAACGAATGAAGAGGACATGCAACTTGTTCAAACTTCGGTATTACTTCTCTTTGCTCAATTGGTTAAGAAACTTCCCGCATTTGTTACTTCGAAACTTGACAGTATTTTCACTTGCACAATTGGAAGTTTAGCAGTCGATGCTACTGTTCGTTCATCTATTCTTTCCTCAATTGTTGAGTATGTCGATACAGCGTATGTGCTCAAGGCGTTATGCAATGTATGGGGAGAAATTTCTAAAAGTGACAATGCTGAAGTCATTGGTTTGTACTTGGGAGCCATGGAAAAGACCATTGATCAATTAGAGAAGAAATCTGCAATTTCTCAGGCTACTTTGTTCATCAAGTGGATGATCAAGGCTTTTGAGTTCAGACTGAGTGTTAGCAAGAGTAGCCAAGACTTTGACACAAATACGATCCACAGACTTGAGTCGTCGTTCCACTCCTGTGGATTGAGATACGTTATGAAACTCAATGACAAGACGTTCCGTCCTTTGTTCGCTGGATTGGTGAGATGGGCTGTTAATGGTGAAGGTAGTACTAGCGACACCGACGAAGTTAGTCGGTACATTGCATTCTTCCGGTTCTTCAACAAGGTTCAAGAGCAGTTGAAGAGTATCATAACTTCATACTATTCTTACCTCATAGATCCTGTTTCGAGTTTGTTGAAGAGAATTGACACTATGGAGGACAGCATAAATCTCAAGAGAATGGTGTTCAATTCATTGACTTCATCGTTCAAATATGACCAAGATGACTTCTGGTCGCAGCCTCTGCGATTCGAGAGTATCTGTGGTCCATTATTGCAACAGATACCTACTATCGAGAATAGTATTGGAAAGTACTTGGTTAAATGTGTCAGTGCATTTGTTGTTAATGTTTCATCTGAAGAACACAATGAAAAATTGGTTCATGGTTTGATCCATTACATCTCCAATGAGCATTCCACAACCAATAGCCATACCAAGACATGGACCATTCGCATCTTGAAGAGTGTATTCCAGAAAATGGGTGATCAATGGCTTTCCTACTTGCCAACACTCATTCCATACATTGCCGAGTTGTTGGAGGATGATGATGAAGATGTAGAATTGGAGGTAAGAAAGGGATTAGTGAAGGTGTTAGAAAACGTTCTTGGTGAGCCATTGGATCGTTACTTGAACTAGAAAGTAAGTAGAACATCTAATTGCTTTAGGTATTGGTTAATTTGCAACTTGCAACCGTTCGCTCGATGCAGGTTCGCGGTCGTGTGGTGCCTCGTGGAACATTACCGATTTTTCCATCCGGGACTATAACCAAGTTTATAAAAATGGTACGTAAACCCCCAGGTTAATTCGTAAAACATGCTAACTCAGTCGTCGCTTTTGAAATCTGCCCAATCTTTGAAGCCTTTATTTGACAGAGTTCTCGTGCAGAGACTCAAGCCTGCCACTCAAACTGCATCGGGAATTTACATTCCAGAAAAAAACCAGGAAAAGTTGAACCAAGCTACCGTCATTGCTGCTGGTCCCGGTATCACTAACACCACCACTGGACAAGTGATTCCTACTTCGGTGAAGGCTGGAGACAAGGTGTTGTTGCCATCTTTCGGAGGTAACCCAGTCAAGATTGGTGAGGATGAGTACTTGTTGTATACCGACAAGGAGATCTTGGCTAAGATCGAGGAGTAATTCTGCCAGCTAAATATGATTTATCATAGTCTTGTAAATAATATCTGACGGAAAGTTGTAGGAGCGAGCTTCAATGGCTCATATAATACCGAAGACAATTCTCGCAAGTTGAGTTAGATCAGATCTAGTCACCAAGTCTAGTCATTAAGTCTAGCATCAATTCTAGTTCATGTCTAGTCATTTCTAGATTATCCGTCTAATTTTGTTGTCTCTTACTCTTCCCCTCCTCTGCTCTTCCTATATATATCTGCCGCGCAACGTAATCGATTCGCAAATCTAGAGGGGTTCATTTATTATTTTTTGTTTAATACATCCATTATAGCACATCATGCCTCCGTCACAAAGATTTGCTCAATTCAAGTTGGTGTTGCTTGGTGAGAGTGCCGTGGGCAAGTCTTCTGTTGTTCATCGGTTCGTCAAAAACACCTTTGATAACATGAGAGAATCTACCATTGGCGCAGCATTTTTGACCCAATCCGTGACACTTCCAGAGATAAATGCTACGGTCAAATTCGAAATATGGGACACCGCAGGCCAGGAACGTTACAAGTCCTTGGCACCCATGTATTACCGCAATGCCCATGCGGCGTTGTGTGTTTACGACATCACCAATAGCTCATCTTTCCAAAAAGCACAGAATTGGATCAAGGAGTTGAAGAAGCAGGCACCAGAAGGCATAGTGATTTGTCTTGTTGGAAATAAAGCTGACTTGGAAGACGAAAGACAGGTGGATGCCAACGCTGTCACTGCATATGTTGAAGAGTTGAGGGGAGAAGGGATCCAGGTGTTCACGGAAGAGTGTTCGGCAAAGAGCGGCGAGGGCGTATTGGAAATATTCACCAACGTGGCCAAAGCTTTACCGGTGGAAGAGACGATTAACGGTGCATCGAAGCCGTCTGCGGGCCGACAGTCGGGCGTGGAGTTGAACCGCCGCCCACAGCAGCAGGGCTGCTGCTAGTCTGTCAGGGGACTCAGAGATATATTCAGAGCGAGTAGGGTCAGATGGTAGCATATAGCTGTTGATCTTATATCATTTCTACGATACTTGTACATTGGTGGTTTAACTGCAGGATTGCTTCTTCTGCTCAAATTGTAGCTTCGCACGACCTTATTGAACCTCGAAAAAATTTTCAAAAATTTTTCATTTTTCATTAACCACTAATGTCCCGTCCTCAAGTGTCCGTTATCTCTACCAAGGGTGAGCAAACCTCCACCCAAGTGGCTTTGCCATCTGTCTTCTCTGCTCCAGTCAGACCAGACATTGTCCACTCTGTTTTCGTCAAGGTGAACAAGAACAAGAGACAAGCTTACGCTGTCTCTGAGAAGGCTGGTCACCAAACCTCTGCTGAATCGTGGGGTACTGGTAGAGCTGTTGCCAGAATTCCAAGAGTTGGTGGTGGTGGTACCCACCGTTCCGGTCAAGCTGCTTTCGGTAACATGTGTAGAGGTGGACGTATGTTCGCTCCTACCAAGACCTGGAGAAAGTGGAACATCAAGGTTAACCACAACGAAAAGCGTTACGCTACTGCTTCTGCCATTGCTGCTTCTGCTGTTACCTCTTTGGTTTTGGCTAGAGGTCACAGAGTCGAGCAAGTCAAGGAATTGCCATTGGTTGTCGCTGACGAATTTGAGTCCGTCACCAAGACCAAGGAAGCCGTTGCTGTGTTGAAGGCTGTTGGTGCCCACAAGGATGTTGTCAAGGTTCTCAAGTCCAAGAAGTTGAGAGCTGGTAAGGGTAAGTTGAGAGGTAGAAGATTCACCCAAAGAAGAGGTCCATTGGTGGTTTACGCCAAGGACAACGGTCTTACCAAGGCTTTGAGAAACATTCCAGGTGTCGAGACTTCCGATGTCAAGCACTTGGGTTTGTTGCAATTGGCCCCTGGTGCTCACTTGGGTAGATTCGTTATCTGGACCCAAAGTGCCATCGAATCTTTGGACTCTATCTACGGCTCTGAATCTACCAAGAGCATTAAGTCCAACTACTCGTTGCCAAACAACATCATCACCAACACTGATGTCACCAGATTGATCAACTCTTCTGAAATCCAATCTGTTGTTAGACCTGCTGGTCAACCTTCTCAAAAGAAGACTCACGTCTTGAAGAAGAACCCATTGAAGAACAAGCAAGTGTTGTTGAGATTGAACCCTTACGCCAAGGCTTTCTCCACCAACAAGTTGGGATCGGCCAAGGTTGACCAAAAGAAGGTTAAGCCTTCCAAGGGTCAATTCGACTCCGTGTTGAAGAACTAGGTAGCTATCTTTTAATAGTGAATCTCGTTTTTACCCACAATTTTGATGTAGTTTTTCCTAAGATTTTCTGGTGCGCACTCTTTGACCAATTTCTTCCCCACTAATTCGTAACTTGTTCACTTATGCATAGCCCTGGTGGCACCCAACATGGTCTGCCTCCAGTCACGTCATTTCCCCATTGCCAGTTTGTTCACCTGTCTTCACCAGAGGAGCCAGATACCAAAGAAAGTGATATTCGTGCAATCCTAATTAATAGCGATCCGGGTGAATGTAATAATAACATTTCACTATATTTCAAGCATGTGGTGGATGCCTCGGTTAGCTCGGACGACACTTGTGATAAGCGAAACTACCACAAGTTGTCTGTGTTTGCATTGAAGTTACTCAATCTGAACTTGTTCTCCAAAAATTACAGTTTGTGTTTGGGCAAAATCTTGAGCCTTCTTACCGTTTTTACCGAAGTGGAAGATACTTCCAACGGTGGTGAAGTCAATTGCATTAAGGAGTTTGCATGTGTTTGTCTTTTACTCCTTCTAAAAATGAAAAACGAGTCACAAGAGTCCTCTTCGAAAAATGATTCTCTTCTGCTCATTAATATCGATGTCCTATTTACTGTTTTGCGGAAGTTGAATCTTGTCACCATTTTGTCGCGCTTCATAGCCTGTCATATCCGATCCTTGGATGAAGTTGTGACGTCGTCGTCATATATACTCTTGAAATTTGCATGCGACATAATATTTGAGTATCTCTACTATTGGGAGCTTTTATCGGATGATGAGTTTTTCTCGCTTACGGTCGAAACTGCATTGGTGCCTGTTTTAATAACCCACCTACTTTCCCATAATAAGTTTTCTGATTCTGATGACAGGGAAGGTGAATGGGAGGATGAAGCGAATCTTATGGCCTACGAGGAACTTAAACTCTTACTTATTGTAAATGAGCAGTACCTCATGAAGTCTTATTATACTGATACAATCACGAATCAGGTGTTCAATGGCTTACTTTTACATGGCGACTCTCAATTGGATACTCAAGTGAGAATTGCAAATTTCATCAACTTGTTGGTTTATCACATTAATCGTGAAGAATCGTCGATAGTCAAGATTCTCATTCTCAAGTTCTTATACTTGGTATTCACAACTTCTTACACTACGAAGCTTGTGTACCTTAACGATTTGAAGATCCTCGTGGATATTTTCATAAGAGAGCTCAATAACCTTGACTATTCTGACGATATAGGTCAGGAAAACAGAGTCCTTATAATCACCTATTTAAAGGTTCTTCGCCCACTTTTAACCTTCTCACAAATAAGTGAATCAGGATACAAGAACGAAGAGATTATTGAGCTTTTGAGAAACTTGATCTCTAACTCCACCGCTGGATCGGTAGAGGCAGATTCGCCTAGAAGTCATCAAGTACAAACCATTGCAAAGTTAGCCATGAAATGTTTGGCTATTCCATGGTTAAAAACAAAGAAAGCTACAGATGTAACACCGGTCAAAAGATCAACTTCGGCCTCTTCTTTGAGTCTGCTTGCTGAAAACATGTCGATAGACCCAGAAGATGATCCATTTGCAAGAGTTGCATCGGTGAGAACTTCCACACACGCAGACTATCATAAACACACAACCTCTCACAATAATGAAGACGTTCAAAGGTCGCAAATCATTGCGAACAATGGTAATGTATTTTTATCAGCAGCGGATAAAACGCTAAATTCGGGACACACGGTAGGTACCAATTACTCTGATACTCTGAAGCTTTTAGATTTACCAAAGGAATTTCTACAGAAGCATGGGGACCGGCCGATGTCGCCTTTCACCTCTGACCTACGTTTCGTGGAGTCCAGAAATTCATCGTCGTCTTCGATCGCATCAGCCTCGCTGGTGACAATGAAGGGCAAAAAGAAAAAGGCCCCTCCGCCGCCTAATCTTAAAATTCTGAGTATGTCTCCACCTCCGCCTCCACCTCCCAGAAGAAGACGCTAACTTGCTTTGTCATATACTAAATGTATTATTTGTAAGTTTATGCTATGTCATCTTTAAAACTCATGATATCGCCGAACCGAAGTCCGTTTATCTCAGCTTTAGTGTAAGAATCCAAGTCTTTGCTGAACGCGGCTTCGTCGTCGACATCAGTCACATCGCTGGAAGCCACAATAATCAATCCTCGGGCTCTTATTAAAGGAACCAACTTTGGAACCAATCTCAACAAATGTATTGAAATGACCAAACCAATCAAATTGTTATTGACGGTAAAGTTGACACCCTCATTAATAGATCGGGTTATGACTTCCTGGGACCTGCCCAAAATCTCTGGTTCTTTCTTTGATTCGTTGTCCATCAAAATTCCGTTCGTAGTTCTGTACTCAAACAGCTTTGCTTTGTTGTTGTAGGTGATTCCATTCATAACGAAGAAGACTGGAAAGTTGGGTTGTTTCCAGTTTAAGATTTTGCAGATGAGCGAGTTCGAGGACAAGAAAATTATTGACCGGGTGTTGGTGATATTTCTTACTTTCCACGTTCTTGTATGATTGAAGACAGCATTTAAGGTTTCGTCAATGAACTTGTTGAGTACTTCTCTGATGGTACCAACAAATGGTAGCTTCTTCATCTCGTAATAAGATGGAAACAACACCTCCAAACTCAAATTGATATCGATATTCAACACTTCCAAAAGTACTCCCAATGGTAAGTAAATGATCTTCATCAACTTCTTGATCAAAGGAAGATTCTTTTTCGTCATTTTGTTGAGATCATGCAACACCTTCTCATAGTCAAACAAGTTGTTTGTGATGGAATTTAATTGTTCCAATGAAAGATTTGGAAGATAAAGACTCAAGTTTTCGGAGATTGCAATTGACCACTGAGGGCACACTATAGGAGTACCATCTTTTAAGAGGCAAACCTTTATCCTCAAATATTCACCAGAAAGCGAAGTGGCGGTTACAAATGATGTACCATTGGAGTTTGCTGTTGAAGAGTCAACAGCTTTTGTTGCAACGTTAGATTCCGGGTTTAGACCAGTAGGCGACAATATGCTTCGAGGGGAAAGACCGCTAGCACCGCTATGTCTAAATGGTTTGCTGGTTCTCAAGAAGCTTGTTGATGACTTCCAGTAAGTGTCAAATTGAGATGTTTCAAGTAAGGCTCCAGAGAATGGGAAGATGATTTGGTACCTGAAATTCAATTCTCCAACATTTCTCAAACGAAGATCGAAAAGTGGTAAATGTACCGAATCTGCCTCCGAGCTCGAATAGTTTGTTTCTGTGAATGACATCGCTGAAGTCTTCGCAATGAGTCTTGTTCCAAATTTTGGAAAGATCTCGAAATCAATCCGAAAGTCGTTCAATGAGTCAACGTCAGTCTGGAAAATGCACTTATTACTGGAGCGAGTCTTGTCTTCGATTGGAAGTATGATGTTTCTTGGAACAATATCTGTCATGCTTGAGGTAAGGGTTATACGACCAGGTTTCAAGTCAGAAGTTAAATTTAATAACTTGATAAAGTGCTCTTCCGATGGAAATATGAGCTCAATTAGGACCTTCTGCTCTAAGAAGTTGTGACCATACCGTCTGAGAGGAAGAATTGGTGGAGGAAGTTGAAGATCAGGAATAGCTTCCAGGGTGGACTTTTCGAGGCTTGAATTATCTGAGTCGTCCTCAACCATATCTTTGTTTTGGCTTGTTTTAATGTCATCTTTAGCAATGCCATTGATAACATGAACCCCGGAATTTTCTGCTTGAACTTGAGGGAAAGATTGGTCTTTTTCCCAATTTTTAGTCGAAGATTTCAAGATCACTTTATCATACTTGAGCAAAGCATTAAGAACATCAATGTGGCCCTCAATCATACAATAGTAAAGAACGTTGTACCCATCACCATCAACATAGTCAAGATTAGCACCCAAGGAAACGAGCTCCTCAGTAGTCTTTACATGTCCCTCCAGCACAGCATAAAAAATAGGAGGCCAATTAAAAAGATCATCAACCATATTAACGTCAGCTCCATATTGGGTCAACAATTTTATGAGCTTATAGTGGCCCGATCTTGCAGTGACATGAAGTGGATGTAAACCCTTTACATCTGGTTGATTAACAAGCAGTACAGTAGGCTTCGAATAAGAAAGCAAGTACTCCAAGATTTGGTAGTCTCCGTATTCGCAAGCATAGTTGATTGGTAAGTACTGAAGGTTACTTTCACTTGATGTGGGCCAGCAGTTACTTCCCATTTGCACCAACTTTTCAATCATATGAACATGTTTGTGTCTAATTGCCAAAAGAAGTGCCGTCATAGATTCATTATCCAAATCATCAAGGTGATCACGAGGGAATGCAGGTGCAACTAGATTTAACAAATCGAGTCTGTTATTCTGGGCCGCATAATGAAGACAGGTCCGTCCATTGAAATCCTTGCAAGCAAGAAGCTCTTCTCTAACAGAATCTGTAAGCTTGCTCATCATATAATCAACAATAAATGTTCTGGAATGTTGAATACTGTCGATTGAATTAATCACTTTAACACCATTATTAATAATGGCATGGTTCTCTTGAGTAGAAGCTGGAGGAATGGAGCAACACTGATGGATCACAGTACGTTTATTATTGAAGTCGTCGCTGACAATGGTAAAGTCCACGCTGTAGTTAATGCGCTCTAAAAAGAGCTGAAGGAAGGAGTCAGCAATGCGGACATTGGGAATCGAAAGTAGAAATATTTTGGATAATTTGAGTTTTGATTCTTCCTCTGACGTTTGGTTCAGACCCTTACCCACCTTTTCAATCCACCTGTCTAACAAATCCAAGTCTGGGTCTTTAATTGTAGCAATATTGACAAAGCTACTGTAAAGATCATCGATCTCAGAATTATAGACGTTTGCAACGGATCCATGTCTGGACGTATTGAAGTTGGACGATTGGAAAGAGTCACTATTTGCAGACGGACTTTCAGCTAACATGTTAGGAGATGCTTGGAGCGAAATGTATTTTGGAAGCGACGAAAAGTCACCATCCATAATTGATTCGAGGTCAAATAAAGTCTGAGTAACCATATCACTCAATTCGTTAATGTCATTTTTGTGGAAAACAGGTTGCACGCTGACAGCAGTCAGGATAAATAGTTCCCTGGTGTGGGATTTGGACCTTTTATCCCATTTTTTCACCACTTTCAGAAACCCAGTTTCGTTGAGTTCAATAAATTGTTGCAATCTGATCAAGTCTTGATGAATTTTTTTGAAGTTTTGGTACAAGTTGAGGTAAGAAATGGAGTTCCTGAAGTTGGAATTTCTGCCTTCCTTCCTCTCCAATTGTTCATGATATCTTGTTAAAAGTTCCCGATTTTTGTTTAGTAAAAGTTCCAAATTGACTTCAAGATTAGCTTGTTTTTCTAAATAAAAGGAATTGACTTTCTCAAGCTCACGTTCAACACGAAAGAAGAAGGACGCCCTATTTTCTTTCAACGTGTTTTGCGCCTCTACCGGAGAAACCGTGGTGACTGGAGTGATTCCATCAGGACTGGACGGTGTAGCGAGTTTCTTGATGAGCTTCTTGAGAGCCTTATAGTCGATGAAATGGCCCGAGTACTCTGGAAGCTCGAGCTGTCGGGAGGCAAGATACTTTCCAAACTTCATCAGATAGGGTCTACAATGCGAATTAGAGGTTTAAGATTGATATATTATAGCTGAAAATTCCCCACGTGGGATCACGTGGATGGTCTCGTGACAAGCCTACGAAGCTGCTTTTTTAGCCTCGTCAAAGTACTCTTTGAACTTGTCAGCATTCTCTTTGTTTCCGAATCTGATGGCCAATGTTTGCGCTTCTGGTTCACCTTCAGACACATCGGCGGTTACGGAATATACCCAAGATCTGTCAGATCCAATGTTAGGTTTCAATTCGTATTCTTTGGAAATGAGATGGTTAGCACAAATCTTCAATGTCTTGTCTCTTCTCATCAAAATCCGCACCTTGCCGTTGGTCTTGTGCTTCAAAAACTTGACGTCACCAGTTCCTCTTTCCTTCCATTCCTTGCTATCGCCATGAAATCTGAACAATTTGGCTCTAACTTTGTATAAAACCTCCTCATCTTCCTCATTGGTCTTCACTTCCACCTTTTCTAATTGGACCAAAGGCTCGAAATGAACATCTGCCTCTTCTTCGTCGGCTTTTTCGGTGTCTTCGCTATCTTTTTTATCGCCACTTTCCTCTTTTTCGGTGTCCTTTTCGTCTTCAGCTTCGGGTTTCTTTTCCTTTTTACCTCCGAAGATCGAGAAAACGTTGGATGTGGGGGGAGTGGGCTCTGCTGGGGTGGATTCCGTCTTGGTTTCTTTGGGTTCAGCAGACATATTTACTTGTTGTAACTCAGATTCAAATCGAAAAAAATGTATGGCGGTAAATGCACGACCGGCACAACATTAGCTCCACATATTTTGCTTTTGACTTTATGCCTGTAGTTTATGCACTTTATTAAATACTAGAACAATTCTTATATACGCGCTTGTTTTTCGTCTTGTCTAAATATCGTCGTCCATCTCTGACGGCTTGACAAGTCCACCAACTTGTAAGTCTTTCTCTCTCTGTATTCTAATTTGCTCCTTCTTCTCGAGCTCCTTGTCCTCAGCGAACAAGTAATCGGTAGGATCTCCACCAACCTCTTTGATTTGGATCAAGAAATCCCGCAAAGTTCCCTTGAATTTGTTCAAGTCCTTATAAGACGAAGTCAACACATTCAAGAAAGTGACTAATTGTTCTTGCTTCAAATTATCGAATGCCGACGAAAGTAATTGGGCGAGGTATTGTTTCAAAAAGTCTGAATTAGCTGTTCCTTCTGCTGCTTGGTCAGGCGAGTACAACGGATACTTGATCACATTGTCTTCGACAAGGTGCACCAATTGCGCCAACAACTGTGATTGGATTCTGAAGCCAGCTTTATGATCTGGTTGCGTGATAACATAAAAGGTATCAGATAAGATTTGAAAGTAAAAGTTCTCATAAAAAGCTTTAGTGAACGCAGTATCTCCCAATTTCTCCACGTTTTCAATAAGTTCGAGGGTGAGGGTCAAACCGTTGTCTTCCACCTCACGGCTATTATGTTTGATCGCCCATAATGCGGCATTGATAAGTGATTGGAATGCATCTCCAGAAAGCTGTAACAACGCCTGGAATGACTTGGCGTTGATTTCGCGAAGCAACTTGATAAACTCCACCCGATGCTCAGGATAGTCGATGAAGTTGGTCTTGATCATATCGAGTGTACACTCAAAAACGTTTTGCAAAATAAGCACAACTCCTTCAGGAATCATATGGCCAACCTTGGATACCAAGGCAGTCATACAGTTCAATACCTCGGCATCACGAGCATCAGGAACATTGGAATTGTAGTCTTCAAGAACGGCGCCAAATAATGGCTGTGCCAAATCTCTCACTATCTCTTCCAAGTTATCGGCTTGGTTAATGTAAGTTTCAATCATTTTAAGAATTTCCTTCTTGATAGTTCTTAAACCTCTCACCTTCGGCGTTTTGGTTGCTATTATTCCATCTTTAGCCACAGAGTCAGACACCATGGTGCTCACGGCTTTGTACAATGACAACATGTCCACGTACATCAAGCCTAATTGAGAGTAAAATCCAGGTCCTAATGCCTTACAAACCGACACGTTTGTCTTAATGATGTTTGCAATGATCTTTACTCGTTCATTGTTCGTCAAGAGTTGAGGATCATGCCCAGCATCTTGGACGATCGTATTCCAAGCCATGTTGGGCAATGCCATCAATTCACCGAGAAGTTTGTTACGAGCCTCCTTTTGTGTTTGGGCGCTGACAATGATACCACAAGCTTCGTAAAAGGTGTGGACTTGTTGAGGATTCAAGTCTTCTGTGATCAGTTGAATGTTAGTTATGATTTCATTGATGAAAGGCTCTGTTTCTTGCGGCTGAACCACTACGAAATGCTTCTTACATTTAGTAGTGATCTTGATGAATGTGTCACATGCCATGTCTTGCACTCCTTCGTGTGTTTCGTGCATGAACTCGAACAACTTGTTCACGACCGTCTTGAGGAACTTCCAGTGAGCCTTCAAAAACCGAGGATATTGTCCCACAATATACATGATGTTGGAGGCAACCACTGCTTTGTTATCTTTACCACGCTTCATTTCTGTAAGAGAGAGTAAGTCCTTGATTACATTGACAAGGAATTGCTTCTCCATGTCCTCGTTCATAGTTCCTGAAATGGAACCTATAGCCCAACACAAAGTGTTGATGTTTTCCCATGACCACTCCAGCTCATCTATCTGCCTTGCGAGTTTGTCACTCATGATTGTCTGGGTATCTAATACGTTCAAATGAGTCAAGTAAACTAAAACTTCTCTCATAGACTTGTATAATTGAATGGTGTCACTTTCTTTAACAAATTCCCTCACAACTTCTCCTTCATCATTTGTAACAACCAACACCTCTTCAGGTCTGGCCATGTTTTCAATAATCACCAATCGTAATTTTGACAAAATGTTAGCATAGATATGTTGTCTCAAAGGAATCTGAGCCAAAACAGACGGATCTAAAGCTCCGCCTGCACCTCTGCGGAAACTGCCTTGATATTGTAGTTGCATCAATGGACTGAGTCTATTTTGAGGCAAATCCTGAATTTCCTCGAATAATGACTGAACAAACGAGCTCCAATAATCCAAACACGTCTTGAATAATTCTCTTTCTTCAATCCTTGACAATTCAATTAGGTAAAATAGAGAGTTCATTAGCAAATCTCTCAAAGACTCGTTACTTTCTAAGGGTAGTAAGTGGTTGCCGAGGAATGTGCAAAGAAACATCGCCAAATCTTGTAAAAACGATTGATCGTTGGTATTGGCATTCTTGTAAGATTGTTTTAGGTTGGTATCAGGAGGCACAATTGCATATATCTGTTCCATAGCTTCCTTAAAAGCGATGATAAATTTTTCTTCATTTTCAGGAGAATGCAAACTGAAAACTTCGGTAAGACACTGTATAGCGACTGTTCTAGTGTCAGCAGGAACCAAATATCTAGTAGTTAAAAGTTTTAACAAATCAGTCTGAAAAATGTAATTCATTGGAATCCAAGGAATGTACTTGAGTAAAGCTTTAAGAGTAGCAATGATCAACGATGGCTTCGAAGTTTTATCCAAAACTTCATAGCAAAGCTTGAAGATTTCTTCAAACTCATCTCTCATACTAAGTTTCAACGACTTGGCTTTCGCCTGCGTGAGTTGGTCTTGACTGAAATCAAAAACTTCTTCACTCAACAACTTGAGAATGATCATATTATTTTCACACACATTAAAACTCGAGGTGGAGCTCTTGACGATCTCCGGGATAAATTGGGGCCAGTTATGGGGCCATTCTTGTTTCAACACCAGAACTAATGTCAAGTCAATCTTGTTAATAAGGGCCCTTTGGGACTCAAATACCAGCTCATCATCGCAAAGAGAGATGATCATATTTACGATGAAGTTACGAATTCCTACTCTTTCATCTTCGGGAATCGATTTCCACCGGTATTGAATGAGCTTGTTCAAACATGACAAGGCAATGTATTTCGATTGGGCGTTGGAAGAGCTCGAAAGGATTTGGTCTGAGCGCTTCCAAGACTCGGGATGTTCCTGGAACTGGTTAAGGACCAATTGAGCCTCTTTTTGATTGGCGCCGGAGCCTGAGTAGAAGGCATTGACCACCAGATCAAAAAGGGAGACGTCAAGCTCCTTGGAGAAATCTAAGATAGCATCCATCTATTTTAAATATCAATCTAGATGTAGAAAGACAATAAGATCGCGAGGACGAGTGACGCAATTAAGAGTACTAACTATCAGTCGTCAGTAAGTAGTGGTTCCGTTGTCAGGTCAACCTAGAAGAAAGCTATAGTTAGTATATCTTCCGAAGTAAATAGGTTGTCTCGTGGTCAAAGAAATCAACACTGGCCCGGACTTGAACTTTGTTCAAATTTTTGTTCGAATTTATACCGTGCTTTTGTTTTACGTGATCATCTTCAAATGGCGAAAAAAGCCATCAGTAATAAAGCAGCACAAAAAGTCTATTTGGACGGTATTGGCGACTTTTAAAGTTCAATCACTGCTACAGCAGTGTGCATCATACGAACCCGTGTTGTTCTCCCGGGTAATACTTACTCAATGCTTGGTACCTAAAGAGTTTAATAAGTTGTTTTTGCCAGAAAGAATCTTTGCGCGGGTTGTATGCAGTACAAGGGGGGGGAGGAGGCTAGTGGAATCGAAGGCCACGGATTTCCATTGTGAATATGATAGTATTTTCTGGATCTACTCAATTGTTTAGTGAATTTAATATTTAGTGATTTTCTACAGTATGTTTTTCTTTCAAGATCTTAAACTTTATTCCTACTTCTTGACAAACGACACACCCTTTTCGATGTTCTTAGACAATTGATCAACGGCAACCTCCAACAACTTCTTTTCGTTGTCGCTGATCTTGTCCAAGATTTCGTATTGCACTTCTTCAATACCGGACTTACCCAACTTGACTGGCAAGGAGAAGAAGTCCAAGTTACCGACCAATTTCTTGGCCTCACTAGCACCTTTGATGGACGAGTCCAAGTTCAAAAAAGTGCACTCGACGACATTTGGGGTGTCAAGGGCCTTCAAGATAGACTCGGCCAACTTGTAACCGGCATAAGCCATCGACAAAGTGGCGGAACCAGCACCATTCTTGGCTTGGACGACCTCATCACCACCGAATTGAACTCTGTGGATCAATTCCTTTTGTTGTTCCTCAGACAACTTGTCCAAGTATTTCTTTGAGTTACCAAGCGAGTACAATGGCACAATTGTCTCTCCAGAGTGACCACCAATCACATTGATGTTGAAATCGGTAGGCTTAGACTCCTTGGGGAAGAGCTGGGAAATAAATGTGTTGGCTCTGACAATGTCCAACGTGGTAACACCGAACAATTTCTTTGGGTTGAACACATTGTTCTTCTTTAAGGTCTCGGCGACAATTGGCACTGTTGAGTTAACAGGGTTGGAAATGATCAACACAAACGCATCAGGACAAGTCTCAGCAATTCCTTGGGCCAATCCTTGAACGATAGAAGCATTGATGTTGAACAAATCGTCTCTGGTCATACCAGGCTTTCTTGGCACACCAGCAGGGATGATCACCAAGTCTGAGTTCTTCAATGAGTCTGCAAGAGCGGTCTTGTCCTCCTTAGCCGAGGGCAAGTGCGAAGAAGTGGTGGAATTGGAGCAGATATGGGATAAATCAGCTCCGACACCTGGAACGTTGACCACGTCGAACAATGCCAATTCATCAATCTTTGGGTTCAATTTCAAAAGTAACGACAATGGTTGACCAATGCCACCAGCAGCTCCACAAACTGTAACTTTAACCATTTTAATATAATTTTACTTGAAAAAAAATCCAACGGTGAATTGATGGCGTTTATAAATTAACGTGCTCCCGGAACTAAGACAGACCGCGGAGGAGTTTTTTATGGGGTAAGGGGCGCGGGGACCCGGGCAGCCGGAAATGGCAGTCCCCGGTTGAGTATTCTACGACTGTGGCACGTGACATTGCGGTGCGAGCCCGGAAGTTGTCCGGCGAATATCGGATGGGGTGAAATGGAGGAGCAAGCCATTGGTGGTAGTTCCGGGTCCAGATCGTACAGATGCACGGCCCGAAATGCATTGAGTGGTACTTGATGAAATTGAAAAATGATGTCACGTGATACGTTGAAAAATTGGTAAATCATTTCTTGGTGATTGGTGATTTCAGTCTACATTGTTTAGATGAAAAAGTATTATTAGCTACTCATAGTTTCAAGTTCTTAGCTTTGAAACTGTGATGGAAAGTTACCAGTCATCTTAGTTTTCCAAGTCCTTCTTCAAAGTACCCATGAAAGCGTGCTTCTCAGCTGGGGTTTGGAATCTACCCTTACCGAACTTTGAGGCAGTGTCAATCCATTTCAAGTTGACTTGTTCCAAAGCCTTTCTGGAGGTGTCAACGTACAAGGACTTTCTCAAAGTAACAACTCTCTTCTTGGTACCTGGAATAGAACCCTTAACCATAACGAAATCGTTGTTAACGTTACCGTATCTAACGAAACCACCCATTGGGTTAATGGATTTCTTGGTTCTGTCGAATTCGGTAGCACCGTTGGACTCGTCAGCACCGGAACCAACTCTGTAAACCTTGTGGTTAATAGAGGTTCTGTGGTGGTAACCGTTTTGACCAGCTCTAGCAACAGTCCAGTTAACATTAGCTGGATGCCAAGCACCAATACAAGCAACCTTTCTCAAACCTCTGTGAGTCTTTCTTGGCAATTTCTTGGTACCCCATCTGTGAGTAACACCCTCGAAACCGTGACCTCTGGTAACAGCAATAACGTCAATCATTTCGTTTTGCTCGAAAACAGAGTCAACAGTGACGGTCTTCTCAAAGTGCTCCTTAGCCCATTGGACCTTGTCGGCAATAGAACCACCGTTGACTTGAATTTCAGCCAAGTGAGCCTTCTTCTGCGACAATGGAGTCTTCTTGACTTGGGTGTGAGCCAACACTCTAACGACAGAAGCGTACTTGGTGATTCTGGCCAACTCCTTTTCAATTTGAGCACCATCTTGAGCGTACTTGGCGGAGTACTTGGTGAAAGCCTTCTTCTTGGACTTGAACCAGTTCTTGTAGAATCTTCTCTTGATTTCCTCAGACAAGTGCTCGGCCCACACAGTGGTCAAAGATCTCAAACCTCTTGGGGTCTCGACGTAACCAACAACACCAACGATAACCAATGGTGGAGTGTCAACAACGGTGGCGGCCTCGACGATCTCACGCTTGTGCATCTTCGAACCTGGACGGTCCAAGTCTCTGACGATGGTGGTCATACCGGCCTTGTAACCCAAGAAAGCAGTCAAAGCAACAGGCTTAGACTTGACATCCTTTGGGAAAGACTTAACTCTTCCTCTTTGCTTGGCGGCTCTCTTTCTTGGGAGGAAACCCAAGGATCCGTGACGTGGTGCTTCGAACTTTCTGTGAGACATGGTGAAGTTATTAACAGCTAGTGAAAAATTTGAAAATTTTTTGAGAAAAGGTTTGGTGTGCGCGCACCGACAAATTCAAGATGATCTGTGCTGTAATGTGCGCGGCGTTCCCTCACTTACCGAGGCGCACAGCACTGGAAGTTACGGGACCTTCCCCCATTCCGTTGTTCTGCCTCTACTCTCAAATGTCCATATATTAACTTTCACGCTTAACTTGTATAATCTTCTTTAACGCCAACCTAGCATCTCCAGAATCCACACTTGGAGAAGATGACGGCGATACCTCGTCCTCACGTTCTCCATTGTTCTTTCCCATCTCATTGCTTTGCAAATTCATAAGATCAATCATATTCACTGTAGGATACTGCTGAGCGGGCATATTGCCTAGTTGAAAGAGCTCGGAGCCTCCAAAAAAGTCGCCCTGCACAGGCTTACGCAGCTGTTGTGGAGAGAACATCATTGAGTTCATCATTGAGCTGAATTGAGGTGTCAAGTTGAACCCAGTGTTGTTGGGAGTTTGTCCCATGGTAGGCGCTAAGAAATAATTTTCTCTTCTGGGCGTCTGGGGAAGTTTTTCCAATGGAGAAACGTCGGCAAATGGCTCAGCAATTGACGATAATTTACTGGTGCTTCCGTTCAACCCAGAAGAGAGACCAGTAATATCAGAGTTAAACCTTCTCAAAGAAATCCGCTGTTCTTGTTCCGGTGCATTCTGGGAAAATACACCATTGGACAAATCTTCAGTAAATGGTACATCTAAATTGAAACTTTGAGACCCTGATGCCTTTTCGATTCCCATTGCCGAATAGGAATATTGGAGCTGGGGCTTCCGTACTGGCTCCTCCTTAACCTTCATGGAGGCCTCATTGGTCCTAGCAGAATTGAGCGACTGTGGTTGCTGTGTGACATTTGCGGAACCCAGCGACAATACTGCCCTGCCCAGCAGGTCGACCACAAGTTTGAGCAGGAACTCTTTGGACTCGTCATTGTCGGGTCTGAAAGTTCTGGTCCCGGTTTCCTTGCCTAGTTGTACCGGAGCTCCCAAAAATTCGGCCGACCGGCTACGCGGAGACCCTTCAAAGCCGATTTGCAAATCCATCGCCGAGTTCAAACCGGAGCCTCGAGAGATGGAAGGAGCAGAAGTAGTGGAAGAAAACCCGGGCCGAACAACGGAGGCTGGAGGAGTGCGGTACGTCTGCAACAGCTCTGACTGGGTGATCATGGCGATATTATCAATTGCCTTGGAATTGACTTGGAACGACAAAAGTGAATTGTCTGGTATTCCCGATTGCGGGGTGAAAGCCGAATAGTCGTCCACGGCCACATTGGGCACCTGGGAAGCCAGATTGACCCTCTGTCTCTTATAAACTGGGGTGGAAGAAGCCGACGAGTTTTTTCTCGACCGACGTCTTGGGGTCGTTGAACCTGGCAACAGGGTCGGTGAAACTTTCATAATTGGATCAAACCAGTTCGGTGTTCCCCTTCTCATCATGATATTTGAGTTAGACTCGGCCGTAGGGCTGCGGTACCGAGGAGGTGTGTTAACATTGATGTTCATGGTGGAGGATATTCTATGACATAGAGATGTCGGCTTTGGAGGCCGTCCTCGTCTTTTGGGGGTTTTATCCATAATGCAGGGTTAGAGAATGCAAAGAGAGTGGGGCCGAATGCCAACGGGGGGAAATTTGGTGGTGCTACCCGTATCGAAAAAATGCTACTACCCACAGCCAGCTGGGGTTGTTAAACGCAATTAAACGATTGGAAGAGTGGTGAATTGGTTGAAGAAACAAGTGTCAACCAAAAACCAGGAATGCCAAGGATAGCTAGTATTAAGTTTTGTAAAAAAAATTGAAATGCTGGTCGGCGATGTGCGTGTCAAATGCTCGATTAAACTCTCCTGCTTAGTGAGGTGAGCCGCGCTGCAAAATTTCACCTGAACGATAGGAGGTGAGGTGAATTAAAGCAACGGTTTTGCGCGGTGCTTAGACGATCCAGACGATGGAAAATTAGCTGATGTTCCCGTAGATAGAGGGGTTTACTCTTGAACAAGAGTTTCTTGACAGAAGCCAACGTTCAAAATTCGGTAATAGCCGATGAGCCAATTCGTGCGTATATGCCGGTATTTTTCACTTTTGCACCCCTTTGAGGATTTTTTTGGAGCCGTATCAAAAAAATTATGGCGCGATGAAATCAATCATTAGCTGCGAAATAGTATATAGTTATACCTTCCACTGGTTGGTCGATTCTGTGTCATAATTACCATGGCTTGGTGCGGTTGTGCCGGATAACGCACAATTCGGATGTCAATTACAATAGAAACAATGCAACAATGCACGGTTCTGGCTGAGGGGAATACACTACCAATAGTCGTTGCATTAACCGATGCGATCACCTGTGCGCTACAAGGTTGCTGTTTTCGGGAAACCTCGCGACAGCCGCGCGAACTGTGGTGGCCTTAATTGCGACGAATACAAGGCGGATTCGCGCAAATGAATCATCATAGATGCGTCCCGGGGAGCCTTTCCACCGGGGCGGGGCTAATAGCGGCTCTAATCGATGACGTACCTTGGCAAGCGAATTGGAGAAGTTGCGTGTTCGCAATTACGACGTCGGTAATTTTCAGTCCGATAACAAGTTCGAGTGGGGACACTTGAATGAAGTCATATAACATTGCTACTGTAACCGAAGGTTGTCTCCACAACTTCGGACTTGTCATGATTTCCTTGAGTGGGACCACTTGGTGGGTCCATTTGTGACGTGCATTGGTGCACCTTCGATGACGCGGCCCGGGCGTCAAACGTTGCGAACATTTAGGGGAGTAGCAAACGATAGGTTGCATGCCGGTGTAGGGCGATTACCGGTGATAACGCCATGGGCAAATTGCGGCTCGAGAAAATTTTTTTGATGGCCTAGAGTTGCTTGCCATTGTGATACATTCTGTTGCATTTTTCGTTTGTGGTCTCACATGTATGTGAAGTGTGCTAAATGGACAATAACGGGGATTAGGTGGTTCGGCTTAGCCGCGAATCCGATCTAATAATATTTCATGGTTTTGCGCATTTGGGGAAATGGGTGCAAATTATTTTCGCGAACTCTTTCACCGCTTCTCCTCATGAGGCTTGCGAACATATATGGTAAACCCTTATCGTGCCTTGACCTTCGTTCGTTAATCTCCGCTGTATAAAGTTTCCGTCAACCCACGACGCGGCAAAGTTGGTTTTTTTCCGGTTACTTCCGCCAATGCATAGGTTTAATACACCACACCACTCCGGGTTTGGCAGTCCTATTCACACTTAGGCCCAATGGAAGGCTTTGACCCTCGTGGTGATCCAATAAGCCCAACGGAATCAATATAAAATATTTGCATATTGTTCCCTTGCATTATATCCGGTGCTATTGTTCAAACATTCCCCTAGCTAATATTCTGCGCCTCGCTAACTTCACTCAGGTCCGTATTTCTCATCGGTAGCTCCACCTCGGAATACCGAAGAACTCATTACATCAATTTTTCTCCTGTATACTGGCCCTCAACCGTTGAGGTTGATTCGCATTCGATTCGCATTCGCATCGTATCGTCGTTCCCACCGTATAAAGTTCCATATAAAGAGTCACAACAGCGCATTCTACTCCATGAGTTCCCGACTGTTGAATCCAAAGACAATCCATCGTGAGTTTTCAGGGCTTCCAGGTGCCCTTGGCATCATTTTTGGTTTGCCATTGGTGGTGATTCTACTTCATTTGCTCACAAACGAAAATTATAGCATCAAAGGAATTAACCTTGACTGGGAAGCTGTGAAAAAACAGCTCCCAAATTCAAAGGATCAATTGTGGGCATTGTGTTTTGATGCTCAATGCTGGAAAGTTTACTTAATTTGGTTCGTTTCAACCACCTTCTTCGATTTAATCTTGCCTGGAAAACATAAGAAAGGTGTTCAATTGCGAGACGGTACTCACTTGGCATATAATATCAATGGCAAAAGTGTATCTTCTGCTTTCGTGGCGGTGTTGATTGCTCGTCTTTTTCTGTCCCCAACATACTTTGTACCAGAACTCCAGTTCGTTTATGACCACCAATTACAGCTCATTCTCGTAACTGTGATTTTTTCCTTCCTTTTATCAGTGTTTGTATATATTGCATCTTTCATCCCATTGACATTTGCCAATGGAGTGGGCACTAAGGAGAGAATCTTGTCGGTGAACGGTAACACAGGTAATCCTATCTACGACTTTTTCATCGGCAGAGAATTGAATCCCAGGATAGGCTCTTGGGATATCAAGTTGTTTTGCGAGTTGCGTCCAGGAATGCTTCTTTGGTTGGCTATAGACTTGGCTTGTATCCATAATCAGTACCACAAATATGGATCAGTCTCCGATTCCATTGTACTTGTCACAGCTTTGCAAGCATTCTATGTATTTGATGGGGTGTTGAATGAAGAGGGTTGTCTTTCCATGATAGATATCACTACAGATGGCTTTGGTTTCATGCTTAGTTTTGGTGACTTGGCGTGGGTTCCTTGGACTTATTCACTTCAAGCCAGGTACTTGTCAAATCCTCAGAACGCAGTTCATTTGGGCTACATCAGAATAGCCGCAATTGTGCTACTCATGGGTGTTGGATACTACATTTTCAGTGCATCAAACAACCAAAAATCTGCTTTTAAGCAGGGAAAATTAGACCACATGAAAAGCATAAAGACGAAAACGGGCTCCAAATTGCTCTGCGACGGTTGGTGGGCAATGTCTCAACATATAAACTATCTTGGTGATTGGATGATCGCTTGGAGTTGGTGCTTGACTACTGGATTCCAAACTCCAATTACTTATTTTTACGTTATCTACTTTGGTACTTTACTCCTTCATAGACAAATGAGGGACGATGCCAAATGTAGTGACAAATATGGTGAGCAATGGGAGGAGTACAAAAGGCTAGTGCCATACAAGATAATACCGTATGTCTATTAGGTAGCTTATTCATTTTTTTTCTCGTAATCGACCTGTTTGTCGAAAGATTTGTAGGAAATGTCCAATGATCCAATCCACTGTAATGCGGTAACCAATACCGCAATTAACATTGCTGACACAATGAGTCCCAGCCAAATACCAGGCGTGAAAAACCTATACTCAGTGAAAAGACTCAGGTTATTCCGCTTGTGATGAGAAGGTGTCGAAGTCTCGGCACTAGCCTCAGACAAAGCTGTGACTTGGCCATGGGGGTACTTTGATACAAGTGACTCGGCCTTGGCAAAGTCAGCCTCAACTTCCGCTGCTATCTTGTCGAAATCCTCAGTTTCTGACCTCTTATGGTGCACGCCGAATTCGATGTTGAGGTTATCGTAAACCTTGTCCTCTACGTAGCTTTTAATATCTTCCAAATGCGAGCTGGTCTTGTGGAACGATGGTTTGCCCTGGACAACCACCATTACCAGAGGGTCCTTTATGGCGTCTGTAAACTCTCTGACCGTGTGGACTTTGTTGTCTTCGACGTCAATGATCGTCAACGGCTTGTCAAGGGTCGATATGGTTTGTTGGTACGAAACCTGGTCAGATCGACAACTGTCACCCAATAGCAAATCCAAGTCAGCAGCCGATTTATAGTGGACATGTTCAACATAGGAGCCGTCTTGGATGTCGCCGTGGTGCTGTAAATTGTTTACTCTGAAAACCACCGTTTTTTTGTTGGAACTGCAAATATCGTTGGTGAAAGAAGTCCACGCTGGACCCAAGTTTGTCGACTCTTCATAGTAGGACAACTTTCCCAAATTTCTCGACGAGAAGAATGGTGCTGTATCTGAAAATGCAAGCGCCGATGCCTCAAAGAGTGCTAATGTAACGAATCCGGCGAGCTTCATGTTAAGGAGGACCACAACTCGCAAGGAACAATTCGCACTCGCTTTATCAAAACCTGGTAGGCGCACGGCGACATATAGAGCGACGATTAGCGGCACCATTAGCTACCAGAATGCCAGCAGATATCCCCAAGTAAGTAGGCAACCAACAAACCTTTTAAATGAGCCTCATACTAATTAGATCTGTGGTTAGGAAATTGGTGTTTTTCACCGCCGCCATGATAATCTTCCCGGTGTTCACCTTTTTCGTGGTACAATATCTCAGCGACAATGCGCTAGTAAGTGGCGGTATTGCGGCATTGGCGGCCAATGTGGTGTTGATAGGGTATGTGGTTGCGGCGTTTACCGAGGATACCGCAGCATTGGAGAAGAAAGAGCAATGATACGGAAATAGAAAGATGTATGGCTAAAAATGAAAAATGAAAAAAGTAATACAAATTGATGTAATACTAATTGATCAAAGATCTTACATGTATTTCGAGCATGTATAACTGAACTCAATACTAATTCATTATTGTAAGCTTTCAATTATGTTTCTTACACTAACATTCCCTCTCACTAAATTCATCAATCTCCTTCTTCGCACTTTTATGGTTCACCAACTCTCGCTAGTCTCCACTGTCGAACACGGCTACTACGTCCAAACTGTGGCCACCCTCAAAGCATTAACAGGTCTTCAGTCTACACAAAACATTGCAACCTATAACCTCGTCACAAAACCTCATGATGTGTTCAAACCAAAGGTCGAAGCTGGTAAAGTCAACCAGATAGAACAGTACTATATGAAGTGTATAACTACCTGGGACGAGGATACGGGCGATATAGAGAAGCCTATACTCAAGGATAGCAATACTGTGGAAGCAAGTCGGTTATTTGTGGGCGACAACAATAAACGTATATGGACGTTACAAATATCAGACATACCTGTTGCTGGCAAGAACCAAACATGTTCAGCACAAACCATATATGACTCAACATTAGTTCATCATCATACCAAGGTGGTGGACAAAGTAGAAAAAGAAAACCTGGATCAATTTGAGTTTGTCAGGAACGACTCGTTTCTTCAATTCTTGAGCGACTTGGGCTACGATGTTATTAACCAGTTTTGGCTAAAAGGAGTCCGTTTTTTCCACGGCGATATAGTCATTGAAATATTCAAGGTATTTATACGAGACGATGAACGCCAGTCGTCAGACAATGCCATTGCCTTGAAGCTCTTGGATGAGTCCAACACTTTCCAATTCAAAGCCTACATCAACGTCCCCAAGGCCACCGACGTAGATGCTATTAATCAGGGAACTAAAGAGCTCTTGAAATTGCAGGATTTTCTCAAGAATTTGGTCAAATTGGAGATCCCTGACAGAATACATATGGACAGTCGTGTATCGAAATAGGTTACTACTGTCTAGCTTTAACCACGAAAAATGGACTATTTCGTAATTTTCCAATTGTAAAGTTCCCTATTTCTCCCTTCTCGGCCGATGGTTTTAGAGAGCTGATACTTTCTTCTATCTGTTGCAAATTGAGTGGTTCTTGCTGCCTATGGTCGCCAGGCAAAAGTCTGAAATGGTCATTATTCGTAGAATTATTATTGGCAACATTGTCATCTTCATATAAATGGTTGATAAAAACCATTTGCGTCTCCAATGCCTTCTTTATCTTTGTAGTTTCTTCCTTGGAAATTGTACTCTGGAGCCCAGAAATTCGGAGCATTTTTTTGACTACCGCTTCATCTATCTTTGGAGTTTCTATACCAGCGGGATTGTGTAATAGACTTGTTATAGACCACGATGGCTTGTTAAGTAAGTCCCGTATTGCCGGTTTCGATAGGCTTCTAGTTATTGACATATTTGAGAAATGATTTGAAGATTTGTGATTGTGAATTTAGTAAACTTGGAGAAATTTGAGATTTTGTAATTTTCGTGAAATTTAAGAAAAGTTTTGTGAAATTTAAATTTGGTACTTGAACTAAACTCTTTATCTACGTAGTTCTATGCATTTAATTAAGCTTCTGCAACTCGGCCTTCTTCTTGTCAATCTTTCTTCTCTTCTTGGCCAACTCGTCTTGTCTGGTCTCCTTCTTGTTGATACCATATTGCATCTTGTTATACAATTTACGCTGCTTGTTGGTCATCATGATCTTCTTAAGGTCCTTCTCTTCTTCTTCGGCACTTCTCTTCTTAGATGGCTTCTTCTTCTTGTCTTCCACAGTATCGGAGAATTTCACACCAGATGCCTCCATCTCCAATTCTCTCTGTTCTTTGACATCTTCGTCTTCTTCTTCAGGTTCCTCTTGGTTCTCATCTTCTTCCTCAACTTCCACTTCCTCTTCTTCTTCTTCCTCGTCTTCTTGCTCACCTTCCTCGGTCTTCTTGCTTTCAGGATCATACCCAGCAGCGTCTCCCCATGGTGACAAGTGTGGTGGAAGTGTCTCACCTGGTGCATACAGATTGACGGGAAGTAAGCTTCCTTGGTTCAACGAATCGAAAATCCATTGAGGTTGAATATAAGTTCTTCCAGCCACCTTCGATGCAACCTTTGGTCTGTCGACGATTTGGTGGGTGATGGTACTCAAGTCCAAGTTTTTGTATGCTTCAGGATGGTTGATTTTCAAATCATCCATGGCTATCTCAGAAACCAAAGATCCACCACACGATAATATACAAAACTCAAGAATATCTAATGGAACTTCACGACCAACATAAAAGACAAACTTGGAAAATAACGTGGATGTTGGACTGGCGTATTGGGAAGGCTGGCTCAACAAGTCTCCAGTGGTCTTGTTGGTAGCGGAGAATTCATCTAACTCAACTTCATCGACACCAGGTTCCACATCTTCGTCATCATCTTTCTGGTCTGCCTCAATGGCCTTGGAAATCTCCTTGTCGTCAAGTTTTGTTCCGGCAGCGTCAGTTTGGGCGGCTTTTGTCTTTGGTATTAACGGATTGACACTGTCTTTAGTCTGAAGAATGTAGGCCGACAAGCCACCAATACCCTTGAGTTTCTCGATATCGATAGTTGGAGGGTAAATCAAGTTTGCATTGTTGTACAACTTGTACAACACAAAATGCAACAAGGTGGAATAAAATTCCAAAAACGTCATCATGATTCTGAAATCAACGTCTGAAGGGATATTGGTGGGAAACTTGTAAGGTACCAACCATCTCACCTCCTGGCCCATAACATTGGCTTGGTAGTAAACACCCTTGATAGAAACGAAAACCTTCTTGATCAATCTTTCCTTCGCAACGTAGGCAAGCCATTGGTTGCATAATTTTTCAGCATCTTTGGTGATCCTATGGCTCACTTTATCGGTAGCAGGCATATTGGCAAAGAGAAATAACATATTGAGAGGATCATCGAGGTCTCTCAACGCATCCAAAAATGTTGGATATCTCTCCTTGATGACATGGTCCAACGAGTACTTTGGTCTATTCGACTCTAAACGAGCGGCATCACTAACCTCTCCACGGCCCAAAGCACGCTGTAACTTTTTGGCAAATGTCTTGTGCTCTCTAAACTTTTGCAAAACAGGCTCGTGGAGCAAATATTGGATATCCTTAGCATAATAAAACGTTACTGGAGCGGTGGAGCCTTTATTTGCCTTTTTCTTATTACGCGGTTCCCGCGGATATATACCTTTGAATATACAGAGCCGACGGAAATCAGCCAACGAGACCTGGAGCTTCTTAACAGCTTGTGTCCTGGTGATGAAGTTCTTGGCGTTACCGGAAGTCCCCTTCTTCTTGATCCTCATAGTGTAGATTATCTGCGATGAGATGAATTTTTTTGAGATGAGCCTGGTGATATGCAGGAAAGAGGTGGAAAGGTGATAGAGCCTTTTCAATAGGGTGGGTTTAGGTACTAATTTTCGGATTGTTTGCTTCAAATCCCAAATTCACGGCCTGACTGGTATTCTCCTCCTTATTACATTTCAGTTTATGATCGCCATCACCTTTTTAATTGGACGATCTATACTGGCAAACTACAAAATCACATAATCAATACTTATAATATTAAGCCAAAGATAACCATAAACCAATTCATTTGACTTCAGCTTGTCCAATATCTCAATTTCTCATCTCCTCACGCCAAATTTGGTGTCTTTTATATCTGTAAACGTGGTTCCCCAACATCGCACCCGCACATCACAGCCGCGCCGATGCTCGTACTCTGTTCTTGATTCATTGAAAGTAACCATTTTGCACGGCTGAATCAACTAACCCCAACATGTCGTTTCCAGATGTTCTCAGGCGGGGCGATGACTTTCTCAAAGAGATGCCCCGGTCGTCAACCTTTTGGAACTACGCTTCACATGCAACCTGTTTGATGATGATCTCAGGAACAAAGATCGCTCTTAATACTTTGTATAAGCCATACCTTCATGGCGTAGAGAAGCTTGACGAGGCATTGGAGCGCGCCCGCCGAGAAAATAGGTCGCTTTTGACGGTGATGAATCATATGAGTGTAGTGGACGATCCTACTTTCTACGCAGCTCTTCCGTGGCGATTCCATACCGATATTGATACCATAAGATGGGGTTTTGGTGCACACAATATATGCTTTTCCAACACGGCATTATCGTGGTTCTTCAATTTGGGCAAAATCTTGGGCACAAAACGGTTTGGATTCGGTCCATTTCAACCTTCACTCGACGCTGCTATTCGAATAATGAGCCCCGATGATACTTTAGACTTGGAGTTTCTGCCGCTAGTAAAAGACGTTGAAAAACCTCTTCTAATTCAGCGTGCTAGTTCGCCTTCATGGAAAGAATCATCAGACCTTGTTGCTCACAAGAAATCAGGAGCTAACATCCTCATGTCCCTGTCGCCATTTATCCGCAAAAAGACGTCGTGGTTCCACGTATTTCCCGAGGGATTCGTGCTACAGTTAGAATTTCCTCACGAAAACTCAATGCGTTACTTCAAATGGGGTGTTTCTAGACTCATTCTCGAGGCAACTGCATCTCCAATAGTTGTTCCAATTTTCTCCTATGGCTTCGAAAAAATAGCACCAGAAGACTCAGCCGACAAGGGTATCAACAGATGGCTTCCCTCGAATGTAGGATCGGAGGTCCATATTCATATTGGCGACGCATTGCCCGATGAACAGATCGAAGAATACAGAGAACAATGGCGCCGTCTATGCGCCAAGTATATCGACCCCAAGCATCCTGAAGACTTGAACGACGAGTTGCGTAATGGAAGCAAAGTGCTCGAATTGAGGTCTCGTATTGCTGCCGATTTGCGTGAAGCTGTAGCTGGTATTCGCACCCAAGTGGGCAAGTTCCGTGAAGAAGACCCTCGTTTTAAGGATCCAGAGTTTTGGAAACGCTACACTTTGACAGAAGGTGCTAGTGACCCGGATGTCAAATTCATCGGTAAGAATTGGGCTATTAAACGGTTGCAGAAACATTTGCCGGAATTTAGCGAGGATTGAGCCTTGGTAATTTTACATGTATATAGTAGAGATTAATAGGCAGTCATATTAGTGAACTACACTCCTTACCATCCTCACTATCTCTATTTAGTCCACGACTCCTCGCTGCTGCAGCTTCTTGCAGCCATGGTGCACTGGGCGAATTTCCTCATCGTCCATAATTTGCAACAAATCTAAAGTCCTTCAGCCTCCATGATAAGGAATATACCACGAATACCATGGAGGATCTCACCGTCCATTCTAATACGTCCGGTGTATTCTGGTACTCTATTGGGGCCTTCCATTGTTTTCAATCGACATAAAATATGGACTAATCCTCTTAGTAGGTTCAACACAAAATCACAAAATTCGCCTGAAATCATACAAGAAGAAACAAATCAAGAACGTGTAGAGGTGGTGCAATTGCTAGAAGAGTTACGACATTACTCCAAGACTCGTGAGGTACCTGGGAAACTTCGACAGGGTATTTTATCTTCCAAGCTTTCTCAGCTTCTTACCCTAGCTTCGTCCTTCACGACAGAAGGCGTTTCCAAAACCGCAGATCAAGCGTTTATGCAACTATTCTACCTTAACAACCGAAACGTATCCAACATGTTAACCAGTGAGGATCTTTCTAAATTTTACGTTCGAATGAGCAAGGTTGAAGGCACTCAGTTTGAATCAATGGCCAAGATCGCCGAGTATTATGTATCAGAACAATCGGAAACAATACCAGAGGAGATACTTCTTCAAATTATATCCATGGCCTTGAACTTAGCCGGTGGTAATTTACAGTCTACTTTGACCTATCTTATGACGAAAAAGAAGAAGGTATTCAATTCCAGATTCACAGAAAGCCTTTTGAACTTGGAACTAGAGAAAGGGAGATTGACCATACTGACCTTTGAGGCTATAATTAAAGCATCAGAGAATCTGGGCACATTCACACTTCTCAATGACTCGTTTTATTTGCTGTACATGAATTATATCGATTCTTTGTTCGATAAAAATCCACCCAAACCATACGAATACCAAAATATCGAAAGAGACATTGATCGCACTCAAATTTTCTTGCACGAACAGCTTCTTGAATCCTTGCACGTTGCTCAAATCTCACCAGCAACCACTATCAAGTTACTTCAGCATGCATGGAACCTTCAATCTATAAATCCTCGTAAAGACTTTGATAAGGTTTTGGTATCTGTTAAAGAGCTTTTGAGTGAGGAGGGAAATGTTACAGACAAGATTAAAGATGCGGTCTTTAAGGAAGGTCTCGAAGAAGAGTCTCTTGCTCAAGGTCTTCTCGATTTGCTTTGGTATGGAAGAGGTACATATGGAAGCAGTGGAACCGACTTGTGCAAATTTATCATTAACGATGATATCAAGTTTTCGATCCAATTAAGGCTGATAGCAAAGCTCCAATTACTCTTCGACAACAACGAATTGAATGAAACCATTATCCAAGATATTGACCAGATTTTACGGGATCAGTCCTTGCAGCCAGAAGATCTCATCAAGTTATACGAAAAGATTGTCTTCTTGTACACTACATGCGAATCCAGCACCGATTCGTTTGCTCAAAAAATCAACCAATACTTCAGAGAAGAGCACGCCATTGAGCCGAGCGTACTTATTTACAAGTTTCGTCTAGACAAGGAAATTCGCCCAGGAAATCACGAAATGGCCATGAAAATTTTTGACGAAAGCATTAAAAATTTCACACAATGGGAGACTGAATCTGATGCCAGAGCTTTATCAACTTTGAATCAATTGATAGTATTATTGTGCACCAATCTTTCAGGCGTTGATGAAATCTTTCCATTATTTCGCAGGATCAAGCAACAAATGGTAAGTCATTCGATAAACGTGTATGCGGTTAAGGCCCTAGCAGAAAAGATGCTTGATGCTGAATACGTTGGAGACCTTATCGAGATGTTGAAACAAGAGCTTCCTTCCATAAAGAGAGACGATCTCATCAAGCTTCCCACATCAGGTCCGGCATTTGTGAAATACAGAGAGCTTTTTGACCTACTCCACAATTTCGTTATAACTTACAATAGCGAGGAGACACATGAGACTAACTGGGTTCTCTATGGGGAACTCCATAAGTATTTCTCTGTTCCTTACGATTCCTACCTCCCGGCTATGAAATTTTTCTGTGAGCATGACAGATCAAATGCTTCGTTAATTATTTTCAGACAGCTAAAGAAGTTGAGTGAGCTCCATGGATCAATGCGTCACTTGCCACCTCTGAGAGATATGTACCTCTATCTTTTCAAAGATTTCGGTAATAAGTTGTACGAAGAAGGAGTTCATGAAATTCACGAGTATCTCAAAATCGACCAGGACATCCCTAAACAGGACATAGAGCTTCAAAATTGCATCCTTAATGCCTATTCCAACCTCCAGGATGTCCCCAAAGCAAGGGATTTGTTCATCTCCATGTCGTCCGTGCCTAAGCAAGTTGGAGGTATCAATGAAGAGACGGTGCAAATCATGTTGAAGACATTCACGTATAGTGATATGATGTATGTTCAGAAATTCTGGAACGACTTATCACTCTATGGAGTTTTACCAAACTATGCAATCTTCAAGCAGTATATCATAGCCCATGTTTACCATGGACTAGTAGATGAGGCTTTCGAAGTACTAAAAGAGATGGAAGACTACGATATCGAATTTTCCTCTGATCTCTTATTGGCTATGCACAATTATTGCTTGGAGGTCCCGGCGCAGGAAAAAGTGAAGTCATGGGCTCAAAAGAACTTTCCTGATAAGTTGGAATCTTTAGCTGAAAAAGGACTTTTGAAACCGGCTACCAATTACGTCCCAAACGAGAATTTGATCGCCGAGAGTAACACGAATTGAACGCCCCTTGTATATAGACCCATCATACATAAACTACTTACTCCGCAGCTGGCTTGTAGCGTTCACTTTTGATGCGAATCTTAATGAATTTAGCGTTTCATTAACGTTTGTAGCAAACGGTGAAATGTTCACAAACATAAGGGTTTTGCAGTCTCCCCCAAGGCTGTTCTTGAGAAGGTAAGTTAGCTTCGAGTTTCTATATGGTATGTGTTGCAGTGGCTTTCCTTTCTGACTCAGTTTGAGCGCACTAATAACGTCACCGAGACTCGAGAGTGATTTGTTGATCGCTTGTGTTTCCTTGAGGCGTTCTGCTTGGGCTTGAGAATTGGAGAGTCGCTCAGAGCCTGCTAAGTCAACTAGATTCAAAGTACCATATCGAGATTCCATGGTCTTGATGTTACGACCGTGTAACTGAAGCATAAAGATTGAGTGCGATCTTGATGAGTGTTCGTTGGACTTGGTGTACGCCGTGCTTCTGTTCTTGTTGGCTAAACTCAAGAGCTTCATTGCGTGATCAGCACCTGTGATCGAGACCGAAGTCAAGTTTGTTACTGATGTTGTACCGCTAACATCATCATGTTTGATCTCATACTTTTTTGGATTATTCTCGGAGGGTGAACGAGAAACTTTTGTAGGCGACAACAAGTCAAATATTGCCTCATTGTATATCTCGAGGAATTGGCCATGAAGTTCATACTGCCAGTCTTGGGATTCCAAAGTCTTTATATCTTCAAACACCTTCTTTAATGATTGTGGAATCATTCCATCAGCCTCATGAGCCATAGTGAACGTCTTACCAGAACCGGTCTGGCCATATGCAAATACACATACGTTATACCCATCCAATGACGACTGTACTAGTTGGCTAATTTCTTTGAAAACGTCACTATTAGACAGCGTGGGAGAGAAAATCTTATCAAACAGAAATTGATAAGGAACACTATTGCTGCTAAAATTTTCATCTCCAGGTTTGCGAATAATCATCAGCATGTTTGGACTGTCATCGTCCAACAGGAGATCAGGAATTTCAATGTTAGCGAGAGGCTTCAGCTCGCCACATGTGGGACGAACACGGCAAAATACTCGAATGTTTCCTTTCAACTCTTGAAGTTTGTTATGGAGCTTCCTTCTTATTTCTTCCTTGTGTTCCATCAGCCTATGAATGTCGGCTGACTTGTCACGATATGAGTCTATCTCTCTTTTCATTTGTGCCACTAGTTCGTTAGTGGCATGCAATTCTGTGTTCAGCAGCGCTATTCCCGCTTTAAGTGCCAGAAGCTCTTCTTCCTTTATTCTTGACTCTAATTTCAAGTTGTGAAGTGTTTTGTGGCATTCATTATTGGCAGATATTTCGTTGGATTGACGGCTACTCAGAAGAGCTTGTAATTGCTGCTCTTTTGTCCGCTTATCTTCCGAAACCTGTTCGATAGCACTCTTTAGCATAATCAAGCTTTCATCGAGGCTTTGATTCAAGCCAATGAGTTTCTTGCTGTGATCTTCTTTGAGCTTAATTAACCTTCGGTTTAAGTCCTGATCCTGCAAAACAGTATCCTGCTCTAATTGAGACTTTCGTTTTTTTAGGGTTGATATCTCCTCCACAAGACGTCCCAAATTCTCATCAAATGCCTTTTCAATTTCCAGTGTAATTGTCTCTTTCAATTCTGTCAAACTCTCCTCGTGCTTATGAATATGCTGTTTGCGTTGTAGCTGGTATTTGTTATTGAGCGCCTGCAATGAATCACGTTCATGGTGCTCCAATTCAGCAATCAGACTCACAAGAGCATCGAATTGCTTCTGTAAATGGGCTTGCTTGTCTTCAACCTTAAATATCTCAAACTCTTGGTTGGCGCGCTGGGTCTTAAGTGTCATGATAGCCGTCTCCAACAGATCTATTTCATTACTTTTCTGTTCAATTGATACCTGAAGCTTATCTAGTATTCCTTGCAGGTAACTATCGCCATTCCGGGTGCCGGAAGCGGGACTAACCGAATATGAATGGCGCAAGGATTTAGCCATTTTTGAGTTTGTTGAAAAAGAATGCAGATAGAGTCGTTTTTCTGACCCACTTTCTCGCCTCAGAAATTCCAGGCAAGGAATTTCGTTCTCCTTGTTTGCCTCCATGGCGGTTTCAACCTTCTTTGGTGTGTGTGTAAGATCTGAATCAAACTCCAAACATAAACATAAGTGCAACATGCAGACCGCGGCTGACATAAGCCGGGGAGATGAAGCGATGGGATGCGATGCGATAGATTTAGTAAAATATGGCGAAGAAGACTGGAGTAAAAGGGAGCATTCGATTGCCCGTGAAGGCTCAGAAGCCCAAGAAAGACAATAAGAAAGCTGAGAAGGAGCCAGAAGTGGCTCAGGACTCACCGAGTGATGATTTGGACGACGAAGACGACGTAGACGAAGACGATAGCGAAGCCTCAGGCAGCGAGTCAGAAGCCTCAGAGTCTGAATCAGAATCCGACGCAGAATCCGAAGCAGAATCCGAAGCAGAATCCGGTTCAGAATCTGATTCCGACGCAATGCCCAAGAAAAAGAGAAAAACTGGCGATGGTTCGCAAGAGTTCGCCAATGCATTTAACGCAATTATTGGCTCTAAACTTAAAGCTCATAGAAGAAATGACCCGATTATGGCTCGTTCGAAGAATGTACAGAAGCAGCTCGACTCGGCTAAGCTTGAGGCGAAAGCAAAGAAGCAGCTTCTTGCTGAAAAGAAAGCATTGCATGATAGTCATCGGGTGAAAAACTTATTGCCCAGTGCCAATGAACCTGAAAAAGTACGAAGTATGATTGAGGATGAAAAGAAGTTGAAAAAAGTGGCCCAGCGTGGTGTAGTTCGGTTATTCAATGCCGTTTTATCCACACAAATCAAGACTACTCAGGAAGTATCAGGCGAGAAAGTGGGTTTAGTAAGGAAAGAAGAACTCCTTAACGAAGTGAGCAAGGAACAGTTTCTTGACTTGGTCCAGGCTGCGGGTCATACATAGACTTTGTAACATAGATATTAATGGTAAAACCTACAGGAACTTACAGGAACTTACAGGAACCTACGGAACCTACAGGACAGTAAAAAGTGCGATCGAAAATCAAAGAACGATAATCATGAGTGAGGACTTGACCACGAAAATCAGCAGCCTAACCGTGGCTATAGACAAGGGGGAACGGAGATTTCCTGCACTTCTTGAGCGGGCCAGTATATATCAGCGGCAGAAGAAGTTTGATGAAGCAATTGCGGATTTCAATGATGCCATGGAAATTGCAAGACAACGAGGAAGGCGAGAAGAAATTGGAAAGTGTCATTTCAAGCTTGGTTTGGTACTTTACGGACAAAAGAAGTACACTGAAGCAATGAAGGAGATCGAATCGGCTATTGATTACAATTGCAAGGAGCCAACTCTTGAAATGTGGAAGACGAAAATTGACTATGACATGAAGCGGCTGAAAAGTGATCAAAAAGTGGAAACGAAAGATAACAAATCTACTACCAAATCTACTACAACCACAACCGCTTCTGAATTGCCAGAAAACTCTACATCCTCCACATCGACATCCACAAGTATCGATGCCATCAACAAACACGCACCCTTAAAGGTAAAGATAAGAGATGACTGGTACCAGACAAGTGACAGCGTGGTGATAACCATTTTTGCCAAGAACATCAAGGAACAAGAACTTCAAGTGAACTTTTCATCTTCTGGAGTATCTATAACGTTCCCTACCGGAGCTGGGTCGGAATACAACTACAATATCGAACCTCTTTTCGATGATATTATCACTCTGGAAAGCAGTTACCGAGTTTTCGGCACCAAGTTGGAAGTCACTTTGAAAAAAGTTACTAGTCAAAAATGGCCCAATCTTGAATCATCTGACCAAGCTGCGACACCAAGTGCGTCGCATTCGAGTGAGGGACCTCTCTCATACCCCACATCTAGCAAGAAGGCTGTCAATTGGGCCAGTTTCAAACTAGAGGACGAAGAGGATGGAGAAGGAAAAAATGAATCAGAATTCTTTTCACAGTTGTACGCCAATACCGACGACGATAGTAGAAGAGCAATGATGAAGTCTTACGTGGAATCCAATGGTACGGTGCTAACTACAAACTGGGACGAGGCCAAGGCGAAAACGTTTGAAACTAGTCCCCCAGAGGGCATGGAGCCCAAGAAATGGGGTACTTAGCTAGAGCTTACTTGTGACTCCACAAAAATCCTTACATAAGGCAAACTAATAATTGGGTAAAATGTCCGGATGTTTTAGATCGCATAAGACGGCGCCATCATTGCTTGCGATCTTTATGGCCCTGACATCCAAACATTTCTTATCGTTCTGTAGAAAAATGCATGTCACTTCAATTCCTATGAGATGGGGCAGTGGGAACAACTACGCCTACTTGCTTCTTGACCAGCCAACGAAAAATGCATGGTTAATCGATCCCGCGGAGCCTGAGGAAGTTCAACAATTTTTGGCGAAATCCAAGTTGAATTATGAACTTAAAGCCATTGTGAACACACATCATCATTACGATCACGCAGGTGGAAACCAAGCATTCCATAAGTTGTACCCTGATTTGCCAATAATTGCCGGCAAAGATTCACCTTTGGTAACATACACCCCCTCACACGAGGAGATCATAGATTTGGGAGACGACCTTTCCATCACGGCTTTGCATACACCATGCCACACCCAAGACTCGGTGTGTTTCTATGTGGTGGATAACAAAACCAACGAAAGAGCAGTGTTCACAGGTGATACATTGTTCATAAGTGGGTGTGGTAGATTCTTCGAGGGTACCGGCGAGGAAATGGATAAGGCGTTGAATGGAATTTTGGGTAAACTTCCTAAGGATACTCGTGTATACCCTGGACACGAATACACCGGGTCGAACGTCAAGTTTTCACAGACAATTTTGAACAATGATGCGATGAAGAAGTTGGTTGATTTCACCAACAAAAACGAATGTACCACAGGAAAGTTCACTATTGGCGACGAACTTGAGTTCAATCCGTTCATGAGATTGGGAGATTCTGCTGTGAAAAAGGCCACCGGAGCAACAAATCCCGTCGAGGTGATGAGCCGATTAAGAGAAATGAAAAATAGTATGTAAAGCTAGCACCTGACAAAGTCGGGCCGCCATTTATCATCGACCCAGAGCTCAGGTTGCCACAATTCAATAAATTCCAAATCTATCTCCGACTTGCCCATGGCAAACTTCTCGTATTCTTCAAAGATACCACTCATGCACCAACCTTGGAGAATCTTACGCATAAGACCCACAAGTACGCCTATACGATGCTTCCCCTTATTCGAATGGATGAGCATGGGAAAATTGTTGCGATCAAGCATCAATTGTAGTGCCGTGGTGAGAGATTCCTGGGCTTGTTTTATTCTATCTTGGTTCAAAAATGGTTCTTGAGATGATTCCATCATTAAATGGTGGAAAGTGATATCAGTGGAGTCTATCCACTGCTTGTAGTTTGCAAGAACCTCCAATGTGGTGTTCTTATCCTTTTCCTTTTCTTTTTCCTTGTCCTTCTTTTGCTTCTTCTCCTTCTTTTCCTGGCCCAAATCACCTAAATATATTATAGTCTTCAATTCCAATCGCTCCAAAAATGGATAATTAATGGGCATTGGGAATCCTGAGCGATAAATCCCATCTTCTACCAATGAAAAGTTGAGTGGCGGCACATACTGGATGGTTTTGGGAAGGTGTGCTTTCATGTATAGATGAGAATAGACATCTTTCTGGCCATTTTCTCGTCCATCTTCACCTTCCTTATGCTGGGAGTGGGCTGCAACCATGGGCAAAATATCCAACTGTGTATCAGCATCCACCTGATGCATATCATTTTGGCTCATACTTGGCAACTTTTGCGAATCTACTTCGGTATACCTCGTGGTGATTTCTATGCTCAATTTTCCCCACGTTAGTATCTGCATATAATCTCAGCTGAGCTGCAAATGTGAAATCTTGAATCGTAGTTGCCATGGGTGTTAACTCGCTTTGGGACATTGTGGGCCCTACGGCGAGGCCAGTTCGGCTAGAATCTCTATCAAGAAAGAAATTGGCAGTGGATGCATCTATCTGGATATATCAGTTCTTGAAAGCCGTTCGAGATAGTGATGGCAATTCTTTGCCCCAATCTCATATTGTTGGTTTCTTTCGACGGATATGCAAATTATTGTACTTTGGCATCTTGCCGGTGTTTGTGTTTGATGGAGGAGCACCGGCGTTGAAGCGCCAAACCATTTTGAAACGACGTGAAAGAAGACAGGGAAAGACTGAAAGTACCATTGAAACTGCTCGAAAATTACTTGCCATCCAAGTCCAGAAACTAGCAGAACGACTGAAAAAAAGACCCAGGCTCAATGGTGAGGCATCTGCTTCTGCATCTGAAGGTAAAACACCCCAATCAGTAAATACAGGTGATACTGTCTACTTGGACGATCTCCAAAATTTACACCCTAGTCACCAAAAGGAGACCCAAGAAACATCAAATAACCGCCCAGACATTAGCACAGAAAACAGCACAGAAAACCTCAAAGAAGGCACCAGGTTTCGAAAAAACGATGAGTTTCATCTCCCTCATCTCGATTCGTTTCGGTCAGAACGAGATGATGGCCGTTTGATGCCCGAAGAGGAGTTTTTAGGTGAAATTGGGCTCGACAGTAACTATGTTGATGGAGTAAATATCAATACTGTGGACCCCGCCTCGCCAGAGTTTGCAAAACTTCCCTTGCCGACCCAGTACATGATCTTGTCTCATTTGCGTTTGCGGTCTCGATTGAGAATGGGATTCAGCAAGGAGCAGCTTGAATCGCTCTTTCCTAATAGCATGGATTTTTCGAAGTTTCAAATTAGAGAGGTCCAGAAGCGAAATTTCTTCACTCAGCGCTTGATGGATGTAAGTGGAATGGGTGAAAATGGTAACGCAGAAAGACGTATTGCAGGCGATAAGGATAGAAAGTATGCGTTGACCAAAAACGAGAGCGGATGGGTGCTCAAATTGCAAGGAAAGGATCATGAAGGGACTATCTCCAAACCTATCGATCTAGATTTCGACTCACAACTTGCTGATGGAGATTCACGGGATTTGCATTTCGACCGAGCCACGGGCCAGTTCAAGCGTAGCCCCAAGCGCCCACAAAGATCCCAAATCATCGTAAACCCGCCGCAAGATTTTGATGACGATGATGACGATTTGGAACTAGAGGATGTTCCTATCGAAGGTGACGAAAACGATAATGTTCTGAAAGCCATCGTGGAGTCAATCTACAACCAATATACTGATGGTGAGCAGCAATCGTCAAAACTGGCTTATGAAAAAGATTTGAAGAGAGCTATCGAAGAATCGAAACAAGAATTGCAAGCATTAAGAACGCAAGAGCAAACCAGTACGGGTGGCATATTCAACTGGAACAATAATTTTGACGATGAAATGAAATCCGAGCCCTCGCAACAGGCCAAACGCCAAAAAGTGCAGCGAAAAGAGTCGAGTTCCTCTAAACCTTTTGATTTTTCGTTGGGTGATTCTTTTTTGCTAGGCAACAAGGATAAGAAAATTGAGACAACCAATGAGAAATCTGAGCCCAAGCAGGCAACTACACGGCCCCTTCCGGAGCCTGAAACCGAGTCGAAGAAGTTACCGGAGGTAGAAGAGGATGAAGTCGAAGAAATCGAATCACAAAAAAGTCCCATTAATCAGCGAAACGAGGTCCCGTTCTGGTTTAACGAGGAAGTCTCTGCCAAGAATAATCCATACATTGAGGGTCCGACTCAGGAGACCAGCTCTAGGAAACAAAAGGAGCTGGAAGATGTAGCGGCAGGTTTGATACCTTGGAACGAAGCAAAGGATATCATTGAAGAGGAAGTCGAAGATGAAGGTGGAGACGACCGTGAATCAGATGTTGAAATAGTCGATGAGGCAAGGAAAGTCACCGAAGATGAGGTCAAAGACGAAGGTGATTCAGATGTTGAAATAGTTAATGAGGGCGAGAATCTTCCTGAAGTGCCATCTGAAGTGGTAACAGAGACAAATGAGGCTAAGGAATCAAAAGTACTCACGGCCCAAGATGCTGAAGGTCAGGACAAAAGGAAGGCTCAATTGCTAGACTATGATTTTGAAGAGGACGACGAACAAAAGCTTCTCAAGCAAATGAGAGATGAGGATGCTGATCATGAAAGATTAAAATCGGACTTCCTCAAAGCTGCTGAAATCCCCATTACAGCTACCAGTATCAGCGACGAGCAAATGCTTCAAGAGCAATACAATAAAGCGAAGCGAGACTCTGATGAAGTTACGGAAACCATGATAAGAGATGTACAAGAGCTTCTCAAGCGATTCGGTATACCATATATCACGGCTCCAATGGAAGCAGAAGCTCAATGCGCGGAGCTCATGAAGCTAGGTTTAGTCGATGGGATCATCACGGACGACAGTGATTGCTTTCTTTTTGGGGGCCAAAAAGTTTACAAAAATATGTTTAATCAAAAGCAGTATGTGGAATGCTACTTTATCGATGAGATCAGCCATAAAGTGGGACTCGATCAGAAAAACTTAATTGAATTGGCTCTACTTCTTGGTAGTGACTATACAGAAGGTATCAAGGGGATTGGACCTGTTATGGCAGTGGAGATTTTAGCAGAATTTTCAAATTTGACAAACTTTAAGAATTGGCTCGACAAAAATAGCATTTCTGTTGTCGATGAGTCAGAATTGAGCCCATTGAAGAAAAGTCTACTCAACAGAGTGAAGAATGGAAAGCTCTTCTTACCCAATTCCTTCCCAGATACAGTTGTTTTTGATGCATATTTGAATCCCGAAGTCGACGACGATACTACTCCCTTCAGATGGGGAGTTCCAAACTTGGATCAAATCAGATCGTTTCTCATGTATAATGTTGGCTGGTCGCAGAGCCGAGTTGACGAAGTTATGGTTCCATTGATTCGCGATATGAACCGTAAAAAACAACACGGAACTCAATCTACTATAGGAGAGTTCTTCCCGCAAGAGGCTTTGCAGTCAAGCAAAGAACTCGCTATGGGCACGAGACTCAAAAAAGCAACCAAGAAGTTGAAGTCCAAAAGTAGTTAGTTGCAGCCGTCGGAAAGGCGATTACATAATCAGAATACAGTATTTCGAACATTTGAGTTCAATCTGCAGTGAGTCTTGCAAGAATGGCAGAATCGTTCAGCAAAATATCCAGCATGTTGGCTCGTGATCTCAATATTGAGCTCGAGTCATCAGCATCATCGAGGCTCACCGATATTCCCAGCGCCAAAAGACCACAAGAAATTGCTAAGCTCTTAAACTCCAGAAATGACAACGAAGTTTTACGCGGAATGAGGTGTGTAATTTCGCTTTCGTCACGGGGAGAAGACGTAGCGCCTTATTTTGCGGATGTGGTGAAGAATATCACCTCGTCGGTTGATAAAATCAATGTTTTGGTGATGTTCTACCTTTCTAGGTATGCAGATGTTGAACCTGAAACTGCTCTTTTGTCGATCAATTCGATCCAGAAATTATTGAGCCTGAAAAATATCCGCTTGCGATGTACTGCCATCAAGACTTTATCCAATATTCGCATCAATTCTGTGGTACCCATTCTTCTTCTCAGCATAAAAAAGGTAGTTTCGGACCCTTCTGCAGCAGTTCGACTGGCAGCGGCAGTAGCTATCGGTAATGCCATGGAGATAGAAGATATAGACAGGCCACAACTATTTGGATACTTGGCCAAGCTTCTCAGTGATGCTGAAACCAGCGTAGTTGAGACAGCCATAAAGACATACTACAAGGTGAGAACGCAAGTATCGAAAAGATGGGAACCAATTCATGGTAATTTCCGCCGGCTCTGCCGAATAGTTTCCGAAATGGATGAGTGGGGACAGGTGTTTTTGATTGACATTTTGACCGACTACTGTCGCAAGTTTCTTCCTAAACCCACATTATTGTTTCAAAATCAGGAAATAGAGCTTCCTGTTCATTATTCTGATATTCCAAATCAAGAGTATGAAGTGATTGCGGACAAGGATCTCGAGCTCTTCCTCACAGCATTAAAGCCATTAGTATACACCCGACATGAAGTTGTTATCATAGCTATCAGCAGAGCGTTATTAGCTTTAGCTCCTCCAAAGTACTTCACAGAGTACCAAGTCAACAAGGCATTGGTCAATCTCACCTCGGCCAATAAACTGAGACAACTGATAGATTTTGCGTTGATTACAATACGTATAATCATCGATGCTGACAAGCTGGTATTTCAGCCATACTATAAACGATTCTTCCTATTTTCAACTGATTCCACTTCAGTTGCCCAGCACAAGTTGGAAATACTTTCCAGCTTGATTAATGAAGACAACGCAAAGTTCATCATTGCGGAATTGAAGTACACATCTTTGAACTACAGACCCGAAATCGCATATCAAAGTATCAAAGCTTTAGGTCGCTGCTCACAACTCTCTCCTGAGTGGACAAGAGCAGTGCTCAAATGGGCTCTCCAGCAGTTGCACCATATGGATGTCTCGCTTACGAGTGAATTGCTTACGGTTATCAGATTTTTAATTCAACAAAAACAAGCCAAGGGGGAAGATCGGCTTGAGATAACCAAAGCTATTTACCATTTATCGCTCATATTGGACGAGGATATAGAATGGGACGATGACGCCAAGTCCACAGTTATATGGATTATTGGAGAGTTCACCGGAGCCACGGACAACATGATAGGTCCTGATGTTCTCCGTCGTCTACTCAAGACTTATAGCTCTGAATCGGCGCCGGTGAGGTATCAAATATTGGTTTTAGCCGCGAAAGTTTACTCTCAAAATCAGGATCACCAATCCTCAGATGAATATGCAAACCAAGTGATATTTCAAATGGTTCAACATGTTCTTCACTTGGCCAAATACGACGACTCATACGATACCCGTGACCGAGCACGAATGTTTAATGTGTTATTATCACCAGACAATAGCAACAAAGAACTAGCAGCTTTATTTTTCCAAGTTCCAAAGCCCATACCTAAAATGGGGAAGTCTACCGAGGCTAACTCAATTGATCCATATTTTGAGACTGATGCCTGGTCTGACCCCGAAAGACTTCCTGCTGCTTCAATTAGGGAAGAATTGCCCGTAGTTCAGCCAAAAGTACTGGCATTTTCAAATGCTACAGTTTCGCCTCCAGCGGGCAATTTTTCGGCAATTTCCTCGCAACAAAGTGCCTCTAGTAAAGTTGCATCCACGCAGAAAAGAACCTACAAGCTACAAAGTCTAGATGAATTTTTTGCCGAGGAATCCGAGAGTGACGAAAGCAGCGATAGTGGTAGCAGTGAAGAAAGCGACGATGAAGAGATCGAAGAAAGTGAAGAAAGCGAAGAAAGCGAAGCTGAGAGCAGCGAAGAAGCGAACACGAGCGACGACGAGTCTGACACTGGGCTTTTGAAAAATGAAGTATAGCTCGTATAAATGATTCCTTGGTTAAATGAAGGCTTTGTCTAATTTTGAATCTTTTGTAAATATGTGCGTTTTGCTGCAGGCACAACTTGCATGAAAGGCCGCATTATGCATTGAAATCACGCAGTAGATGCAGGAGAAGATTCATTTAGAAGCCCATTGAATATGGGTGTGCGGATGCAGGCGCAAGTAGTTCCTGTATAAGAAGTCTGCGCATGCTGCCAGTGGCGACCATTTAGTACGATTGTGCAGCTTTCATGCAGCCATGACATGCACGTTCGGGCAATCCTACGCATGCGTAACAGCTTTGCAAGCGATCATCAACTTGAATTGCTTGATTACAGGGTCCTGACAACCAGCCTCTCATATCTTACAGTCGGAGTTCACTTGAAAAAGATTTAACATTTAAGTTTGACTATACAGTTTTAGCGCGAACAATAGGTTGCAACGCTTAACGAACCTAACCGAAGAATAGATACGAACGCCAAGCAATCTCAGGTCTATCTTCCATTGGAGAATGTTGCGACGACCATGCTTGTGCGCGCAATAAACCGCCGCCGATTTACAATTTTTTGCAACATTTTCATGCACCTCACCACCTCGAGCGGCTTCAACACCTTCTGGGCCCTGAAAAATAACCAAAAAAGTACATTCGAGTTGACCAGTTCATGTTTTGGGTTATTATGTGGTGCTAATCGGTATTCAGAATGGTCGCTGCCTAATATTTGCAAAACTATTTAAACAGCCCTTCGGTGCTTGCTATTCAGAAAACCTCAATACACTCGCTTGATGAAGATTTCTGTTTTAGTTGCCCAGGCATTGGTTGCCTCACAGTTTGTTCCCGGCGTAGCTGCCACTTGGGGAAAAACCCCTGTTACTCAAAAGACCGAGGATTGTGACACTACTTCAACTTATCAACCTACACCAACTTACGAAACTACACCTTGTGACACTACTTCAACTTATCAAACTACTCCACCTTACCAAACTACACCTTGTGATACTACTTCTGGATCGTTCCCAACTACCACAAAGGTGTCAGTTCCAGAGAGTGATACTCCTGCAACATCGGAATCGACTTCCTCAAAGCCTGTGACTTCAAAATCTGAATCGTGTTCTACAGAGTCTGACTTTGTTCCTCCAAAGTCGGATACAACTCCTCCAAAGTTTTCTACCACTGATTGTACCACAACTACTTCAGAAAGCACTGCTGATACCAGTTCCACAGAGACGTTTCCCACCTTGTGTATTGAGTCAACGTCTACTTCAACCACTGTTGGAACTACCACAGGAAGCTCGAGTACTACTGTGGTTTCTTCCGTTGAGTCTTCCACAGAGACCTCTGTAGCAGATACCTCTTCCACAAGAACTTCTACGACTGAAACTCCAACACGGGAAACTTCTGCGGACTCTTCTACCGTCGAAACTTCAACACACGAAACTTCTTCTATCGAGACTTGCACTACAGAAACTTCTGTAGCAGAGTCTTCAACACATGGAACTTCTACTGTCGAAACTTCTAGCGTTGAAACTTCTATTCTCGGAAGTTCTAGTGTTGAAACTTCTACCGTTGAAAGTTCTACTATCGAAACTACTAGTGTTGAAAGTTCTACTGTCGAAACTTCTACTGTCGAAAGTTCTACTGTTGAAACTTCAACCGTTAAGAGTTCTACTGTCGAAACTTCCACTACGGAAACTTCCACTACAGAACACTCGACAGAATGTTCCTCGACTAGAACTTCTGTAGCAGAGACTTCCAAAGAAAGTTCTGCTTCTAGCACAAAACTTTCAGTTACTTCTGTTATCTCCACCGCAGAATCGTCCAGCTCAGTGGGTCCTCATTACTGGACAACTACAGAAACCTGTTCAACTTCTACAATTGTCACTGTAACTTCGTGCGAAGAACAATGCACTGAAGCTACATTGACTACTGGTGTTACTGTCGTCACTGAGTCTGAAATTGTGCACACCACTTACTGTCCATTGACTTTCACCACTGGAGTCACCGTGATTACCGAAGGTGAGACTTCTTACACCACTTACTGTCCAATCACACAAGGTAAGGAAGCCACTGTGGTACCATCTGGCATTCCCACCGTGGTTCCTGGAACCTATGAGTCCACCGTTGTTATCACCATCACATCGTGTGAGGGCAATAAGTGTGAGCCCGTGCCTGTCACTTCTGTGCAAAAGACTATTGTTACGGAGACCATTACGGGAGTTGCACCTGCTACAACACAAACTGCCACAGAAGGAGCTAAAGCTTCACCAATTGCAACTGAAGCTTCACCAATTCCGACTAAGGCTTACACACCAATTGAAGCTTCTGCCTCAATTCAGTTTGCTGCTCCAGTGCCAGCTCCTGCAAGCACACCTGTCGCTAGCAAAGCTTATCCAGCTACAGTAGCTGGACAAAGTACTGCAATTGAGTCCGGTGCTTCCTCTTCTCCAATCGAGACTGTTGCTGCACCATCAATCTCAGAGCAAACTGGTGCCGCTGGAAAAGCAGTGTTGTCTTCTGGAGCCTTCTTGGTTGGAGTGGCTGCGATGTTGCTCTAATTGACTTGAACCGCTTTCATTATTGGATACTTTTTTCGATACCCATAGCCACAGTGTTACTTTTTCCCAACTCGGTTTTTTTTTCTTATTCTCGGATTTACGAATATTCATTCAACAATTATATTTAGAACGGAATTCAATGACAACTTAGTGTGCCGTATGCATCAGAACCAAAGAACTCGTAGTTGGGAACGCTTGACCTCTATTGTGCACCCAATTGGGTAAGTGAGTGCAGGACTTTCTCTTTGTTTAGGACTTTCGTTGGGCGAAATACACACAGAAGGTGTATATGCAAGCTTTTCTACAAACAATACCATGTTTCCAATTCGTACTCACAAGTAATACGGTTGTATCGACTAATATTCTCATAATTTGCAGCCATTGATCTACACGTTAAACGAGACAATTAGCCAGAGAGGCTTACACTGCTGATTCCGAAAATACTCTACAAACCATTTTCATGCGCACAGTCTAATTACCCTGTAGTTATGCATGCCAAGCTGTGTACTGGAAGCACCGTCTATTGACGCAATTGCCCGGCAACCATCCTGCATCTATCCTCACCACGGAAATTGCACCCGCGCTCGTGCGTTAGTTTGTCATCGCCTACGAGTCCTGCACTTGTATCGGCATCGGCTTTTCGCCGTTGAGAGATCGGTGGTAGAAAATATTACTACATGCACATGCCCGCCATATTCCAACCAATTGACCTCGTACCACATGCGCGTCACTTTGCCCGTCTTTGGACTATCTCGAGCTATCGCGTGCTGCAGATTTACGGATGCCCGTAAATGCCTCATTGAAGGGCCGTGTCGTGCGGAAGTTTAACCGAATTGGAAAAGACCAGCCTGCATACAACTGGCCAAACAATGCTTTAGTGAATTGTTTTGAGTATAGACCATACTTCAACAAGAAGCCTGCATGGTAAAATGGTGCAGGTTTCCATTGTAACGGTAATTTTTCCCTTTATGGCTGAGGTTCTCGGGCTGCAGGACAATCGGTCGCGATGGTTGCAAAATGTACCAATTTTTTAGTACAATAAAGCATTTGCTCAATGTAGTAGAATTGATACTTTAACCATAGCAATAATAATAGCCAAATATGCGTCGAGGGCGGAAAGTGGGCGATTCCACGTTCGTAAGGTTGCAGAAAAAGTTATTGTCTTGTAATTGACTTGCATGAGAATAATGTAAATATTCCAAACTGTGATAAAATTATCATATTGGGATAAATTTGTTATGATCATCGAGACCAGGATCAAACTATAAATGACGGGTGGTTCTCCAGTGATTCTTCAGAAAGTACTCAAAGTCACTCGCTTTATTAATGTTTGGTTCTATTTCTAACGCTGCAGCAATTGCAGTCGCAGCTTCATCTTACTTTGCTGCTGCTCAGGCCCTCGGTCTCAACATCAGTGAGTACTTCGATTTCACATTGGGTCTCGGTCTTCCAAGCGCTTCTCCATGTTCTTCCAACTCATTGCTCCAAATTGGACTTCAAGAAAGCTTGGATCTTGGTATCAACTTGAAGAGAGAAGCTGGGCTTCTCCAACAGAGAGCTACCCAACAACCCCCCAAGGCAGTGTTCCAAGTTTCTGCCGTTGCACACGTTGAAGCAAACCTCTTTAAGGTTACCCTTGATTTTGAGACTGCTGCTTCTGCTCAACTTTTCCAAAGCTTCGCCAACTCCGCTAAAAGTGCCAAGGTTACTGGATTGGGTTCTGACTTGCAATCCGATGCTGTTGTTGTCGGTGCCGATGCTAGCACTGGAATTGACAACTTGTTTGCCTTCTCGGTGTCAGTTCTTATTGAGGCTTCCATCCACAACGGTTTGTTCTGTTTGCCAGATGGTTTAGCTATTGAGCTCGACCTTGACCTCGATGTCAACACCGATGTCGGTAAGTTGTGGCAAGAATACTTCCCACAAAACATCAAGTATGCTCTTGACCAAAACTTCCAGGATGCCAAACAATTCACTCCATCCAAGAGACAAGATTTGGAAAAGAGACTCGATATCAACCTTGATCTCGACCTCGACCTTGACATCGAACTTTTCCCCAAGTTGCAAGCCCCAAGCAACGTTTTGCCCAACTTCTGTTGGTCATTGGACTGTGTTTCCTCCGTGGCTTCTTCTGCTGAATCGTCCACTGCTCCACCTTCAAGCTCGGCCACTACCGTTCCAGCTGCATCTACTACCAACTCTGGTTCTTCAAGTGTGACTGGTGCTTCTTCCGGTGCTTCTTCTACCGGATCTGCTGCTTCTTCCACTGGTTCTGCTACTGGTGGCTCTGGTTCTTCCAACACTGCATCGAACACTGCATCCAACACTGACGGCTCGGGCTCTTCTACTAACACTGGTGCTTCCACCACTGACGGCTCTTCCGGTGCTAACACTGCTACTAACACTGGTGCTTGCAACACCAACACTGCTACTAACACCGGTGGTTCTGGTTCTAACACCAACACTGCTACCAACACTGGTGGATCTGGTTCTGACTCCAACACTGCTACTAACACTGATGGTTCCGGCTCGTCTGCTTCGAGCACTGCTACTGGTGGATCTGGTGATGGCTCTGGAAACGGTGGAAACGGTAACGGATCTGGTTCTGACAACGGTTCTGGTAACGGTTCTGGTTCTGGTTCTGACAACGGTTCTGGTAACGGTTCTGGTTCTGGTTCTGACAACGGTTCTGGTTCTGGTTCTGACAACGGTTCTGGTTCTGGTTCTGGCTCTGGTTCCGGCTCCGGCTCTGGTTCTGGTTCTGGTTCTGGATCTGGTTCTGACTCTGGTAAGGCTCATGCTAACTCAACTTCTTTGGCTGCAGTTGCTACTGAGACCGATATTGTCGGCACCACCATCGTCACCATCACTTCTTGTTCCGACAACAAGTGCACCAAGCAACCAGTTACTACTGGTGTGACCACCATCACCAAGGACGAAACCGTCTACACCACTTACTGCCCACTTCCATCTACTGAGGCTGCTCAAAGTTCTCCAGTTACCAAGGCCCCAGCTTCAACTGCACCAGCACCTGCCACTTCCAGTGCTGCTCCAGCACCTGCTCCATCCAGCGCTGCTCCAGCTACTGCCCCAACTAGTGCTGCCCCAGCTACTACTTCCCCATCCACTGCTGCCCCAACTACTACTTCCCCATCCACTGCTGCTCCAGCTGCTGCTTCTTCAACCACTCCAGCTACCGTGGTTCCAGCTACTCAAGCTCCATCCAGTTCTGTGACACCTCCTGCTGTCAGTGAGGTCTCTGTTGGAGCCGCCAACATTGCTCAAGGATCAGTGTTGTCCGTGATTGCTGCCTTCGCCCTCATTATGAACATTTGAGGCTACCATTTAAGACCTTTCTCCTCATATCTTTCTTTTCGATACCCTAACTCTCGGCTTATTTAGTATTTTAATTCGTTCAATGCCGTAACTCTAGGACAATAAATGTTCATACATTTTTTACTTAATGATCAGATTCTGTAGTACTTACTGGCTGTCTGGTATTCTTTTTGCGAGGCCAAAGAGATGGTAACTTCACCACTTGAAATCTCGGTTCGATACATCTTTCCACAAACCAGCTGCGGAGACGATGCTCTATCAAGGACGAAATTTTGGGAACATCCTGGAGCTTAGCTCGTGAGCCGATTAGTGACTTGACGTTGAACTCAAGTCTGTAGTCTGGTGAAAATGAAAAAAGGAGAGCCGTACCATTGGGTTCTTCACTATTATCATCTCGCGTAGATTGGGGCAGGTCCATTGCAACCCGAGGTTCGCTGAACTCTTCTTCATTAGTATTGATCAATGACACTGTTAAGCAACCGGAAAACCTCACAATTGAAACTGACAACAGAATGGGAAGAACTGCCGTCAATGGCCGCGGCTGGTTTAATATGAGTTTGGTTTGAATACCCATGGTCAACGTATCAGACAAGTCAACATCTATCTTTGCCTCTAGGCGACCATGGGAGTCTTTACTCGGGCGAATGCGGCAGTTGGAAAAGATAGGAAAGTCATCGCCAATATCTATTTCCGTCAATTGAATATCTCCCAAATAGTCTGGTAATTCCAGTTTTGATAAGAACTCTTTCAAAGAGTGGTAGATATTATCAGACTGGAGTGCCTCGTAACGAAACAGCGATATAGTTTGCGCTATAAGCACATTGAACCAGTCTAAAGATTCCGGTGCATGATTGTCAACGTCGTAATAGGTCTTTTCTAGTATGGTATCCACCTCATCAGAGCGTCCCTCGGAGCCAGCGTCGCCGTCGCCATTCTTTTTCCTCTTTACAAGTATATTGGAAACGTCTGTCTTGGAGGAAATGCCATTTCCAGAAGTCGAAGATGTGGTACTCGAGTCAGCAAATACGAAAAACTTGATAAAAATACCTAGCAAAATTATCACACTAAGTTGACCTATGATTAGCCCCTGGGTAAAGCTCTTGGTAGATCCAGTTCCCGCATAAGTTTCACGAAATTGAAGCTCTTGTTGTTTTCGAAACAATTCGTCTTGTTGCGTTTGAAGACGATCTTGAAGCTGTATTAAAGATGCGAGTTCATCGGGCCTGGTAATGTCACGGCTCATCTTCCAATGGCGGGAATATCTACAAAAATGGTTTGCCACTGGTAATAAATCAAATGATAAATTTAAGTATGGGTTTACATAAAAGTTCAAAACCTGCATGCGAAATTTGAGTGGGGGACAAATGGAGTAAAGTTAGGTCCTCTTTCGAGTTCGTTTGATTGGTCTTTTGGGACTGCTTTTTGGCTCCGATTGTACTTGCTTGAGTGGTTTATTATTGGCAGTTTCCTTGGAAGAGGTCGTGGACAAGTTATCAAGGGTCCTTTCTTCATCACGCTTCATCCAACCAGCGACATTTTTAAAGATCGACTTGTTCAAGTCCTTGTTGGCGTTTCCAATGTACTTGGCAGCAAACTCACTGAGTGGCGAGCCAGCGCGAGAGTGTGGTTGCGAATGGGAGTCTTCTGAATCGCTGGCAGCGGAGCCAGCTTCGAGTAACGATGCAGCATCGGCTCTTCTTCCTCTCATGTACTCTCTAACTTCAAAGTATAAGTCCCGGGAAACTGTGTTTAAGTTGGCTCTGTTCTTGGTCCAATAAGACCTGAAATCGCTGATATGCTTCTTGAATTCCAATTCGTTTTTCTTTAACCAACTAACATTGAGTTCCTTGCGAGTCGCACCTCGAGCAAAGTTTCTCGCCAAGTACTTGTCGTAATCACGAATGATCTTGGTGATAATATCAGACGTTGAAATACCCAGTGTCCTTTGAGTAGTAAGGAATTTTCCCTCTTCCTTAATAGGCTTGTATATATCGTCGCTGTCAGTAGATGCATAGGGCAAATCATCGTGAGCCACATAGTCGATTCTATGCTCTCTCAAAAACTGTGGAGTCACGCTCCATGGAGCATTGGGAACCACCTCATCGACCCACCTACAGTGCTTCAATGTCTCGAGTCTCTGTTGGTCGGTCAACACCGTTAATCCTTTGCGCTTGTGAGTCTCAATATCAGATGGAATTCCACACACCAATTCTACATTTGGAAATGCCTTTTTGGCTTGTTCCAATTGCTTCATATGACCCAAGTGGAACAAGTCGAAAACACCGTCGGCATAGATACGAATTGGTCTGTCTTTTGGAGGAAGATTGAACTTGAAACCACGGGGACGGAATTTTCTCAATTCTTGCGGAAGTTCAGCATCCAATTTTGCCTCTCTTTCTTCAAAATCTTTTTCTTCCTGGGTTTTTTCTCGCTTTTGTCTCTTGTGCGCTACATTGTCGTCGTCACTGGAATGGCCAGAATCGCCTGTGGACTCACCTGAACCATCCGACTCGTCGTTTCTACCACGTTTTCTTTGTCGAAATAACGACGTCAATTTTGGTGCAATTGATTCCACAGAAATGGTTCTTGAAATCGTGGTGCCATCCTTGTTGTCATGGTCGCCCTCGGCAGTCCGGGCTGGATCAGGCATTATACAAAAGTTTCAGAGCCGCAGAGGGAAAATGCGGGTGGAATCAAAATGGAGCAACGATAGAAAACCACAAACTGACGAGGGAACCGGGCGCAACATGCAGGACAGTGGTTTGGCATGTGTAAACTGTCAGAACCCATTGGGGGCTATAATGGCAAAAAAATCCACAGAGCTCTTTATAACAGCTCAAAAACTTTGAAAATGAAACTGGAGACCATATGACGAAGCTGGGGCCATTTTGGGCTACTGGTTACCGCCAAGCAGCCAAGGATTGTATGCAGTCTCCAAGTAATTCGCAACTTCGAATCGGTTGAGATTCAACAATTATGGCTAACGTATCGGATTTGAAATATATAACCGTAGCTACTCTTCGAGAGTGGCTCAAAAAAGGCAAGAGTGCATCCAATGATAAGTTTGCCATTGTAGATGTGCGTGACTCCGACTATGCTGGTGGCCACATAAAAGGTTGCTTACACTTTCCATCGGGTAATTTTTACAATTCTTTATCCGAACTTAAGGACACTTTGGTTCAGCGCAATGCTCGCGACGTGGTAATCCACTGTGCAATGTCCCAGTCCCGTGCGCCAAAGGCGGCGCTTACCTTTATGAAAGAAACTGCGGGTCTCGAACACCCGTTCCGCGTCTGGGTGCTCAAAGGGGGTTTTACAAAATGGGTGATGGAGTACGGTGAGGACTCAGAAGTCACCGAGGACTATGACAGAAGATTCTGGGATGACGACTACTGAAAAAGAGGCGCAAAACGGCATTGCAAGCTGCGCCGATTAGATCTCGTTGACGTGCGGCAGAATGCAGATTCCGCAGCCAGCGTACTGCAGGTAATTCGTGGCTCTGCCTCCACCCCAATGTCTAGGGCCATGAGGATGGAGGCAGTATTTGATCTGTTGAGTTCTAGAAACCTTGGTATTTTGTCGCAATTGCAGCCAAGAACAATCTGGGCTCAATTCGGACTTAAATCGGACAAGAATTGCTAAATTGTATTTGGCGTCCTGGCACTGCCCGCGCGCCATTTCGCGTTTGCAAAGGCTGCAAATCTGTATCCTACTTAAAGGTCTTGAGCCCAATTCGAAAGATAATGCTTTGGCACACAATACTTGTTTCATTGACGGCGGTAACTTTGGCACAAGCCGCTTCCGCTACAACTTCTGCAACTTCTTCTGCTTGCAATCCCCTCTCATCTTCGTGTTCGGCGGATACCGCGTTGGCTACCGATATAAGCGTGGATTTTACTTCGTCGCTGGATTATTTCAACGAGGAATCTACAGAGTCCGGTATATCATACGGAGATGATGGGTTGACCATGACTCTTGCAAAGCGCTTTGACAATCCAGCTATCAAGTCCACGTTTTATATCATGTTTGGAAGAATTGAGTGCCTGTTGAAAGCTGCTAAGGGCCAAGGAATAGTTTCTTCTTTCTACTTGCAGTCAGATGATTTAGACGAAATTGATCTTGAATGGTTGGGTGGTGACGATACTCAATTCCAGTCCAACTTTTTCTCCAAGGGAAACACCACTACCTACGATCGCGGCGAGTATCACAATGTAAACTCCGCTCCGCAAGACGACTTCCACAACTATACCATAGTTTGGACCGAAGAAGAGTTGGTGTGGTACTTTGATGGAACCCCCGTTCGCACACTTAAAAATACTACCTCTTCGGGTTATCCTCAAACTCCAATGTACATCAAGGCAGGAATTTGGGCCGGAGGAGATCCGTCCAACGAAGCAGGAACCATCGAATGGGCTGGAGGAGAAACGGATTACAGCGATGCTCCTTTCAAAATGTACATTAAAGATCTTAGTGTTAGCGATTATTCGACTGGCAAGGAGTACTCCTATGGTGATAAATCTGGAAAATGGACTTCAATTGAGGCAAAGGATGGAGAAGTGAATGGAAGAAAAGGAAAGGCCGCAGTAGCCGATAGTAACGAATCTAATTCTTCAAGTTCGACGGTAACTACTTCAGCTTCAGCTTCTGGTACATCTGATTCAGGCACTGCAGCTAAAAGTACTTCTGCGTCGACTCTTTCTGAAACCACTGGGAGCACCCAAGTTGGAAGTGATGGGTCGTCTACATCGACTACACTTTCCACTTCCTCAACATCGACTACATCTTCCACTTCCTCTTCGGCGGCTCCGTCAGTTGCAACATCGGCAAATAGCGGCGCAATCAACGGTCATAGCGCTGTTATGTATTTCGTTTTAGCGTGCTTTTTCGCAGCATATTGAATAATAGAATACATCTAAATGAATATGTCTAGATTAAACTAGGGCCATTATAAGCCAGGTATGTAGGTTGCTGCTGAATTGGCTGCGCACCCGTACCCTGATAACCAAATTGACTTTGTGGCTGATTTGGCAGGAACTGGTTATATCCAGTTGAGTTTTGATGGAGGCTAGCTTGTGCATTGTTCCAGTATGCGGTTTTAATGGCCTGCCGTTGCGTTTCAGGGAACACAGGAATCGTTGGCAAGTTCTCTAGACCACCAGCTGTGGGCTGGTGCTGAATTGGTTGCACCTTTGGAGTTGATGCCTGGTCAAAAAGCTTTGACGTGGTCTCGGATACAGCAAACGGATTTGAACCAGTGTAGGTTCTTTGTGGTGCGATACCAACCCCTCCATTGGAGAGAGCAGTAGTAGTACTTCCCGTTGCAAATCTGGTATTGGCAAATGGATTCCCAGTGTTTGCAGGCTGCATAGATTGTCTATTTGCATAGGCAAATGGATTAGTGTCCGATCTAGTAAGCGACGGCTGAGTATTTTGTTGTTGCAAAGGTTGAAACTGCTGAAACTGCTGGGTCTGTTGTTGCGGTAATTGCTGGAATGGCTGTTGCTGAAATGGTTGTTGCTGGAATTGTTGGGTTTGCTGTTGCTGTAATTGCTGTTGCTGAATCTGCTGTTGAGTCTGCTGCTGTTGCAATTGCTGCTGTTGCATTTGGAGAAGTTGCTGTTGTTGCATTTGTTGTTGTTGAAGCTGCAGTTGATCCTGGTTCTGCAAGAAAGGATTACCGGTATTTTGTTGAACCTGTGGCCCATATCCTCCGAAACCGACTCCAGTGCTAGCTGGAACGATGGCCGAGTTCTGTTGAGACCATGATTGCGGAGTTTGATTGGTTTGGTTAATTTCACTCCAAGGGTTGAAAGTTGATTGCTGTACAACAATGCTATTGACACGCTGGTGTTCGCTGTCTTTCTGGTTCTCAAGAAGCGTTTTCTGAGGAGCAGATGTGTTCCCACTCTTTGTGTTCGACTTGAGATCTTTTTCAGCGAGAAATTGCCTTCTATTCGCTTCAAAGTTGGGATCATCGAGATATTCCTCCAAAGAAGACGTCAATGCGGTGGGGGCATGCTTTATAGTAGGAACATGCAACTTTGTAGCATACTCGAGATGCTTGGCCACCCGCAAGTAGTCTATGACGTATTTTGTTTGGTCGACAAACTTTTTATAAATTTTGAGGGCTGTTTCGGCATCAACTCGAGACATCTCGAAGTAGTGTTCCAACAAGTTGATGACTCCCTCATTGAGCTCCTGGAAAAGCGCCAAGAGGTCGTTGACCAAGAGCCTGAATGCCGTCAACAACATGTCATTGTTGATTTCATTTTCCATGAAACTATTCTTGAGGAGAGCGTCAATTTGCTTTTGAACACTTTCGGTTTCCCGAAGCAACCCCTTTTCCACCAGAAGAGATCGCAACCGGCCCCCAGATTGACTGGTGCTATTATTTGATCTCTCATCCCGAACGTAATCTATGCCGGTCAAGTCAAATTGCTTGACCCGAACTTGAAGGTATTTGGCGTACTTGACGATATATTTGACGTCACTATTGTGGCTGGAGTTTCGAAAGATGTTGGACAGCGATAAATTGAGCATATGTGGAGCTTTGCGACTCAAATACTCCAACACAACGTCCCGGTCTCCCTCCCGGATCATGATATGAATCACCAATAACAGCTTATAAACCACACTCCAAGCATTATCTTGGAGCCGAACTTGTAACGTTCTCATAATCGTAGAAAAGTTCTCGGCTCCTGTCCGATAATCCATCAGAGTGGCCATTAAAATCGGCTCGATATATTTAGGTTTTGGCGCAGCCACCTTGACTTTTGTCGCTCCTTTGACTATTTTCTCGTAGGTTGTCATTGGCAATTGTGGTAGTAGAGGAGTGTTTTACAATGTACACAAGGAGTGTTGACAGACACAAGGGGGTTTTGGGTTTGGATCGAGGTGATAAAAAACCAATCGCTGTTATTACGAAGGCTTAAACCTGATTCCTGCGTACAACCAACAACTTCCATACATTCCGTTGGTACTCTACTATATACAGGAAGACAGATGCCACCGGCATCATCTGCTGAATCACAGTCACTCTGCCTTCTGCCTTATGCTTCTCCCTTACTTCTCTAATTCTCTTTTCCTCTTCTCTTCAACATTTTCTCTTCTCATTACATTCTCCCCTCCATGCCTACTTCTTAATTCCGCCGCGCTTCTCGAGAATATCTTTGGCCTCATTCACTTTGGTGGCCAAGTACGACGATCCTCCCTTATCAGGGTGATTTGCCATCATGAGCTTCCGGTGTTGTTCCTTTAATTTTGTTCTGGTGAGGGTAGTTTCTTTCAAGTTGAGAATTTGCAATGCTTCTTTCGGCGTCATCTTTGATTGAAAACTGCCCTTGATGAACGCTTTTCCGTTGATACCGGGTTGTTTGGACTTGACAAATCCAGCAGCAAAGTATGCTACTCCAAAGAGCCCTATACCTGTCATCCATGGATGATTTCCCATCCAGTCACAGCCCTTGTCAAAGTACCATTCTACCGAGCCTTCAGCAGCTTGTTTACGTTGAAGTTGACCTGTGTATGCGGGCTGCTGTTGTTGAGCAGCGGCAGCAGAACCGGATTCGCCAGGGATAGGTAACGTTGGAACCTCCATTATTGGTGGATGTGAAGTAGATTTTCCACAAAAGGCGGTGACCGATGCAGGCAGGACGGCGAGCGCGAGCGCACCAGTACACCAGGCATCACCAGTGGGAACATTTTTCCCGCGATGAGATAAAAGTTTGTGGAGACAGCATGAGGGTCTACACATGTCATTTTTGCTCGTCACCGGTTTATCCGTTGCACGGGATCATGTTTGTGAGAAACGATGCCAAGGAGTTTCGCTTTTGCCGGTCAAAGTGCCACCGCGCTTTCAAACAGCGTCGTAATCCTCGTAAATTGAGATGGACCAAAGCGTTCAGAAAAGCTGCCGGTAAAGAATTGGTGGTGGATTCGACGTTGACGTTTGCATCGAGAAGAAATGTGCCTGTCAGATACAATAGGGATTTGGTGGCCACCACGCTCAAGGCCATGGCTCGTGTTGAGGAGATCAGACAAAAGAGAGAGCGGGCATTCTATAAGAACAGAATGCGTGGAAACAAGGATAAACAACTTGCCAACGATAAGAAGTTGGTGGAGGCCAACCCTGAGTTGTTGAGAATGCGTGAAGTCGAGTTGAGACGCAAGGCCGAGCGGGCTGAGGCCAAGGCTGCTGAGGCTAGCGACATGGAGATGGACTCTGAGATGGAGTCAGAATCAGAAGCTGAGTCGGAGGCAGAGTCGGAGTCCGAAGCCGAGGCCGTCAAGCAAAAGGTGGTCTTGAAAAACAAGAAAAAGGCCAAGCGGGCCGTTGCATAGTTTCATGGTGGTTAATGTATAGTACAATCAATAGTTTCGAACAGTGCAAAGTAAAAAAAATCAATTAGGATTTCACGCGGTTCAACGCCGGCCAGAAGGGCTTTTGCTCGTAGCTAGAAGGCGGAGAGTCTTCTTTTGGCGCGTCAGAATCTGGTTGTGGATACTCCTTGAGGTGACGCTGAGCGTTCATCATCAACTCAACGGTTTTGATATGGATCTCAGAATGTATCCTTGTAGTTTGTGTGCGCTTTGGCAGCGCGTCCTCAAAGCTTTGACATCTATAATGGCCTCGTTTTCGACTTGTGTTCATGACGGGTTTGCGAGCAAGTTGTAGTTTTCAAAAACCGCGCTCGCGATTTTTCAACTTAGACATGGCTAAAACCACCCCAAAACGGCATATCAGACATAGTCCCAATACGGGTTTGGTGCTGAAGGTGCAGCAGGAAACTGAGTTTTTGGTGAAATCTTCTACACCATTTATAGCTGCTGTCAAACGAATAAGCAAGAAACTTGAGAAATTCGATAAATCTAATGTGTCCCACAAAAAGTATCAGCGAGGTGAATATCTTAAAGTCAAGTATATTTGCGTCAAGGGAATGGGAAGAGCCATCGAAAAGACCATATCTATAGGCTTGATGTTCAAAAATGACATGAATTACCACGTAGAGATAACTACTGGAGGCACTCTGGTGCTCGATGAGTTCCGACCACAAGACTCTGACGAAGAAAACGACGACGAGATAACTTTTCAGAAACGAATGGTGAGTTACGTGGAAGTACGCATCTTTCTTAAACGGGCATGATAACATTAAATATACACAACTACAGCAATTTTTGAAGACATCGTTGCTTGATGTGGCCGAGTTCTACCACATGACGTTCCACCTTGGCACTTTTCTTGGTTTTTCTTCCCAATGCTTCAAAATCCCGTTGAAGCTGTTCCGTGTCGTCGTCTTCTACGCCAAAAAGCTGGTATGCTTGTGTCACCAACTCCAAACATCGATGGTAGTCTCTTTCAAAATATGCACGTTCACAAGCATTTAGCATCTGAACTCGGTCTATTTTGCGCTGAGGATCGAGCAGTTTGATTGTATCGTCTTGCAAAAGCCATCCTTCTTCATTAATCTGGGGTCCAGCATTTACGAACTGATTTTTTTGTGCAGAAAACTCCTTTTCAGTTTGCGGTTTTCTCTGCTTTCTTTTCGAGGCTTTGTTGCCTCCAGCAGTGCTACCGTTGTCTGCCATGCTTAAGTGGAAATTACTGAGAGTGTGTGGTGTTGGATCTGCACTCCTAATGTGTCAAGCAAACGGCTCATCGCATCGGCGCGAATGCGAATTTCACCGAGATAACCGAGGAAAGAGTCATAACATAACGACACACAATTTCTTGTTACGACAAACAATTTCTTGCACCAATTACCCACTATGAGCCCGATAAAGATCACGAAAGATAACGCTAAGGCTATATTTGAACAATACAACCACATTCTTTTCGACTGTGATGGTGTTCTTTGGCTCGGTCCAGACGCCATTCCAAATGTCCAACAAGCTGTTTCTGCCCTTGAAAAGCAAGGTAAAACGTTCGCTTTTGTTAGTAACAACTCGTCTGCGTCCCGAAACACATACCACGAAAAGTTCAAGAGATTGGGATACAAGGGCCTTCAAAAATCGCAGTACTTTCCTACTTGTTATTCTGCTGCAACTTGCATCAAAGAGAAGCTTCAAATTCCAATTGGCAGCAAAGTGTGGGTTTTAGGAGACCATGGAATCGAACAGGAGCTCGAGGAGGCTGGATATGTTCCGTTGGGAGGAACTGACCCTGGACTCGATACACCATTCGATCCTGACCATGAACTTTTGATAGTAGACAAAGACGTCAAGGCGGTGGTGATAGGGTCTACAAAATCGTTCAATTACATGAGGATTGCCCTGACACTCCAATACTTGCTTGCAGACAACAAATCCATCCCATTTATTGGCACGAATATCGACAGAACTTATCCTGGACCAAAAGGGCTCGTATTGCCTGCTGGTGGAAGTGTGGTTGAGTACATGGCTTATACTGCTGACAGAAGGTTTATCGATGTGGGAAAGCCATCGCAAGTTCTTCTTGACGCTATTATTGATCATTGCAAATTTGACAGATCCAAGACTCTCATGGTTGGAGACACTCTATACACCGACATTAAATTTGGAAACGATGGAAACCTTGGAGGCGGAGCAGGCTCTTCCTTGCTAGTACTGATCTAGATTGATAGAAGGATCTAGATTGAATCTTAGACCAAGGATACTAGAATACAATACATGGTTGCATCGCTTTTCTCCTGCAGACAACACAACGAATAGCCGTATTTACTTTCCTTGGTCAGCATGGAAGATAATAAGGTGCTTAGATGGCGCCCATCCGAGCAATTTCGTGCCAGACCAGAGCCCAGTAAACGAAAAGCTGACCCAGACTCGCCTCCTAAAGAAAATCTGTTGTTTCGAAAGAAACCTACAACTGAATTTGGTGGATCTGGAACTATTAAACCCCGCCCACGACCACGATTAAGAGCTGTTAGGGCTTGTAAGCGATGCAGAACTCTGAAAATAAAGTGTTCGGGCCAACTTCCTTGTGATAGTTGTGTTAAACATGGTGCACATTGTATATTTACCGATGATAATAATAGTGGTGAAATTCGTCAAAGTGACCTGAATAACTCCACCAATTCCAATAGTGGATTTCCCAAGGATTTCATTGGAAACCAAACCGATTACCTTCGACAAATCGAAGTTGCAAATACTGACTATATTATTCCTCAATCGTCTTCACCAATGGGTCCAGATCTGCACCGGCATCAAAATGTGTTAGCCACAGAATTCTTTGAAAAAGTACTTGATACACTTCCCTATGAAACGAGAGCCCTGTTCTCCATACCTCCACCTCGTTACTTTGGGTGGAACATGCTGAGCACACAAAGCATCATAACTGACACTTTACCACTTCCTCCTGGTCTTGAACTAGATCAGATGAAGTATGTCAATTACTTCTTCCATGAGGTCAATTCACTCTATGGAATCATCCACGAACCCATATTTAGGGACCATCTCAGTGCTTTTAATGAGTTAGCTGTGTTTAACCCAGACGAGACTCCTGAACGATTTTCACGAGCTACTGTTTTCCGTGCTACGTTGTATCTCATCTATGCCATTTCCATAAGACTCTTGGACTATGGCCAAGGAATACCTTCTTCCATAACTATAAGCAACGAAAGAGCCGCATTTAAGTATGGATACTCGACAATTAATCACATATCCTTCGAGGTGGAGTCATTTGAACTCATCCAGGCGTGGTTGTTGATCACCATCTACTTGCGAATAAGCCATAACCAAGGTTCCGTGTACATGGCATTGAATCGAGCCACTACCATGACGAAGCTGATGGGTCTCAGGTACGAAGAACCCATACTCGAAAACTCATCGCTCTATGAAAAGCAAAGAGCAAAAAGAATTTTTTGGTCTGTATTCACGATAGAAAGAATCTTGGGGTTGCACAAGGGAAATTATGGCGCTGTCAACATGAAATACATCCAGCGGTCATTTCCCAGTCTACACTATGTTTCAGAAGATGATTCATGGCTTCCTTTTCCAGCGTTTGCACTATTACATGTTGCAAAGATCGCCAATTTGGTATATACCATGGATGATGCACACAAATATGAGCGAATTGATCACGAGCTCGATAAGTTCTTCGTGTGGTTAGAACACAATGGGTTTGCCAATACGCAATTATTCAATAACAAGTTTTCGGGACTTGCTGCTGCTCAGGTTAAACTTCACTACTACGATCTTATCATATGTGTACACGGAAGAGTATTGTTCAATTTCTTGGGACACCAAGTCGTGAACGAGGGACCGTCTATTGAACGAGTTCTTGAAGCTTGCAGTGGAATTATTGAGGTTCTCAAACAGGTACAAGCAGCCAATTTACTCACTGTTCCTTGGTACAATACACTTCTCCTTCTCTTCAACATTGGTATCACTTCCTTGACCTTACTTAATGCTGGAATCTACATCCAGCAGTCAAAGCTGATGCTTCAAAGCTCCATCGATTTGCTCACAGCCCTTCAACTGGCAGCGTCTGCCATAGTTCCCTCTCAAAATTCGCATATGGATAAAGTACGAGAGTGTCTATGGGTGCTTCGATTAGCGAACAAGGCACTTGCTTTAAGGTTTGAGCAAAACCGATCAGAGCTCTTTGCCATTGGAATCGACCATGAATCATTAGAACGGGAGATTTCTATGGCGAGCTCCAATAGATCTGAAAATACGGTTCATGAAAAAAATGAATTTGACACCCAGCTTCTTTATCCCACTGAGCCCACCTCCAACTTGGACACAAACATACCCGAGGATATCATCGGGGACAAATGGCTAGCACAATGGATGGACTTTCATTCTTCTCCTTTGCAACCGAGTATTGCTGGCGATACCGACGCTGACGAAACCTGTGGGTTGCTCAATGGATGAACTTTCACTCACCCACCAAAGAGTCTGACTTGAATATCTACCCCAGTCTGTAAATCCCAAGTCTGTAAATAATCTGTACATAGCGTTACGCACTACATTTATCTCTACTTGCAACTATCCCGCAGCCAGTGCGGCTCGCACCGAGTCGTGCAATCGATTATCTAGTTGAATCTTTTGGCCACCAGTATGCTAAACTTTACGGGTCAAACGAAAAAAAGGGTAGTAAACCTAGGAAACAAGCAGAGTAGTGCTGTGAATTTCCTCGAGCAAACCAGACTACAAAGACAAGCTCGAGAAGAACAACGACAACGAGAACGAGCAGCAAATATCCTTCAAGGTTACGTCAAATGGTACCTTTATCTTTCGAGAATTGCAGAGACAATTGATCTTCATCAGGAAAGCAACGATGTAGTCGATGAATATTCATTTTCCAGGTATTTGGCAAGTTTTCTGTTTGTATGTCGATGGAAAAGGAGCCTTCCTAGAGAACGAATTATTAGTAATATCACCGACTTGGCTACTGTGTTGAAGGTACATGATGACTTGTTGAAGACCTTGAACAAGTTTCAGGTGGAGAGAATTGCCAACAATATCATGTTGGTTTTTCACAAAACCGGAAATGACACCGTTATCACAGAAGAGGCATTGAAGATATTGTTGATAATTCTTCAACAAGAAGTGGCTAACGAGTGCTTGTTTCCCAATGTCATTCTGGGATTGCAGAGACTCATACCCACCACATTGTCTCAAGAAAAACTCGACACTATAACCAATATAATCTTTGCTATCAATGTTAGAGATAGCCCTCAAGCATTTATTTCCTTTTTATGTGGAAGAAACCTTCACTTGAGAACAAGCGATTTCCGCAAGTCAATTTTGTACTCCACGATACCCAACAACATAAGCATTATCCAATCACTTGAACCAGCACAAAAAGTTCAGCTCCTTTTGAACATCCTTACACTAACACCCATCACCTCCCGCAAACAAATCGGGCCATCGGACTATATCATCATTGGAACTGTCCTCTCTACTATTTCTTTTGCTTTGTCAGACCGTGTTCGAGACGAAGATGACTCCGATAGTACACAAGAGCACAACATCATTGGCGTAGACAACGAGAGCATCAAAGAAATCAAACTTTTGTATTCGTCTGCGTTCATTGAAAACGCTATAGAATTCTTTACCAACTCCCAGAATGAGCTGAGTAAATTTGTTTTATACATTTTCTCATCTCTCCTCTTCTTGATCCCTCCAGAGAAGAAAAAGTTATGCATGATGATCACTATAACCCCTGGGTCGTACAAATGGTTTTTCAACCAACTTTGTCACCATGAATTGTACGTAAATTTCAAGACAATTCTTGCCCGCAAAGACTACCTTGACTCGCAAGACTTGAATTCTGTATTTCAAGCTTTGTCGCCGGCAAGTGTGGCTGATTTCTGGAAGATGTTATACACTTTTGAAGAATTGTATTCCTACTGGTTGATAGTATCAAACGATACTGAGAGTTTCTCTGATGACAAGTTAAACTTGGAGAGTATCGTTGACTTTATGGAGTTTCTGAAAGGTTTATGTCTCACTTTTATTTTCAGTAACGGCCCTATTTGTGATAATTTCGACAAAATCAAGTCCATTTCAATCTCATTATTGAATCAGCTATACTCCAAAAACACTAGATTGCAATTTCTCGATAGCCGTTTCTGGGAAACGAAAAACTTCAACGACAATATTGACTCGTTGATCGAGATCATTGCCGAGGGCCACGAGCGCCTGACGATGAACGACGACATGAGCGACGAAGAAGGTTCACAGCCCATTTTTGGATCAAGAACCAAAATCACGAACGACTCTCAGGCAAGACTTGAAGTTTTGGCCAAGATGCCGTTTATTATTCCTTTCAAAAGCAGAGTACGAGTGTTTCAACGCCTTATAGAGTTAGACCGCGAGAGAAACGCCCCGGTGTCGTACTTTGGACCACGCACCACATTGAAGGCTGACATTCGAAGGGAGTTCATATTAGAAGATGCATTCAACAATTTTAACAATATTGGGCAGAATTTCAAAAATCCTTTGAGTGTTACATTTTTCAACGAGTATGGACAAGAAGCTGGAATTGATGGTGGTGGAATTACGAAAGAGTTCCTCACGTCAGTGGTACAAGAGGGATTTCTTCCAGGAGGGCAATTTGATTTGTTCAAAGAGACAGCTACCAATAATCAGCTTTATCCCAATGACGAAATCTTCAAAAAGTTGAGGATGAATTACAATGTACCAGAACAAAAGTTAAAGCTTGAATATCTTCGTTTCTTGGGCGCGATAGTGGGCAAATGCTTGTATGAGAACGTACTTATAGACGTTTCGTTTGCACCATTCTTCATCAACAAGTGGAGCAATGTGGCTCATTTGATGAAAAGCTCGATCAACGATTTGCGAAGTCTCGATGAAGAACTTTTCAGTAATCTTTTGAAACTCAACTCAATGAGTGATCAAGAGCTAGTAGAACTTGATTTGAACTTTATGATAGAAGAGCAGGTCTCGGGAAAGAAATTCATTTATGACCTCATGCCTCCCAATGGAAGAAATACCCAAGTCAACCATAATAATCGATTGAACTATATTCATCAGGTATCGAACTTCAAGTTGAATCAGTCTTTACATTTGCAGACCAAGTATTTTGTGGAGGGTTTGTTTGAGATGATTTCCGCCGCCTGGCTCACAATGTTCGATCCTATAGAATTACAAATGTTAATTTCTGGTGGAGAACAGGATATCAATATCGATGATTGGAAAGACAACGTTGAGTATGGAGGATATTTTGATGACGACTTGACAATTGTGTATTTCTGGGAGGTTGTTAAAGAGATGTCCCCTCAAGAACGATTCAAATTGGTCAAATTTGTCACATCGGTATCGAGAGCGCCGCTTTTAGGATTCCAATCTCTCACTCCAAAATTTGGTATTCGCAACTCTGGTCGCGAGATTGATCGTCTTCCAACAGCATCTACATGTGTCAATCTTTTGAAATTGCCAGACTACCAGGACAAAGAACTCATACGTTCCAAATTGCTATATGCAATTAATATGGGAGCTGGTTTTGATTTATCGTAATTAGTACTTTAATCAGTAGTTCCATCGCGCCGCATGCACACCTCTAAACGCGATTTCAAGTCAAAAGAATTCCTCTTGGCAACATATGTATCGCTGGCTAGGGCGGATCAAGTTGGCAAGATGCCACCACCCACTCGTTTATAGCCACTATTCGTACCCATTGCGACGCCAATTCCACGCCAGTCTTCCTGCAAGAGTCATAAATCCATTATTACCGTTTGACATTCTTGAGGACGTGCAAAATGATGATTTGGAGGAAGCAAATAAGAAGCTAAAGAAGGAGAAAAAGAAGCTTATCAAACAGAAGAGGCATGTGGAGAAAGATTTGGAAGACGACGAGGAGAATGGAAACAAACTGAATGGCAAAAAGTCCAAGTCTGATGATAAGAAATCAAATGACAAGAAGTCAGATGAGTCAGATGAGAAAGAACCAGGCAGAAACTATGAAAGCGACAAAAAGAATGCTGACAAGGAGTACAAGACGGTCAATGATACGGTTCCGCTCAACATGGCAGTAAGCAAAAAGGTATCACAAATAGCTGTTGAGAAGGACAAGGCTTCGGACTCCAGCAACGAGAGCAACGAGGTAAAGAAAGAGACGAAAGATTCCAGCGAGAAATCAGAGGGACCTGAAAAAGCAGGAGATGCTGAACGGCCACAAACTGATGGTTCTAGCCCGCCTGGAGGGAATGGAAACGGGAATGGAAATGGTCCACCAGAAGATGAGTCCCGAGAAGAGAAGAAGGAGAGAAAGCGAAAAGAAAAGGAAGAAGAGGAGGAATTAGAAGAAGAAGTGGAAGACGAGACCGAGTCGCCGAAACATAGGTTCCGCAATATGATGCGAAGTTTTGGCAAGTTTTGTCTCAAGTGCATTGAGACCATTGGAATCACATTCAGTTCTCTAGCAATTCTTGGGGTGGCTGGAATCATGTACCACAGAATGTACAATGTACATGTATTGGATAAAATCGATCGGGCATTTGATGATGGAGATCCTGCCTATCAGTTATCAATGCACAAACTCACAGCCAAGAAAGCAGAGGGCAAAGAAGATCCAAACCTTATGAAATACTGGGTTGAAAGACCACAACAAAAGTTACTAGACGATATTATTAGAGGTGATATTGTTGGACGATATTTTTTGGTTATCGGAGAGAAAGGTACGGGAAAAACGTCGTTATTACTCGAAGCGATGAAGAAGGTTGACGGGTACAATGTTGCCATGTTTGATGCACATGCCGATCCAGAAATCTTTCGAATTCGGCTAGGCAAGGCACTTAACTTTGCCTATGCTGAAGATTACATTGGCTCTCTTTTTAGCATCAGAGGACCTCGAGACACTACGGCTTTGTTGGATATTGAGCGAGCTTTTGGCAAATTGGAAGAGGTGGCATTGCGGCGAGCTTCACGGAAGGAGGGACGTCCTTTGATTCTCATTATCAACAATGCCCATTTGGTGAAGGAGAATGAAGAGGGCATTAAACTCGTTGAGTTGTTACAACAAAAAGCAGAAAGTTTGAGCGGATCGGGTCTTGTGACCATGATCTTCAATCTGGACGACTATTGGGTCTATGAAAAGCTCAAGAAGCTAGGCACAAGGTTGGAGCTCATTAATGTCAGAGATTTGAGCCGACAAGAAACCGTCAAGGCGCTCCATTATAGTCGAGAAACCCATTTCCCCAGCAACAAATTCCCGCATCTTAAACTCAACGACGAGCTTAACAATCAGATCTACGATCTTATAGGAGGTAGACCCCAGCATGTGTCGCAAGTGGCTCGTCACGAGGATATACTTCGTGCTTGCCATGAAATTATCGACCGAGAAAAAACATGGTTCTTGAATCAATGTGGCTTGTTAGGTCAAGAAATGGACGATGATGTCATGGAGAGTGGAAAGTTTAGCACCAGTGCAATGATGTTAATGCGGGAGTTTGTAGAGATGGATAGGCGGAGGTTGAACTCGCTTTTAGCCAAAGATATCCCAGATCCCAAAGACGAAAAAAAGGACCATCAGCTACCAGAGCTTCCACTTTGGCGAGCCAGACAAATCATGACGAGAGCAGACTACATTCAACAATATGACAATTTGAATATTTTCACCATCGACTCCGAGTCACGGGTAAGGGCCGACTCGGTGCCCATGATGAGAGCATTTCATGAAATTGCATCACAGCCTCGATTCGACGAGCTTCTCGATGAAACCATAGAACGTGTGGCTGCAATCGAGTCCCTAGGTAGAACGCGCGAAATTGTCGCCAAGGACCTCGCTCTTGGCGGCAAGTACAAGATTCGACCCAAGCACGACAAATGGGTTGTTACAATGGAGGGTGAGCAAGATACAGGAGAAAAAGACGATGATATTTATATGGAAGAGATTACGAGGCATGAGGGAAAAAAATGGTGGAAAAAACGTATGCAAAGGTTTCATGAATCTTACCTTCCAGCGACCAAAGACAATTTTGACATTGACATAAATAGGCGGTAAATCCGAAAAACCTACCATTAGACTTAAAATTTAAGGGTGGGACGATTACGGCACCAACGCTCGCAACGCCTATTGTTTAAAAATTTCCCTCTAGATGTCAAGTCTGCAGTCTATTGTTAATACAGGCACAATGCATGATATGAATGGGGAGTCATTATTGACGACCGTGTAACTCTCCGGCACACGACGGAATAATAGGTGATGGCGGATGGTGAATAATAGAAATCCATTTACGGTTTGAGGCACGGCGTATGCAGTTGGAACAGGCTAAATATTTGTTGTCCATTTAGAGACGTGCATACGCTTTTTTGCATATAAACCGCGTTGTTACGAAAAAAATAATACATGAAGAAAATAGTAGGTTACTAACTATGTACTCGTTATAACTATCCTAAACGGGGTAACCGGGTATATTTCACGACTCGAACCTTGCAGAAAGCTGCAGATAAACAACGCCATAGGAGCACAAAGTGCAATGCCATCGTCTGCGTGCTGATGTCAGCTTGTGCTCGCGCTTGTGAAATCGAGTACATGTACGGTGACCAAATGTTAAAAATAACTGATGACGTTGCAATCAAAAAAAAATTAGAGTTTCGGATGTAGTTTCCCTCAATGAAATTGACCGGGATTCCGTTGTCAAAGATTGTTTCACCCAAGAACAATTTTAGCCTTTCAAGTCTGGCCGAATTGCCGCGTTTCACGCGGGGATTTTTTATGCACCTGATCGATGCACTACTGCATCTAATTGTCCCATTTATGCACTGTGTGCCTACGCCAGTCACTATGCAGTGCTGCCCTCCAAAGTTAAGGGGTGCTGCGAGCAACAAATGGCTCGTTGGTACCAATCATGATGCGGGCATACATAGACTTACATAGTTATTCTTAGTTTACGTTTAACTACCCTCATTAACCCCCAAATTTTTTTTTACGATTCGTCTCAAAATGGACCTCGTAATACGCAGGGGAAGGCTGTGTTGTGAACGCCCCGTATATTATAAAGCTTCGAATGATATTTACGACGCACATTTTTGTGTTACATTTCATGCAGCGAGGTGTGTCCGCCTAAAAAAAGTTACGAGGGGAGACAAGCTGCCACAAAAAAAAATAAACCAAATCTAACATCTGTTTTCAACGATTAGTATCTTTTGTGATCAAATTGGTTGGTTTAATAGTGTATTTTAATTCCCTGCAATCACCGCGTCGGCCCGCATATCCGTACTTCTCACTACCCATCATCAAATCATTGTTGCATCGTGTTCGGCAATTCGGCATATCTTTGCTCATTCGTTGATTACAACAAAGTTTTGTATACCTGACTTTCACTAAACGCTACAATTCTAACCATTTGCTAGCGTCCATCACCTCCGACAATGGAGTCCTTTTCGGTGGCACTCAAAAATCCAGTTCCTCCTCCGAAGAAGGATGACTTGGATGAACCCGCCGATCAGCCAGGTTCCGATGCTTCAATAAAAAAGAAGAAAAATTCCAGAAGAAAGCATAGAAATTCCCATCTAGGCTGTGGAACTTGCAAGAAGAGAAGAATTAAATGTGACGAGAATTTGCCTGCTTGTCTCAACTGTACCAAGGGGAAACTTCATTGTGCCTATTTGAATCTTGATTCGTCGGCACGCAGTGCGCTCCGCATGGCTCAGCATAATCAGAATATTCGCCAGGATCGACCCGCTCATGAAAATGAAGACCCGCAACTGGGGCCTGTGGGCCCTCACATGCCGATGACTGTTCACGCCCTCCCGGGTCAAGATCCTCAGACAGTAGTAATTCATTCCCAGGCTCCACCCCCTCCGGGATCTATGGTTGCTGGCAGTGCGTCTTCTCCATCTGGCTCAATTGCACCCGCAGGTCACTCATTTGCAGTGCCGTACCCTTTAATCCAAGGGGTACCCCCACAGCACGTTATCCAGTCTCCATACGGTCCACTTGTTTCAATTCAGCCCATCGGTGGTCCCATACAGTACTCGCAAATGCCAGTGATGGCGGGTCAAGTACCAGTCATATACTCACAGGTGCCCATGGTCCAAGACGGAAATGGTCAACCACCTCATCCACATCAAACACCAATGCAACCAGTAGTTCCCCCAATTGCCGGCCCAGGCTCAATGCAAAATCCCACTAATTCAAGACATCCCATTGCATCTAACCGTTCGGGGTCCGAACTGATTCCAGGAATTTCGCAGCAAAGGCCACTGAATGGACCTCCTTCACAGCCTTCCACAAGTCCGCATTCTACGTCAGATTTCACCTCATCTCGACGGGACCTCCAGCTTCCAGTGACTCCAATTCCACTGTCGATTCTGGCTCCCCCAATAAGCATGGCCACCGGTGCATCATCGTCCCACAATTCTCCACAATCGTTGAAAAAAGACGACCAGGTACCTCAAAAAGTGCCCGTTATTCCTCGAGGTATTGCAGGATCTTATACCGCACTTCCAGCGTTGCTGAGCGCCACCATCAGCATTAGCCAGCAGCTAAGCAAAAGTGCCGAGAGCACTCCAATCATCGGCTCCGTGAAGCCTGTCATAACCTCGGCAACAACCGTAATACCAGGAATCAAGTCGGAATCGTCTGGAGAAGATTCAGATAGAGAGGTCCGGCTTCCCCCAATCAAAAACTTGAATGTTTCCGAGGTTGAAAAGAAATTAGAAACAGAAAGTAATGTGCCAAAGATATCAAAGCTCATTTCCTAATGTTAGGATGTATTATAATGACCAAATGTATTAGCATGAGACTATTAATTTAATATTTCGCGTTTTTTTGATCTCATTTATGAGTGCTCTTTTTAACATCACCGTCGATGCTGCCGATGATATAGGTGCTCCTGCTACGTCGTCTTCCAAGCACTCGACCACAAGCTCCATATACTCGGAGGGGGCTCTATCTGATGACTCTGAATTGAAGCTTGTTGGAAAATCGGATCGTTTTAAAAACTTACTCAAATTTCCCCACAAGAAACTGATTCGATATGATACTCCAGAAGAAACAGCTTACTTTAATACGCTCAGGCGTACTTTGGAAACATACCATCGACATCGAGACGTCAATTGGGGTGCTTTGCTAGAACAATGCCTTTTTGGTGATATTATAGATCACTTGTTCAATCCTCGTTTTGAGTATTCGGGAATCACTCAAAGTGGTACAACTTATCCTATATTGAAGAAGAAGGGCGATAACATAATGTGCCATCTAATGCACGCAGACAAAAGCTATGAGAAATTGCAATTCGAAGTTCCAAATGTTGAGATTCTGTACATCTCAAATGAAGCTTTGGTGCAAACACTTAAAGATCTCTTTAAAGACTTGGGTGTCTTGGACCAAATGTTGGATTTATACTCCAAAAACACAAACACCACTTCTGGTGAACTTTTGGTCGTGTTGACGACCTTGGCTCACGTTACATTACCCATGCCCTTGGCTCAGGCAATGTTGGGAAATTGGCGCTTGTCTTACGACAATAGTGAGCCTCGAAGGGCCATAATGGCTAACTTTCGTAGTGCCGCCCGGTTTGGTCTCCTATACAATAACTTGACTAATCTTGGATACTTTAATGAAGTGCTAAATGAAGAGTATTTTGAAGCACACGAATTGATTTGTCTCAATCGATTTTTAGAAAAAGATTACAAGTCTGTGCTTGGAATGTCTCTCTTTAACATTGGCCAGTACCTTCAGATGCACCATGACTTCGATTCTGCCACCGATATTTGGGAAATAGGGGCCCATATGAGTGGTGATACAGATTGCTGTAATATGGCGATTTGGGGCCTTATGGACGGATTCGGAAGCTCTAATATCAAAGGTGTTAACAAGTTCAGCTCAAAATACAAAGCTTCCAAGTTTGTATCCAAGCGGAGGATAGCCCACTTGTATCGGATATTAATCAAATCAGGCAAATCGTCGGAAATTGGAACTTCATGGGTATGGAAGCTGAAATATGATTGAATATGAGAATTGAGAATTACGATATGTATTTATAGACAACTATTTTTTATTACCTGTAGCGGCAGCGGCGGCCTCAGCGGCCTCGGCTGCTTTCTTCTTCTTCTTGTCGTCAATCTGCTCAACCTTGACTTCGTTCAAACCCTTTTCTTCAAGCAATTTCTCAATGTACGCTCTCGCCTCATCGCTGACATCGCCTTGCACTATTATTTCATCTTTCTTTTCAGCGTTCTTTGTGACAGAAGCACCAGTGGCAAACTTGGAGGCAAACGTCTTGGACAACTTCTTCATGTCGATATCAAACACCTCCAAACCAGAAATGGCAATTACATGCTTTCTCTTGTTCCTTTCGATTCTCTTTATAGTGACTTTTGACGCTAATTGTTTCTTCAACTCTCTCTCTTGCTTGGCTTCTTCCTTTGCCTGTTTCTTCTCTAATTCCTTGGCTATTTTTTGCTCTTTGTCTATCGACAAGGTCGATGTGGCATTTGCTAAAGCATCTTCACTATAAAGTTTTTCATACAACTCTTTATCGTTTTGCTCCAACCACTCCTTACATCTCTTGAACGAGCCTCCAAATTCACAGAACTCAGGAGGAAAGCTGCATACACCACAGTAGAGTACTGACTTGGGCTCAACTTCAGTCATTTCTATGATTTCTCAACACTTGAAGATTGAGCTAAATCATGTCGCAGCTGCCTGCGCATAAGCATGCAGGGCAGAGTGTTACATTTAAATAGCAAATGTCTGGATATTAACTGTCTCTAACGCTATTAAAGCGTTAACTTTTACATATTTTCAAATTGGTCAATTACCTTAGTGGTTCGGAAATTTTTCACTTGTATGGACTACAAGTTTCATACCCTCGGACAGGCCTATAGTCTTCCAATTCAACCGTACGCCAAAGACTCTTGGCGTACAATATCTTGTCATCAACTTTCTCGTAGACCAAGCTCAAATACCACCATACTTCTGGACTGTTATAGCCGAACGGCCAACATCTTGCGTAGTCTTCCAAGTAGTTTTTGAGCCGAATTAAACCGGCATTTTTATCTTTAGAAGATATAAACAACGAGTTTTGCGGCTCGTCATCAATAACGAACAACTTGCACAATCCGAGGAGAGCCCACCCGTAGGCCGATTTGTGGAAACTGTTCTTCTTGTCCTCCACCTCTTCTAATGCTTTTTCGAATTCTTGTAACGAGAGAAACTTACGCTCTTTCGATGTGAGCATTCCAAGACAAGCATGAGTATTGTAGTTGGGTGCGAGTGCAGTTTCAGCTTCAACAATACACTGTTCAGCTTCTTCAAACTGACCGACTTTGTAGTATAACTTGAATGCCCAGAGCCAAAGATCTTGCAAAAGCTGAGATTCTTGACTACTCAACTTCATCTCAGGACGATCGACTTTATGTTTGGAAGCGCCATTTGGAAGGGGGACTTCTTTGGAGCTTTTGGGCGCCAGACGAGAAAACCGCCGAGTGAGTCGATTCGACTTGGTCCTAGTAAGCGAGAGGCCATTAGAATGATCAGGCTCCTTCTCAGAACGGGCAGTATCCAGTACATCTGGATCAATGACGCTGGGTCGGTGAGACCATTTAGCTGTATCTTTGGCTGGAGTTGACACTGGTTCAACACCTTTGGGAGCAACGTTGACGTCAAACAACTCATGAAAGAATACAAAAACGTCGTGCAAGTATTCCATAACGTAATGAGTTCCGTAGATAGCTTCCCAAACTGCCAACTGGGTAAGCTTCAATTGCAAAATGTTATGCTTGACTGTGTATCCAAACTTGTAAGGGTTATTGCGATGCTTACCCATATAAATACCTGCGACATTAAGGGCATTATTGATCAATTTCTCCAGTTCACGAGTACCATTATCGTGGCCATTGGGAACCTCGTTGAGCTCATTGAGTACGTTTTCGTTCGCTGGCTTCTTTGTCACAACGACATCAGGGTTCTTAGACTCGATGGCAGTTTGAATCAAGACCAACAAGTTCCAAGCTTCAAAAGATTCAGGAAACTTTCTAAGGATGAATTTGCACAACTTTAAGGCAGGATCAAGGAAACCAGCGTGAGCCAAGGCCAATGCATACGCGAATAATAACTCGCTGTTGCCAGTGGGGTTCACAATCAAACTGCGCTTGTAGTACAAAAGTACACAGGAGACATTAGCCTCAAGAAGGTCTTTAGTTGGGGAGTCGTAGGTAGCAAGATACGAATAATAAAACCCCACGGCAGACCAACCTTTCGAGACATCTGAAATGAATTCTGACTTATCATTCTGGAGTAAGTTTGGGTTATACTTTTGATAAAGAAAGGAAAGATGGATTTTTTCGGGTGTCAATTGCAATGACGAGGAATCAAAACTTAAGCCGGTAATTTTGGATAAAAGGTTCAAGTAGTGTACAAGGTCCTTGGAAATTTCTGCTAAAAGGTTGGCTACTTCAGCACGGGTAACATGTTTAAAGTTTGTGGTAGTGCCATTGAAGGATCTGATAGGATTAAAGTTAACCAAACATGCGGTAAAAACATTGATGACCGATAATAAGTTATCGATAAATCCGTGGATCTCATGATGGTTTTTGATGTAAATTTTGTAGGTTTTGAGAGCCGCAAATGCTTCATCATACTCACCAGTGCTTAGCAAAACTTCAATGTAGTTTGCAAGTACGATTATGCTCTGGTAGGTCAGACTCATAGCCTTGACTAACACCTTTTTCAACACCGAAGGTTTCACCACCGGGTTACGAGAAAAAGTCCCGGTCACGGCTTGACACAAATTGTCCACAAAATAGTCCTCTTTGGAGTCGGTAGCAGTGGCATCAGGAAAATGCAGCTCCGAGTTCATTTTGCGCTCCAAAATTTCAAATAAATAATTGGCAAATTCCTGCTTAAAGTTGGGCCCAATAAGTTGCTTGTTTCTGATCAAGTAGCCACCAAACGAAACCATGGCCATTTCGTTGGCGCCAAACTTTTGTTCCTTCAAGTCATTGAAGGAAAGTTCTCGGCTCCCAGCAATAAACTTGGCAACATTGTAGTACATCAAACCAAGCCAATACTTTCCAGCAACATTAGAATGTTGAAATGGCTTGGAGAAGTAGAAAAGGTATTCAGTCCAGAGCTTGTATGAATTGCCCACGTTAGTGAGTCCCAAAAGGACGTGGTAACGACAAGATAAATACTGCAAAAACTCATTTCTGACGGGTGATGCGGTGGTGTTGTCCATGTCCACCGAAAATGGAACACTGTTGAGAGCCAGATGCATCGAATCCAAATCCGAATCAAGGTAGTACAAGTGCGCCAACACTGTGGTGAAGTATATGTTCGCCTCGTTTGACTGGGCTTCGGCACGGTAACTTGAAGAGACCGATTTGGCATAGTTGAGGATTTCTAGCAACTTATCGTGAGGTGTCAGGTTTCTGTCATTCTCGACAAAATGGCGCGAAGGTGTTAATGGTTCTCCACGAAACTCACTTTGTATCAACAGCAGGAGCATGTAGTCTATGTAAATACATTGACGAATAAACTCCAGCGATGATTGATACTGTAGTACCTTGCGAGGGAACGAACCCAAGGTCAAGGTTTGTAAGTACTTGTCATCTGGTGACGTGTCGATATACATTTTTCACGATTGATTAGATCAATTGACAAAAAATCGTCGACCCCACTTTAACTTCTTTATATGGCAGTTAACTCGACTCCAACGAATGTCGTAGCTGAGCGCGACATTCACATGTGCTCACTATGAACAATGGGGTTCAACATCTTTCGAACACCCGATAAAGACCTGGAAGATCTGCAATCTGGATGATACTCGAGGATAGGTTATTAGGAACAAGAAACCTTTCTTTCATGAGAGGAAATATCACATACTCCAAAACTCGATCCACCAGTTGACGTCTTGTGGAGTTCTCAGCCGCTTCTGTATCACGTGCATCCGACCCTCCTCCATCTGCTGGGTCGGCTATCGGGATGGCATCGGGAACATAAAGAAGAGCTATTTGTTGTAGAATCTCTTGTAGGCACAGTTTCTCGTTTTCATAGTCGACTTTGGTACCGAGACGGTATATGAAGTGAGGCAATTTGAACGTACTAGGAACGATATCTTGATGAATCAATGGAATCGATATTAGACGGTTATCTTGCACATTGATCTGGAAATAGTCATTCAACATTTCCTGATTATCATTGATAGTCCTTGTCACCACATCCATGCTGACCAAATCTGAATTTGTTTCATAAAGAGGAGCTAAAAGTTTCTCGATTGTAAGCTTAGGTTCAAGTAGATACTCTCCAAAGTTGGCAAACTCTGTCAATCCAATTTGGTAGTATAATTCTTGTAACAATGCTGCATAGTCGCAGAGGTACAAATTGACATCGTACTGGAAGCAGCATAGTCGTCTATACTCATCGACAACGCCAATATACGATGCGTTGGTGATGATTCTCGTGAGTGATTTGTGCACCTTTTGGGCTAGTTCATCTTCTAGAAACGTAATGCTTTCGAGGCGAAGTGAAGTTCGTTCACGTTCAGAAGACAGGGTAATTATCAGATCGTCAGTTTTACTTGGATTCAGATCCGCGGAAGTCGGTACCAAGAAAGATAACTTTGCCTGACTAGCATCTACCCGAACCAACTTGTTCTCCTGGCGATATTTCTTGGTTGGGGGTTCTGTTGGTTGGGTTCTTGGTTTAGACAATACCGTCTGAGTGGGAATTTTTCTTGCAGAGTCGTGACTAGATAACGTCAGTTGCACCAAATCTGTAACTATTTCGATGATTTCGTCTTCATTTAAAAAGCGAACTTCACGCTTAGTGGGGTGAATGTTGACGTCCACGTTTCGAGGTTCGATTTCAAGACTCAAGTAGATGAATGGATGGTTTCCCTTGGGCAAAAAGAAGTAATAAGCTGCTAATATAGACCGTTTTAAAGGTCCACATGAGACTAATCTGTGATTGATGAAAAGTACCGGCTCCACTTTCTTTTTGTTCATATAGTCACTGCTTGTTATGGCTCCTTCAACGGATAATAATCCAACCAGCTTCGCGTGGTCTTTGTTCTTTATTGACTCCAAATCAATCAAGTCATTTGCAATGGCAGACCCTTGTACGATTCGTATTCTTTCCTTCAACAGCACATGAGGTCTAGTTGACAAAGCCTGGTGAGACTCGCCGTATTTTTTGCAACTGAACCCCACATTTTGACAATGAATAGCATATCGACCAACCACATCCAATATTTTAGAATACTCATCATTTTTCGATTTTAACGACTTTAGCCGTGATGGCATGTTGTAAAAAAGGTCCTCCACTGTAAGCTGGGTTCCATCGGTTCCAGCAGTAGGTTTTGGTTCCGCAACCGCATTGGTATTGAAATTTTGTCCCACTAATTTTCCGCCCAAGTAGAACGCCTTGTATGCCAAGTCGGAAGTCTTGGTCTTGGTAACCACCGACAATCGGGCAATATGACTTATACTAGCCAAGGCTTCACCACGAAATCCATAGGTGGAAATCGACTCTAAATCCTCAAATTTTGCTAATTTAGAAGTAGCAAAGCGCTCACATAGTAATTGCAAATCCTCCTTATGAATTCCATGCCCGTTATCGGTAATTTGAAGCAATTTTATGCCGCCATCTTTCACCAATATGTCTACCGAAGTGGACCCTGCGTCTATCAGATTTTCAATTAGTTCCTTTAAAGCATTTGCCGGCTGTATGATGATCTCTCCTGCTGCTATGCGGTTTATTACCGAGGAATCAAGCTTAGTTATGGTGTGGGTTTGTGGGGTCTCCATCTTGGTACCATATATCGGATCAGGAAAGACGTGTGCGCGCGCGGCTGATTAGTTTGCCATATCATCTACAGTCTACAATTTTGGGCCATTCAAACTATGGTTTTGAATTCAACTCCTGAGAAAGTTCCAGATAAGGAAAAGAGTCTTGTAGATCGCTACGAAACGCTCCGTAAATCTATACGAAATGACGATGCATCGGCTCATAAAGGTGAAGCCGATGCGATCATAGTGGAGCATTTAACCGAATTGGAACACATATATGAGCTTGTTCGGCGCCAGCACAGTACAAAGATACATCTTAAGGACGCAGAGGTGTTCATGGATGCGTCGGAAATTGCTGCCACAAACGCTAAGAATATCAAGTTTGGTGATGTTGGAGCATCGATTAGCTCTGATGAAATGGCAGGAAAGCTAGACGAATTCCTTCGCTTCGACCTAACTTCGGAACCAGAAACACCAGAGGAGACTTTCAATACCCGCAATTGGGCAAAGTTGGCTGCATTGTACTACAGTACAAGTGGGAAGCCAATGCTTGTAGATTCGCTATTTGGACCTTTGGAAACAGAAAGGAGGAAACCAACCGCTAGAACACGCAATGTCGATGATAGCACGTCCACTAATCTCACCACGGCAACGCAATTACAGTCACTGGATATTGCCGGAGGGGAGGAGCAAAATACGGCCCACATGGTAAAGAGGGTCTATCAAACGTTTCTCGAGAAAAATAATGGGTCGGATATCAATTTCTTTACATTTTTCATCAATCCCGACTCCTTTGCACAGTCGGTCGAAAACCTCTTCTTCACCAGTTTCCTCATCAGAGATGCTCGCTTGCGACTTTATTTAAAGAACAACATTCCCATGTTGAGAAAAACCGAACCAGATGAACAGTACGAAGCTCAGACAACAAATTTGCAAGCTGGACATTACATCTCTACGTTGACATACGGCTCATGGCAAAGTGCTATTGAGAAATTTGATGTAACTGATCTGTTCTTGCCAGATCGTGGAAATTAACTATGTACATTACAGGCGAGACGTCCAGCCATCCACATCTAGCAACTGATCAAGTGGCCATTTTCTAATGGGAGTTATCGAGAGGTCAGACACCACATTGAGGTTTTCATATATCTCAATCCCAGCGACCCCGATCATTATTGCGTTGTCAGTACAAAGGGCGATTTCAGGAAAGTGGAAGTTCAAGTTTGGTCGTTTCATCTTATCATTCAATCCGTCTTTGAGCATTCGGCGCAAGGTGGAATTCGAAGCCACACCGCCTGATAGCACAATGTCATTCACATTTGCAAACAATGTCTCGTTTTTATCGACTGCCAACTTGATTCGGTCGACGATATGCTCAAATATCTTTTGCTGTACTTTGAAAGCCAAAAACTTGGTGACTTTCGACTTTTCCATACCTGGTGGTGGGGAGTAAGCGTCCAATGTGCTTAAAAATGAGGCAAAAGAAAACTGGACTGATTCCGCATTCCTGGGATGTTTCGGGCTTCTCATGGGAAGCTTGAGTTGAAAATTGAAAGGATTATCTCGTGTGTGCGTCTTGATTTTTGTGAACTCATCTAGTTCCTCTTTAGAGAAAGAGTTGACAAAGGTTTCAAGTTCCTTGCCTAGCATATTTCCTTTCAATCCCAATTTTCGGGCACACTTATCGAGGGCATCACCACATGCAATGTCCACTGTATTGACAAGAACTTGGTGCTTTGCCAACGACTCCAGAAGCACTAGCATCGTGTGTCCTCCGCTACAAAGAAGACTGAGAAATGGAAATCTTGGAGGAGGGTTCGTTTGCAGTTCAGATGTCAAAGATGCTATCATTAAATGACCCAACATATGGTGTACGCCTACCAATGGTTTGTCCCATGCTACACTCAATCCTTTAGCAAATTGAAGTCCAGCACTCAAAGAGCCCACCATACCCGGTCCCCTAGTACAGCATATAAGATCGGGACTATTTTGCGAGGATATCTTGTGTTTTTGAAAGAACTGCGATGCTTGGCTCGCTATTTGGTACTGGTGGAACCCGTGAGCCTCGGTAGGAATCACTCCTCCGGCTGCAACAGAATTCAATGTCAGTTTCACTTGATCTATTACGGTCGTTTTCCCATCTTTCCTATCCAATAATGCTATGCATGCATCGTCACAGGATGATTCGATCGCTAGAACTCGGTATCGCCTCCTGAATACTCGCCCCACTGCGCCATTGCTACGCCATAGCATCACCTTCAACATGCCCATCGCCAGCTTGTATACACTACCGCGAGTGATGTTCCCTGCATATGTCTTTCACGTCTTCTCAGTCCTTAAAATTCAGCACTCACGAACGCCTTTCTTAGCATCACATTGAGGTATTGCTTCAACATAACCTTTTGGTACTCCGCATACACCACACTGCTCTCTCAAGTTTGGGAACAAATTCCCGCTGGATTAGCATTCTTTTTCATTCCTTTTTCAGCCATAATTGCTCGACGTTGATTCGTCGATAGCCGTCAAGGCAACATGTCAGAATCGTATACATCATCTACGATACCGATGGGGTTCACGCCCCATCATGATACAGGTGCAAAGCATAGTCTTGAAGCTCGAACCCCTCAAGGTTCAGACGACGATATTGAAGGCTCGCCAATCATCAATTGCATGATAGCTGGTGGCCTCGGAGGAATGGTTGGAGATACCCTGATGCATTCTCTCGATACCGTTAAAACGAGACAGCAAGGATTGGCTCATAATATAAAATACCGAAACATGATTCCCGCATATATAACCATGTTTAAAGAGGAAGGTTTTTTCCGAGGTCTTTATGGTGGCTATAGCCCTGCCATTTTGGGCTCGTTGCCTTCAACGGCTGCATTCTTCGGTACCTATGAGTACAGTAAGCGTAAGATGATCAATGATTTTGGCGTGAATGAAACAGTGGCATACTTTTTCGCAGGTGTATTTGGAGACCTTGCATCCAGTGTTTTTTACGTACCCAGCGAAGTGTTAAAGACTCGTCTCCAGCTCCAGGGAAGCTATAACAATCCCTATTCTGGATCGCAATATAATTATAGAGGTCTTGCGGATGCAATCAAGACAATAACTAGAACGGAGGGTCCGGGCGTGTTCGTATACGGTTACAAAGAAACTTTGTTCAGAGACTTACCGTTCAGCGCTTTACAGTTTGCATTTTATGAGCGGTTTCGCCAACTAGCTATTTATTACAATCGGGACGATGACCTACCCATTTCCACTGAGTTGCTCACTGGCGCTGCCGCTGGTGGTTTAGCTGGAACATTGACAACCCCTCTTGATGTCATAAAAACTCGCATCCAGACTGCAACTCCACAAGAAGGTGCCGATGTCTCCAAAGGCTCAGTGGCCACTCTTTCGACTATCAAAGCTCTTCGTTCTATCTACAAACAAGAGGGCATTCTTGGCTTGTTTTCCGGTGTTGGTCCTCGATTTATTTGGACTGGTGTACAAAGTTCCATTATGCTTTTGTTATACCAGGTGTCGCTTCGAAAGCTTGATTCCTACTTTAATAATGGGTTTGCTTAAAAATGATTCGGCCATTGTACAATAGCATGTATATATGTAGAAGCCTATAGAATATAGATTATGGCACTTTATTTTTGTAGTATTATTATTTTACTGAAATAGAACTTTTGTTCGCTTTTGTTGCTGTTAGTGAACTATGAAATAGATGATAAGGCTTAGTGCCGTTGATAGTACCAACACATTTTGATTGTCGTCCTTGCTTGTGACCCTATAGGTACTCATATATCAATTTCCTTCAGATAAGTCCGAGATAGTTTAGTGGCTAGAATTACCGCTTGTCGCGTGGTAGACCGGGGTTCAATTCCCCGTCTCGGAGCTTTCTGCGCAAATGGTTTAGTGGTAAAATCCATCGTTGCCATCGATGGGCCCCCGGTTCGATTCCGGGTTTGCGCATTCTTTTTTTGATTCCGAGACCTAGTTCTCATTCCTACCTTCAGGCTGGAATTTGTCCGTGGTCCGAGCACAAGAGGCGATCATCACAAATACATGCAAAGCCATTTTTAGTGTTATCACGTGATCTCATCTCAAATCTGTCGCGGTTCTCAAGATCTCCATGTCTTCAGAGCCACAAGGTCTCCAACTATTAGTTGGGTCCAATCTACTTCCTGACGACCTCTTGAATGATTCGAATTCGTATTTGAGCATAATTTCGTATTTGCAAGGAACGTCACCATCATGGTTAGTGAACTCAATAATCGAAAATACACTTAGAGGCACTGCTACCGTTGTCAATTCGGACTTGCTGACTATCGTTCCGAACCGTAAGCGAGTTGTTTTGGCTTCTTTCATGAACACAGGTGATTTCTATGTGAGCGGTACCAAGAAAAATGGATTGAATTTGGATCGAGAGGCCAATTATCAATTCGTAGACTGCTTTACTGATCTCTTTTCAAACTTGATCAAGAACCCCACGAATGCACTGGCTGAATGTAGCACCATATTTGACAGCATTAAAGCCAAGATACACTCTCATGACACCGTGGTTATACTAGAAGGGATTGACATTCTACTTTCTGGTACTGACATTAACCCCAATGAGTTACTTCAACATTTATTTCAGATAAATAAAAAATGCTGCCAGTTATTTGTGGTGTTTCCTCATGATATGCCACAGGTTATAAATCCTACAGCTATGAACCCTAATGATCCAGCCTACAAATCAGCGGAATTTTTGTTCAAATTGCATCACAGATCAAGTATGAATATCCTCGTTCAACCATTGCCAACAGGAAGAGCTAGTGACTTAACAGGCTCATTATCCATATCAAAGGGACCAGTACCCTACACATGTACAAGTGTTTTGGAACGCGAGTACACTTTTAACGTTTTAAAAGACTCGACCGTCAAATTGTATTATAGATAATTATTTCTTCCTGTGCAGATTATACAAATCGTCCAAGGTGAACTCGATGGAACAACGAACCCACAATAATGGGAACAAGGGCCACACCGAACGCTCACCAACGAGCACCCAATAAGGAATATTTTCCATAGTTTTGTGGACATCGAACACTCGTCCGAAGTCTCTCAATAAATAACGAAGTTCCGGAACAATGGATACTTCTCTAATTCCTGCTAAAGAAGGGGCTACTGCCGGCTTCTCGTCAATACAGAATCTCTTGATGACATCTGAGAGAATGCCTAATTTGTTCATCACCTCAAGCCTATGCTGAAGTTCCAAACCTAAAATGTTCTTCAAATTTTTAAACAAATTGATTGAAGTGTCTTTAGTGTAAGATTCTGGATCAGCCAAAAATGATTTTCTCTTGTCAATGACAAAGCTCTTTGATTGTTGTGGTTCGTCCATTAAGTAGCCAAAGGTAACATCGGCCTCATCATCGTTATTAGTATCCACTTCTAAGCTTTTGAAATTGTATCGAACTTTTCCATATGAATGGTAATGCTTGAGATCATTGCTTATCAAAGGTGCCAAATAAGGCCGGGCCAAACTATTAATAAAATGATTAACATTGAATAGCTCGGTAAGACGTGTGTAGGGAGATTCTACCTTCAGGTTTTGACGACTTCCATCAGACCTTTCCATATCTGAATGGTCGTTTTTCTTGAAACCTCTAAAGTATTGTTGCGAGTAACTGACATCTTGTGGCTTCATGAATTTTATGGGAATATTAGGCTCTTTTGGTACAATATTATTGTTGAAGTCTTTCACATATAACTGTACGTTATCTGATAAGACACCAGTACCAATAGAGGCATAGATAGCGGTCCATATGATCACATTTGGAGAGGTGATGTAATTTAACAATGAAGGCACCGAACTATGCGAAGGATGCACAACAATGTTCAATACTTTTTCAGTCTTGAGGTATGCTTCTTCAAAAGTTAAATCACCAATGGTGTCCCGAACAAACTTGAGAAACACCAAAATGTCCTGTGAGTATCCCTTCTTGACCACATTTTCGATGACATTGCCATAACGTTCATCAACATCGTGGTTCAATCTGTCTACATCACCCATGGCATCTTGGATGGATATGAGAATAGGAATTAGCTCTTCATCGGTCAAAGTGCATACAAGGGAAGCTACAGCAGCACCAACCGCTGAACCCCCTATAATTCGTGGAAGCAATCCCTTAAAATATAGTGCTTTCACCACACCCAAATGGCACAAGCCAAACAAAGATCCACCTTGGAGAACCAATGCTGTGCAACCGAACGACTGGCGTACATCATGGAAAAAGTCGAGCTTGAGCTGCTTACTATTCATGATATATTCCACATTTTCACGATCGGATGGGGTATTTATAGATTCGTTGAGATAGTTCAAGCATTCTAGAACCTCTTCAATATACTCCTCGATATTATGTTTAGTTCCGAGATACGCCTTGGTGAAAAGTCTTTTCTGGGCAATTCCTCCAAAGTTCCTCACTAGACCCGAACGTAAAAGCGACATAATAAGTTGTGAATCTTGGTCGAACCTGGTTGCTCGCAACAGCTTTAATCGTTCATTCACAAGAATATAATCGTAATGTTTTGAGATTAAGTCTTGCCTCCACAAGTCCATATTGGTAAGCTTGTCGATCTTCATCACCTTATTCTTCCATTCACTGTATGTCTGGACATTCTTTATTTCATCTAAAAGGTCTTTTAAGGGGTCCTCACGGTGGTAAAAGCCATACATGCTTCGTAACCAGAAGGTAAAAAGGTCTATAATAAAATCAATTATTGTCCATATGGGTTGTGGTGTGTATTGTACAACTAGCTTTATGATAGGTAGCATAAATGTTTCCGTCACGCCACGTTTCATTATACCCACATGTATTTGTAAAGGCTGGGTCATATTTCAAATATTCACATGTGTGGGGTTCCACATCCACACACCTCATAGATAACGCTAACAACTAGCCTTTCATCAACTTCTTACCTCTGTTCAAGAATCTCTTTCCTAAAGTAGACGCCTGTAATCCTGAAGTTTCCACTTTATCTCTAACACTTGAAACCTTGCTTCTGAGAGAAGTGTGTCGTCTCAATTCATTGTGAGGTGCATTTTGATACGCTTGCGATGCGATTTTTCCAATATGCATGTTTGGCGAGTTTTCCACTTGTTTCAATGCCTCCTGTAGCCATTCTCGTAAGCCAGAGTCATACTCATTCTCCTTCTTCAAAGCTTCCTTGAATAATGCTATGCGGTCAATAGGTTGTGATTTGGATATAATGTTGTTCCAATTGTACAGTGGTTTTTGCAGCGATTTTTTCCGTATCACAGTGCTAGGTTCTGAGACCGGAGATCCTACGGCCGCGACAGTTGCATCTGATTCTGAGTCGACAATTTCGGTTGATGGTTTTCTGGTAGATGCATCATCAAGCGTGCTTGAGTCTCCCAATAAACTAGAGTACCTTTGCTTTTCACGAGGCAATTCTGCGGAGGATGATGTGGGGGTGAGCAGTTCCTTAAAGTTTTGGACATGGTCATGAGGCTTAAAGACGGTATCAAAAGTAGAGTGTGATTCAAAGGTTGACGATTCTTCGGGGGCAGCCTCCTCGGTACTCTTTCCAAAGCTGGAGTCATGGTCGTCATCTTCTTGAATACTGGGTAAGGCTGCATCGATGGTTTCGGGAATTGAAAGCGAGCTAGCATTGGATTGTGTCTCTGCTACAGAATCAAATCCACTGCCTCCCAGACTGTTCCTCAAGTTTGTAAACTGACGGTAACCATCATTGCCTTGGGCATTAAAATTTACCACCGACTCATTATCAATGTCATTAATGAATTGATCTCTGTAATTGTTGGTATTAGGCTTCCATCCACCCATATTGATTGTAGAGGTTGAGACTCGTCGCGAAACGTCTTCTTTGGACTCATTCTTGGATGGCTGGATGGAAGAGGCTAAGGAAAGCTTTCCAGTTGACAAAGACCCACTCGAAACTACTGGATGCAAGTCACGCGATTCAAGGTCACTTTGGTCGTGCTCTTCGTCTGCCTCTGGAGAGCTATCGTCCTCCACAATTGGATTGACAAACAGCTCTTTCCTCAAGCTTTCAGGACGGCCATCGCTCATGTAACCACTGACAGCATCTGCTATATTCGAATAGTCAACGGACATTAGCTCAGTCCGAGGCGCCTTTCTTACTGATGACTTTCTGGGAGTTTGCGCTTTTACATATTCCTGATGTGATCTGGACATGTCAAGTGGGGCTGTTGGAGTGGATGGGGATTCTACTTCGTATTCCTTCAAATGACCGAATGAGGTATTTTCGAAATCGGGGAGTTTGATGTCTTGAAGCGAGTCCAATGTGGGTAGACGACCTTTATCATTCGTGGTGGCAGACTGGAGATCATATATCAATGAATCAAGAGGATTGTCATCATCTTCGTTAATATCACGCGACGATCTTTGATCGTGAGTGTTCCTCTCATCAACATCTTCGATTGTAGAAGTATCTGAATCTGTAGAGCTTTGTTCCCTATCAATAGTGAGCACGAGAGGTTCTGTGTGAGCAGCCGTTACCGGTGACGACAGCACCAAGTGTTCAGATTCAGTTTGGGAAGAAGATAAAGCTGAATCTTGAGCAGCCGATTCAGTACTAGATTGTGACTGGTGCTCGTTCTCGTATGCATCGCCGGTGACATCGATCTCTTTCTCGGGCCCACGAATATTCAAATCCTTTGGCTCGTACTGAATGGAGTCGGCGTCCGATTGGAAGCTGCTTTCACTTCGTGGAGTGTCTGGTTCCTTATGAGTTGAAAACGTTGGTGTCGGAGGCACCATCACGTCATCGATTGCTCTGGTTGAAACTACATGTTGCGCGGGAATATCATCCTCGCCGTGTACAATCTTCTCTGTTTCTGTCTTTTCTGGATTTCTGGATGTATCAATTGGAGCGACGGACGGTTTTCCATGAAAGTCAAAATCACTATCACTGCCTCTTGGAAGCGAAGTCAGGGAAAGCTTGGGAGTCTCAAGAGACACGTCTGAGTCTGAGCCTAAGTCAGAGTCTTCTTCTCTATGAATTTGGTCAATAGAAAGAACAAGATCTGAATTTGGGGAGGGATCTTGAGCGTCCACAGCAGGTTCGGAAGAGTGAGATTTATCGTCGTTGGATCCATAATCGTAGTCGTAATCATCGCCATCCCACTCCTCACCATAGCTGGGCACGCTGGCGTTTGCCCACCGGGTGGATTTATGACGGCCAAAACTATCAGACATGTTCTTGAACTGCTTTAAAATCGCGTTCTTGTATTGACACCAGTACACCAGCTTGTAGTCTAGAGTGCAAATAATAGGAGAAGGAAGCAGTGACTAGGAGCAATAAATTATGGACCATCCATTTCTAATAGGCTGGTTTTAAATCGTGGAATGTTCCATTCGTGATTTTTTCTTGATTTTACACATTTAACATATTGCCCCAATTTTGCAATATCTGCATTTCGTGCAGCCTCCGCATTCCGGTCCGGTTCGGGTTTCCTCATTACCCGCACAATAGATTTTTTCGATAGCGATGAAAGCAGGAGAGGCTTAGTTTTATCTAGACAATCAGTTATTTGCAACAGCGCGTTCAGGGCCGAGAAAAGTTCGTACAACTGGTATATTAATCAATTAGTCACCCTATTGATACTATACAAACCAAGCTCTCGCTTCAAGAACTAAATCTTCTAACCCTGAGTTATCATCTAGTGGAAGCCGATCTCGCAATTCCGTTTTTGTAATAAATTTTTGAGATCGCAGCATTCGTTTTTTTTTCACTCCCGATCCCGATCCCGAACTCTTACCTCCCGAACGTGCATAGCACTATAAAAGCACCATGTCCTCCCAAGATCGACGCAGCATGATTATACCCACGGCATTTAATTCAGCATGCAAAGCTATGTCTTTTAAAACCAACGTGTTGGTGGTCGGGGGCTCGTACGCTGGCCTCTCAGCAGTCAAGAGTTTTCTTCTCCAAGCGAGAGCTAGGTTTCCACAAGGAAATGGAGAAAATAGTCAAGGAATCTCGATCACGCTTGTGGAGCCTCGAAGCGGATTGCTCAATGTCATCGGAATTCCCAAGGCTATAGTGGACAACGACTTTGCTCGAAGCCAATACATTCCATTCGATAAGCTTCACGACTTGAGCTTTGATAGCACGTTGAGCAAGGACGAAATCCTCGTGAAAATGATGGACGAATGCGCTAACAACGATCTGGAGGGCCACAAACCCAACAAATACTACGGCATTACACTCAACTATATCCATGGAAAGGTCACCAACCTAGACGTGAACACTGCAAAATATGAGCTAGTAGACGAACACACGCAAAGCACCGAGGAAAGTACCATAGACTTTGATTATGTCGTAATGGCTACTGGAAGAGACCGTTCGTGGCCCACCACTCCCAAGGCATACACCATGGATTACTATGCAAAAGAAATGAACCACGCCAGAGAACAGTTTTTGAACCATGATATTGTGACCATAATTGGCGCTGGAGCGGTAGGTATAGAGATGGCTGGTGATATTAAGCACAAATTTCCAAATAAAACCGTCCGACTCATTCATGCTCACGCATTGTTTCCTCCAGAACCTTTAAAGGACGATTTCAAAAAAATGATATACGACTCACTCGTTCGGGGTGGAGTTGAAGTGAGAGAAAACGTTCGTGTCAAAGAAGAATTGGAAAATGGTGATTTGATCACCACTAACGGCGAGACCATAAAATCATCCTACAATTTCTGGTGCAATTATCACCGTAACAATTATGAGTTTCTATCCCCAGAGCTCCAGAAGACATATGTCACAGAAAAGCACGATATCACCATCAACAATTACCTTCAGCTCTTCCATGAGCCAACCAAACAAACCGTACCTCACTTCTTTGTGCTCGGAGATTTGGTGGAACTTCCCATCATCAAGTCTGCTGGCTGGGCCATGTACATGGGCCGGCAAGTTGCCAACAACATTATGAACTTGATCTACAACGGACTGCTTGTAGAACCCCTCCCAGACCTTGCAAGTATCCCAAGGGGAATGGTACTTGTTGGTGGATCCGAAGACATCGTTTCCGAGCTAGCAGGAGAGGTAGAGTTGAACCATGCTGGCTACGTTCAAGAGTACAAGGATTACTGTGTAGGAAAAGTGCGTGCTACCATGCAAGTGTAGCATAACAACAGCTATAAATAACATACTAATTAACATTTCGTATATCTGCCGACGTGCCTGGCTCAGTCTTACCATCGCCCTGCGCGCCCTGCGCCTCGCAGTACCGGTGGTAGGATGGGTCGAACAAATTGTTGACACAACAGATCACACCGAGTTATTAATTCGGGAATGTCTTTCAATGGCGCAACCAGCGGTGATTCGCTACTGCTTCCTGTACCGGCGAATGTGAAAAGAAAGAGAGGCCTATCACTTCGTTCTCAGCTTCTCAACAAATCACTTTGGACACATACTGATATCAACGATGATCCAAAGTCTAATAATAGATCACTGAAAAATAGCGATGGTCTGATCCAAAACATAGAGCTCGATGTCATGGAGGAAAACAGTGGACCAAACACAACTCCTCATATAAATATCATCCACGACGATGAGGAACTTAAAGACTACCAACCATATAACACTCTCAACTCCAACATGAGCAGATCTACCACCCAACTAACCTATGCTTCTTCCCGTTCTGACCTCACCTCGATCGGCTCCAACACATACCTAGGTCCTGGCCCTCGGTACCGCCGACGCAATCGATTCTACAAATTCATAAAACGCATTCTTGGACAGAACGATCTACAACCCACCGAAAATGGTCGTATTATTCCTTTGAGTCTTAACAAGAGTGACGCCAACTCCTACTTTCTGCAAGAATTCTACGACACTTACAACAAGTCATACTTGGATGAAAGAAGTGGTGAACCATACTGCTCAAATCTCATAACTTCATCCAAATACAACATCTATACCTTTTTGCCCTTACAGCTCAAAGCGCAGTTTTCCAAAATTGCAAATTGCTACTTCATGGTAGTGGCAATAATGCAGATGATTCCATCATGGTCCACGACCGGTAAGTTCACCACGATTGTTCCCTTGTTAATCTTCATGTCGATTTCGATTGCAAGAGAAGGCTTCGACGACTGGAAGCGTCACGGCCACGACAAAGAAGAAAACAACAAGTTTACCACCATCATAGAGGAAGACAAAGATCTTTCATCGTTCGATACACACTCAGTCACCACCATTATGACAGAAACCATGCAAGTACCTCCATTAAACTCGGCTCTTAGATCCAATCAAATAACACCCGTGAACTCTAATGAGCAAGAAGAAATGCACTATACCCGGCGCCAGGCCATGAAGCGCTACAATTTGAAGGAGACAAAGACCCCCTGGAAACATCTCAAGGTTGGCGATTTCGTAAAAGTACGAGAAGATGAATGGTTTCCAGCTGATGTAGTCCTCTTATCGACCAGCGAAAAAACGAACGAAGCGTTCGTAGAAACGATGGCATTAGATGGTGAAACCAACCTTAAGCCTAAGGCACCTCATCCAGAGCTTGAAAGCATATATTCATCTGTCCCAGGACTTAAAAATAACAAAAGCATTATCACCGTTGAGGATCCCAACACAGACCTTTACAATTTCGAAGGAAGGTTTCAAAAAGATGGAACAATGTACGCTTTGGGGCTGGACAACGTTGCTTATCGAGGAAGTATTTTGCGCAACACCAAGTCTGTTATTGGTGTGGTAATATTCACAGGCGAAGAAACAAAAATACGAATGAACAACATCAAGAGACCACGCACGAAGGCACCTAAGCTTCAGCGTAATATCAACTACATTGTCATTTTTATGGTGTTTGTGGTACTAATGTTATCCTGTTTTTCCATGATGGCACAACGTCTTATGTATGACTGGCATAAAGTCAGCGACTGGTACTTATTTGGACAAGATGCTGGAGTTGCTCCAACTTTAATGGGTTTCATCATCATGTACAACACATTGATCCCACTTTCATTGTATGTGACTATGGAAATTATCAAGGTGATGCAACTTCTTTTCTTGCAGTTTGATATCGATATGTATCATGCTGAATCTAATACGCCAGCAGATGCGAAGACAGCAACAATCTTGGAGGAATTGGGCCAGGTAAGTTTTGTCTTTACAGATAAAACAGGTACTCTCACAGACAACAAAATGGAGTTTAGAAAATTTAGTGTTTGCGGTGAAAGCTGGCTCCACAACTTGGACTTGTTAGCAAACCAAGACGCCATTGAGCCAAGTGACCATCAACCATCGAGCGCAGAAAGAGCTAGAACGAGCATGGATGTTGTGTCTCTCAATTCTCACACATCCTATCGCTCCACAGCAAATCCTAACGAAAACCAAGAGTACAAGACTTCACTTCAGCTTCTCAAACATCTCCAATTGAACCCAAATACCATTTTTTCAAAGAAGGTCAAATTCTTTTTATTGAGTATTGCACTTTGTAATACCTGTTTACCACGAAGCAGTGCAACCGAATCTTCTAATTCTAGTCGCAACAGTTCCATGGAAGACATATCAGAAATACCCACCAATAATAGTGATGGTTCTATCGAGTACCAAGCAGCGTCCCCCGACGAGCTTGCTCTTGTGAAAGCTGCAAGGGACTTGGGGTATGTAGTCTTCGACAAACAAGCAAATACGCTTACAATTAAGACTTATCCAATGGGCTTTGAAAACGATGCAAGGCTAGAAACATACGAAGTGCTCAACATTGTTGAATTCACATCGTCACGGAAACGAATGTCTGCCATTGTGAGATTCCCTGACCAGCGGATCTGCTTACTTTGTAAAGGTGCCGACAATATCATCATTGAAAAGTTGAAAAATAGCCAGATGGTCCAACAAAAAGCCAAAGAGATCTCTCAAAACTCAGCTGACAGAAAAATCATGGAGGCAGATATCGTTTTGCAGTCGCGATTTTCAAACGAATTAGAATCAAGAAAATCGTTGAGTTCTCTACGACAACGATTAAGTTTTGATAGCTTGCGAGATGGACAGGAGCGGGCCAGAACCATGAACTCAATTGATAACTTCTTACTGAACAAAGACGAAGGAGAATTAACTGAAGTAGCATCTCAGCACCGAAAATCATTACACAACCAGCAAGTGAAAAAGTACAGCTTAGACATGCTGAGAGCGAATAATGAACAGACTGCGAATACTGACAGCAGTACCGACAACCAAGCATTCTCAGTTCCTAATGACAGGCTAGTACTTCATGAGGAATACGTTGCAGAACGTACTTTGCAGCATATAGAGGAATTTTCGACTGAAGGCTTGCGTACGCTTATGTATTCCTTCAAATGGCTCGACGAAAAAGAATATGAGACGTGGGCCGACAAGTATGCATCGGCCAAAACTGCGTTAACAGATAGAGCTGCACTTGTGGAAGAGGTTGGAGGCGAAATCGAGTATGATCTAGAACTATTAGGAGCCACTGCTATTGAAGATAAACTACAAGATGGTGTGAGCGAAGCTATCGAGAAACTAAGAAGAGCCGGAATAAAGCTCTGGATGCTAACAGGTGATAAGAGAGAAACGGCAATCAATATAGGATACTCTTGCAGGCTCATCAAGGACTACTCTACGGTGGTCGTTTTGTCCAATGATGAGCCTCGAGATACGATCGTGCAGAGAATCACGTCCGCTACCTCAGAAATACAAGCAGGCAGAGTGGCACATTTTGTCTTGGTTATTGACGGCGCTACTTTGGGAGAACTTGAATCAGACAGTACAATCATGACACTCTTTTTTGAGCTTTGTGTTCTTGCCGACTCTACAATTTGCTGTCGAGCATCTCCGTCGCAAAAGGCAAGCATGGTGAGTTCGGTTCGGGATTTGAACAAGCGAGCTGTGACTTTGGCAATTGGCGATGGAGCAAATGACATTGCAATGATCCAAAGTGCCGATATAGGAGTTGGAATTACTGGAAAGGAAGGTCTTCAAGCAGCCAGATCGGCCGATTATGCAATAGCTCAATTCCGGTTCTTGCTCAAGTTGCTTCTAGTTCATGGTCGATACAACTACGTCAGAACTTCCAAGTTTGTTCTTTGTACCTTCTACAAAGAGCTACTCTTCTATTTGACGCAGGCACTTTATCAACGAAACACGTTGTTTTCGGGCTCATCATTGTACGAAAGTTGGTCTTTGTCCATGTTCAATACCTTGTTTACTTCCCTTCCCATTTTATGTATCGGCATGTTTGACAAGGACCTCAAGCCTGCAACATTGATTGCAGTTCCCGAATTGTATGCCAAAGGCAGGGAGTATCGTGCATTCAATTTGAGAGTTTTCGTCGCTTGGATGTTCTTGGCTGCTTTCCAAAGTGTTGGAATATCGTTCATCTCGTGGTATATATGGGGCTTCACTGCGCTACACGACAACTCCGTGTTACCATTGGGCACCATGATGTTTGCAGCGTTGACCATTATCATAAATGCCAAGATCACCTTGATAGAGATGCAAAATCGGCAGTGGTTGGCTTTTGCCTCATTTATAATCTCAGTGGGAGGTTATGGCTTGTGGAATGTGCTTATCATGTTCTTGTATCGGTCAAAAGATTCGCCCATCTTTTTCGTTGCTTACGGTCTCTTAACTTTTGGCTCTGACGCTAGCTGGTGGGCCGGATTATTGATCTTATTCACCATTCCACTTTTGTTTGATATCTTTTTGAAGGTGTTTCTCTTCTCAGTTAGACCGTCAGATGACCAAATCTTCCAAGTATTCGAGAGGAATATCGATCTCAGAAGACTTTTCGAGCAGAAGGCTATTAAAGAGCTAGCACCTGGGTGGACATATCCAAAAGAACTGTCTATCTGGCGCAAATGGTGTGTGAAGGGTATCAACAGGGTTCGCAAAGTGTTCAATATGGACCCATTGCATATAAAAGAGAAGGAAGAAACACTTATCTCACTAAATGAGTCAACTTCTCAGCGAAAGAGAGCCGGTACCAACCCCAATCCGACGGAACTTCCACCGGGTAGCGGAGGGGAAGCTATACGAGTGGCCGATAGAGACCTCGACATGTCAGATTACGACATACTTCCCAGTGGAAAAATGGTTAAGATTGCTAACTCCAATCCTGGTATGTTGAGCAAGATCGGGCGAAGATTCGGAAGCGGTGAAAATGTAGACGAGATTATAGCCCACCGGTTGGAAAGTCTACGCAAGCAGGAAGAGGGGGATTACTAAAAGTTGGAAAAAATTACAGTATTGCATCTACAAATACATCAGCATCGAATATATAGCATATGCAAAATGTAGCCTGAAATCGTTCTTGCACCCATCCTACCTGCACATGCTATTACCTACCGATTGCGGAGAATCTTGAAAATGCGGAGAGATTTGGTCCTCAACTTCAAAGTCCAATGTCAGAACAAAAGCACATAGTGATAGTCGGAGCAGGGGTTATTGGGCTCTCTGCCGCCTTAGCCATATCGGAACACTTGACGATACCTCATAGATTGACTATAATTGCTTCTCATTTTCCAGATGATAAAGTATATGTTCCAGAGTACACTTCACCTTGGGCAGGAGCTCATTTCCGTCCCCAACCAGCTACAAATGAGGCCCAGAGAAGAGAAGCAAAGATGACGAGGGTTACACAAGCTTATTTCAAGAAATTGGCAGAATCAAATCCCGAATCTTCAGTGAAATTTGTCGAAGGAATCGAGTACTTTGATGAACCATCTGAAGATTACCTCAATTGTAGTGGAGGATATTCTCAGGATATAGATAACTTCCAGATTCTTCCAGACCACGACCTTCCTCCAGGGGTCTCTTTCGGAACATCTTATACTGCCTGGGTGGTCAATGCACCTTTGTACATTCAGTTCCTTCAAAGAAAATTGAAGATGCAATACAATGTGCAATTTGTCAAAGCAAAGATCAACAGCTTGAAAAACTTGTTCCATCGTATTGAGGACTGTTCTGTTTTGGTCAATTGCACAGGATCGGGACTTCAGTACCATGGAGGCTACGATCACCTGAGCTTTTCCATTAGAGGTCAGACCTTACTTGTAAGGCCACCAAAAGACTATAGTCTGGACAAGACCATTACACACCAACTGAAGAATGGTGATTGGACCTTTTGCATTCCTCGTCCATTATATGGAGGCGTAATAATTGGTGGTACGAAGCAGGTCAATGACAATCGCAGCCAGCCTAGAGAAAGAGACAGTATCGACATCATCAAAAGAGCGAGAGAACTTTTTCCAGAATTAATGAAATCTAAAGGAAGAGGCGAAAAATACTTTGACGTGGAAAGGGTAAATGTTGGGTTCCGTCCTTGTCGCAAAGGTGGCTTCAAAGTGGAAATCGAGAATCACGGCGACAGTGTCATAATCCATGCGTATGGAGCAGGTGGTATGGGATATGAACTTTCGTACGGTGCTGGTATGAAAGTATACGAATTAATGTCGCAGTTACTTACTAGAACTAGACTATAGTTACATTAGTTATGTTAGAGAGTAATATTAAGTTTATGCTTCAATGAAGCGGAACAAAAATGTAGCAAAGGTGGCCGCTGCAATAAAGAAACAGATCATATTTGGCCCAAACTTGTCGCCATACATTACTGCCTTCTTTTCTCTGATCATAAGTACTCTCCAAACGTATCTGTAAGTCGAATAGATCATGGTGAAAAGGGCAGCGATAAAGAAGCCAATTGAAGCAGTGATGGTAGAATTACCACCATAAGTAAGTAAGGTTGTAGCAGTTGCACCCAATATCATACCAATGGAGAGCCAACTCAAAAAGGTTCTTTCGTTTGCAAAGTAGACCTTTGGTTCAATTCTAACTGGAACACAGATCTTTTTGCCCTTTGGAAGTTTATTTTTGAAAGTCTGGTTCAAGTCGTAGTTTGTACCAGGCTTGACGGTGAAGGTTCGGTCATCATTGAAGAAATGTAAGAACTGTCCATAGAGGTTGTAGAAGAAATTTGCTAGAGGAGAGGCACCATCTCTAGTACGATAAGTCGAAGGGAGCAACAAGGGAGTCGACTCATCCAAGTCTTCTTCCAAGGGATTGATATCATTGGAGAAGTGAACATGACTTCCGTATCCGCCATTCAATTCACCATGGTCCAACAATTCTTCTTCATCCATCTCACCTCCCGATGAAGATGACTTGATTCTTTGCTGCTGTTGTCTCATAATTCCATATTCTTCTTGAACCTTGGGTTTTCTAATATCAACTTCCATCTGGGGCAACCAGAAAGGAAGTAAATTCACGTAATCAGGAAGCAAACTAGCACCTCCGTGAATGAATTTGGAAAACTTTGGAACTGCCTCCACCAAATGACTTGCTACCAACTCTCTAATCCAGAGAGGAGGTTCTTGACCCAATTGCGTTTGCAACTTCACTTCAAGAACAGCGTATGGGAAACGACAAACATCACGATCTGGTAATTGGGGGAATGGGTAGTCTACACCAATATCCATGCGTCTCCAGTTACCATTTGTTCTATCATGTCCATCAAAATTGTCTTCACGCACCATGGTCAACTCAGTATCCAAAGAGATACGAACTCTAGCATCACCAGGAAGTTGAAAGGCGGTTCTGTTGTAGAACGATCTCATGACGGGACGCATTTTATCCTTAATTACTCTGTACTGAACTTCTTTGGCCAAACGCTCCAAGTTTTCGATCTCTTGAGGAGACTTCTTACCTTCTTTTCTTTGCTTTTCAAAAGCTTGAGAGGCGGTAAACTTACCGGATAAAAAGTCGTTCACCTTTTTCTCTTTCAACGCAAATCTTGCCTTGACAGACTTCTCACCGGTCCAATCTTCACGATGTGTCTTTCTTTCAACGAAGATCTGCTCGGATTTCATGCCACCATACCATCTCAATCTAATAGCCTCGGCACCTTCATCCTTTCTCAATCTACCGTAGTAGAGGTCCATATCCTTATTGTCAAAGTAGATCGAGGTGATGGCACTATCTTCCGGCTCAAATTCCTTCTCAGCATTGAAAACAAGCACCGGCAAGTGTTTCAAGATAATAAGTTTCAATTCGGTGATATTATCGGGATGTACCCAATACTTTGTAGTTTGACGAACAAAGTTCTGCTGCGCACCACCAGCGGCAGAGTTTCCCTTGACAGGATTTCCTCTGGTCCGAACCAAGTCATACAACTTGGACAACTTCACAATGAGGTTATCATAATTGTCCTTGAAAAATGGTTTGGCATTCAAACGCACTTGAAAAATTGGCTTCAAGTGGAACTTGGTGGTTTTGTCATGTTTCTTGACAATCTTCTGGAAACCAGTGTAATTGAGTCTCTCAAATTTGGCCATATCATGGACATCAGCTATAATGTCAGACAATTCATCCTCCAAATCCTCAAAGTCCTGTTCTTGTGGAGTAGGAGCAGAATTTTTGTTTTGAAGGGCACCCACTACTTCGTACACATACTTTTCAGCATCCTTAATACGACGGTTTACTTCAGTGTTCTTGACCTTGGTGAATGAATAAACTTTATCCAATTCCTGTTCCAACAATGACAAGAATTCTTCTTCCAATTCATTTGTCCACTGCCCATCGTTGTCCTTGAGACTTTTCTTTAATTGATGCTTCAAATCATCATAGGCAATGTAGTAGAAGCTATAGTTGCGGATCAAGGAGTGCCGTAAGTGCTCACCAAACTTCATGATGAAGATTAATTAGTTGGTTCCCAGCGTCCCAATTAACCACGAGTGCCCTGCGGCTGAGAATTGCACTCCACGTGGGAGATTCGACCCCGTAAAAAAAAGTCGCTATCGAAGAACCTGCAGATAACTTTGAAACATTCAAGGTGCTGTCACACGATGCTAGCAAACAATAAGTGTCAGAGGCATTTAAACTATACATGATTCGATATGGGCGCCAGTTTTGTGCACGGAAAGTGCTCGGTTTCCGTTACAAGTCAGATTTCTCTCACGTAGTGATTGGTGGAGGAATTGTGGGTGCTGCTATAGGAGCCGAGTTGCAACTAGTGGAAATGAACAACGTGCTCTTATTAGAGAGACATGGTCAATTGGGCATGGAAACTACGGCCCGAAACTCAGAGGTGATACATGCGGGGATATACTACCCTAAAGACAGTTTAAAGGCCCAATTGTGCATAAAAGGTAAAAGTAAAATCTATGATGCTTTTAAAAAAGGTACTTTTTCATCCGTACAAGTGCCGTTTAAAAAGTGTGGAAAGTACGTGGTGGCTCAGGATGAACAAGAATACGAGTATCTTCAACAGTTGCATTCGAGATGCCAGGATTTGGAAGTTCCGCTGCGACTTGTTTCCGCTAAAGATGTACGGGATTCCTGTGCACTTATTGAGGCAAAACACGGAGCATTAGAATCGCCAACCACAGGCATCATATCGGTACACGATTACACACTCTTCTTTCAAACACAGTTCGAAAATGCCGGAGGAACTCTAGGGTTGAATTCTGAGGTCGTACATATTGATTATAGCCATGGGTCATACACACTACAGATCCGAGAGGCTGACTCCGATGATTTATTTGAAATCACCACCGATAACCTAGTCAATTCCGCTGGCTTACACGCACCCAAAGTATCGAACATGCTTTTGCCCAGCGATAGACACTTGGGAACCTATCTCGCAAAGGGTTCATATTTCAGCTATCAACCTGAAAATCACATTTCAACCAAGAGCATCACCAATAAGCTCATATATCCATGTCCCAATCCAAACGCAGCCTCTTTGGGAACGCATTTGACTTTTGACCTAGGTGGACAACTTCGTTTTGGTCCTGACCTTGAGTGGCTCAATTGTCATGAAGCTGATAGCATTGACTACGCAGTTAGCACTGAGAACGTGGTGCCTGCGTATGAAGCGATAAAGAGGTATTTTCCCATGATCGAACCAGGAGACTTGCAACCAGCATACAGTGGTATCCGCCCTAAAAACTTGTCACAGGAACAAAGTAGAGAGGCATTTTCTGACTTCATCATTCGTGAAGAGGAGGGTTTCCCCGGCTTTGTCAATCTTCTTGGTATAGAAAGTCCAGGCGTCACGGCATCTTGGGCAATTGCGGAATATGTCAAAGGCATCTATCATGCGTGACTATATTTTACGTCTTTTCGACTCACTTTCCTCTTTGTCCTTCTTCTCCGTTTTCTTGGGTAATTCTTCAGGGGGAGTGGGAAGCGGCAGCTCAATGAAATACTCATGAAGAAGAGCCTTCACCAGGTCACAGCGCCTGCTGGGGTCAAGCTGTGTCATCGAGATCATTAAGTCTAGGGCCTTCTCTGTCGCAGCACTAAAGCGTTGTCTCAATTCTTGTTTTGATGGTGGAGCATAAACCTTCAAGGCATTGTAAACGGGAAGGCTGGAGACATTAGGCCATATTTGCTCTGTTGGTGTACCCAATGCTCGGAACGTGACGTCTAGTTGGTCCAAATCATCTTTGCCTGGAAGGTATGGAGTACGTAACATTAGTTCAGCAAATATAATCCCAATAGACCATATATCGATGGCTGCAGTATAATGCTTTGCTCCAAAGAGAAGTTCTGGGGCTCTATACCACCGTGTAACCACATTAGCAGACAAATCTTCGTTGGCATTACCTAGCGACCGGGCGAGACCGAAATCCGCAATCTTTAATTGTCCATCAGGAGCAATCAATAGGTTATTGGGCTTCAAGTCTCGATGCAAAATGAAATTTCTATGACAGTGGTGTATTCCTCGAAGGGTCATGAGGAGCCATGACTTGATATCAGCCGACTTGAACACAATTGAGGTATCTTTGATGAGAACTTCAAGGTCAGCAGGAAGAAATTCCAATACCAAATTCAAATTATTGGAGCTCAGAAACACGTCGATAAGTTCTATTACGTTGGGATGTTTGAGTTCCTGTAAATATTTGACTTCTCGCAAAGCTGACATGTCTAAACCATCTTTGAATAGACCTGTCTTGATCTCTTTAATGGCTATTCTTCGCCTAGTATCAACCTGCTTTCCCAAATATACGACGGCATAAGTTCCCTCACCTACTTTCTTTTCTTTCAGATAACGCTGAGGAACTGGAGCTGACAACGCCGTGGCCACAGAACTAGACATCACTATCTCTTACTTTCGCAGCTCGAATTCTAAAATAGTTGAGAAGTTGAGACCTCATTGCACCCGTACAGGAACAAGGTCTACATTATAAAATGTATGCTATTATTATATGCGTAAATCAAGCTAATGTAGTATTAAGAAAATGATTAGGTGACTTCAATCGTTTCCTGACGCAGCCACCGATTCCCACTGAGCAAATACATACCAACTATTGCCGGCATCGCCAATGACTAGTCCTCGGTAGATACCTATTTCCTGGCACTTTATGTTGACTTCGTAGGAGCTGAAAGGTAGATTTGGACTCGTCTTGACAAGTTTGAAATACTTGCCCGATGGTGACTCAATCACCAATCGGAATGACTGATTTATGAGTCCCGTACCACTATTGACGCCTGTAGAGGGATGTTGCAACACTTCGAAATTAAATGAGTTTTTAGCAAAAATTCGTCCTGTTTGCGGCAGCTTAACGTACAAATCATTGTTCTGGCTTTGAACTGTCGGGTACCTGGGGACAAACTTGCACGGCTTGGATATACCCAGATGGCATAAAGGTATGACCACTGCCAACTCATGCACATTGTTGAAATGCTTCTGCAAACCTTTAGGACCAGCGAAAATTTGCAACACTCCCACGGACTCATTATGTGGAAGAACAGCTTTAATTTTGGCAAAGCGAGAATTATTGACCCAGTAAACTTGGCACAAGCATAGTTCATTAGTCGTGATTTTGGAAGTCTTCACCAAGGTGAATAACTCAACGTCCAATGGAATTTCAAGCTCAAGCTCCATGATCTCGAGGTCTTTCAATTTCGTTAGTGCATTGTTAAAATTTCTGAACTTGATATGGTTTTTGTAGAAGCCAGAATATATTCTCGGGAGATAAAATGCAACACTGTGATCGATTGGGGGGATAACATGCTGTGCCTCTATTATGGAAGGAATGTGAGTGGAAACTAAATTAAGTGGTTTCGCCAAAAAGTAGTATTCATTGAATCCTGTTGGGGCATTTTGTAAGTTGCAATATGTGCCGTTTTTGAAACAAAGTATATCCATCAACAAGTATTGATTGTCCACTAAAATCGATAACCATGAATGGTTGATAATGAATTGCTCATCATGATAGAACTCGTTTGGCTTTTTCCAAAATCCTAAAACGAGCTCCGATGGGATTCTTAATGCATCCAAAATTTTTTTGAACAAGTAATTAATTTGGTAAATGGATGCTTCACCTTTGTGCAAAACCTCTGCTAGTTTAGGCTTTGCTTGGGATATTTTGTTAGGCTCGGAAAATACTTTAAATCGACAAAGATGAAGTAAAACGCAGCGGATTTGATTAATCTTTGAGCTGTTGAACTTGACACTAACATCCGAAATGATCTCATTGAGATCACTGGTATGATCGTAGTGGGACATGAAAGTTTCAACCTTGCTGAAGGACATGTCTTCAAAATTTATGTTTGAGCCTTCTTTCTCGTCAGTGGTCTCATTAATGTTGATGTCAGAAACGTAGTCCAAAGGCTTGATGATAACGTGATTTTCTTCTCTAGTAACTCGCTTAGTACGAGCTTGCTTGTCTTGCGAAGTCAATGAATTTGCACGATTAAGTTCTGTTTTGAAGGTAGCCCAATCTACTGGTTCCTCTTTGAGAAATTTCTCTTCCAATGGATTGATGTCATCCTTTTTCTTTTGCAATAACTTTTTGAAGATATTGGGGTGACGAGACTTCTTGTCTTGAAATATCGATTCCATTAATTCCCTATTCTCCGAAGAAAGTTGCCTATTGTGCAGTGGGCTCTTTTCGATCACCAGCTGCCTCTCCTTTTCGTACTTGTGTCTCACAAAGGAGCCAGCACTTGTGGCACTGAGTTCTGAAAGGTTCAAGACGTCGCTCTGCAAAGACTTGATCGAATTTTTCAACTCTTCCAGTTCCATTTGCGACAATATAAACAAGTCTTCATCACTCAAAACTATCTTTCCTGAGCCGTTGCCCGAGAATTTGAAATCGTCTGCATCAAACGGAACCCGCTTCTGTACTGGGGACTCTTCGAAGTTGGACTCATAAACGCGTGAATGCTCTGGACTAGTTCTCGAGATTGAATGTTTTGGAGGTGGAGGTGGAGACTCCTGACTAGAATCGCAAGACCCATCGTTGTCTTCTTCTTCCATAGAGAATTTGTGGCTCAAATTGTCTCTGGAAACAATGTTACGCTTTGAAGAAAGAACATCTTCACTCACATAACTTGAGTCGAACGAGCCTTCGTGGTTCTTGTACTTGAATGGAGATTTTGGAGATTTCGATTGTCTTTTAGACTTTTCGATGAGCTTCAATCTCTCGAGTTCTAGCTCGAGTTGTTGTCGTCTTATGCTTAAATCCAGGAGATCGGGATCATCGATTTGTTCAGTTTTGTAATGACGAGCTGATGGAGAATGTTCTGGAGACAAAGACTCCACAGTATGGTTTTTCTTCCTGTAATTTGGTAAGTCAGAGAAGTGGTCTCGATCACGTCTGCCCAGTTTGGTGGGACTTGAACCATTGGAACTGTAGTCGACCCTGTAAGGTGAACGAGAATTATACGGTGGAGTAGCAGGCTCTTTACGATCACCAGACTGACGAGATTGGATGTTTCTTCCATCACGTCTATTATAGGTATTTCTTTCGTGACGCTGGTGGTACTCATCAAGGGAAATCATTGAATGGCGATTGTTAGCCGGACTCGAATATGAGGTGTCTCCTCTCGATTTGGATGCATACTTGTTCCTCGAAGCTCTCCCAGGACTAGCCCAGCTTGGGAGTTCTGCACTATTATCATAGCTTTCGTATGTTCCCAGTCTCGACAGCAGCTTGTAAGGGCTTTTGGACCGTAAATCAGGTTTCTGAGCCAATGAAGTTTCCGACGTGGAATTGCTCATATTAGACTCCATCACCTTAACATATTCCTTTGGAAAGATACCCTCGGCACCATTTCTACGCAATTTTCCACTCCACCAACTATCATCAACAAACAGGTACACTTCAACTACCTCATTTTCTAAGAAACCCAAATCACCCTCTTCTTCGCCTGCCCAAGAAACTACCACCTTTGCCTTAAAAGGAAGGGTTGGAGGCATGATGCAAGAATGAATTAACTAATGAATGGAAGCCTCGCAACAATAAGTTGCTCCGCTGATGTTCCCAAGGAAAAAAAAATGCCAGGAATAGTTTGCAATTGCAGATTTCTATAATATGCTGCTGCCGAGTGCAGACAGCGACGGTTTCCCGATTCGGCCAAACACAAATAGTGCCTGAGGCGCGCGGCGGAATTCGGCTGCGAACGAAGAATGGTTCAAGGGAAGATACGAGGGTTTCAATATGATTATATTTGCGTAAATACGGCTGCTCTTCTAACTATTGCTGTTGCTGGCGTACTCCACTGACAATATCATCGACTCTGAGAAGCAAACAAGCACTTTCGATCGCAGTCTTGATCGACTGCAGCTTAATCACCTCTGGCTCCCATATGCCGTACTCGTTCATGTCCACCACTTTTCCTACTTCTCCATCAATACCGTATGTATGTAAACCTTCGGCATGTTTAGCTCTCACATTCGATAACACTTTGATTGGGTTACCTCCGCAGTTCTGAACCAAAGTTCTGGGAATAACTTCGAATGCATCGGCCACGGCCTGGTATGGCCATTGGGCTACACCTTCTATAGATTTAGCCTTTTCCGATAATTTGACACTGACTGCCATTTCCGTGGCTCCACCTCCTGGAGAAAGTGAAGGCTCAAACATCACATTACGGGTCACCGCCATGGCATCGTGTAAGTTTCTCTCAATCTCATTCAAAATATCTTTGGAAGCACCACGAAGAACTATAGTACATGCTTGAGGATCTTTGCACTCGACAAGATACGAGAAATATTCATCCCCCACCAACTCTACTTTGAAGAGTCCACACTTTGTTCCCACGTCTGATTCCTTTAAGTCTTCGACTCGGTTGACTATAGTGGCGCCGGTGACTCGGGCAATTCTATTATTATCAGATTTCTTCACTCTTCTCAATGCACTCACTCCACCCTTCAATAAGAAATGCTGAGCAAGATCACTTACACCCTTTTCGGTCAAAACTAAGTCTGGTTTGAGCAGGAGAATGTGGTCACACACTTGACGCACTTGTTCTTCTTCGATTTCCAAAATACGGTTCCAGTCTTCTTCCTTGGAAATTTCAATATTTGTCTGCGACTCACCCTTCTTGTATTCCAAAGGACAGTCAAGGAGCACCACACGGGGGTTTTCAATGTATCTTCTCATTTTGGGGTGAGTAACATCTTTGTTTAACAAAATACCGTCGAGTACCTCACTATCTTCAACGTCACCACCGGGAATCTTTTCGATTCGAGCATATCTCTTGATGTCTATCTCCTTGTTGTCTCCTTTTTGCACCGTCACCGTTCTCACCGCTCTCAAAGCCAACTGACACATCTTCTGTGACCATTTATTGATATACTTGGTGCCGATACTGGCTTTGATCAACTTTATCATAGCTTCTTCGTTTTCAATGTCCACGGGAACCGACACCTGATGTATGATTTCCAAAGCATCGCTCAATGCGTTCTTAAGAGCCTGAATGATGATCACCGGGTGGATGTTTTTTTCGATATATGGGAATGTTTGTGCCAATATTTCACCAGCCAAGATGATCACTGTGGTAGTACCGTCACCCACCTCTTCATCTTGTGTTCTACTCAATTCAATCATCGACTTGGCGGCTGGGTGTGACACATCGATCTCTCGCAAAATGGCATGTCCATCGTTCGTAAGGACAATTCCTCCCATTGGATCCAAGAGCATTTTCAACATTGCCTTTGGTCCCAAACAGGTACGGATAATATCAGCCACTGCTTTTGCTGCTGTGATATTAGACACCTGCGCTTGGCGGCCGCTCTGGCGCTCAGTGCTTGTATTCATATACACCACGGGTGCTTGCATGATGAACAGGTAATGAAGGCGAGATTGAAGTTTAGTGAACAGAAATTTTTCGCGCGGCAGTGGAGGTGCGACTGCGAGTTCAACGTTAGCACAAAGATATTTCGAGAGATATAGTAGATCAAACCACAATCAGAATTGAAACATGCAAGAGACCCGGAGTATATATGTGGCAGTGTAGAATCTGCTATTAAAGTTTTGGACACTTTAAGCGAATTCTTGGCCGATATCCACCATCTCTATACTTCCCTCTGATCTCGCTCATGTGACCCGCGCTCGCTCCATGATTGTTCCTGCTGGAGCTACTCATTAATTCTATGAACATAGTGAACGATAAAATTACATCCTTGGCAGACTTGGAAGATGTCGACTCTACAATAGCAGAGCTTCGGGGCTTGAAGACTCGAATACAGGCGGTTGTAGATAAAAAATTGGCAGATGAACCTGCAGAAGCAATCAACAGTGTACGACGAGAAACCGCCATTGAAGCTGTTAATTTCATCAAAGAGCTCACAGCAGTGGAAATAAAAGTTGCTTTGGCCAGAGTTTCTGATGTCGAAGAAAAATATGGAAAAACTGCTGTATTAGCATCGTTGGAACCGTTGCTTCATCAAAAGTTTGAATTGCAACACAACCAAATATTTCTCTCCGAAGCGGCGAAGGTAGAACAACAAATATCGCATGCCGACATAGCAGAGAGCCTGACGGGTATCAGGACTCTCATGGACGAGACTAGCTACACGGTCCCTTCAGAATTGAAGGAGCAAACGTACGATCATTTGACAAAACTTTTGCACAAAAAAGTGGAAACTAAGCGGAAATCATTGGAAGAGTCTCTCACGAAAGGCTTGAGCCACGTTAATTGGCTCTCGTCAGGAGACAAAGGTCTTGAAAAACAATTTGATTCTACCTTAATCTTAAAGGATTTCAAGCAATTGATCTCACTTCAAGCCAATACTGAAGGTCTTGGTGTACCCAAATATCCTCAAACATGGTGGGGTTTGGACATACTTCTCGGTCCGATCACTTCTCGTTTCAAATTCCACTTTGATTCCCCGAACAAGGACACAAATAAGTTGTCAAAGCCAGAATGGGCATTTGAATTCATTGAGAATTTCTTGAAGGACAACTTAGATCTTGTCTTATTGCTCATAGGCGAAACTTTCGAAAAGATGGACCTCATAGCTACCTTTGAGATCATCACCACACTACTTCAACCGGTGCGTGCCAAGGTTGTGAAGATGATGGAAATTATTAATAAGAACATCATTGCATACGAAGGTGATTCCGCAAATTCGGAGCGTACGGGAAGAATACTTTCCCACTTGATATTTGAGCTTTCTGCATTTGACCAGCGCTTGAAAAACATCTACTACTACAACCCATACACTACCTTGATCAACAAGGAGTCTGAGGTGTGGCTTGGGCTCACTTACGATTTGTTACTAGGAGAGCAAGGGAATGAAAGTGCCGGTGCAAACAATTGGATCCAATTTGAGTTGAACCTTGCGACTAAAAGATTCAACAGTGAGATCATAGAACCTGATAATTCATTTAATATTGATCTCGACTTCCTATCATCACAAATCAATACTGATACTCAGCTAAAGCCCAGTTATTCAGCATACAATTTGACTCAGTTATTTGACAGTCTCACCAGCCATTACCATACGCTCAACATCTTGAAATACCAACTCAAGTACGTTTCCAATATTCAGTTGAAACTCATTGATCTCTATGCCAGCGAGATACGCCAGAGGCTCCAAAAATTCAATCTGTCTTTCAGTCTGAAAATGTCACTCAACTTTTTGCCAAAGGGCTTGAACAGAACAATAGAAAAGGAAGCTTCTAATGAGACTTCCGTTGCCAACAGTCTCAAAGGTTTGCAGATGTTGACCGAGTTATACTGCCTGGCCAAGTACATCCGCACGCAGTTGCAGCAATGGGGTGATGATCTTTTTTTCGTGGAACTTTGTCGAGCATATCAACAAGTGTCACCTTCAACGGAAGTCAATGAAACATTGTTCGATTCAGCAATAAACGATTACGACAAGTTGCTCGAGGATATTCTTACCAAATACGAGGACTTCTTTAAGAAGGAAATCCGTACCAGTTTGAAAAGTTATGTCAATTCTTCGCAGTGGAGCCAGCCAATGGTAGACAACGAGTCAATTCCTGATCCTAGTGGTGAGCTATCCATGGTCGTTACCAACATACCAGTGTTCTTGGATTACATTCAGAGGTGTGTTTCCAAGTCTGATTACTATGTAATCGTTGACAAGATTGTATCGCTTTTATCGGTGATTTTGCGAGAGTATATCATCACCAACAATCAATTTAATTCCAACGGAGTCAAGCAGCTTCAAGTGGATGTGGAATTCTTAACGGCCAGACTACTGACAGCTTTATTACTTGATCCTCAGGCGCTGACATACACTACGCTGCTAAACAAGGATTACCTTCGCATTGCCGACTCAGTGAAATTTTTAAATGTGGTGAATCTTGAGACAGCCTCGAAATACAAACGTCAGTACGACAGGATTGGGGAGTTGCGAAGGATGTTTGACAATAATTTACAGAATTTGTCGGACCATTCAATTAGTGATCTTATCGTTAGAATTATATAATTTCCAAATCGAAATCAACGAGCCGCGCGACAATTTCAATCAAACAAACAAACACGAATAGATGTCACTCTCTAGAAAACGAGTAAGTTCAAGCTGTATCTTCTTACTAGCGCAATCTAACAGCATAGCATCACTCAGAGAATGGATATACCATCAGCGATACTGAAAATACCAAAAAAGCCGCAATAAATTACAACACAATTGGCAAGCTTCTTAGCGTCAACGAGAGCCAACAACACATAATAATACCTCGCAAGTCCAGCGGGGTTATAATAGGTCGAAGCAGCTCGTGTGATATACGACTCAGTGGAAATGACGTGTCTCTGAAGCATTGCAGGCTTTCAATTACCGTAAAGGCGCGACGTGATTATATCTATATAACCGATTTAAGCACCAACGGTACCTTCGTCAATGACGAGACATTGGGAAAGGGTACCACCAGTCTCTTGAAGAGTGGAGATAAAGTCAAATTTGCCAGAACAGGAGGCGAATTCATATTCCGTTACTCGTCCGATCCAAATGGAGCCGATGGACCTCGAAGCTTTTTTGACGATTACATTCTTGGAACTCAACTTGGAAGTGGTCATTACGCAGTGGTCAAGGAAGCACGAGACAGAGCCTCAGGAGATATAGTGGCCGTTAAGATCTTTCATCCTAATCGATCGGCGTCTGGCGATGCTGAAGAAGATGCCAAACTTCAGCAGGAGATGAACCTATTATTGTCAATTAACCACTCGAATATCGTCAAGTTTATTTCACGCTACGTGGAGCCGATAAGTCCACATGCAATGACCACATACTTGGTTCTAGAGAAAATGAACAGCGGCGAATTGTTCCAACGTATTATCAATAAACTGAAGTTGGGCCAGGCGGAAACCAAAGCAATCTTTACTCAGTTATTAGCAGGTTTGAAATACCTTCACGAAAGCAATATCATCCATAGAGACATCAAGCCTGAAAACATTTTACTTGACATCTCTCCTCGTGTCTCCCCAGATCAGAAGCAAACGGGCCCGTGGGACGAACACGAGTACGATGTAAAAGTTAAGATCGCTGACTTTGGTTTGGCAAAATTTATTGGAGAACTCAAATTCACTAACACTTTATGTGGAACCCCAGCATATGTGGCACCTGAGATTCTCAGTGACAAGCGTAACTATACAACGAAAGTCGATCTTTGGCTGAGTGGCGTCTTGCTATACGTTTGTCTATGTGGATTTCCCCCATTCAGCGAGGAACTTGCTCCTCCCAGTATGCGAGAGCAGATTCTAACTGGAAAATTTGCCTTCTACTCTCCATACTGGGACGATATTAGCGATTCCGCATTGGACTTGATAAGTTCCCTTCTAATTGTCGATCCTTTGGAGCGATACGATGTTTTCCAAACATGTAACCATTTCTGGTTTTCGGAAGACGACGCCAAAAATGAACTGGGACTGTCGATGGAAATGTCGGGAAACACTCAAAGAACGTCATTTCGTTCGGACAGTCAACCCATGAGCTTGCGGGAAAGACATGCATCGGAATTGAACGTTTCACAAAGCCGAGATATGTCGATGCAACGGCCATAAGTGGAATGGATCTGCTATATACAAGGGCCGAAGCTTATCATTGAAGCTGGGCTATAGAATCTTTCCTCGTGCGGAAAAACACCTGTAACATAGACTGTGTGGTTAACATGTCTAATTTGAAAGTCTCAGGAACTTTGTCAGTATCTGCAAACTTTTTCACTTTCTGTTGAAGGTTCAAGAGTGATTTGAGAACCTTTCTTGCACCCAGAAGTTCCTTAGTACCGACATAGGAATCAAATAGACCAATGAGGCAGGACACATCATTGCTTGCCTCCACGCCAAGTTTGAACCATTCCATAGACATGCTGAAATTTTTGAACATGTTCATTTCTAAAAATCCGAGCGATGCAAAACTTTCCTTAAAACCTTTACTCGCTGCAACTTCAAGATAATATCGCGATAATGTGGGGTCTGTAGTAGAGTAAAGCTGACCCAAATAGTAATAAGATTGTAATATGTGGCCATCGAACTCTCCTAGTTTTATGCTCTTCTCGAAATGCATTTTTGCCAAAGTTAGATTCGGTCTAGGTTTGAGGTATTGGAAGTAGTACGCCCCGAGTTTGGCATGGACTTGTCCAGCTAGTATAGTGTTGCTTTCCAAGTCCAAAAAATTCTTCCAAAATTGTTCCGCTTGAGGATAAAACTTCTTTTCGAAAGCCAAATCTCCACCCATTTTAAACACCAAGGGATGTTTTATGTTCGTGAGTTCTTCTATCAAGCTGTTTGCATACTGGTAGTCTTCTTTATTGACATCAGGCTTACGAATGGTTTCAAAAGCCAACATGGTTATTGCATCATTATTGCCTAGCTCAGCAGCTTGTTCGACCAACTCATTCTCAAGACGAGCCAAGTTCTTATTCACTGAATTGGTGGAGCTTCGTACCATTGCAAGCATCTCTTTGAATTGCATCAAGTCATTATGCTGAACATATCTCGGTAATTGAATTTTTTCTGGGCTGTCCAAATTGTCATAAATCGATTCGAGCACCGGAATCATTTTTTTGTAAGAGAGTCTGGTATTATTGTCAAATAGCATACGGTTGATTGCTTTCTTAGCAGGTAATATTGTACTTAGCGAGGGCCTGCCACGAGACAGTACTGTAGAAACACCACGAACCCATGTTCGAAGTATCATTTATCGAAGATATTTTTCGCGATAAAATGAAAAATATATATTTTATCTACTTTGCGTTGTAGTCTATGAAACTATCCACACCACCAGTGCTATGATCTTCAGGGGGAGTTTCTTCCGGAATGTATTCGTTGTCAACGGTGAATGCAAAATTTTCAGGTTGGTGAGAATCCAAACCTGGATTGTGGGGTAAGTTCTCAAGACTTGCAGATGGGCTTGCAAGTAGTTCATTGTTGGAATTGGACGGATGAAGGTCCAGCTCCTCGTCAAATAAATGGTTTTGGTCTCTATACTCCATGTTGTAGTTCTCGTATTCTGGTCCACTTGCTACTAATGGAGCTACTTCTGCCATATCGTGGCTACGAACACTGGTCCCTGAGGCAGGCGATGTTCGTGAATCCACCCCTAATGGTGACTTATCCTGCCACACATCTAGTGACTCGGTGTTGATTTGAAAGTTTCCGCTTTCATGGTTATCGTCTTGAATATCGACGAGATGCAAGTCTGTATGGTATCTAGGTGGGTGGTGCGGTAATTGATTGAGCTCCAAGATGTAAGCGTGCAAAAACTGTAATGTGCTCTTCACACCCACAAGAACATGGGGTATGGAAGTGCCACCATCATTGCAGTACGCAGTGCTAACCTGTTGGTCTTCGCTGAAGTCATCACAGATTGACCATTGGTTGGCTTCTGAATTGACGTTATTGAAAAAGAAGACGGAAAATTTGGGGGGAGCCGAAAGGCTAAGACGTAATTCGTTGCTTCCCTTGTTTATGTTATTGTCTAGTAATGAGCACGTCACAATGCTCGAGATTGGGTAGAATATTCGAAACAAAATTTTCGAGTCGTTGGCCATGGCGCTGAAAAAGTAATTGATCTCCGAGTTTTTCTTCGATAGTATCACCAACAAGTCGGCGCTGGACATGGCACCATTGAGAGTAAATGGAGAAAGATTCACAAGGGTATTTTTCAATGCATGGAAATGGTGATTACCAGTTCTTACTCGCTGCCACGAAGCTACCGAAAGGGATGAACAGTCGATGAAGCAGTACTTCTCACTGATATCAATCGGCGACGGCGGAGAGCTCATTTCAAAACGAGCCGACAGACTGGCAGAATATGGACTTGCATCGCCAGTGCTTCCAGAATCGGATTTTTTACCCATCCGCTCAAACTTTCGAAGTTTGGCCCGTCGATTTTGAAACCATATTCTAACTGCCTTTTCACTCATATTAGTCTTTTCACTGATTTCTCGCCGCTGTTCCGGTGAAGGATTATGGTTCTGCTTGAATGCTTCCAAAAGATAGTCTAACACCTCACCCGAGGCTCGGGTTCGTTTCGAACCATTATCATCTGACATCGTGGGAACCCCTCAAGAAACCAAATATGAAAAAATGAAACCAATAAAGCTGATTATTGGAAAATGTTGGATCAAGAATAACCTGGAAAAGAAATGGTGAATTGAATATTAGTACCGGCGCTACGAGACGCAATAGCCAGTGGACTACAGTAACCTCAGCTAGTGGGTAGGAGGACACAAAGTTTGAGTCAGAGCCTGCATATATACGCACACGCGCACATTACCCAAACGGCTACATCGGTTTGTAAGTGTCGCGAAGATGTTAAGACCAGGTTGAATGGTCGCTTAACTGCCATGATGCGTTTAAACCTATAAATATTTATGCATTCAGTTACGATTCAAGTTGTTTGCGTGTTATTGCTACTCATGTTATGCTAATATAATTAAAGTATCGATGACAAGTCATAAAGTTGTTACTTATATTAATCCATCATTAGCATATACTATAGCTTTATCCACAACTTTCTTGAGAAATCTTAACAAGATGAGCGGCCATAAATCGTAAGATTCAAAAAAATGGTGAATTGCGAGGAACTCATACGATTATATGGAATGCTGTGGTGTGACCCATGCTTCTTGAAAAGTTGGACTCGTAGGATTCAACGAAATTACTAATGAAATGAAGTCAATTGTGCTTGGAAACAATGATGTGACACTGGTTGTGTACATTTGACACTACTGTGTTGGAAATAGTGAGGGTTGTTGGCAAGTTTTTGAAGCAACATAATTGCTATAAAGGTCATCATGTCATTATGACCAAGGGCTATTTACATATTATCCAATTATCTAAAGGATGATTCTGTCAATTGAATACGTGGTGTATCCAGAAAGCACACACTTGACACTGTGAAAGGCTCAGTTGATAGGCTACATGTTTTGCTCCGGATTCACAGTTTTGATACTGAAGTCTTAAGTGAGGAATTTTTCCTTGGTTGACAGTCAGTACAAATGGAAATAAGGAGAGCAGAACATGAGCTAAACGATTACTGAAAGGAACTGGCATTGACGCGGTTCCACGGTTGCGTGTTGCCAGAGGGCACTCATACATGCGTTTGATTCTGGGAAAGAAATGTTCAAGAATGAGTATGCTAACTCATTATTACGAGTCGACTTAGATCATGATAAGATATTGTCGATGGACGAAGAGGTCAGCAAGAAGGCTGGCAGCACCAAGTAAGTGGTGACAAGTTGAATACTTGGTATAAATTTTGCAGACATGCTGAATTTGTCAAAAGTATGAAGTATCGACTATTCAATGCCATCCATTTAATACCCTGGAACTAATGTGTCGTACCACCGACTTTGGGCCTAGTTGCAAGTCCTCTTGGTATCAGTCTAAAGATTGGGTGATATCAATTACGAACTACGAGCTCGCATGCAATTACACAGCCGACGGAGTTATTTCCGGGTGGCAAAATTCGAGATTTTATTTCAATCAAATAGCCCCGCTTCCAAGAGCCTGCGGCTTCGTATGAGCCCTCGGGTTGAAAACCCTTTAAAGGTGCGGAGATAATTCGGGTATAGACCGGACTATGCGCTAAACTTGGAATTATGAGCGCAACATTTTGCAGCCCCAAAGTCGGATATAAGATTCTATTACCTGTTGGGTACTGGTATTACTAATGGCCGCTTTACTTGACCCGTTTCTGCAGTATAAGCCTCGTCATTTGACTCTATATAAGACGGAGCCTACAGCTTTTCAGCATCAAAATGGTTCTCGAAAACTCAACACTTACACGTTTAGGCAAGTCGGGCCTCAGAATTAACCATGCAGTCGTTGGTACTATGCTTTTCAATATGCCTCCAATAGGTGACGTTGATATGGGTATTAGCGAGGAAACTTCGATTGCAATCTTGAAAAAATGTTATGATGAAGGATTGCGTACTTTCGACACTGCCAATGCATATGGAGGAGGCAATAGTGAAAAAACAATTGGAAAGTTTTTGAAACAATACAACATACCCCGTGAAAATGTTGTCATTATGACGAAATGTTTTTTACCTATGGACTTCGCACCAGGTACAATCAGTTCAAGCTTGAACTTCAATGATAGAGGCTTATCAAGAAAGCACATTTTGGACGCCGTGAAAGGTTCAGTTGAAAGATTGGGTACCCATATTGATTTGCTCCAGATTCACAGATACGACCCCGAGGTTCCAGACGAAGAAATCATGCGTGCCTTGAATGATGTGGTTGAAAGTGGTCAAGTAAGATACTTGGGTGCTTCGTCAATGAAAGCTTATCAATTTATTGAGTTGCAGCACACTGCTGAAAAACATGGCTGGCACAAGTTTGTATCGATGCAAAGCTTGTACAACTTGTTATACCGGGAAGACGAGAGGGAACTCAACGAATACTGCAAAAAAACTGGCGTCGGCTTGATTCCATGGTCCCCCAATGCAAGAGGGTTACTTGCGATCCCAACCAGCAGCGAAAAGTCTAAGGCAAAATTTGAATTGCCATTCTTACACCATCTTTTACACTTAGATGCTGAGAACGACCGCATCATTATTGATCGAGTAGAAGAAGTCAGCAAGAAAATTGGATGTTCCATGGTGGAAGTCGCTGCAGGATGGTTAGTTGCAAAAGGAGCCAATCCAATTATTGGTCTCACTCTGTTAGATGCGATAGATTCTGTTGTAAGATTGGCGACCATCAAACTTACGGACGAGCAAATCAAATACCTTGAGGAACCATATCGTCCCAAAGTTGGATTTGCCTAATTGGTATATTTTAAGAATATGAACTAGAAAATAGAAAAATTCATTTTCTAACTTTGTCTACCTAGCAGAAAACACCTCCAATACCTGTCCCTATTTGCACACGGCCAACAATCTCTCCCCAGTATGTCGCTACAAATTCATGGATGAACTGTAGGTCTGAATAAGCATATGGGTCCAATTCCATATCATAAATATCCTGGTAGGTGACTTCTATCGATAATTTTTCCTGAAGTGGGTGTCCGTCAGTATACACCACGCCGTTGTTTTCGAGTTCCTGCATTACAATGTCATTAATCATGCTGAACCACTTTCTTGTGAGTCTATGGAACGACGATACCAATTCAATAAGTTGTTGATATCTTGTAGCGTCATTCTCAGCAGAGATATCGTCTTCTTTGTCTTCGCGATTCACCGTGCCGGCACTGGCGAACCACAGGAATGCCGACCATATGAATTCTCGCCAAGACATGGGAGCGGTTGCAAATTCAAGCCACCACAGTGGTTCACCTTCGGCCAGATGAGGATCATAAAAGAGCCAGTTTTGTCTCAGCCCCGACTTGGTTGATGTCGAGGTATTAATCGAGCTTAGTTCCTCATTGGAAAACGTCGCTATTGCATTGGAGCCAAGTTGGCGTTTCTTGAGTCTTCTAAACCGTTTGTAAGCGGAGCGGAATTTTTGTAGGTCCTGACGAGTGGCCTTCAACTGATTCGCCGGGGCATTGAAGTTGGTTGCTTGACCATTGGCATAGCAAATTTTTACATGGCCAGAGTTGTCAGTCGGAAGCGACACCCCCACATCGTATACATCCTGATACATGAGGATCTCATCACTGGTAACCGTTATTATGTGGGGAGTTTTTAAAACACTATCATTTTCCGAAAGGTCATGAAGGCCCACGTTATAAATCGGTTGTGACATGGACACTATATTAGACTGAATTGTTTCAGTGTCCTGAGAAATGAGAGATATCAACGAGAGAAGGTAGGTAAAAGCGCCAGCAGTATAGTTGGACAAAATCACGGGATCATGGTGAAACAACATGATACGTTTACGCAACAAACACTGTTTGTACAATACAAACACCAATGGGCCCAAAACATCGAGAAGATCAGGCAAGGCACTTAATAGGTGGTGGTCTGTTTTGGGAGATATGGGATTTGGAGAAAGCTGTGATCCCGTTAAGCTCAGATGAAGTTCTTCGAACACCAGATAATCGTTCCAGCTCTGTAACCGCAAGAAGGTGTAGAGGGTGGAATCCAACGATTCAATATGTTCCCATCCAGTACTGATATACTCGTTTGGTTTCCATGACTTTGACACCGGATCGCAAAGAATTCCCAATGAATACATCTTGACTTTTGACCGGTCCACCGACGTTTCCGTCAGTTCATTATCACCCTCGGTCACGCTACGGTACTGACTTAGTCCATAGAGCATTTTATCGTCGTTTTTATGAACAATAAACACCGTACTGCTGTCGCATTCATGAATTCCGGAAGGTAAAGCTTTGTATTCAATACCAGAAAGTGATAATGATGGGTTACATTTGGACCATACGAGCTTGTAGCCAGTTTTTGTATCAAACTGAACCAAGAAAGTGGCCACTACCTTGGGAGATTTGTACTCGTGGAGGTTCCTTGTCATGTTGATAGGAAGAAATGGTGTGTGGAGGCGTGAGAATGGGATAAGAGTGAGGAGAGGAGGAACAGAAGAGCAAAGAGGTGAAGATATCTAGACAAGTACAATGAGAAATTGCAATTGCCACCACAAATAATTGGATTGGATAAGCCATAATTGAATTATATTGATAAAAATGTAATAATGGAACGTTGTTTGACTTGTAGAAAAATGGCCCTCAATTGACACTTAATTGATTGTGTGCTACAGCCTGTAACACAATGTTTTATTATCGGTCTGTCTATGCCCGTATTCTCAACACAAAGTTGACCACCACTGCTATTAACAAGAAGAAACAAAGCATTGTAGGACCAAAACGATCATCGTATGGACCAGATCCTCTCAACCTGATGGCTCTGGCTCTCCAGTGGTATGTGACTAAGGCGTATACCATGGTCAACATGGCAATAAATGTGAACAAACCAGCAGAGACCCTGCCAATCGAATCACCAAAGTTCAAAAGACCCACACCAAGTGACCCCAAGATGACGGTAAAGTTGAGCCATGACAAGAATGTTCTCTCGTTGGCAAAGAACACCTTGGGTTCCACTCTGGCGGGAAGGGCGATTCTCTTATTCTGACTAGACATTAGGGTTAGAAAGACGACGGCTGCGATAAATTAGAAACGTGGGTACAGGTGTGCAGGACACGGCTTCGATACATCCTGCACGGGCGCTAAGTTGAAGTTAAACATTAAATTATTTGAATAAATACTACTTGCGAGCCAATGGGATGGGGTTGGCGACAAAGTAGGAGTTTTGTTTGGTGGCCACACCGGCGAATGCGTTGTAGAAACCTACAAACGCAGTGATCACACCCATCACACCTCCGGCTCTGGTTACCCCAAGCTTGCCTGTTAAATCACCAGCACCCAATAAGATAAACGTCAAAAACAATAAGAAGAACAACGATGTGAAGGCCAAAGTAGATTTGATGGTGCAGAGCCACAACATGAACGTGAAAATTCCCCAGGCAATGAGATAGAACCCAACGGCATTATGGAATTGGGTAACATCGTCGCCGTAAGCGGCAGCAATACCAAAATTTTCGACATTGATGGCAGCAAAAGATAACCAGAATGCACCGTAAGACGTCAAAGCGGTTCCACCAAAAGTGTTTCCCACAGCCAACTCCCAAACTCCTGCCAAAAACTGCACTGCACCTCCGTAGAACGCAGCCAAACCAACAACAACATTGGGAACAGAGATACCCATGGCACGAGCGTTATACATGGACAACACAAAAGTGGTCAACGAGAAAGCACTAAGCCCCAACGGCGCTGGGTTGGCAAACTTGTTGGCAGGGTATGGAGCTAAACCAGGGTTCAACGTACCACCAAAGGCATTCATCAATTCATGCTTGTAAAATTTTTGCTTACCAATGATGACGAATTCGTCACCGTCACCAGCGGTGCGAATTCCACCAACCTCCTCGATAGAGCTGGTGTCCTTGGAATGGACGGAATCGTTAGATGAAGTCATTAAAAGATGAGTAATAAATATTTAAATAGGTGGTTGAAAAATATTGCCTGATTTGCCTTGTTAGTAGTTTAATAAATATTTGCGCATCTGTTGGGAACTGTGACTTTTTATATTATACCCACAAATTTCGTATATATATGTGCGTTGCTCAAAAGCCCCACCTATCATCGCTCAACCCCACAAAATTCGCTGGTTTCGGCTACTGCGCTCGGACTTCAATGCGCGCCAGGCGGCATTGCGGCAGGGTTTGGGCCTATATGCCGTCCCGGGCATCGACCCCACCTGAATGCGGGTGAATTCACGAGCTTGGCACGTATAATGGGCCAATAATGGCCATGCAAGATCGGGTATTCGGGATCTTACAAAGATTTGCGCTGGTGTTATAAGGGGTGGCACTATCTCCGATTACGAAATGAAGATCATTAACTATTACTAGAGGCCAAAACCTGTACCTAAGCATATTTATTAGGACAAACTATTTTTGCGCTCGGAATAGTTGTGATGACTCCGGCTGCTAGTATATATGCGCACGTGAGAGCTTCTCATCCAATAATTGGTCGCGTGGTCTAGTGGTATGACGTCTGCTTCACACGCAGAAGATCTCCAGTTCGATCCTGGGCGTGATCAAATTTTTTTAATTTTCAAGCTCTCAAAAAACACCCTGGACAGACTAATTTTTACTCTGGTGCAAATTCACACTTCAAGCAACTCCATGTCCTGCTTAATCACTTGAACCTGTTTTGCTTTACCTCCTAAGTTTCTCAGAGTGTTTCTCATCCAGAAATGGACGCGTGGTCTAGTGGTATGACGTCTGCTTCACACGCAGAAGATCTCCAGTTCGATCCTGGGCGTGTTCATTATTTTTTACTTTGCAACATTTTTTTGCAGCTTAATGTTCTTGTTCAACTATACACTTTCTATACGAGCAAACTCTCTCTTCAAGTTCTTGAACAATTTCTTACTTTTTCCAAGCGACGCACGGTGAAATACTCGCTTGAAAGTCCGCGCAAAATTCACAAACCAAGTTTCTTCTCCAGCCAACATCACTAGCAAATTCAAAATAGCAGCACCAATAATTATCCAGTATGCTCCTCTTGACATATTTGTGAGTTGCATAAGATTTCCCATCCAAGAATCCCCTTCGACCAGGAAAAGGGCAACAGAAATACCTATAGCAACAGCCACATTGAGTAAGAATGGTTTGTTCTTTGTCATTGGTTCCCGATATGGTGGGCCAGTACTCAACACTATAGCAATAAGAATATACTGCAAATTAGTGAAGAGGAAAAGAATTGAGTTATCAGAAGATTTTACCTCGTCGTCACCTCCAGGCACAGGTTTGAGATACCAAGGTTGATGTTGAACATATAACCACACAGCAATTTGGAAGAATAAAATGACAAGAATATGACAACATAATGGTATTAACACCTTGGGTGATACAAGGTTTGCTGTTGGTCTCTTTACGACAATTTTTTCATAGGGTTTGGACCATGACATGAAAATAGCCAATGGGAGAATCAAGAAAAGATCGATGTAAAGAAACTGGAAATCTCCCAAATTAGTGCCCCTCTTGTAAAGAATTGTCACGGTAATGAACTGGATGGCTGAGTACAAGGACATATACTTGAAGCAGGAAAAACTGGTGACAAGACTTGATCTTCCCTCTCGAATAACGTCCAATACACATGATATCTCGAACACTCTTGAAGTGAATGGAGCAGCCACCGAAGCTTCGGCTTCCGACAAGGATACACCAACATCTGCTGCCTTCAATGCTCCGCAATCGTTTGCTCCATCACCACAAAATCCAACAGTATAGTCTAATTTTCTGAGTTGCTCGACCAATTCGTGCTTTTCATCGGGGCTCATTCTGGCAAACACATCACAGTTCATCAAAAGCTGTTGCGTGAGGGTATTATTCCTGACTTCTGTCAACAAGTAGCGGAAAATGTCACCGGTTATAGCCAATTTATAGGACTCTGGTGTTTCTGCTCTTAAGTCCATTTCTATGGGTCTTAAAGTATACGGATCCAATTTGAGATCTGGGTCGTTCATGTTCTCCCATGTTATTCCCGTATCATTACCTTCGGTAAACGAGGGTAAGTAAATGTGTTGAACTTCTGGAGCCACAAGCTCACATTCTTTGGCAACACTAACGGCAGTCAAGATATTGTCACCAGTACACATCACGGTTCTGATTTTTGCAGCGTTCAATTTATTCAAAGTTGGTTTACTCGAGGGCTTCAATTTGTTCTCAAAGACAATGAACCCAATAAATGTGAGATTTGATTCGGCAGATTCACGTTCGAGTTTCTTGGAAGCATCGACTGTCTTGTAAGCACATGCAATCACACGATAGCCATTATGAGTATAATGGTGAAGAAGCTCGTCATAATCCGTGGGAATACTCTCTGGATTACAAATTTCAATCATGACTTCAGGTGCACCTTTGCAAAAGACATAGCCAGTATCATCTTTGGACGTTATAACAGACATACGTCTTAGGGACGCAACAAACTCAAACTCGGAGACGATCAAGTAACCGGAATGTATCTCAGATCCAGGATGAACCGCACTCTTGGAATCTTCAACGTTCTCAGTAAAGTTCCATTTAGTAAAACCAAACATCTTGACATCCAATGGATCACCAAGTAACTCTCCCTCGATGAGTCTCAACGAGTGGCATGCTGTCATACACCCCAAGAGAACTTCCTCGTGCGAAGATTTGTGAGCATTAGATTCCAGTTTGGTTGCCTTATTGTAGTCCACTTTCTTGCAAAGAGTCTCAATTTCGCTTTCCAAATCGTCAAAAATGATTTCTTTACGTCCAGTTGCGTTGTTCGCTACATGAACGCCCAACACATCTAACCCATCTTCTGTCAAAGTACCAGTTTTGTCAAAGCATAACACATCGAGTTTTCCCCCAATATTGACTCTGGTGGGAGCGATGCAGAAGATTTGAAGTTTCTTCAATCTGCTGATTGCAAAAGTAGTACCGATAGTGAGTGTCGCAGGTAAAGCGGGTGGAACGACAATGGTGATGATATCCAATGCTCTTAGTATCATGAGCTTCTTTGGTAAGCCAAGCTTGATAAAGTTGTATGTGGAATAAGTAAACCCAATTGCAGCAATTAGAGCCATGAACCCAATATACTTGAAAGAGTCTTCATAGAACTTGAAACCAACTGGCTTGGGGAACAACATGGAACGAACAAGAGATCCTTTCGTGGTATTAAAACCAGTCTTGAGTACCATAGCCATAACGGGGGAATCGTTGTATGTCTTTATCTTCAATATCTTAGTTCCATTGTATAATTGTGATCTTGCTACCAATGGAGATGTGAAATCTTCAGAGAGCAATTGGGTTGTTTCAGAAGTAGCAGCAATTTTAGATACTGGAACACTCTCTCCTGTCAACATTGATTCATTTATCACACATTCACCATTGGTTAAAAGAGCATCGCAAGGAACAACCGTCATGGAAGGGTCGACTTCAAAGACATCTCCAGGCACCAAGTCGTTAGAATCTACCTGTTTCCAAAAACCATTTCTCCACACTCTAACTTCGCATACAAACTTGGAAATCTCTTGAAGTCTTCTCATGGTGGACTTGGTTTCGATTAAACTGTTGACGATGGAAATCAACGAAATGAAAAAGATACACGATGCATAATAAAAATAATCGTCGGCAAGCCAGAGGAAGACGGAGAACACTTGAAACACATAAAACGGATGTAATACTTCGTCAGTGAGAAGCAGCATGATAGACTTTTCCTCGATTTCAATATTGTTCTCACCAAAATTATGGATTCTCTGCTCTTGTGTTGATTGAGAAATTCCTTCCTTGATGCTTTTTAAGTTAGTCCAATGGCTGTCGTACCACGTTGAATTTGTTCTAAAGATATCCTCGACTGGACTGTAAAAAAACCGAAGGTAGCGATAGCTAAAGCTGAGTAAGTTTTGAACCACTGGGTTGAGGTCGGCAGTCTCATCTAATTTGCTTTCGTCGTCCGCAACTTTTGGAAGTGCAAGAAACGAAGAAAGTCTTTCGTTGTATCTTCTCTTATTGATTTGAACAATGGATAACTCACCATATTCGTTTTCAATCACACACCAATCGGCACGCCCCAATGGACATTTGTTTCCCATCAAGCTGATACGATAACGAGGCAGCCATCGTAATACTAGATATCCCAAACCCAAGGTTAGTATGCATAAAGCATAGTACAAGAATATTTTCCAGCGACAATTTGAGTATCCAGCAATTCCTATTACCAAATCTTCTTCTGCCAAATAGAACCTTTGGTACTCCGACACTGGCTGATACTTTGAAGAGTCGTGGACATCTGAGCCCAGATGAAGGGAAGCGGACTCATCAATGCTTTCTGAACCATTTTTACCAGATTCATCTGAACCTCTGCGGTTTCTTCTTTCAAATAGCGACGCAGTCGACGAATGAATAGATCCATAACTACTTTCATTGTCATTGATAGCACCACTAGAAGATCCGGTACGGTGGAGCTGGTTTATGGCATCGTATTCAGCTGAGCCTGGGGTAGCACCTTGAAGTGAATGAAATAATGATGGCTGGTCTTCTTCATACTTGTCTACTGAGTAGTCCCAATCGGTATTGTAATCGACGGGATCTTCTGGGTTTTCGAGGGTTGAACCTCCTGGCGCCATTTCGATCTCATCTGCTCTGAAAAACTTGAATCCATACTGAGATTCTGCCGAACTTGAGGTTGCGTTGGATCGAACAGATTGTAAATCTATGTCGTTTCTGTTGTCCGCCGCCAACAAAGGTGAAGTTTCTCGAGAAACAGACAGGCCCTTTCGAGTCCCACGACTTCCAAAGTGATGAGGATAATGAAACGAGGTAATGGAAGAAGGAATGATTTCTGAAACAGCACCCGAGTACATTTCATGGTTGTTAGCCTCGTTGAAAAAACTACTTGTTGTCGAGTCCACCGAGGTAACCGAATGCTGTCGAGTCCTCCTTTGCACAGACGACGAGCGGCGTCGGTGGCCATCTTGTTTTCTACCAGATGGCATACTTGGTGGTTTTCAATAGCAATAATTTTCAGTGCGCTTATCGCTGCGAATTCCGGCTGAGGCAATATGACAGAATGAAATTTTCAAAAATGACAGAAAGTTAGTATGAAAGGGGAACTTGGATTTACTCTTTGTTGATTCTGGTAGACGAGATTGTTCAAATTGACATTCTTGGACCAATGGGTAATTATAAGTCTAACAGCCCATTAGCAACCCAAGTAGAATTTGATATTTTAGCAAAAAACTAAAATTTTGCAAATACAGTTTTGACTGCAACAAAAAGATACACAATCCGAAGGAACTTTCCCTATTCATGCCAGATTAAATTCTGCTCTTATTGCTGATATTGTAGCAGAGTGATGATAATTCATACGCCCCACACTAAAATAACCCCTTCCAAATTAATCTCCAAATTTTTATTTCGTAAAAACTAACAGGTAATGCAAACCACGCTCCTTAAAGTTTCACTAATTCATCCCGTTTACTCTTCTAACACTGTTGTTCACATCCAAATTATGGCTGCAACTACTCCATCTCACCAAAGACATCCCAACACCATAATACAACTTGAAAGTTGGTATGAGCCGTGAGTACCACGGTTATGCCTCTCAAGCTCAAGCTCAAAGTGGCTTCTTCGCCCGGTCTGCAAGAGGAAAGGTCAGAACTGCCAGCGCCCAAGATTAAAATCAAGCCTCCGTCGAATAATGGGATAAAAAAACCAATCAAAAAGGAAAGTAAAAAACTTAAACTCAATCTATCTTCCAAAAAACACAAGCCATCAACCGATGAGTTACTCAAGGGAATATCAAAACCACGCACAGTTCCTAAGGTTAGAGTGAAACCCACGCGAGTTCCTGGTGAAGGGTATGATTCTGAGGCTCCAGACGTCGAAGATGATCCATTATTAGAACAAGGAATTATTATCAGGTTTCTACCAGATGCAAATCTCGATTTTGTAAATAATGCAGTGGACTCAGGCGACTTTACCGGCTTGAACGTCAAATGGATGACAAGGGAGAAGGCAGTGGTTAGCATAAATGGAGCATTATATTCTGCAAGGTTATTGGAACTTCCCACCATCACCGAATTGTACAAGACATTCGACAAGAAAAACATTTTTAAAACCATGGATATATGCCAAATTCTCTTGGTGATCCGCCAAATTAATCCTAGTAATGTCAATCCTGAAACAGACTTTGATATTCCACGAGAGATGAGACTGGTACATCCGCTATACCAAATGTCACCCAAGAACGAGCTCAGGCCAAGCAAATCAGTGCTCAGAGATGGGCTTGTATATCCGTTTGAAAATGTCAATCGACGGTTTCGTCCACGAAAAGTGTCGCATAATGTAATGGACGATATAGACAACAAAGTGGAAGCACTTCTCCGTCTTGATGAAGAAGCAGAAGAGAGCCACTATGACATAATAGATGCTAGCCAGCAGAACTTCCAGAGATTTCAGAGTCCAACACCCTCGGCGGCCTCAACACCAGTTCCACAGGAACAAACTACCATAGATATGGAACCAGGCGATGATTTGGAAGAAGAATTGGCGAAAGCTTTGGAGACGGAAGACGTGCAGGTTGGCGACAGAATCGAAATTGGAGACAAAGAGATGGTGGTTGGACTCAATGAGGAGATTCAAGAAGCAGAAAACGACGCCGAAGAAGACGAAGAAGAGGAAGATGATGATGACGAAGATGACGATGATGACGACGACGATGAAGATGACGAAGATACAGTGGCGGGCAAACAGCACCAGAAGATGTTGGAAGAGGAGATAGCAGACTTGGAGAAGGCAGTGGAGGTGCGTCGCAAGGGCTTGGAATCTGCAACGCACAAGATGATGAAGATGAAGATCCAGACCAGTTACAACACGCTTAAAGCTTCTTTGGACTCTAAGAAGCGTGAGTTGTCGAAATTGATGGCAGAGAAGATTCGGGACCGGGAAATTGTCGATGCTCAAGAAGGTACTCGAGCCGAGGCTGCAAATGCGATCGACGAAGATGATGAAGATGGAGATGATGGAGAAGAAGGAGAGGGAGAAGCAGGCGAGGGAGAAGACGAAGACGAAGGAGACGGTGATATAGATGACCTTTTCTAAGTTATATAATGCATTTATAAACCAACAGACTGCACCTTGTGGACCCCACGCTTTGATTGGGCACGACTCGAAAAAAATGTGCGATGAGAAGTTGAGTTGATAACGCCAGTTAGGAACTCCTGGTGCAAGCCTCAAACTTTCTTTCTCTGCCTTTTCTGGCTCCACAACTAACAGAAAGTGCCCCAGGTCACTTTACTTTAATTTATAAAAAGATTTATTCGGTATGCTGACCAACTCAATCAAGTTACTTGCTAGTGATGTTCATCGTGGATTGGCCGAACTAGTGGCCCGGAGATTGGGATTGAAGCTCACACCCTCTGAAATTAAGAGAGATTCGACAAACGAGGTTCAGTTTTCCATTGGTGAGAGTGTGAGAGATGAAGATATTTTCATCATTTGTCAAATTGGATCTGGTGTTGTCAATGATCGAGTTTTGGAGTTACTCATTATGATCAACGCATGTAGGACTGCCAGTGCTCGTCGTATCACGGTGATTTTGCCTAACTTTCCTTATGCCAGACAAGACAGAAAGGACAAATCCAGAGCTCCTATTACTGCTAAACTTATGGCAGACATGCTCACCACTGCTGGTTGCAACCATGTCATCACCATGGATCTCCATGCGTCACAGATCCAGGGATTCTTCGACGTTCCAGTGGACAACTTGTATGCTGAACCCAGTGTGGTTAGGTATATCAAGGAGAGAATAAACTACAAGGATGCGATTATAATCTCACCCGATGCTGGTGGAGCCAAAAGAGCCGCAGGATTGGCTGACAGATTGGATTTGAACTTTGCATTGATTCACAAGGAGAGAGCAAGAGCAAACGAGGTATCACGTATGGTTTTGGTCGGAGATGTCACCGATAAAATCTGTGTGATAGTAGACGATATGGCTGATACTTGTGGAACTTTGGCCAAGGCTGCCGAAGTTCTCTTGGACAACAATGCCAAGGAGGTGATTGCCATTGTGACTCATGGAATTTTGTCGGGAAATGCCATCAGTAACATCAACAACTCCAAGTTAACTAAGGTCGTGTGCACGAACACGGTTCCATTCGAAGAAAAATTGGAGTTGTGTCCCAAACTCGACACCATCGATATTTCTGCCGTGATTGCCGAGGCGGTCAGACGCCTTCATAACGGTGAGAGTATCTCGTACCTCTTCAAAAATGCTCCTTTATAACCTTATACTGTATTTCGCAGCCATAGTTAATGACGTAACCCGCCGAACTTTTTTGTTCTCGCATATATTAACAATCCCACGACCAAGACTATCCAAGTTTGTTTCATCATTCCACTTGTTAATATGAGCGATCTCGACCGGACATGTCGGATTTGTCGAGGCGAGGCTACTACGTCACAGCCTCTCTTGCATCCATGTAAATGTCGAGGTTCGATTCGATATATTCATCAAGATTGTTTGCTCGAATGGCTCAAGCATTCGAATAAAACCACAAAAAAATGTGATATTTGCAACACTCCTTACAAATTCAAGACGATTTATGACCCTAGCATGCCCCAAAGAATCCCTACTACGTTTCTTTGGCAAAAACTTATCCAAAAGACATCCAGTGGTGCCATCCGAGCCATGTCGATCCTCTTGTATTTCGTGTGCGTAGTCATTGAAATCCCACTCTTTTGGAAGTTTCTGGCTCGAATATATACGTGGGCAATCGATGGGACTTTACCTCAATCAAATCCAACCCTTATAAATGCATTGCTTTTTGGTGAACTCAATTTTCTGAATTACAACCTCGAAAACTTGACGCCCATGGCACTTTCAATTTTCAAGTTTCGCAAGTTTATGGAATACACCTACTTCAGTGGCATACGCTATGTGTTCGTGTGTGTGGTGGTGTTTCTTGCGATATTTGTAGAACACGAATGGATTGTGCGTGATGAAGGTTATAACAAAATGTTGGTCAAACGAATTGGAAAAGAACCTCGTGCAAAGTTGGTAGATATGCTCCAACAAGCATTACAAGGTTTGCGAACAGATAGCGCCGAAGGGGACGAAAATGCAAACGAAAACTTGCAGCGGTTGGAAATGATCGCTCGTGCTCTTCATGATATACAAGAACAGCCCCAGTTGGGCCAACGAGGACAGTTGCTCAGAAGGGCCATTGACGAAACAAATGACCAACTAAGAGCAGAAAATGCCCATCCAGAACACAACGTGCAGCTCGAAGACACTGATTCTGAGGGTGAACAAGAAGATTTGATTCCACCTCAAGATAACGCTGACATTTTAAATGACAATGCTGATGACGCAGCTCTCGCAAACGATGTCTTTGAGATTTTCGGCCTCAACCTCAACCTATCTGCCCCTATATTGGTGATGGGAGTTTGCAATGCAATCATCGTTTTATTACTATTTCTCTCCTACCTTATTCCACATCTTTTCGGCATCCTTACTTTCTACTTGATTTCAAGCATAGTGAGAGCCGCTGAGACCAAAGCTTATTACTTGACCAAGGCTTCATCTTATGTTCAAGAGCTTTCCTTTGTTAAAACCATGGTTGCCACGGCTGATCACTATGCGAAAGAAAATGAATGGGTAAGGGTAGGTTTCGAAACCTTTAACTCTTCGATTGTGGTCCCTCTAACCAACAAGTTTGAGCGCTTGATCATACTCCAGGAATTTTCACACCCAACATTAATAGAAAGGACCACATTCCTTGTCGTGGGTTACGCTTCAATCTTTTTCATCATTTGCAAATTCATGAATAGTATGGCAAGCGGTGGTAAGCCATTGGTAGGCGCCTCGAGGAAAGTTTATAAGGTTCTTTTCGAAGTGACTACTACCGCCAAAGTTTTCCTTATATTTGCCATTGAAATGTTCTTTTTCCCTGTCTATTGCGGCTGGCTTCTTGACATTTGCATAGCTCCGTTATTCCTCGACTCATTCAAGAGTAGTGAAGGACAAATGTTGAACATATTATTCACCTCAAGTCAGCCAGTACTTCAGACCCACTACATTCGTCTTTTCATATTCTGGGCTTTGGGTACTTTGTATATGCTTTTCTTCGCCCTTTTTGTTGGAATGGTAAGAAGCAAAATTTTGAGACCTGGAGTTTTGTTCTTCATTCGATCCCCAGATGATCCTAATACCCGGTTGATCCATGACGCATTAGTGAAGCCATTATCGCTTCAAATGTCTCGTATTTTCCTAAGTGCAAAGGTTTACACTTGTTTCATCATTCTTGGTATTGGCGGCATAACTTGGGGCATCAGATTATTTTTGGCCTACATTTACAAGGTTGATAATATAATGCTTCCCTTGAAGTATACGTCCGCCAACACGATACTAGTGGCTGCTGTGGATGCTGCCGATATCTATTTCAGTAAGCGAACGTATACCAAATTTTGCTTGCAATATTGGAAACGAGTGTTTGACGTTTCTGCTCACAAGTTGCGTTTGTCACATTTCATTCTTGGTAGACCAGTCGCACAGGAAAGAGGTTATGTTGCTTACAGAAACCTCTTTGTTAAAATTAAAGGTACTGCCCAGCCAGATTACTCGCGTCCTGTGACATATAGAGACGCACAAATAATTTTCAAAGAGCAAAATGTTGATGCGTTGTTTGTTCCTGACGGCAGTTATGTGAGGGCTCCGGACAACGACACGATATCTCGGAAATTTATCAAAAAAATGTTCGTGCCGGTGACTAAGGATGATAAGTTACTCAGAGAGATTGAAGTTAATAATCCAGAAGAAGAATTTAATTCCGATTCATCAGATGAAGAGGTGGTGAATGACAATACCCATACAATCGTTTACAGGCCACCTTATTTCAAGCTTAGGTGTTTTGGCTTGGTGTTCTTCGTGTGGCTCTTCTCAGCGTTCTTGATTATAAGTGTTATATTCTCTTCGTTGATCATCGGGAAGCTATTAACAGAAGCTATAAGCATTAAAACGTTTGCTTCTACGGTTTTGAAAAGTGAAGCGCCCATATTGAGCCACTTTAATGCTGATTTATTGTCCATCTTCCTTGGCTTGAAAATGGAGCTTTTCTTGTTGAAGTTTTGGAATATCAGAAAAAACAAGAGATTGCATATTGTCGATGAGACAAATGCAGAGCCAGTCGAGGCTGACCAGTTTGCAGACGCTGCTGAAAATAACAATGCCCTATTCATGGATCTTATGCCCTGGGTGGGTGGTGGAACAATATTCCCATTGGCTGTGTATTCATTGTCATCATTTGTCTGGGCACTTTGGATTGTCTCAGTTCACAAATTGTGCATTGACTTGGTCGCCAAGAGTTACGATGGAATCATAGATCCTTCGGAAATTTATCGAGAGCAATTCACCGATTTTCTCCTCACGAAGGAAACCATATTCTTCCACTTTCTTGCTGGATTTGTCACCGTTGTACCGTTTGTTACCTGTTTCACTGTGGACTTGCGTATCGGAAACTTGAACCGTCTTACATGGTCCGAATGCTTCAAGCGGTCAGGGTTGAGGGATGTGTTGGTGAATTTTATTGAATTACACGGATCAGCTGTATTCATTAGAATGCTCGCAACCTCGTTTCCTAATACTTTCGGTGTTTTCAATACCATAAAGGTATGGGCCGTACTGTTGGCAATATTCACAGCTGCTAAAGCGCTGGTCTTTTTGAGACAGTTTTACCATTCGATATCCGACCAGGTTAGGAATGAAAAATATGTTCGGGGAAGGGCTATTATCAATGACAATGATGATTAAAGATATTTATATATAGTAAAAAATACACATTTCTGCTTTCAATCGTCATTCTCTTCTTCGTCGTCGTCCTCATCGTCGTTTTCAACTTGCTTCTTGGGCTTTCTTCCTCTTTTCTTGGGTCCTCGTTTCTTCTTTTCGGCATTTTCCATTTCTTTAACGTAGGTATCATGATCATACATTTTTCTGTCCCGTTCAATCTTTTGTTTCTGCTTGATGATATGTTCAAACCGGGCTTCTTTGAGTGGATCATTGCGTAAAGCAAACGGAAAATCATCCATCTTGACTCGATTTCGTCCATGAGCTCGTGCGTATTGTTGTGTAGCGTAACATAAATCACCCAAGTACTCGGTTAAGGTGTCATCAAGGGCATTAGCAGTTTCTTCAGAGGGGTATGGACCATCTCCAAGAGCATATAAAAGGTCTTCAATGTCCTTGGTGAAATATCGTTGTTTTCTACGACGACGAAGCTGTGATGAATATTGGCTGTAGCTGGGATAGCTAGAATACAGACTGGGGTACTGGCTCAGGTGGGACCCTGGATACGTGGTGTACGAGGTATAAGGTGTATTACGACCTGAATATTGATTATCGTAGGACATGAGGTTGATATTGAGATGAAGATGAAGATGAATTCGCGCGACTCAGAAAGATGAAGTATGGCTGTGAGTGAGAGACAAATAAGTACGGATGGAATGGTGTTGGTTGTGAAATGGCATACACAATAAAGAGTGGCTTTCGACTGGAATGGTTTGACATTGAAGGGCTTGAAGGTTCTTAACCCGAAATAGCATGGGTTAGTTATCGTCTTGAATCTAATTTGCATCTTGTTACTCAATGATCAGATAACACTTGGAGCAGACTTAGGTACTCAAGAGAGTTGCAGTGACCTTCAGTGAGCTTAAAAACACTAAAATTGGAGCTGAAGTCAAAGTACTGAGTTCTAAAGTCCAGGTGGCCAGCACTGTTGGAACCCATTTTTGAGCAGTAAAGTTTTCAAAGTCTCTCATCCTAACAACTCTTCCACAATTACAGTCTCCACTGTACCATCCTCAGGTTCTGGAAGCGCATTGAAGTTTGCTTTCCCCAGAATTATGTTACCAATACTCTCAACTAATTTTCCACTTCTCATTTCCTCCAAAGTGCAATCGATCAAATACCCTTCCTTGGCCATCATCAGTGCCACTTCAAGCTGATGATTGTCCAAGAGAGAGTCGTTGGTGACAACAACCAAATTCTTCTTTAGACGCAACACATCAATGATTGACCCCGTTCCGGCGTGAGATACTATTATGTCGGCCGTTTCTATATGTGAAAGAATATCGTGAGTGAAAGGAAATGCTAATACGTTCATGGATTCCGACTCCAAGACAATTTCGTCGTCTGAAAGCTCACCTTCACGCTTGAATCCTGAGGCCTCTAAAGATGTCACTGATTTTTCAAAGTGACCACGACTGATATGGTCGCCGGATTTTCCAATCTCATTGCCATATTGAACAACCAACTTTCTTACTCCTAGTCTAGCAAGCTTTGAAACACATTCAACCAGACATACATATGAGATCAATTCTCTGAATGTAACGGTGGCCCCAGTGGTGACCAAAACGGTAGCCATTGAGTTTGGAGGCTGTTCCTGCAGATCGCATTTCGTCTCCCCAGATTTCATCACGTGACAACACTCATAACGATAGGGCCAAGGAAACGACGTTTTGACGAACAGGACTCTAAAACGGTTCACAATACCGTTATATCCGAAGAGGAGGTAACTAACCAAATACTGTTACTTTGAGCTTCTGAAATGTGAAACTAAGGGCGGTATGCATGGACACAGGTTCGGGCCGGAGCACGGCGCCAAAGCCCGGCACCGGGCTTAATTTTCGGTTTGATTGGAGTCGGTTATAACAGAAAAAATCTGGACTTTTCGATAAAAAAGTCACCGAATAAGATGATAACGGCCGTAGAAATATAGTGGGCACATATTATACCAACCAAAATTGTCAGCTTAACTTTATGGAAAACTCGGTCGAACGCTTCCCCGGGCCAAAAGTCCGACGATCGGTAGCCTGCAGATTACCAAGATGTAGTTATCAATAGCATAAAGCATCAATGTGGTAAAACCTTCGAATAGCCCGAATATAGCAACTCTCTTAACCACCCTACTTCTCTAGTGCTGTCTTAGACTTGTTTCTTACCCCACAATTTCATATCTCGGTTCTCGTAAAACTACGTCCTATCGTGGAAACTCCGAAACGACATTTTTCGTGTCGCAGCCTTTATGTTGGTTTTTTTTTGTGACAAGCCCTTGCTGCGTAATTGGCGATTACCACTCATATCATAGTAGTGGACCAACGCGCCGTACACTTCCACACATATACCCCACAACTGTGCCTTTCCGGCGACCACTTGACACTTTACTCCAAAGACTCTTGTATATTATTCAATCAGCATCGAGAATTTTTACCTGACGTTAACCACATTATCTCCGTTTAATTCGCCGCCAAGAACTACTATCGATGTCTATGAGTTCCAGCGAGGTTGACAAATCGCCACTGATCAGTGAATCCCCGCCAGACTCGTTGGCTCTGCAACCAATTCCCAAAAAATCTCAACAGATAAAAACTGATAAACCAAGACCTCATATATGTTCCGTATGCACGCGAGCCTTTGCCCGGCTTGAGCACCTCAAACGCCATGAAAGGTCTCATACCAATGAAAAGCCGTTCCAATGTGCAGCGTGTGGTCGTTGTTTCGCCAGAAGAGACTTGGTGTTGCGGCACCAACAAAAATTACATACCAGTCTCTCGGCCACTACTCCCCGTCGAAATTCTGCCAAGGACCTTGAATCCAACGAAAACATAATAATACTAGATAACAACACCAACGCAAATGCCCCGCTTCCTCCATCGCTGGCCACATCTTCTCCATTCACCAATCTCGTTGCCAGCCATATGTCTCCCATGCAACCTCAACTAGTATCACCACCAAAGATGACTACCAACGACAAGGGACCTCATTTTCGGACGTCAGTTTTCAATAGTGGTGCACCAAACTCGTCGAAACAGCAGCAAATACGCCCCGGAAGTGATCCTGGTATGAACTCCCTCGTAGGAATGAATCTTATGCCGTCGCCAATCCCCACCAACTCGTCGCAAAATACTCCTCCAAATGCGTCCAACCTATACACAGTTGCACATCAGCAAAATGGCCACCCACAACATACATCTCCACAAAATGGCGACTCTCCAGTTAACCAATACTCCTCTCAAAATGGTAATTTTCCCACTTCAAAACCGATGCCAAAACAGTTCAACAATATTCAGCGCGGGAACATGCTGTATTACCATCAGCTGAACGACGTTCATGCTCGTCACGCTTCATTTTCTGCCGCATCGTCTACTTCGTATACCAATAGACACGACGCGGCAGAAATACAGCAGAATAACAACCTCTCTCAAGGTCCGTCTCATGTCGGTTTTGCAACTCCGCAATTGTCGGCTGCAGAGCTTTCCTCTAAGGGCTTTTTAAATGATGTAAACTCGGCAGGTTTGGATTGGAACAACATCGATACGCTTGAGCTTAGCAAAAGCTACCCCGGTGGCTTCGATGAATTGAAAACTAGTAACGGGCTGTACACGAATATTCCCGCCTACTTCGACTCAATGGTTGCGTCACATCAGTTTCAAGACCCCAACCACCCTCATCATATAAAGGGAACAACGCCGTTTGAATTCGGAATGAATCCACCCAACAAAATCAACGACGAAGTAGAAAATCATCTCAGCATAAAACAAGATTTTGACCTAGATGACACCGGCATTACAATCAAAAGACTTAAAAAATCCCAAGAATCTTCGACTTCCATGCCGCAGGAAACTGATGAGCTCCAAAATCAAAATGATGATTGGTTAGAAGAAATATTGAAAACTCCTTTCGAGAAGAACCTTCCCACTGCTTCACGCCATATTGGATTTACAGACTCCCCAAGGAGTGACGACTCGCTGTATTTACGTGGAGACGTTTCTGCGCTCTTCAGGTCTCGCCAAGTGGACCTACTGAAACAAATGGACTCTGAAAAAAATGGATCACTTCCTAAGAATGAGCACGATATTGATTTTGTATTCTCGATAAGCGAAGCCAATCCACAGTACATCACCGAAGAATTGAGAAATCGAATTATACTTGTCAGCAACCTCACGGACCTACAATTTCCACCTCTTCAAGATTTGAATAGTTATTTGAACTTGTACGAGGCTGAATTCAACAAATACTTTCCCTTCATCCATTTGCCAAGCTTCAAAAACCCTATGGTTGACAACTTCGATAACACCCCACTTTTATTAGCTATGGGATCCATTGGAGCATTATACTCATACCACGATTCGAATTCTTTGTTGTTGTTCAACTTGTCAAAGTTTCATATCCAAAAGTTTTTTGAAAACGAAATAGGGCAAGATAGCTTCCACTTTAAAAAAGTGCCATTAATGGCCCATCAATGCTTGGTTTTGCATATATTCATAACACTTTTCTTAAACGAACCCAATATGGTCGAAGTCAGCTCAAGACAAATCCGAGCTATGGCGGGTTTGATTCAGTCTACGAACTTCAACAAACCCCTTGAGAGGTTTTTGGTTCCCCCAGAGACTGCTACCCCAGAGAGCAACTCGACTTTGATTCAGCAAAACTTTGATTACTTTGTCATGGCCCAATCACGTATTCGTACCTTATACGTCTTTTACATGCTTCAGATGTTCCGCGCATCGATCATGATGGATAAAAAAGTTTTACCTGCTCAAGCCATTGATTGTGGAACACATTGTTGTCCAGAAAATTTATGGAACTGCCAAAATTCAAGTCGATGGCTTGATGCCATTCATGGGAACAATAAATCAATAGTCGAGTTGAGCAATGGCGAGCTGTTCAAAGTATTGATTAAGGAATTGAACGACCATTACAGTGACAGCAAAATTCCTTTCAATAGTCTTTTGTCATTGATCATGTATGTCCATGAGGTTATTGAAGAGGAGCAGTCTAAGCAAGGAACAGTCGATGATACAAAATGGCGATTGTCATCGAGACCCAAACTCGAATCGCTCATCAGATCGTGGGAAGCACTTTTCATAAAAAATGGTGGCATCTTATCTGTTAACAAGCATAACAACCACATGCTTCACGCACAGAGCTCGTTCAAATTGATATTGCCATTACATGGGTATGCCAAGATGAGACTTTGTTTCAATTTTAGACCCATAATGGAAAAGGTGATTGCAAAAGAATGGGCAGGGTTCAATGTCATCCTCGATCGTGACGACTATGATATTGACAGCTTGAAAGAATGTACTGAGTATGCATTGGATACCCTTCGGATATGGACGCAGAACATTTCCGTGGTTAACGATGCGAAGAGGACATCTTTAAGGACTCCAGTATTTTTCGTTACATGTGCATTCTTTGCTATAATTTTCGTTTCTCAGTACGTGCTGAAGCTCGAACTTGAATCAAGGGCCGCTAACGTACGGGCCCGTGATCAGGTTTTGTGGATTCTGTGTGAGTCACTTTTAAACGAAGTTGAACAAGTATTAGCACCAATCAGAGACGATGCCTTCTATGCCGAATTCATCAGAGAGCATTCGGTCGATGCATCAAAGGTTTTACCGGTGCGTAAGTTGGTGGAACAAGGCTCGGACTCGGAAACAATCTTGGCATCAATCAGAGCCACCAAGCTCTCTTTGAGATCGTTGGCACTTGGTGTTCGAATACTCGCGGATGCCCCTGTATGGCCCATGGCAGTGACGTTAGCCGAAGCCCTCAAAAACCGTATATCCCATCTCTCAAGGACCAAATAACTATTTATTGTATTTTTAACGCATTTTATGTTGCAGCCACATGTAAGATTCTCAGCGCTCATCAGAAAAAAAATCCAAAAGAAACTATTTGCAATATACCTAGACCACAATAATACCTCGAATCTGGACCCAAAAATTTGTCAGAGGATTGGCTACCATGACACAAAACAAGCTTAAGGGTCGTGAACTATTTGAGGCTATTGGCCGCCCGACAACTATCGTAGCGCCAATGGTGGATCAGTCAGAGTTGGCATGGAGAATCATCTCTCGAAGATACGGAGCAGAATTATGCTATACCCCCATGTTCCATGCCCGTTTATTTGCCACAGAAGAGAAATACAGGCAAAATATGTGGTCAGAACAAGACGGTGATCGAGAACTCGATCGTCCATTGATAGTTCAATTTTGTGCCAATGACCCAAATTATTTGCTAGAAGCAGCCAAGCTTGTAGAAGACAAGTGTGATGCCGTAGACTTGAACTTGGGATGTCCGCAAGGAATCGCCAAGAAAGGGAAATATGGAGCGTTCTTGATGGACGATTGGGATTTGGTGCACAAGTTAATTCGAACTCTTCACGATAATTTAAAGTGTCCAGTGACTGCCAAAATTAGAGTTTATGATGATTGGGAAAAGTCCTTGGCATACGCAAAGATGGTTTTGGATGCCGGGGCCCAGTTCATTACCGTTCATGGCCGTACTAGAGACATGAAGGGCCAAGCCACCGGTTTAGCCAACTGGAAAGTGCTCAAGTACTTGCGCGATAACCTTCCCAAGGATCAAGTTTTCTTTGCAAACGGGAACATTTTGTATCCCAGTGATCTCCAAAGATGCCGCGAAGAAACGGGAGCCGATGCCGTGATGTCTGCTGAAGGAAACTTGTACAATCCAGGTGTTTTCTGGACAAAGACAGATAATATCGACAAGCAGTTTCCTCGAGTCGATAAACTATTGAGAGAATACTTTGAAATTGTCAAGTCTTGTGCGGGAGAAGCATCCAAACACGCCATGAAGGCTCACTTCTTTAAAATATTGCATGCATTTTTGAACGTTCATAAGGAACTCAGACCAGTAATCGGTAGAACCAGTGTCCATGCTGATATCAAGAATTGGGAAGATATTGTTGAACAGGTTGAAAAATTGGTACAAGACATTTATACTGATGAAAAAATCAAAGAGAAAGATGTCATTACTACTGGAGAAGTACAAGATTGGGGAGGTGCCTACAAGACTGTACCTTATTGGAGGTGTCAACCATACTTCAGAACTGTAAATGGTGAAAAACAGAACACTCGAAAACTTCAAGTAGCCGCGGCTAGAGATGAGGTAGCATGCTTGGAAAATGCTAACAAGAGAGAAGCAGCTCCTATTGAAGAGAACGTAACCAAGAAAAGTAGGGTTACAGCTTAGGTAAAGCCTACCATGATGGTTTTCACGTGATCGGTGTACATATATTTCCTGTCCACTGCGCGAAGTTCTACCATGTTGAAGCCGATACAAGTTTTAGCGTCCTCAAAGCCAGCTAAGGCAGCTGTTATATTTCTCCCATGGACTAGGTGATACTGGAAATGGCTGGTCGTGGTTTTCCAGAACTAATCAAGCAAGCCGGAATTATCAAAGAAACTGCTAGTATCAACTATGTGTTTCCAAATGCCCCAGAGATCCCCATTACAGTCAACGGTGGCTACAGAATGCCAGGATGGTTTGACATCCATGAGTTTGGCAACCCCGATGCAAGACAAGATGTCGATGGATTTTTTTCAAGTTGCGAATACTTGAAAAAATTAATTAATGAACAGATCAATGATCACAATATAAGTGCAGACAAAATCATTATTGGTGGGTTTTCTCAAGGTGCTGCCGTCGCATTGTCTACTGTCGCCTTGCTTGATATCAAGATTGGAGGAGTGGTGGCCTTATCTGGTTTCTGTCCAGTTCGTAAAGAGCTTGGAGCCAAGAGCAATAAAGATGGTACTAATTATCAGACTCCCATATTCCAGGGCCATGGCACTGCAGACCCGGTGGTGAACTTTTCCTATGGTGAACAAACCAGTCAGTATTTCAAAGATATGGGATACAAAAACTTGACGTTCCACTCGTACCCTGGGATAGCACACACTGCCAGTGACGAAGAGCTTACTGAGGTGATGAAGTTCATAAATAAAATCATAGAAAAGTAATAAAGCCGAAGTACTATACTCTTACCGATACCATTTCATAACTACCATTATTTCAGTAGAAAAACTACCACGGCAAATTCTCTAGATGGTGGTCCTGCACAGTCCGTATACTTTTGAGGCTCGTGTAACGTTTGTACGTACCTGGTAAGAAGCCCAAAAGTTCAATGGCAACCTTTAGCAGCCATTCGTCCAAGCATAAAGACCCAACGTCTTCAAAAGACAAACGATATGCCATTCAGGTAGAAAAGGCTTTATCGACGTTCGATGCCCTCGAAGAATGGGCCGACTACATTGCATTTTTATCGAGACTTCAAAAAGCACTTCAATTATCAGATGACTTGAAGTCCCGTCACACAGTTTCATGGATCCCCCACTCTCACAAGGTAGCAAACAAATTAAGTCTCTGTTTATCCACATCGCTTCCCAATGGAGTTCATCAAAAGGCTTTGAGTATTTACGACAGCATATTTATGGCTTTAACCAAAGAAACATTTAACAGCCAGGCTTCAATGTGGATCCCTGGACTATTTCCCTTATTCAACTACTGCTCGGTGCAAGTCAAGCCTCAAATCATCAACATTTACAAGCTGCATTTCCTAGCTAACGCCAATAGCCAGGTTCTTCATCGCATGTCAAAACCATTCATATTGAGTCTACTTCCTGGGCTCGACGATGAAAATTCCGAAGTGTTTCAGGATGTAGTAGAACTTATGGATCAGTTCAAACTGAGCCTCGACGACGATTCTCATTTCTGGGAATGCATGTTTTTGAGCATTATAACCAACCCGGAAAAACGACTCGGCGCTTACTTCTGGTGTGTTCGAAGGCTCCCCTTGTTCACCTCCATCAAACAGGAAAGTGAAGAGCAGGCTGTAATCTTTTCAGATGAAGCTCAAGCATGCTTGAACTCTGAGCCTGGTCTAGTAGTGAGAGCATTTGCAGCAGTTATCGATTCAGATTACACCAGTGACAATTCGAGTGGCACCTTTGTCGCCAGAGGCTTCTTTGACCTTCTTTTGTCACATCTTCCTTTGGACAGTGACTTGCTAAATAAGGTAGTTCATCAAGGCGACAAAGAATTATTGGTGATGTCTTGCTGCCGTGCAACTTTGAGGAAAGATATGAGCTTAACCAGAAGGTTGTGGAACTGGCTTTTGGGTCCTGAAGTTGATTCGTTGAAATCAGAACGTCATAGTGACTCAAGGGCCGATTACTTCTCAAAGTATGGCTTGCACTCAGTGGCAGAAGGGATCCTCAAAACACTCAAGAGCGTGTCTTCAATCAAAGCCAAGATTGACGCTGTTAAGATGGCATCGATTTTGATCATGGATAAGTGGGAAATCAGCCATTTGTTAACACCAAAGGTGTTTCAAGCAATCCTAGAGACATGCTATGATACTCACAAATCTAAAGATGGTGTAAGTAGCAGGGAGCTTTTCCTATCCGTTCAAACATTCTTCGATGGCGTGGAGGCTGATTACATATGGAGCGAAATAGTTCCTGTTCTCTTGAATGGTGAAAGTTCAAGATTGGACGTGGTGAATTTTATCTTTCAAAACTTTGATCTTCGTGAAGAGGAAATGGTTACAATTCATGCCCCAATTGCATTATTGGCCGTTCTTATGAGGTCACAGAAAGAAGATGGAGCAGATCTCATAAGAGAAATCGAGTTTCTCGTTTACTTGTTGTCAAAGGAAGCATTCGGCCAAGATGATACAGCTCATGAGGAAGTTGATAGGCTCGAAATCCGGCCTAAGATAGAAGAGTATTACTCTAATGACCAGGTCACCAAGCAACGTGAAGTTCCATACAACCCTCCAACAATTGCCTATCTAATTTTCGATAACTTTTCACGGGTGATGAAGGAGAAGTTATTTCTTGAAGAGGAGCCCCAAAAGTATTCAATAATGTTCTGTCATCTTGCCGAGTTGGTCCCGCGTGATATTAGAAATTCCATCTTGAAATCAATGGTGAAGGATGTCCTTGAAATGCCTATAACTGAGAGTATCACGCCAAACAACGACAAGCAAAGAAATTTACACGGTGCGTTGAGTGTTTCTAAATTGAGCGTTTATTTTATGCCTCTTTTGTCACCGGAAGAAAAAGTTAAATTGTTAACTATCATTTTGTCAAACATATGGATTGCTCTCACTTCTAATGGTCGCATCAGCTACCAAGTGGAAGCTGTCAAGTGCATCTTTGATTTGCAAATTAACTATTCTCTGTTTCACATTGAAGCGGGAATTGTTCGTTTGCTACTCAATTCTTCCATATATGAACGCATAGCAGCGCTTGGAACGCTTTGGACCCATTCTCAAGCCCTTAACGATTCTGATGCAATGCTTGCAAGACCTCTTTTCATCTTGCTTGATGACTTACAGGTTCAGGACAGCAAAAACTCGTTGATGGTCAATGACTTCATCGATAATGTTGTAAAGAATGGTTCAGCAAATCGCCTTTTAAAGATGATAACCGATCCGCTATTGAAATTTGACTTCATGAGGCATGACAAGGATACGATTGGAACCACTGATGATGTGAGCTTGTTCGAATATCATCTTGATGTTATAGTACGAGTTGTTGAGGCTAATGTTAAGCAACTCAGAGATGCTTTCAGCAATGAGTTTGCAGTGACAGACAGTAAGTTGAAGATCAATCTATTCAAGGATAACGAGTGGAATGTTTCAACATATAAATCGCTACTGTTGATGATAATCGAAAAATTCTTGAACTTGCTGCTTGTCGCAAACGCCTTTGACAGTTCGACTAGAGATTTCGTGAGCTATGGAAATGCGGTGGATCGATGCTTGAGACTATACAAATACCTTCTTTCTGGAAATGAGGCGGACTTTTCCCAAAGGTTTCTGGTGCTACTTCAATCGTGCTCCAAGATAGTTTCCAGTCCTTACAGCTCTAATTACCAAATGGAGATGGTGGAAGCCACGTATCTAGACTGTATCAGTCACTTCTTGAACCTTTCCAAAAACATGCGAATAGCATTGAACCTATTGCATGTGGAGGACGATGCAAAAGAATCACCTTTTGTGCATTTTTTTATCAATGGCATTACCAGTGCTCGAACTGTTGTTTTGCTAAAACTGTGGGTTCTGCTTCTCGTCAGCAGCCTTTATTTGTTTAATGAATCGGTGTACAGTGTCATTTTGATTGTCAATGACTGCCTTTTAAGGAAAATTGACAAGTATTTCAGCTCTTTGAGTCAGCCCAATAGTGATGAATATGAGGACATTGAGCGGGCAATAAATATCGTCTTGGGGGGAGTGGAGGACCTATTATCGATCACACACAGCTACTTGATGACGTCAAAAGCTAAAAGTAACCAAGAAATTACTAATTCGACTCCAGAGTCTGGATTCTTTGGCAATGTGATACAAGGAGTCTTCCAATTGGAATCACCGGCTCTCAAAACGTCAGAACAGAACAAGCTATTTTCGGTGCTAATCTCGTTTCAAGATGCCGTAAACTCAATATTCAAGGTTTGGGCATGGGCAGACTCCGATCGCTCTGTATCTGACTCGTTGGGGACGACTGCCATAAAATCGAGAACATATGTTGCACACAAGTTGAAGTTCAAAACTAGAAAGGTTCTCGAAACGTTGATGGACCTTGAAAGGCAGGAAGTGATTGAATGTTTGATTTCCACAAATGAACCCCTGGTGGTAAAGTTGTTGCATGTTTTAGATGGCGGTAGGTGTCAGGTTACACTTCCATATATCTACGATACGATCACAAGCTTCAGTTGTCCTCAAATCTTGCCGGAATCGAAAAGATCATCAGGGAATGTCCACATTAGTGCCAATCAGGCCTCAAGCTTTTTGATCAAATATATTGAATCCATTGATACCGATTCACTTTCGGATATATGGACTCCAACCACACAATTTTTCAAAGATGTTTTGACCTACGCAAATCAATACAAGGATGTGTTGTCCGATTTGCTTCAAGCGGCTAAACATTTGATGGACAAAGCCAGGGTTTCCAAGTCCAGTGAACAGAAAAAATACCGCAAAGAAATCTCAGATATTTTGTTTAGGTTGATCCAAGCGAACATCAGTCCTAAGAACCAAGTTGAGGCTATATCAACTGAGAAGAAAGAAATCAGCACAGAGACAGCGAACTTGACCAGCAATATATTTGTGACCATTCACAACGTCGTGGAACACCTTGATGAAATGTTTCCTGAAACGGAAAGGGCCACTTCTTGTGTTAGTTCAATTCTTCAACATATGATCACTCCCAGCATCAAAGCTAAACTCATCAATGAGGTACCTACGAGGGTACTTAAGTTGACTCTTGCCATTGGAAAACATCATCCCATAAAGGCGTGGAAAGTTTTGGTTTATGATGCCTTTATGGATAATAGCTTTTTCGAAACGCAGCCAGCGGAGAATTTGAGCCTCTGGGAAGAAATCATTGGTCTTTGGATCAAGACTGATAAAGAAAAACTTAAAGAACTTATTATAAAATTCACACCCTCGGTACAATCAACAGCTGGTAACATCTTCACCTGGGGAGAGAGCTCAGAAATCGAAGGTAAAGTGTTCGTTTCACGCAGGGTGACTTACTTATTGATGGCTGCGCCAAAGAACTTTTTCTTGGTTTATCTTGGAGATCTTTTCTCCAAAATCGAGTACTCGCTTGGAAACAGTTGTCCCTTCGCATATCGTGCTCACATAATGGTTTTATTCAGGGCAATTGTTACCTGCTTTGACGATGTCCATCTTATACCCAGATGGTCCATAATAGTGCACGAATTGCTCCTCGTTTTTGAATCTATAGCTGAACGCGATTCAAAACATTTGCTTTCCATGAGCAAGGACGAACTTCAATTGGTGCTTGCTAGTTGTAAGCTTTTGGACCAACTACTTCTTGCTCGTCATGATGAATTTACCTTGAGTGACTGGCTCTTCGTTTCTGCAGAATCGAAAATTGTCACTCGGCCCCAGCAGCTGCACGCTCTTGTGGACATAATTGCATCCAAAGACCTTGTTGTTGCTAGAGAGCCTCCTATCAAGATTGACCAACCCTCGGGCTTACTTAAACCGCTACTTCATGGAGTGGTACATCTCGAGAATATTTCGCGATTAAGATTATTCTTTGAGTCGTTGAGTATGATCAATTTTGAAAGAACTTATGGTCTTTACGAAGTTGATTACGATAGTGTAAGGAGTGACATTTTCAACGACTTGATACTCCGGGGTTAAATATGTGATATAGACATTAAACAAGCTAGACAAGGTAGACAGAACAAAGTGCAGGAATTGCAATTAACCTAAACTTCGCAACCGCTTCATAACACCAAGGTGCAAAATAACTCTGCTTCCCTCGAAGGGAATTTGCCTTTCAACTGTAAATTAGGATCATGGACAGTGAACATGAGCTGGAGTTCGACGATGAACTCGAACTACAAACTCCTCGCAAACTACGAATCGGGCGCACTTCGAACTCATTATCAACAAACGGTGCAGAGCCCTCCTCTCAAGGCATTGTAGAGCAAAGCACCGTACTTAAAATGCCACTCAAAGGCGACGCGGGTGCAAGACTGCAAGCTGAAACTCCATCTAGATTGTCCCCTTCAACTTATGCACGAATCAATAAGTACCAGTCTCGCAATGGGACCCCATTGAAAAAACCGCCCATAGTGTCTAGTGTGCAAGAGTCATTAGATGAAGATGATGAGAAGCAGATAAGAGAAACCAAGTTGTTGACAGATGACAACAAGTTAGACACCGCGGCATCCTCACCGTTGCGAACAGCCGTGGTAGACATGCAACAGTCCAGTCCGGTAAAAAGCTACAAAATAATCGAGAAGGCTCAGTTAGGTACCCCTCCAAAGTATAACATCCGCTCTCGTCCTGTGAACGAAAGTAGCACAGAGCGTAAAAATGACACTACCAAACAGAAACTGCCAATTCCGTCACCCACGATTCGAGAAAAACGGCCCAGTTTGCGTACTGAATCTCTGCCAGCGCCTAAGCCTTCAGCCAGGCGCTCACTGCCATTGTTGAGATCTGATAGAAGCAGTTTTTTGAAGCATGATCTCCAATTGCCCGATATGAGTCGTGCTGAGATTCTTGAGCGAATGAACGAAAGTATTTTATCATTGATTGAGAACGACACTCACAGCAGAAGAAAAAGCAGGGAGGAAGAATCTCATGATGTGGACAACATTCCAGACAATTCAGACGAGTCTTCAGGTGATTCGCCTGAAAAGATATTGGATGAAATTGATATGGTTCTCAACTCCACCAGGCAGCCCAGTTCTGACGTGGGACACCGGCCTAGAAAAAGAGAAGGTCTGCCCGGCTTGGATGAGGAATCTGGGTGCATTAATTCCAGCCCGAGGAAGAGGCGAAAGAAAACCACCCCGATCTACAAGAATATATCTGAGCCAGAACATACTGATCGCAGATCAAAAGTTGTGCCATCATCAATACGTAGTGGTGAAGTTGCCTACTACGGAGATTGGCCAGAACAACGCTGGAGCAAACTAGACCAGCTTATCAGGCTGAATCTTATGAGCAAAGAGGAGATCATTGACAGCGGCCATGTACTCCGAGAATTTAACTGTGTCAACAAGAACGAGCTCAAACAGAGGGTGGATTTCTTAACTGAGTACAGTAAGTTGAAAACGAAGAAAACGAGAATATTGCCGAGAAAGGGTAAGCTCCGATCCAAACGAAGTGTATTATAGGACTCGAGTGAGCCCAATGTATATTATTGTATAATGTAATGCAGGTGGTCAGAAGACCTTTGAAAGAACATTGGTCAATTTATCATCAGGTTTTGATTTGACCTTTAAGTCGTCCTTGGCTTCAGCTCTGGTGCTGGTGACCTTTCTTTGCTTATAGAAGCGTCGCATCTCATCGTCTTCATCCTGAGTATTTCTCTTCTTTTGTATATTCTTAATCATTTTTGATTTCTCCACATTGTTGATAAAACTCTTGTTCATTTTCTGTTGCTGTGAAAGTTCGAGTGCCAATTTGGCCAGCCTTACTTCGTTCTCCTTGGCGATCTGTTGCGTCAAATCATGCCACTTGAATTTCGGCAAATATTTGATATTCATGATATCATCGTAATAATACGACGTTTTACGTCCACCAATTTTATTTCCGTTCATTGTTGAGGCGCAGATCTTTGCCTCTCTCTTCTTGACAAATTCGACCCACCCTTCTGTGTAATTTTTTTTCTTGTTTCCTCCGTACTTTACTCTCTTATTATACGTAGCTGCATCTTCAGGTTTCAAGAATAGTCTGTCTACCTTTCCAAATTTGGAGAGAATGGTTCGCAAGGTCGAAGGCTTCATATATGGGGGGATACGGGAAAGATAGCAGACTCCAGTCTTTTTGATTTTCTTAGTTTCTTTCTCTAGCTGCTCAGCCGTGAGTTTCTTGAGTTTATGATTCTGTATACCATCAGGTACCAGCACCAGTTCCTGATCAGAATCATCATCATCATCATCGTCGTTGTCGTCTTTGTCTTCAGTTTTGGCAAAATTATCAACTATTCCGAGTTTCTTTCTTGTCTCTTGAATTTGCAATTCCTCCTCTTCCGAATCAAAATCGTTCTCATCGTCACTAGCAGCATCTGAAACTTCATTTTCTACATCAGATCCACTCATTGGGTGTTCCAGATCGCTGTCGTGAACGCCGAAAAGTGACTCTGTTCCACCAGCCTGATTTTTTTTTGCCATTTGAGTTGTATCCGACCGAATATGATCGTTCGCGATGAGGCTCTATATCCGTTTTCCTGTATATATTTTCTAGGTGTTGCGACGTCGCATTTGTTCTAAAAACTTACAGATAAGGAACATCTATTCATGTATTATAATTGAGAATTAGTATATATCTATTTCTTGTTCAAGTCGTTAGAAGCGTCCTTGGCACCCTCAGTGGCACCAGTAACAACACCACTGACGTATTGAGCAGCATTGGCAATTTGTTCCTTAGCAGCGTCAACGTATTCGGAGGCAGTTTCGGCCAAAGTGGCTTGCTCATTGTTAGCAGCCTTCTTGGCATCATCGTGACCTTGTTGGACATTGTCAGACACACTTTGAGCGAAAGACTTTTGGTTGTCTGGAGTACCCTTAGCAGCGAACTTGTCCAATCCGTCAGTGGCACTCTCCTTGGCCTTCTCCAAGGTAGACTTCTCACTGTCAGGCTTGACAGCCTCAGTTACTTTGTCGGAAACGTTCTTTCTACCTAAGTCAGACATGTTTATGTTTTGTTAATGATCCGACGAGGGGAATCGATGCATTTTTATAGTTTGGAAAATCATGTGCTCGGTTGTTTGCTGCATGGTGCCACCACTGACCAGTGCGGCTTTGTGGGCATAAGTTGCTGCTATGGCATCGTTTCGTACCTTGTATCCATGACTATGATTGCTACTCTGTCCCGATTAGGAAATGTGCGGCGGCAACCTTCTAAATTCCGGGGCCGCACATCACTCGTATTGGGCCACAGAAACAGTCAATTTAGTACGAATTTTCTTGTCGTTGATCGGGAGCGGCAGATGTAAAGTTTAAGTCCAAATGAAGGAATGGGCAAACATACAGATTATAACCGTAGAACACCATATGATAGCGGCAATTGCTGCTGCAAACGACTCTTGCTGGTATAGTTTGCGCCGGAATACCGATGGTACACGTTCTATGAACGCATGGAAGCCAATCGATATACCCTCGGCCCCTCGGCTGTGTTTACCATGTCACTCTAATTATTGCAAAATGCAAAATTGCGTCATTTCGTAAATTTGAAAAATAGATCAAACATCATTGTAACGTCACATTGAGGTACACCAAGTACTTTTGCATGCTATTCGCCTTTGAGACAACTCAAATTTCAAAACTCGAATCTCTTGTACTCGCCTACTTGACAGTTCTTTGAACATCGTTACACCATCTCAATAATACTGCACATAAACCATAGTACCTCATCACACAAATTCTTGTAACTGTCTTGCAACCTCCATGGCCAAGAAAAGGAGTCTCACCGGGAGCCTTGAGCTGAAGGTGTATAATCTCATACAGAATTTACTTGTAGAGGAGACAGAGCAAAGGAAAAAAGACGCTCCAGATGACGACAGTTTCAGTATAGCGTTGGCTCGTGATTTACGACCTTCTCAAGTAGTCGATTATGTCCAAGCCAAGGACTTTCTGTTGCGTAGAACCAAGAGAAACATGCTCTTGAAGGTCGTAGAAACTGCATTACAGGCTGCGAGAGATCAAGAGATCGAAGAAATTGAAGATAATGGCGACAACATGTCCCCATCCATTGGTGACGTAATAGATAGTGACTTTGAAGGAGTAGATGAGAAGGACCTAATGGAGGTAAAAGATACCAACGCTTTGAATAAGTCGGTGATTTCATTGTGGAACTTGGAAAGCACCAAAGACAGTGAAAATGACGAACAAAAAGACGAAGAAGATAAGAAAAACGAGAAGAAGAGACTGAAAAATTCGTCATCAAAACAAGTAACGAAGCGTCAAAAGAGCAAACTTGATCACACACCTCCATCAATAACACTCTCTTCTTTAGGCGGGCTCGAAGAAGTCACAAAGGACCTTTTGGAGCTTATTGGTTTGCCCATACTACACCTGGAAATTTATACAGCTACTGGGGTCGAACCACCAAGAGGTGTTCTCTTATATGGACCACCAGGATGTGGAAAGACAACTATTGCCAATGCTTTGGCTGGTGAACTCAAGGTTCCATTTCTTAACATATCTGCTCCATCTGTCGTATCAGGGATGTCAGGTGAATCGGAGAAAAAATTACGAGAGATCTTTGATGAAGCTAAGTCTTTGGCTCCTTGCTTGGTTTTCATCGATGAAATTGACGCGATCACCCCTAAAAGGGATGGAGGAGCGCAGCGTGAAATGGAGAGAAGAATTGTGGCTCAACTTCTCACTTTAATGGACGAATTAAGCTTGTCTAAAACAGACGGCAAAGCTGTGATCGTGATCGGTGCAACAAATAGACCAGACTCTCTCGACTCAGCATTGCGAAGGGCTGGAAGATTTGACCGAGAAATTTGTCTCAACGTACCTGGTGAAGCACAACGGTGTTCCATTCTTAAGGCCATGACAAAACAGCTAAAGCTCCAAGATCCAGATTCATTCAACTTTGTTGAGCTCTCAAAAAGAACTCCTGGATATGTGGGAGCAGATCTCAAGAGTTTAGTCACAGCAGCCGGAATTTCGGCTATAAAGCGGATATTTGAAAGCCTTAGTGAGCACGAAGCCGAGTTACTATCGAACGAAGTAAACTCAATGGATTTGGAAATGGAGACTGATAAATCTAATTTTGACAGTAAATCAGAGGCAGAGAAGTTATCGACGATTCAAAGGTTCTTGATGCAACATCCAAATCCTTTGACTCCTGAACAATTACTGCCTCTAGCAATCACCTATGATGACTTTCTTGTGGCATTACCAACAATTCAACCCACAGCAAAGAGAGAAGGATTTGCGACTGTCCCAGATGTTACTTGGCGCAACGTGGGGGCACTCAATCATATTCGGATGGAATTGCACATGTGTATTGTCCAGCCCATCAAGAAACCAGAGCTTTATGAAAAAGTAGGTATAACCGCACCGGCGGGAGTACTTATGTGGGGACCACCAGGATGTGGTAAGACACTTTTGGCTAAAGCTGTAGCCAATGAATCTAGAGCCAACTTCATCTCTATCAAAGGTCCAGAATTATTAAACAAGTACGTTGGTGAGTCTGAGAAAGCTGTTCGTCAATTATTTCAAAGAGCAAGAGCTTCAGTTCCTTGTATAATTTTCTTTGATGAATTGGACGCTTTGGTTCCTCGAAGAGACACTTCATTATCTGAGTCTAGTTCCAGAGTAGTTAATACTCTCTTGACAGAATTAGACGGCTTGAATGATAGAAAGGGAATATTTGTGGTAGGTGCAACCAATAGACCAGATATGATCGACCCTGCAATGTTGCGTCCAGGTCGGTTAGACAAAACATTGTATATCGAGCTTCCAAGTTCTGCAGAAAGACTTGAGATCTTACAGACATTAGTACGTGCTTGTGGCACCCCCTTGGCAAGTTCCGTTGATCTCCATACCATTGCATACGATGAGAGGTGTCGTAACTTTTCTGGTGCTGATTTGTCTTCTTTAGTACGAGAAGCTGGTGTGGTGGCTTTGAAGAAAAAGTTCTTTCATGGGCAAAACATAAAGGATTTGGATGCTTCGGGGTACTACGACCAGCAAGAAGAGAGCGACGAAGTGGAAGTGACACAAGAAGACTTTTTGAAAGCTCTCAACAGCATCAATCCAAGTGTTAACGATAAAGACAGGGCCAGGTATGAAAGACTCAACAAACGTATGGGCTGGAGCGTAATCCCCGAAGCAAGCGAGGAGAAGGAAGGAGCAGACGTTAATAACGGGGGTCTGCAAGGAATAGCATAGAATCAATAAATATCATTTAGAAGAGGACGTATTGATGATGGTATATCGCTCTGAATGCCGTCATAAGCCCTCAGATTGCAATGCCCATAACAATTGGAGGGTTGGCCGAGTGGTCTAAGGCGGCAGACTTAAGATCTGCTGGACGGTTGTCCGCGCGAGTTCGAACCTCGCATCCTTCATTATCTTTTTTGCTTTTATTTTCCATGACTTTCAGAAACCAGTAGAAACCAGCAATTTTATGAAACCTTATGCTGGGAGAGCCAACGTAAGATCAGTATTTCCAAGTTCTATGTTGTCTTCGCTGCTGTTTTACTTGTATAACTGCTCATCAATTTTGTGTAACTGTCGCGATTTCGCAGTCATTCTAGGCTCGTGCGCAAATAATCTATCGTACGTAGCGCTTGCTATAAAACTAAAGTTTTCACACTTAATTGTGCTACGAAAGTCGTTTGGACTATGTTGAGATATGCCTGTAATGGAATACGACGCAGGAGTGCTTTTGAGGCAAGGTTCATAAAGTTTCGACCTCATAACAATTACGTGTTATCGAATCGAAACTACGCCAAAACTTCCAAGGCTTCAAATGGAAGCAGTAACAGCACAAAGACCGATCCCAATACCAATAGTAGCCCATCTGCCTCGAAAATTATACCAGAATCAACTGAGAAAGCAAAGGAACTGGAACCGCCCAAATTATCTGGGACAAATATGCCGGTGAATCTAGCACAATACGAACCAGATGTAAAGCCAGTGGACGTCAGTGGTGGTGGAAGTGTAGAAGAGGACCAAAGTTCCGCAGAACAGGCAAATGAGGCTACTGATGAGGCTAATCTGGAGGCAATAAAGGACGAGTACCTTACGACAATTTTCGAAGATATGGAGCCGTATATGGACACCTACAGTGTTTATACCCAGCTCGCGGCTGCTGGATTCACAGGAGAGCAAGCCGACGAAATCATAAACCTTATCGTGAAACAAATTAATACCAAGCTATCAAAGTTGTCGACTAAGTACTCCCAGCTCTTTGAGCTCGAAAACGAGAAATACCTCTTTGAAAGCGCCCAGCAAGAATTGCGAGTCGACATCACCCGGTCCCGGGAAAAGCATATAAATGAACTTACCAACCTACTCCATCTATTGGAACGTGACTTTAACATTTTATCCGATGAGCTCAATGGAGATTTTATCAAAATGAAGAACGACACTCAAGTGGCCACTAATGACCAAAAGTCTGAAAATACGCTACAGTCGAAGAAGATTATCCTTCGAATTCAAGAAACCAATCATAAAATCACCACGGAACTTAACTCTGCCATGAGGTCTGAAATTGAGAGTCTTCGGTGGCATATTTCCAGGTGGGGACTTATGGCTATTCTTGTCTCGGTGTTTTCAGGGTGTACTACGTTTTATATCCACAAGGTCAAATCAAGCAAAGCACAATCAAAACATGATTTTGTTCCATTGGTGATTTACGAGCCTAGCGAATACGAAGAGGACGATTATCATACTGATCTCGACAAGAACTTGGTGGCTTGAGATCCTATAGACTACATAGCACGAATAATGACACTAACATAAATCCACCTCATCAGCACCGAATACACCACATAGCAATTGTACGGTATATACTGATTGTAAATGAGAACTGCAAATCCAGAGCTTTTCATTTGATAATGTCGAATTCCAATTCTAGCTGCGAGAAGGATCCGTGTTTGAAGGAAGCCTGTGCTATCCAGGACTGCTTAAATGCCAACAATTATAATGAATCAAAATGTCTGAAAGTCATAGATAACCTTTACTTATGTTGTAGAAAGTATTACGAGGAAAACGGCTCAGATAATCAGACAACATGCTGTCCAAAATTCAGCTTGTTACAACTTAAGCTCAAACAAAGACTGTTGGGAAAAATCGATGCCGAATTGGTAGATCTGAGACGAGGCTGAACAAGCAGCATGACCATCTTCAGACTATAATGGTGTCCAAAAAGTTACAAAATCACGAAAAAACACGTAAAGCTCATTTCAGGGGTGAGCAGCATCACATATCACCATAGAACTACACCACTGCATCTACACAAATAAAAGCTACGAAAATGTATGTTTAGAGCCGCGTAGATCCCCACTTGGGAATCACGACAAAATGGCCGGTAAAACGCTCTCTCTAAGGCTTACCCGAGCACGAAGGATCACAAAGTGATATAGATTATATGTGGAGTAGTCATATAAACCGTGACTCTAATGGGCGCCTAATTAAAGACATTGTATGAAGAATTAATCTTCCGCGATGACTTTGTAGGGCGCGCCGGGTAAGAGATGGATGCAGGAGCAGAGCCAGGTAGGATAGAGGTGATAGATACTAGAACTAAGCTGGGGTGGATGATACTGGGATGAAGAGGTCTAGTGTCTAGTCTAATGGTTTATGGAAGAACTGTACTATTTATAAGTGACATAATGAACATTTGTGATGAGTTCAACGTCGCGAAACGGTGAAAGCTAGACAAGTATTGCTTGAAAGACAGTTTGATTCGTGATAAGACGAGTTGAGGTTTCACCATATGGTACCACGCTCAGGAATTGCATGTAATTGATCTGGATCCATGCACAAACCACCAATGCTTGCTGACAATTTTTAACCAGATATGACGAGCAATGTCCAAAGTTGCAATTCTCGAGTATTCTATGTACAAAGTTGCAATTCTGATACTATTTGCAGTATTTCAGTTGCCTTTCACCATTTTCTCTTACTATGTTTGGCACCCTCTTCTTTACTATTGGTCCTTTCTTTTATCATACTCATGTGCATCTGGAACATATTGCTTGAGTTCTGTGTTAGTACCAAGTTTCGTCTCAATTATCATTATACTTACCAGAACTGTCATCAAGCCAGAGAACCTGGCCGCTGACATGCTTCACAGAACTGTCGGCACGGACACTCAGTTCGTATTCTCTTGTAGCGACATCGATCCCAGCAGGTTCTATACCTGCTTCTTTCAATTGTTTACGAAGCAAAGCAATATGAAGCCCCATTTTGAAATTGCGTCGGTTTGCCTCCTTACGTTCTTCTATCATCACCATATCTTGTTTCTTTTTTGCATTCAAAAAGTTAGCCTGTTGAAGTTGTAATGTTTTCAAACTGATTGCATTTGAATCATTGTTGAGTTTTTCTAATCGGATTCGATTGTTATAGTTGTCGATGGCTATATAAGCAAGAGCACACATGGCGACGACTGATGAAAGTTCTTTTAATGAACTTTCGTTATTCCGTTCATTGGTTTTGTCTTGAAAGGTTTCCTGACTTTTATTTTGTTGTGTCCCTTCCTCGACAGGTTTGGGCAATTCGGATGGTTGATGCTGACCATATTGAGGAGGCACCAGAGATGGGTTCGAAAAATGGGATGGAAGTGAATAGGGCCGTTTAAAGCATCTGGATACTCTATTAATCATTAGTGAAAAGATGCGAATGCGAGCGAAATTTGTTACCAAAACTACATCAAGTCAAAATTGGTGCATTACCTAGTATACCTATAACAGTAACTACAGAGTAATAGAACGATGATATTACACATGGTGATGTGAGGAATTAGCGTGTATCCCCGAGAATTTAGTGTCTTCTCGACTCAGCAATGACCTTGTTCATTTCTTCAACCTTTCTCAAGGCTCTCTTGTGGGTACCCAATCTCTTCTTGGCCAACTTCTTGGCTCTCTTCTCACCAGCATTTCTGATCAATTCAATCAATCTTCTCTCGTAAGGAGCCAATCCAGAAACCTCCTTGACAATGCTTCTGACAAAGTCAGTTCTCTTGGAAAGAGCACCCTTTCTGTAGGAGATCTTTGGGGCGACCTCCTTAGCGGAGACCTTGTGACCCTTGTTTAAACCAACTGCAATACCTGAATGTTAGTAACCAAGCCATAAAATCACGATGACGGAATCTAAATGTCAAGAAAAGTGGAAAAAATTATTCATGATAAAAAGGAACCAGTCCACCTCTGAAAGGAACCACACTTTCTCTACACATTGACATTGTCATTCCGTTCTTCTTCTTTCAAGCAAACCACATACCAGATTTAGCCATTATGTTCTGTAGTCTAGTGTGAAATTTTTTTCGAGTGAGAATTGAAACCTGTACACGTGAGAACACAGGGTGCAGGCAAGTAACTGACGACCTCAGGGGTGCAGCCCTACAGAACACGTGACGTATACCAATACTATTCGGTCTAGCTATGTACATTAGGCTGCAACTTTGGTAAAGTCAAAGTTGTAGCTCTCTAGTTTGTCCACGATTTCCTCGGTGGTCAAGTATGTATGGTTTCTTAAGAATTCTGGCCAGCTGATAGCCTTGTAACTGTCCCTCTTGACCTCAGGGTACAAGTATTTAAGTAACTTGTTGCGTCCAACAAACAACTTTTTGCCATCTTTATGCACATATAGAACTGGTTTCGACTCGTTGTTAACAGTAACTGGTGGCAACTGGTCCAATTCCCGTTTTTTCATCACTTCGTAGCGTAATTTCCAGCCCTTTAAACCCAAGGTCTTTACTCGAGCTGGTTTATCTTTGGTGAGGTAGTTGTCCAATCCTCCCTCCTTGGTCACAGTACGTAAAACCGTGGTGGTGACCTTGGTTTGAATGCTCTTGTTCAATGTTTCTGACCACAACTTTGCTTTAACAATGTTTGGAAGATGTGCTCTAAGGTTCTTGTTACCGGCTTCGGAACATGTTTTGGACCTGGTTCTTTGTAATCCACCGAACAATCCCTTGTTCTGGCGCTTGAAGAACATTGTTTCATACGAGTAGACCGGATGTGTCTTCTTCCTGATCGGAATGTTCAAACCCTCGGCAGAATCTCCCGCCTTATAGACGGTAGTATCAACCGGTTTCGTATATCTGAGGATCTTGTAGTATTTATCTTTGCTGGCAGGCGCCGTGACGCTGAACAGCCGGACGGCCGTTTGGAATTGCGAACCCCGTATTATGGGAGAAAGGACAGATGCCAACATGAGGTTGGTGGAGTTGTGGAAATTGTGAAAAGTGTGCGACCGCCGCTTATATAAGCACAACTTTACCAGTATAACGTGGGTGTTTGGTTTAAGTAGCCGGTGATTAGCGGTTAAGATTAAGAATTGGAAAGTGTAATTAGGAGGACAAGCTACGCGAGGAAATTTGGCGAATAGTAGATTCACCTTACAATTTAAATTTTGAATACTTGCTGCAATTCGTATTCAATTCGTTAGAATTTTTCGCGATGCAAAAGGTTCTACAAATGCAGCGCCAATCGCTTAATTCAGAAGGTGCATTGCATATATCCGCTTGCGGCTAAAAACGGAATCAGAAGGGTAAATAGAGGCTAACATAGTGCGACTTAGCATCTGCCACAACTCAGTTACCGAAATTATACACCTTTAGGAACCATTGACTTTGATAAGTTTGTATCTAAAACATGATAAACCTCACGTCTTCGCTCCGACGTCTCGGAACTCATATGCACATACTGCATAAAACCCAAGGTGCATCTCCAGCGTGTCTGCACCGACGGTTGTTATCTGGACCAATATAACAACTTTTTCTGCACCGAAACCTTAGTATTACGACCAGTGCATCTTGGCTAAGTAAGTATGACGTTTTATGATTGCAATTTGCCACGGTGGAGTGGGGAATGTAGACAGGTCATTGCGGATGACGTCACTTATTATTACCGCTAAAATCATCTGAGGCATTAAGGAGAAGTTGCCATCGAGACGACATTATTTGACAGTTATTGGTATGAATTCCGTACTAACATCTAGTCTGACGCTTCTTGTGAGTGCGCCTGTGGTTTTGCAGCGCTGAACACATTCTAGTTGTACCAGGGTTATTTCTTTGTCCAATCTTCTCCATCATCTTTGTTGGCATAATTTACCCGTAGCATTTGTCATTGGTGATACCAGGTGTTGGTACGTCACACATGCCCGACTTTCCAAAGTCATTTTTCCATTTTAGTGGTTTTCAAAAAAAAAGTCAATCTCCTACTCCTGAAATGAATCATAGCGACGGTACCGAATCGGCCTTCAATTCCAAGTTGTTGCCCAAGGGACTCAGCAGCGCCGCCCCCACAACAGCACTTTCCGACAATTCGTTGGCTTACGGCACCACTTCGTCGCATGCTGGCCACGAAACAGCAAGTGAACGTTTCTTGTATCAAACTCGTACCGTGGGCGATTTACAACATAATTACTCAAACAGCTCCTTGATGAACGAACTACATGATGCTCCCGTTAGTGGCCAGGAAACCAGCTACGCCACATCTAACGCCAGCTCACAGGACCAAGAGATGACCGATTCTTCGTCGCAGCCTATTATTATAACCACCGACGAGAGGGGCCAAAATCGTCGCCCAGCGTCCAAAAACAGCTCCCAACCAAAGGGAAGACTCAAGGTCTCCATCATAGAAGCCCATGGTCTTCTTGTGTCGTCCAATGGTTCACAGCCGTATGTTGTATGCACATTCGAAAGTTCCGAGTTTATTTCTCACGGCCCCCATTCCTACAATAATTCGCCTGGTTTCAAGGTCCCTGACAATACATATCAACATGCCCCGGTCCCGGTTGCAAAATCTCAAAAAGAAGGCTCAAGACCAACTTTATATCAAAGACAGTCGTCGAGTCAGCAAATGAACTTTGGATTCACCCAATCGGATTCCTCGAACCCAATATGGAACCACGAAGCTACGTTCGATGTGGTTGGATCAAGATCTGAGCTTGATGTTTCAGTTTACGACGCGGCCCGTGACGATGCTTTCTTGGGCCATGTGAGGATTTTTCCTTCGACTATTGGTTCTGAAGCCCACCAAAAACCTCAACTTTTGAACTTGCGTCCCAGAATCGTTGGTGAAAGAGTTGATGGACAAATCAGAGTTGAATGGAGGTACAAGTCATCCGACAAAAAACTGTGCACTCCAGATGACTTTGAGGTGTTGAGGCTTTTGGGTAAAGGAACCTTTGGACAGGTGTTTCAGGTCAAGAAAAAGGATACCGATCGAATTTATGCGATGAAAGTGTTGTCAAAGAAAGTTATTGTTAAAAAGAAGGAAATTGCTCATACCATTGGCGAACGTGATATTCTTGTACGTACGTCAGCTGCTGCTTCTCCATTCATTGTTGGCTTAAAATTTTCTTTCCAAACACCCACAGACCTTTACTTGGTTACAGACTACATGTCAGGAGGAGAACTCTTTTGGCATTTACAGAAAGAAGGTCGTTTCACCGAAGATCGAGCCAAATTTTACATTGCAGAATTAGTGTTGGCTCTTGAGCATTTACATGATAATGATATTGTATATCGTGATTTGAAACCTGAAAACATCTTGTTGGACGCCAATGGACATATTGCTCTTTGTGATTTTGGTTTGTCAAAGGCCAACTTGAACAACGATGGTACAACCAACACATTTTGTGGAACTACCGAGTACTTGGCACCCGAAGTTTTACTTGATGAATCCGGCTACACCAAGATGGTGGACTTTTGGTCTCTTGGAGTTTTAATATTCGAAATGTGCTGTGGATGGTCGCCATTTTACGCCGACAATACCCAGCAGATGTATAAGAATATTGCATTTGGCAAAGTTCGGTTTCCAAAAGAGGTATTGAGCTCTGAAGGTCGATCATTTGTGAAGGGTCTTTTGAACAGAAATCCCAAGCATAGACTTGGTGCCGTGAATGATGCCAAGGAACTTCGAGCCCATGCTTTCTTCCAAGATATAGATTGGGACTTGCTTCGTGCCAAGAGCATTCCTCCACCATTCAAACCACATTTGACTTCTGAAACAGACACATCCAACTTTGACCCCGAATTCACATCAGAGTCAACGTCAGTATTGCGCAAGAACCTCGAACTTGCAACGACGCCGTTGTCGCCGGGAATTCAAGCCAAATTCAAAGGATTTACCTATGTGGACGATTCTGCTATGGAAGATCATTTCGGCAAGTCGCACCGAATGAATACGTTTCAGCCACCAGGATCTTTCATCCCTGGTAATCCTAACCTTCCACCTGACGAAGATGTCATCGATGACGATCACATAGAAGAGGAGCCGGAAGAGAAGATGCAGATAGACGATGAAATGCACCAAATGGATGACGTCGAGTTCGTCAACGGGCGTTTCGACTTGTGATATCGGCCTACTAATTATTTTACTTCAGGACATTATAGAATTTGCCTTATGCAATTCTGGCATTAATAATGTATTTATAGACCATCTACCACCGAGTCCGGTCCTTACACCCAGTGCAACTTTCGCGCGCACTTCAAAATTCAAAGTCTGGTCCAAAAACACAGTTAAATGTCAGATCCTAGAAGAGCCGATCCGCGAAGAGGGGGCAACTACCCCGACTCAGGAGGATACAGGCAGCCCCAGCGACCCGTGAAGGAAGAAACCGGTCCGCAAATACACGATGAGGCAGATTTGGTGTCGTTTCGCAACGATGCATTGAAGCGAATGTTAATGAACCAAGAACAATTAGAAAATGTTACAACGAAATACGTACACACGTCCAAGATTATACCGCCTGGTATATGGGCCACCAGCAACAAGGAGTCTGCTTCCATGGATGACGCGGAAATGGAGAAATATTTGCAAGAACAGCTAGACAAGCCATATTTTGGAGACCTTAAATTAATGAAAAAGAAGGAAGAATTGCTCCAGAAAGAAATAGAAAATCTTGGAGAAACACCCGTAATAGGTATGGATGACCTGGAGTATACATTCCAACAGAGAGCGACTAATATTCTAGCACAGAAGTTTTCTCAAATTACCGATAAGGAGTCTTTCGAACAATATCAAAAGGAAACCGAAGAAATCTTAAAGGACATGAAGTCTACACACTCAAAAGAGTACAAGGTACATGCTCCTTACACAAAGCGTTCAGTATCGCCGCTGTCGCTTGGCATTCAGGTAGAACGAGCTCCAGATAGTTACAACCCCAAACTGGTTAATTCGTTAATTGGTCTTGGCAATGACAAGATGGAGCCAGACTATATGGATGGCGGTGGCTTCGAGAGCAACGACACCCATAAACAAACTTCAGGCTATACTGAGCCACAGGGCCAATTTTCAATCGACATACTTCAAGGCGAAAGGCATGGCTCGAACGATGACAATGCCTCAGGCGTCAATAATACCGGCACCATGATGGATGACAACATCGACTCGATGTTTGGTGGAGATAATGCTCAATCAATGCTTGACGACGATATGAACGACTTGATAAATTTTGACCAAGCCGATGACGACGATGCCATGGGAAACAACGGGTTTGATGGCGAGTTCCTCAAACTTGAGTAGCCTTTGTATAATAATCAATGTAATATATGTACCATCTTTCTTTCCCCTTTATAACCCCACCAGGGTGGGTATATGCAGGCCCGCTGTCCTGCCGCGTTGACAGGCTTCTATCGCGCCAGAGATCACCGCCTATTTGTTTCGTTTCTGTTTAGCCATTATAGGTCTCGTGGTGAATGGACGAAATAGAAAAATCACACGCTTCGGCTGATACCGAGGCTTTGGGTGGCACCTATCCGGGCACTTCTGCTATACCTTCTCAAGCCGTAAAAGCGCCTCCTAGAATACGGCTTCGACAACAGAAACTTCAGCTTACGTTTATTGGATATGTTGTGGTGCTTAGTATGTTCACCGCGCTACAGGTTCTTGGAGTGTGGTTCTTTACCCTGGGCTTTTTACTTTCTCGTCAAGTTTTACCCGATATAGCCGAGTGTACTCCCAACATGGTGGCCGCCGTTGACGATACTTGTATGCCTCCGCAGTTCGACAAAGTGGTGATGTTGGTGATCGATGCACTTCGATTCGATTTCACGATCCCAGTGGAAGACTCAGCTAATCCCGACCAACCGTCTGGTGAATTTTTCCACAACAATTTTCCCATTCTCCATGATACTTTTCTCTCACAACCCCAAAATGCCATCCACCTCAAGTTCATGGCTGATCCCCCAACGACCACCCTTCAGAGACTCAAGGGCTTAACTACGGGCACTCTTCCCACTTTCATCGATGCGGGCTCGAACTTTGACGGTGACTCCGTGGACGAGGACAATTGGCTACTCCAGCTTCACAAGCATAACAAAACCGTAGCATTTATGGGAGATGATACCTGGAAAGCCATGTTTTCCAAGTACATAGACCCCACGTTGAATTTTCCGTATGACTCTTTGAATGTAAGAGATCTACACACGGTGGATAACGGGGTACTCGAGCACATGTGGCCCCTATTAAGAGAGTCCGGGTCGAAGCAAAAATGGGACGTTTTGATCGGCCATTTCTTAGGCGTAGATCATGTGGGTCATCGTTATGGGCCTAATCACTATACTATGAAAGAAAAATTGAACCAAATGAACGACGTCATCAAGGAAGTGATGAAAACGTTGGACAACAAGACCTTGTTGGTGGTGATGGGAGACCATGGCATGGATGCCACCGGAAACCACGGAGGTGAAGCTTTAGATGAACTTGAGAGCACATTCTTTATGTATCTGAAGCGCAAATTTGTCCACAGAAAGGATAAAGACGTCTATGACCCAAGACAAAAAGGTAAGAATTATAGGGCTATCAATCAAATTGATTTAGTTCCAACAATATCGTTGCTTCTTGGACTACCAATTCCCCATAATAACCTAGGGTTCCCCGTGGATGAGCTTTTTGGAGACAGAGACTTGACCATCGGTGCATTCAAGACCTTGGTTCAAATTCAGAAATTTAGAGCTCAAACTCCATCACTATCTCAAAATGATGCTTTGAACGAAGAATACAGACTGCTATACCGTGATTTTACCGAACAAGTCTCCTCTTTTTCGACAAAGAAAACTCTTTCGGCGCTAGTCGAGAGGACAAAAAAATTTCAATACTCCTCTTTGGAGGAGTGTAAGTCCTTATGGGCTCGATTCGATTTAATTACCATTGGAATAGGGCTTCTGGTTCTCATCTTGTCACTTTCATTCATATTGACCTATTCCCGTTCCATACCTGCGGTTAGGGTCCTGACTATGTCCTTTGAATTCATTGGCTCAGTCATCGCAATGCTAATGTTAGGATTGGTTTCGTCGTTCTCAGTCTATGTTGTACTTCGTCCTTTGAAACTTAAAATCTGCCTTGCGGTTGGACTGGCAATAGGAATCATTGTCGGTCTTTGGGCCCCAATAATGGACAGATTCAGCATCGTTTGGCTCGTGCACCAGATACATGACTTTTTCGTTTTCAACTTTTCGTTTTGGTCATTCTTGGGGATTCTTTTCTCTATTTTGCATTTCTTAGTGTTTGCATCAAACTCTTTCGTTGTATGGGAAGACAAGGTTGTCCTGTACTTCATTGCCACTTTTGGATGGTGCTCTATTATTTATTGTGCTAGGTTGCCTGGCAAGGTGGATAGAATCTTGGGAATGTCTCATGGATTGACTTTTGTGATCATTTCCAGACTTGTTGGAACCATCAACTTATGCCGAGAGGAGCAGGCAGCGTATTGTATTCCTACCTTTCTCCAAGCACGGTCGTATGGGGTGATACTATTATATGTGGTGGCATTACTACTTCCACTGGTCATACGACTGTTCTATAATCTCACCAATTCGTTCCATTCTGCTGCCAAAGTGTGGGTGGGAACAACGTCCTTTTTACTTGGCGCAAATGCGCTTTATTGGACTTTTGAGTACATTGAGAGTCAAGATGTCTCATTCTTGAACTATTCTTTGAACTTTAGCATTTTCAACTCAATAAGGTTGGGCATCTCTCGCACAGTTTTATTTGTCACTTTGATTCTTGCAAACTACAGCTGGTCGAGAGGGCCCCTCTGCGTTAAGCTTGATGTTGACAATTCCATACCTGAGCAACCCAAAACCATTATCTTGGGATATGAAAACATCTACGGGTCGTCCTACTTTTTATTGGTCCTCAATTTCACCGTGGGCATAATGCTTGTAACAAAACCATTGGGTGCTGTATCGCTTTGTATGTTGGTCATACAGATCTTAACATTACTAGAAATTGCAAGGATTTTGGATATTCGCCGAAACTTGATCACGCCAGTGATTTTCAGTTTATTGGGTTACCAACACTTTTTCGCAACTGGTCATCAAGCAACCATTCCCTCCGTTCAATGGGATGCTGGATTTGTGACCACAGAAACCATCATTTTCCCATTCACTCATCTCAACATCTTCCTTAATACGTTTGGACCTTTCATCATCACCTGTCTTAGCGTCCCATTGATTTCACTTTGGGCCATTCCGCCTTCAAGTAAACCAATTACGTTGCTTTCCTACATCGTCACCAACATCACAACGGTAATTACTCATCAAAGTTTGATAGCAATCTCCAGTTTTATATTTGCTGCACATTTCCGAAGACATTTGATGGTATGGAAAATATTTGCTCCTCGGTTCATGCTTGGTGGCTTGACATTGATAGTAACAAACGTCACCTTGGTGGTGGTAACGTTGTGGTTTGGAACGGGTAAGGTTCTCACCCAGGTAAATCGCATCTTTGGTAAATAGTATGTATAATAGATCTCAGAACTCACGCATGCAAATCGTGCATTCTATCATTTGATTGCGCGATGCAGGAATTCACTCTTTAGAATTGTCTCTACCATACTCATTTATGTCGCTATTAATATGGTGCCATATATACTTGGTACTAGTTCTGGCGGCTCAGAATGCCTCTTTCACGCCACAGCATATAAGAACTCTACAAAACGAGACCAAATCTTTATTTAATCATGCATGGCAGTCCTATATGAAATTTGGATTTCCTGCCGATGAGGTCCTCCCACTATCGTGCGAGCCTTATGGCCGCGATTTCAATGATCCGTTTAATATTGTCAGAAATGATGCAATGGGCAATATTTCCCTGACTGTGCTTGACAATTTGGATACACTAGTAATAATGGAGGAATGGGACGAGTTTGAAAATGCATTGGATTACTTAAAGGCATCCAAAAACACATTGTTTGCCAAAGATACAATTGTCCAGGTGTTTGAAACGACAATTCGATCTCTTGGAGGGCTTCTTTCGGCCCATTTAATCCTTTCAGATATTTCTCAATTTCTGCAAAGATATACAAGGCTCGCAGAAATAGCTGAAAAATATGATGGATTTCTATTGGATATGGCATACGACTTGGGGAAGCGATTAATTCCAGCATTCAGAACAAAAAGCAGCATCCCGCTTCCTCGGGTCCATTTAAATCATGGTCTCAAATTGATCCCTCCATCACTTCAAATCGACGCTTGTACCTCGGGAGCCGGCTCTCCTGTATTGGAATTCACCCTTTTGTCTCGTCTTACGGGTGATCCACAATTCGAATACTTTTCTCAGGTCTCATTTTGGAAAATATGGGCGTCAAGACTGCTGTTGGGCTTAATGCCAATGACAATTGATCCTCAGTCAGCAAGATGGAAAGACGCTGTTTCTGGAATTGGAGCGTCCATTGACTCATTTTACGAGTACGCCGTCAAGTCTTCTATCATATTTAACGATTCACATATGTGGGAAGTCTTTAAATCAAGCTACAAATCTCTCTTGACTCATCTGGTACAAGGAGGTGGACCTCTCGATGCAACAATGATTTTCACCAATGTGGGTAGTAACGATGGTCAGTTGTTCACCGACTGGATTGATCTGTTGAGCGCGTTCTGGCCTGGACTCCAAGTACTCGCCGGACAGCTAAAAGACGCTGTAAAGACCCACTTATTGTACTTGCGCATCTGGGACTACTTCGACCTGATACCCGAACGATGGAACTTTAGGCTCAGCGACAAATCGACCAGTGCAGTTGCCCTAGAATGGTACCCCTTGCGTCCAGAATTCATCGAATCTACTTATTATTTGTACCGGGCAACAAAAGATCCCATGTACCTTCAAATTGGCTCTCGAGTATTAAAGTTACTCCAGACAAGATACATGGCCAAGTGTGGTCTTCATGGTGTTCAGGATATACGAACGGGTCAGATGCAAAACCGGATGGAAACTTTTGTCATGAGTGAAACACTAAAGTATCTTTACTTACTTTTTGATGCCGCTAATGAACTCTTCGTTCATAATGGAATGTTAGCTCTGAAAAGCTGGGTATTTTCCACTGAAGCGCACCCGTTATGGTTTCATGAACAGTTGGATGTTCTAGGAAAGAGAACAGACATCAATGCTACCAATTTGCATGCTCAAGACCACTTTAAGTTGAAGGAGGTTTTTGAGAAAGAACTTGCACTCAAAGGAGGTCAAAAGCGATTGGGGGCTTTTGTCAAAAAGCTGAACATTGACTTTTACCGCAAGACGCCAAACAAAAATCAGAACAGAACTATAATCCATTTACCAGCTGTATCAACTGTTGATCCATATGAACTCAAATTTGCAACTTGTGAAGTAATAGCCTTCGACAAGATGATCGAGTTTCCTGCCTCCCATTACTATGAATTGGAGAATCTCTTCGAACTAGATTGGAAATTTCAAGGTAGCCTTTCAAGACCACCATATTTATCGCAAAATCCATTGGACGGTTCTTACATTGAACTTGACCCCGACTTTTTCAGCCTATTTTCCATGTCAAGAACAAATTTGCAAAGTCGGCGAGCAGCGTCTACTCAGATCTACGATGTAATAGTTGGAGACGTTGCTGGCATTCAAGAAAAGGAAATTTCGATTTTCAAATTCAAACCTTCTACTGCTGTGGATGAAGCTGTGGTTTTGGAAAACGACCTATGGATCCCAGATTTGACCGCCATGCGCATCCGAGTCGAAGTTCTCGAGGCAGGTAATGTCGATATCCATAACAATGTTCTAACCCAGGAGTATATTGACAGTTTAGCCGACATCACGGCTGATGTTGATTATCAAGATCCATCCTACGATGTTACCAAACCCAAAACGGCACTTAGAGTGACAAAAGTCAATGGTATCTATGTCAATTCGGGACTGATTGTTTGGACTCATCCAATTCATGATAATACAGGGGCACTCTCCATGACTGATCTCGGAAGAGTTATGATAGAAGGTAAAGTTGTGGAGAATATGATGGTCTTGTGGACCGATCAAGACTCGTAGAGGTGCCTGCAAAAAGTGACAATGTCTTTTTGACAATGGGAAAAAACTACAAAAGAGTCAATTGAACATACTACAAGAGCCCGAAGTCATAAAAGGAGTCATAGAAACGATTAGTCACATCCGTGCAACCATGGTGGTGGTGCTTTTCGGCTATTGGCGGACCTGTGCGTATCAGGCGTATATAAAGGAATGAGTCAATGAAAATTCAAGATACGCAAAAAAAAGTAAGTACCGAGAGAAACAATCGTTGGCAGGGGCTCTAATAGACACTTATAGACATATAGAACCCATCTACAGCCACCCTGCTGATTAATAGATAATTTTCATATCAATGAGCTTTTTCAGACTGTTTAAATTTGCCAGTATTTCCCGCTGCTCCAAATCTTTGTCTTCGACTAACAAAAGGAACATCATGACTGCTGGATTAGATGCCTCCAAATTGGAGATAACGAAGGCGGAAAACTTGAAACCAATGTTGCCAAACGACCAATTGGTGTTTGGTAAGACGTTTACTGACCATATGCTTGAAATCGAATGGACCAAGGACCAAGGATGGGGAACTCCAAAAATTTCTCCTTACCACAACCTCTCGCTTGATCCCTCGGCTGTCGTGTTTCACTATGCCTTTGAATTATTCGAGGGTATGAAGGCTTTCAGAGATGCCGAAGGTAAAATCAGACTTTTCAGACCTGATATGAATATGATCAGAATGAACAAATCTGCCGCTCGTATCACTTTGCCCACATTTGACGACGAAGAATTGATCAAATTGATCGAAAAGTTTGTCCTGGTAGACGAGAGATTTGTGCCAAAAGGTGAAGGCTACTCTTTGTACTTGAGACCTACTTTGATTGGTACCACTGCTTCATTGGGTGTTAGTGCTCCCGACAGAGCTTTGCTTTACGTGATTGCCAGTCCTGTTGGACCTTACTATGCTACAGGATTCAAGCCTGTCTCCTTGGAAGCTTCTGAGAACCTTGTGAGAGCTTGGCCCGGTGGTGTTGGAGACAAGAAACTTGGTGCCAATTACGCTCCATGTATCAAGCCGCAATTGGAAGCTGCCGCCAGAGGTCACCAACAGAACTTGTGGTTGTTTGGAGAAGAGGGATATGTTACCGAGGTGGGAACCATGAATGCGTTTTTCGTTTTTGAGGCTGATGGTAAGAAAGAATTGGTTACTGCTCCATTGGATGGAACTATCTTGGAGGGTGTCACAAGAGATTCTATCTTGGAGTTGTGCCGCGAGAGATTGCCTTCATCTGAATGGACTATCTCTGAACGTCCTTTCACAATCAAAGAGGTGAAAGAGAATGCTGACGCCGGAAAATTGGTGGAGGCATTTGGTGCCGGTACTGCTGCCATTGTCTCTCCTATTGGCAACATTAGCTGGAAAGGAAACGAAATCAAGGTGCCTGTTGGAAGTGAGGGAACCGGTGAGTTGACCAAGACCGTCCTTGACTGGATCATGGGCATCCAATACGGAAAGGTGACCTTCAAGAACTGGTCGAGAGTCGTCCAGTAATTAGCTACTAGCTCTACAATATGAAAATCAGCTCTACTGACATTAAAACTGGCTCTAATATAGCTTCTTTACTTTCGCTCGATAGCCGGCAACTTTTCAATCTCACCGATTATGTAGTCCCTTTCTTCGATTAAGTTTCGATCATTGAAACTACTGAAATCAAAACTCTCGAAGAAGGCAAGAAAGTTGCCACGATTTCGTATGAGAATATCCTGGATCTTTTGCGACTTCTTTGGTTTGGCAACGAAGAATTTGAAGATATGAAATCCTTCGATTCTGAGATTTTTCAGTTTATCGCTCAAGAGTAGCATCACCAACTTGAGGTTATTTGTGTCGTCAAAATACTTGTTAAGGAAATATTGGTTCTGCCGTTGTAAAACCAACTCCGCCAATAGCCGTACGCTTTGCCTTTTCGTTACGTAGTTATCACACTGAATCAATGTGTTAATGTTGGTTGTGAAACGGTCGTAATTGTTGGCAAGAAAGTCAGACACTATTTTCTTGTGAGTGGTGAGTATATCATGAAATGTCGTGTAGGAGTCCGTGGCTATCTCGAACACTGGACTTTGCATATAACGAAAGTAATTCCAAAGAAATGGATGGTCAATGATATACTTATTGACGTCTTCGTACTTGATACACTCACGAAGAATTTGCCCACACGCAAGAGCCACTTCGTCGTTTTCGGGACCCTTTAGGAGCAACACGAGGATCTCTGGTTTTGTATTGACCAAGTACCCCACAGCCGGCACGGAACTTCCCACCTGTCGTCGCAAAAGGGTCAGAAACAACGCTACAACATCCTTTCGGGAATCGAAGTCCAAGTGCTTGAGTTTGTAAACAAGGTAATAAAGGCAGTCAGAATTGAGGATCTCTCGTGACAACGCAGCAACCAGTTCGGGTTGTGGTTCATTTTCATCGTCACCATAAATGACTACTTTGATCTGTTTCAAATAGCGGCCACATTCATCCTGGTATCTTTTATAGTTGTCCAGCGATGACGACAACTTGGAAGACTGCTCGGTGAGGGCTCGGACGAGCTCTTGTGGCGTTTTTGGGTTTCTTTTGAAAAGAAACGCCATGGTTGATTTGCGAGCTTCAGAGCCACAAACGTGAAATTAAAAACGAAATGGGTATTTTAGCTCGGAAATCGTATGACGCACTCACAAACACCTGGTATGTGAATTCCGGACTCAATATTTCTTAGTCAATGTGGCGCACACTTAGACGGCTATTTCCACCAAAGTGATCCTAAACCTTACCGTGGCAGTTTATGCAGGAAGTGTTGAAGTTGCAAACCACGGCATACAGGATGCAATCTAGTTGCGTCGTTGCCATAGTATCGGAAAGGAAAGCAGAACTAAAACCTCAAAGAAAGTTACAGTTACATAAAGTCTGCACCAAATTTGCACCAAATATGGTTTCTTATATTGGAATCTGGAATGCTGTTTCGGTGAATAGAAGCAATCGTCCCATTCTCGAAGATGGAGAGCATATCGTTTACGTCAAAGATAAGGTTGGCGTGTACCAGGGACAACAAAAGATACTCAATCGGCAGATAGGAAGACTATACTTGACGAATTATCGAATAATATATGTCGATGAGGCAGATCCGTTGATGTCCATGAGTATTCCCATATCGATTGTGGAGTCTTGTGGCATCATTGATGGATTTCTTCGATCCTCGGCAAAAGTTCGAGTCAGCTTCAAGCTCGATGATTCAAAGGGACAACCAGAACTTATCTCTCAGTCGTCAAAATCGTCAATAATAGACTGGGTATGCCAGATATGTTCATTTAATAACCATTTGGATACCAAGACAGATCTCGACCAAGACTTTCCACGCTGCACTTCGTGCGGAATACCCCCGCTGCGTACACTTATAGAAAGCTTAATTCAAGGAAAAAACAACGCTAAAGTCGATACTGAAACTCCTAGAGTCAGAGATGACCAATGCCCAAAATGCACTTTTATCAACCACCCTTCGTTACGATACTGTGAATTATGTGGATGTGAGCTCAAGTCGACATTGAGCAAGAGTCTCCAGCAGAAGTTGCACGCTGATGATGCGGGAAGTACCAGCAATATTGCAGGATCTGAAGAACAAGCACATTTGAACATTCGATTAGAAAACGATCAAGAGACATATTCTCGTAGCCCCCCTTATGTCAAGTTCAGTTTTCGGGCAGGTGGGGAACAGACGTTTCATAAACACCTCAATGAGGTCCTCGTTCAAGACCGATGGAGCCGTCTAGAAGCTGCTGGAGCTATTAATAGAGACGCAAAAAAAGTTGATCCAGCCCAAAAAGTGCAAAACACTATTCATGGTGGCGGGATTCACGGACTCGAGCAGATCGGAGAGCAAAGAAGACAGGAAAACGAGACGGTTCTCAGCAGCTCACTCGAAGATTTGGATCAGCTCATGCATCGTGCCCAAGACTTAATCAAATTATCGACAGCATTTCAACCGCTTATCAAGAGGAAGGTCGCATACAAGTCAATTGTACCTCCTCTCAAGATCAAAAAGTCATCAGGACTATATCATCGAGAACTCGCAAGACATATAAGTGAGTATTGTATTAGTGGACCACTTTCGAAAAAACTGTCAATGATCAGCACCCAAGACCTTTTCGCTACTTATAACCGGTATTTGGTCATGACCCAAGGGTTTGGGCTGGAGTTATTAGCACCTTCAGATTTGCAAAAAGTACTAGTTTTAACTGAAGAGTTAAATTTGCCCATCAAGGTCAAAGAGTACGAGAAGAGTGGTTTAGTAGTAATATGTTCAAGAGGTGCTTCACTGTTTGGAGTCAAGGACTTTTTACTTCAACGAGAAAGAGAGTTTGAGCTTGCAAAGCGCAAGTTCGAAGTACTTACGGAAATGGGGTTGGGCGATAGAGACGACTACATGAAAAAAATGTATGCCCATTATAGTGGCTCATCTACTGCTGAAATAGCTGATTCGTTTAATTGGTCGTACTCAATTGCAATCGAGGAGGTGGAAACAAGCGTCAACAGTGGAGAAGTCGTTGTTGATAATAGTATTCTGGGTACCTTTTATTTTGTCAACCGATTTTCGATTCCAGAAGAAGACGTTCCCTCACAACTGAGAGAGGAAATCTGGGACACAATCCAGGAAGAGTTGGCAGAAGAACAACGAACAATCACTAAAACATTAGAGGAACCCAAAGCCGACTATTCGACGCAGCAAGTATCGAATGGGCCAATGTACTCGGCGAGTGCCAATTACGTAAACCTGGCGTTAGACGACTTGCATGGACTCAAGTTTTGAGCCCCAGTGTCTGGATTAGGCAGGTTTTCAAGCGCAATTTGCAATTGTGGGGTTTGCATCTGCATTATCGGGATACGGGCCAGAAGCATAATTACGGCGCACCCGTGGCGATTTGAAGTTAATATTTTCAAGAATATGATATGATCTCAAGAATTGAGAATTGTCTTGTAGTATCTGCTGCGATACTACAACCAATTACATGACACCATTAATCGATTTATCACGTGCTTGCGGTTCACGTCAAAAAGTCCCTGCATTCTATGGCCCCTCCATAGTAATTGATAAGAAACGCCCTGCTTAGGTAATGAGTGATAACGGCCAAGTAGCGGCCCGAAAGCCGCGCGATGCTTTTATCATAGTAGCTTATCGATGAAGCTAATCTTAACAGATGCATTGGCAAGTATATAAAGAGGTGATGTACCCCATGTTTCCTCATCGACTACAATGGCTATTTCATCTTATATTGCTCTTCCTCAAGGAGCTGGTTATGCCGTGGTCTTAGGACTTGGTTTCGTATTTGCACTCGGTATGATGTTGACTACTTTTGTATTGAAACGTTATAACCGAGAAATCATGACTGCTGAAGAGTTCACTACTGCGGGAAGATCGGTGAAAACGGGTCTTATTGCATCGGCCGTGCTTAGTTCGTGGACTTGGGCTGCAACTTTATTGACTTCTACAACTCAAACTTATAACAATGGACTTTCCGGTGCATTCTACTATGCTGCTGGAGCCACTTGTCAGATTGTTTTGTTTGCTTGTTTGGCTATCAAGGGAAAGGAAAGAGCTCCTGGAGCGCATACTTACTTGGAAATCATCAAGGCAAGGTATGGAGTAGCTACTCACCTTGTGTTCTTATTTTTCGGATTTGCAACCAATGTCTTGGTCACAGCCATGTTGCTTAGTGGTGGCTCTGCCGTGGTCAATGACTTGACAGGAATGCATATTGTGGCTGCTTGTTTACTTCTTCCATTAGGAGTGGTTATTTACACCCTTTTCGGAGGTATCAAGGCTACTTTTCTTACAGATTATGCCCATACAGTGATCATGATTATTATTATCATGATTTTTGCCTTTACTGCGTTTGCAACTTCGGACAAATTGGGATCGCCTGGTGCCGTTTGGGAAGCTGTTACTCTTCTTGCTGAAACACAACCTCGTGAGGGTAATGCTGGAGGATCTTATTTGACCATGCATTCCAGATCAGGTGGAATTTTCTTTGTTATTAACATTGTTGGAAACTTTGGAACTGTGTTCCTCGATAACGGTTACTTCAACAAAGCATTTGCTGCTAATCCTGCCGCTGCTCTTCCAGGTTACGTCTTGGGTGGATTGGCTTGGTTTGCTGTTCCAATGTTAACCTCAACTACTATGGGTCTTGTGGCCTTGTCTTTGCAAGATACTCCCGCCTGGCCCACCTACCCTAACAAAATGACTCCTGCAGAAGTCAGTGCTGGATTGGTTCTTCCAAATGCTGCTGTTGCAATGTTGGGCAAAGGTGGTGCCGTTTGCTCTTTGTTAATGGTCTTCATGGCATGTACTTCTGCCATGTCTGCCGAGTTGATTGCCATCTCTTCGGTCTTCACCTATGATGTCTACCGGAGTTACATCAATCCTAAAGCCAGCGGTAAGAAGTTGATCTTCATGTCGCACTGTGCTGTGGTTGTGTTTGCCTATGTTATGGCTGCTTTCGCCATTGGATTATACTACGCTGGAATCGGAATGGGTTACTTGTACGAGCTCATGGGCATTATAATTGGTGGAGCTGTTCTCCCGCTGGCTTTAACATTGTTGTCGAAAAATCAGAACAAAGTCGCTGCTACTTTATCGCCAGTTTTGGCCACAATTTTGGCCATTATGTCGTGGTTAGTTTGTGCCAAGAAGAAGTTTGGTGCTGTCAACGTCGATACTACTTTTGAGGATGATGCCATGCTTACAGGTAACGTGGTGGGCATTATTATCTCCCAGTGGGTATTTGTTCCCGTAGCTTACAATTGTCTTCAAGCCCCAAAATTTCGACTGGCTGATTTTGAAATCCATCACTAGAGTTGACGAGGAAGAGGAATTGATTGCCGCGACCGAAGTGAACGACGCTGATCCAGAATACATTCATCCTGTGAAATCACAAATTACAGTTATGGCAACCGAGATTGCGGACTCTCATGAAGATCGATTAGAAGAGGAAACTAAAAAGTTGAACAAGTCGTTTAAGATTGCCGCCGTCATTTGTGTATCATTGACGTTATGTTTGGTGATTTTGTGGCCCATGCCAATGTATGGCTCCTCGTACATTTTCTCCAAAAAGTTCTTTACGGGATGGGTTTCGGTGTTGTTCATTTGGATTTTTTTCAGTGCTTTCATGGTTATTGTGTATCCCATCTGGGAAGGTAGGGATGCAATTGCCATCACTTTCAGAGGTATCTACTGGGATTTAACTGGTCAAGGGTACAAGGTGAAGCAATGGCAAGAGTCCCACCCCGAGAAATTGCATGCGATTCAATCTCAAGTCTCTGCAAGGTTGTTGGCCATTAGCCAAAGCAATGGAGTTGTGGAAGGTAAAACACTCCAGATGGTATCTACACCCCAAGACATATCGATGAGGAATTGGAGAAAAGGAGTAATTTATGGTAGATGATAGAGTATTTATTTGTGGGATGAATAAGAGTATTAATTGAGAGGTAAATATTCGTATCTTACTCACATGACGATTGAGATACTAGGTTCGCGGTTGGAAACGAGATAGAGGTTGCGAAAGCCCGGGCCTTAAGTCCTTTTAGTAGCCAGTTTAGGTTCAAGTATCTCAGCACTATCTGATTGCGGTGCTCCTCATTTACCCCACACCCCACCTTATCGCACTTTTTTGCAGCCTTGATCCGCAACCGGCGGATCCTGATTTCGCAGGTGTGAAAAAACACACCTCGCTATCGAATCTGACATCTATCTCCCGCCAATCACCGCGCGCGTTCTCTATCATCTGCTTCCACACAGGACAACGGTCTGTATGCAGGGCAATCGCAGATTGGCAGCCGCGGGAAGTTCTAAAACGGGCCGTCGGTCGGCGGAGCGGCGTCGAGCCCGACCAAATCGGGGATCTCCGTTCGATGCCCACCTGGAATCTGGGTACTATATATACCTTGGGGAAGGCATTTTGGGATTTGCAAGTGACACTTTACCTTCGATTGGGATTTCGAGAATAATACCATAATCTATCAAAACTACACATTTCATTAACTTACCTATTCAACATTCAATCACGTCTGCTAGAGAATGTCTTACATAGGTTTCACCGTACAAGAGTGGGTCAAGTACCATTTTAACTCGACTCCCAACGAGTCCTTTGCAACTCTTTGTGAATTGCTCGAATCGCAAAATGCCGCACCCAAAGATCCAGCTTGGATCTCACTTGCAACCAGAGACAATCTTGAACACCAATGGCATTTTCTTCAAAGTAAAGCTGATAAGCACAGTCTTCCACTTTACGGTGTGCCGGTGGCAATTAAGGACAACATTGACGTGAAAGGATTTAAAACTACTGCTGCTTGTCCTCTGTATGCCTTTGAGCCCAAAGAAGACGCTACCACTGTTAGGCTCTTGAGAAATGCCGGTGCTATAATCATTGGTAAGACTAATTTGGATCAATTTGCAACCGGATTGGTAGGAACCAGAAGTCCCTATGGAATTACTCCCAATACTTTCAATGACAAATACGTCGTTGGTGGTTCTTCTGCTGGTTCTGCTTCGGTGGTGGCCCGAGGAATCGTACCAATTGCTTTGGGAACCGACACCGCTGGTTCTGGAAGAGTTCCCGCTGCTCTCAATAATGTTATTGGTTTGAAACCAACCAAGGGTGTCTTTTCTTGTGGCGGAGTGGTCCCAGCATGTAAATCATTGGATTGTGTTTCGATCTTTTCGTTGAATTTGCAAGATGCTCAATTGACATTCAATTTGATGGCCCACCCAGATACTGAGAACGACGAGTACTCCAGACCCATGCCAGATAACCCTCTTGTTTCGTTTCCCTCAACTCCAAATGTGCTTGTACCAACTGATTTATTGTGGTTCGGAGAAACTGAGAACCTCAAATTGTTCAACAAGGCTGTTGAATTTGTCCAAAAGACTGGTGTCAACATCAAGTCCTACGACATTGAACCTTTACTTGAATTAGCTCGATGTCTTTACGAGGGACCTGGGGTTTCTGAACGATACGCTGCTATCAGAAAGTTTCTTGACACCAATCCTCCAACTGATACTCTTGACCCTACTGTTATGAATATAATCAAGGGTGGAGCCAAGCATTCAGCCGTGGATGCCTTTGAGTTTGAGTACAAGAGACAAAGAATTTTGCAGCAAGTGGAAGAAATTATTGGACGATATTGACGTCATTGTGGTTCCAACAGCTCCATTGACTCCAACCATTGCTGAAATCAAAGCTGACCCAATAAAGGTCAACTCCAAGCAGGGAACTTACACCAACTTTGTCAACTTGGCAGACTTATCAGCTTTGGCAGTACCAGCTGGTTTCCGTGCCGATGGCTTGCCATTCGGAATCACGTTCTTGTCACACAAATTCAACGACTATGCATTGCTCGAATTTGCTTCCAGATACATGAAGCAATACTCCCAGGTGCAAAGAAGATTTGCTGGCTGTTTGAAAGACCACACCTCGACTATCAACGACAATTTGCTTGCACTTCCAAAACCCAACTTTGATTCCCAAATAAAACTCGCTGTGGTCGGAGCTCACTTGAAAGGATTCCAGTTGCACTGGCAATTAGAAAAGTGCCATGCTACATTCATCGAGTCTACGACGACATCCGCTTCGTACAAGCTTTACGCTTTGCCAAAAACCGGACCAGTTCAAAAGCCAGGTCTTCGCAGAGTAGCTACAGATGGTGCTGAGATTACAGTCGAAGTCTATGCTGTACCAAAGGAATATTTTGGTCGTTTCATTAGCATGGTTCCAGAGCCATTAGGAATTGGTTCTGTTCAGTTACGTTCTGGAGAATGGATTAAGTCTTTCATTTGCGAGGAAGCTGGCTACAATTCACCTGGAACAACCGATATCACCAAGTTTGGTGGCTGGAAAAAGTACCACGAGTATCTCGAGCAAGAATCCAAGAAAAACAAGAAACCATTCAATTCCGTCTTGGTTGCTAATAGAGGTGAGATAGCTGTGAGAATCATGAAGACATTGAAGAAATTGAACATCAAGTCCATCGCGGTATACCTGAACCCCGATAAGTATGCCAAACATGTGCTCATGGCAGATGTTGCTGTTCCATTAAACGGAGTTTCTGCAGCAGAAACTTACATCTCCATTGACAAAATCATTGACGCAGCAAAGTCTACAGGAGCCGAAGCAATTATTCCCGGTTATGGTTTTTTATCTGAAAATGCAGATTTCTCTGATAGATGTACTAAAGAGGGGATTGTATTTGTTGGACCTGCTGGAGATGCCATCAGAAAGTTGGGATTGAAACACTCGGCGAGAGAAATCGCTTCTGCCGCTGGTGTTCCGTTAGTTCCTGGATCCGGTCTTGTGAAAGATAGCAAGGAAGCTAAGGAGATTGCTGCAAAGTTGGAGTATCCAATTATGGTCAAGTCTACCGCCGGTGGAGGTGGTATTGGTTTGCAGAAAGTTGACTCTGAGGCTGATATCGAGAGAGTTTTCCAGACTGTGCAGCATCAAGGAAAGTCCTACTTTGGCGACTCGGGAGTATTTCTTGAGCGTTTTGTGGAAGACGCTCGTCATGTGGAGATTCAAATGTTCGGTGATGGTTACGGTAAAGCCATAGCTTTGGGTGAGAGAGATTGTTCGTTGCAGAGAAGAAATCAAAAGATCATAGAAGAGACTCCTGCGCCCAATCTTCCTGAAGCTACCCGGGCAAGGATGAGAAAAGCAGCAGAATCATTAGGTGCTACAATGAACTATAAGTGTGCTGGTACGGTTGAGTTCATTTATGATCAAAGAAGAGACGAGTTTTACTTTCTTGAAGTTAATGCCAGACTTCAGGTTGAACATCCTATTACTGAAATGGTTACTGGTCTTGATTTGGTGGAGTGGATGTTGTACATTGCAGCCGATATGCCACCTGACTTTGATCAAAAAATCACCGTAACTGGTGCCTCGATGGAGGCTAGATTATATGCTGAGAATCCTGTTAATTTACTTCATGCCATCCCCAGGTCAATTGACCGAGGTCAAGTTTCCAGCTGGGCTAGATTGACGTTGGGTAGAAAAGACCACGTTTCGCAGAATACGACCCACTCTAGCCAAATCATTGTTCACGGTAAAGATCGTGATGACGCTTTGCGCAAGTTACGTCAAGCTTTGAACGAAACAGTTGTCTATGGGTGTATTACCAATATTGACTACTTGCGTTCGATTGCCGATTCCAAGATGTTTGAAGAAGCCAGAGTAGCTACGAAAGGTGTTGGACTCTTACAAGTATCAACCTACAGCATTTGAAGTTATCAATCCTGGTGCTTATACTACCGTCCAAGATTATCCAGGACGTAAAGGCTACTGGCACATTGGAGTTCCTCCATCAGGATGCATGGATGAGTACTCGTTTAGAATTGCAAACAGAATTGTTGGAAACCATAAGAAAGCTCCAGGTATCGAGATTACTTTGAGTGGTCCAAAGTTGTTGTTTCATCATGATGTCGTTGTTGCTATCACTGGTGGAAAGGCAGAAGTTGATGTGAACGGAAATCCAGTTGACCAGTGGGCGCCTATTTTCATCAAGGCCGGTGACAAGTTGTCCATTGGTAAATTGAGCACTGGTTGCAGGGCCTACTTGGCTATTAGAGGTGGTATTGATGTCACTGAGTACTTGGGATCTCGCTCAACATTTGCACTTGGAAATTTGGGAGGCTACAATGGCCGTGTATTGAAATTGGGAGATGTCTTATTTTTGGGACAACCAGAATTACCCAGTTGTACCTTACCATCTGCTGTTTCGGAACCAACTAAAATCCCAGAATCTTTGATTCCCTCTTATGATTTCAATGCCAACAAGAGCTGGAAGGTAGGTGTAACGTGTGGTCCTCATGGATCGCCAGATTTCTTCAAACCAGAATCTGTCGATGAATTCTTCTCCGCCAAATGGAAGATCCACTATAACTCCAACAGATTTGGAGTCCGCCTTATTGGACCAAAGCCTCAATGGGCCAGAAAGGATGGAGGTGAAGCAGGTTTGCATCCCTCCAATGCTCATGATTATGTTTACTCTTTGGGTGCCATTAATTTCACTGGTGACGAGCCTGTCATATTGACTTGTGACGGTCCTTCATTGGGAGGTTTCGTTTGTGAGGCTGTGGTAGCTGAAGCTGAAATGTGGAAGATTGGACAAGTCAAACCTGGGGACACCATCCAATTTGTACCTCTTTCTTTTGAAGATGCCAAGCTGTTGAAGTCCAAACAGGATTCGCTTGTTGAAAGCTTGCAAGGAGAGTTACCTTCTATTGAAACCAAAGCGTTGCCCAAACCAGAAAATCCTGTTCTCGGTGAAGTCCAAGTTTCTCCTAATGCTCCCAAGGTCGTTTACCGTCAAGCTGGTGACAGATACATCTTGGTCGAGTATGGTGAAAATGTATTGGATTTGAACTTGAGCTACAGAATTCATAAGCTCATTGAAATGGTCAAGGATAACAAAACCAAGGGAATTGTTGAGATGTCTCAAGGTGTGAGATCCGTGTTAGTTGAGTTTGACTCTGAGGTTACTCAGAAACAACTTTTGCAAACTCTTATCTCTTACGAAAAGGAGATTGTCTTTGAGAACAAATGGAAGGTTCCTTCTCGTGTTATCAAATTACCTATGGCTTTTGAAGACGAGAAGACCCTCGCTGCTGTCAAGAGGTACCTGGAGACCATTAGAGCCGAAGCTCCATGGTTACCCAACAACGTCGACTTTATTGCTAGTATCAATGGAGTTGATAGAAGTGATGTCAAGAACATGATGTACACTGCCCGGTTTTTGGTTCTTGGATTGGGAGATGTCTTCCTCGGTGCACCTTGTGCGGTTCCTTTGGACCCAAGACACAGATTATTGGGTACCAAATATAACCCTTCGCGTACTTACACACCAAACGGTACCGTTGGAATTGGTGGAAACTACATGTGTATCTACACCATGGAGTCTCCTGGTGGATATCAGTTGGTAGGACGTACAGTTCCAATTTGGGACAAGTTGTCGTTGGGTTCACACTCTGTTAATCCATGGTTGCTTTCACCTTTCGATCAGGTTGAGTTCTATCCTGCTTCCGAAGCTGAGGTGGATGAATGCTCTGAACGTATGAATGCTGGTAAGTTCAAGGTTGAAATTGTGGATTCCGTCTTTGATCATGGTGCATACTTGAAATGGGTGCAAGAGCATTCTGCTTCGATTGAGGAATTCCAGAAAAACCAAGGCGGGGAGAAACTAGAGGAGTTCAACCGCTTGATTCAAATTTCAAATGCTGAATTGGCAACGAATGGGGGTGTTAAGTTGGGAGAGGATGAAAAGTTTAGCGACGATGCCGAATTGGTATACTCTGAGTACTCGGGACGATTCTGGAAACCATTGGTAGCTGTTGGCGACGAAGTCAAACAGGGTCAAGGTTTGATTGTAGTGGAAGCCATGAAGACAGAGATGGTGGTGAATGCGACTCGTGGAGGTAAAGTTGTCAAGATCTTCCATGATAATGGAGACATGGTTGATGCGGGAGATTTAGTGGTGGTTATTGAATAGTTTAAATTTTACAAATCATGATGGATTTTGTAGCAAAGTGAGTGGTGAATGAGAAGATGCGGTAGTGGAAGATATGAAGTAGTATAAGAAATGTATTGTAATACAGTGTGAACCAGAACCGTGAACATAACAGTCTTCTGTGCCGGCCCGCGTACGCGGTTAAATTCTCAACTTTTTACACACCTAATCTACGTATTATGACAGAACCAAAGGTCACGGCCGCTTCGCTTCAGCCCGAGCAATGGACCATGTCTTCCAATCAGGCTCTACAGATATTTATCACTGAACCAAGTGGCGCTAAACATTTCCAGCCTGCTTTTACATATCCAGTTTTTGGTGAAGCTGAACAAATATTCGGATTCAAAGATCTTGTAATATTCCTTTGCTTTGACCATTGCACGTTCTACCCTTTCTTGAACGTCAGGTACTCGGAAAAATTGAGCGACGAATCTCTTGAGGAACCAAAGGACCAACTTTTGAAGTTTTTACCAGAGTCCACCATCTTCAAAGACGAAGAAGAATGGGCTGATGCAATTCAAGAAGAGCAAGAAAACTACACTATTCCCGGGACACAATTTGGTGAGACCTTCACACAAGGAGGCAGTAGCTATGCTATTTACAAGATTGACCTCAAATCCGAAAGAGGATTAGAACTCTTAAAAAGATTACAGTTTCTTACCTTGTTATTCATTGAAGCTGCTTCATACATCGACAGCACAGACGAATTGTGGGACCTTTACGTGTTATACAAGGTAGATGATCCGAAACTACCCTCTGTGGTTGGATTGTGTACAGCTTATAACTACTGGAAATACCCTGGCGGTAAGAATTTCGATGAAGGTAAGGAAGAAGTCCGAAAAAAGCTTTCGCAGTTCATTATACTTCCTACACATCAGGGTAACCATTTGGGTGGACAATTTTACAATCGCTTATTTGAACTTTGGAAGTCAGACCCCAAGGTTGTCGAAATTGTGGTAGAAGATCCCAACGAGAGTTTTGACGACTTGCGAGACCGAAGTGACTTTTCGCGCCTCGTAGAGCAAAATATCTTCGACCTCCGAAGCATAGACATGAACCTCGTCAATAGCGATTGGTGGGAAACGACAAGAAGAGAGCAGAAGCTTGAACGAAGACAATTTTCTCGTTTGGTTGAAATGCTACTTTTACAAAAGTTGAAGTCGCCCAGTCCAAACGTCACAAACAAGGAGGTGAGGTTATTTATCAAAAAGAGATTGTTTGAGAAAAACAAAGAAGCATTGGCGGGTCTCGACGAAGCAACACGAAGGGACAAACTACACACAGCTTACGAATCGTTGGCACAGGATTATTACAGAATAATGGAGCCACTCAAATTAAAGCGAGAAAATGAAGCCTTGGACAATGGCGCCAATAAGAAACCCAAACTTGAGTAGACTGGTCGATGAAATCGCAATTCCGGTATAAGCTTTGCGTTTAATGTCAGTCGTAAATTATGCATATGCATATTTGCAGCCTTGAGATAGCAGAAAATTATCAGATAATATGTCATGGAAGACAGAGTTCAAAAGTCCGAGTTCCTAACATGTTGCGGCTCACCCACAAAAATGCTAATCTACTCAAGCGGCTGATTGCAATTGCATCTCTTGCATGGGCCAGTGGTCATGGTATTACGTCATTTGATGCGAAGAAGTTTCGGTATATGCTTCTATAAGGGCCGTGACGTCATAATTTGTGATTACGTAAACGTCAATAACCTCAATGCGGAATAACCATAACCGGAATGCGAATTCGGGTGCACACAATTGGTGCTCTTTTTTGATGAGTAAACTAAATAATTGGAAAGAAACAGAGAAAATAACATGTTCCTGCAAACTGGTTTCTGTGGCTCGTTTTTGCTTTACCTCCTTGCTCTCTCCATTGTACGTGACTCGCCCGCCTCGTCATGTCTCTTGTGCCGAGACGCGTGCGGCTCATAGCAAGTAACACAAAGAAGTCATCCTCAACGGACCTCACTATTTAAAAGGGGGGTGTAACCGTCATTTTTATTTTATCTATTGAAGATTGTTCATTAATAAAAAATGCACAGAACTTATTCTTTGAGAAGTCAAAAGGCTCCTACCGCCGCTCAATTGCAATCCCCACCTCCTCCTCCCTCGACTACTAAGTCAAGATTTTTCGGAAAGGGAGGAATTGCTTCCTCGTTCAGAAAGACGGTTGCTGGTAACACCGGTCCGGAATTGTCGAGAAAATTGAGTCAATACGTCAAGATGGAAAAGAATGTGATGAGAGCCATTGAATTGACTGCCAGAGAACGTCGTGACGTTGCCAAGCAATTGAGTGCTTGGGGTGAAGAAAACGACGAGGATGTCTCCGACGTTACCGATAAATTGGGAGTTTTAATTTACGAGATTGGTGAGTTGGAAGACCAATACATTGACAAGTACGACCAGTACCGTATAACCTTGAAGACCATTCGTAACATTGAGTCTTCTGTTCAACCATCCAGAGACAGAAAGCAAAAAATCACCGACGAAATTGCTCACCTCAAATACAAAGACCCTCAATCGCCAAAAATTCCAGTTTTGGAACAAGAATTGGTTAGAGCCGAGGCTGAGTCTTTGGTTGCTGAGGCACAATTGTCCAACATTACCAGACAACAATTGAAGGCTGCTTTCAACTACCAATTCGACGCTACCAGAGAATTGGCCGAAAAGTACGCTTTGGTTGCTGGTTACGGTAAGGCCTTGTTGGAGTTATTGGATGAGTCTGCTGTGACTCCAGGAGAGACCAGACCAACTTACGATGGCTACGAAGCTTCCAAGCAAATTATCATTGACGCTGAGAACGCCTTGGCCTCATGGACTTTGGACTCTGCTGCTGTCAAGCCAACCTTGTCCTTGCACCAATCTGAGTACGAGGAGCCTGCTGAGGATGATCTTGCCAATGCTGAGGAGGAATTCGCCAAGCATGACGAGGTTGCTGAAAAGTAAGGTCACATAATGTAACAATCTAAATCGCTATGATAAGCTGGCCTGTCCTCTTTTTGTAATATTTGTATTATTTTAATAGCCTTCGTATAATTATTAGCTCGATTGCATTTTTGTTTCCACTGAAACTGTAAGCTGTAGAGCGTTGTCAAGCTCTTTGAGGGTGATTATGCTTTTAGAAGCAAGTTCAAGTATGCTGGAAAAAGATGCTGCAACGATGGATCTCGTTGGTGGACTTTCTGCCTCAATGGTCAAAGATTGATCTATACTGCGAGGTAAAAGCTGATGCAACATGACGACGCATTTGAGTTTTGGAGAAATATTTTCCCCCCTTTGTTCCGCTTTGTCGTACCTTGAAACAGCACCGTACTTCATTCCTCTCAATATCAAGAATTGGTAAAATTCACGTAGTTGGCCGTGTATCTCAGCAGGAATAACAGCCAAATTTTTACCCTCAGAATCTACTATTGGTTCCAAGGCAAAATCAGCTATTGGGAAAGTATTCGTCTCCTTTGCTTCTTGACTTTCTGCACGTAACCCAAGCTCAGGAAGCGAGATATCGTAATCTTCTTGCATGTAATTTGGCTGCAAATTTTCATCCTGATCATCGAAGAGCATAGCGGCATCACCATAGTATTCGCTGATACTAGCCTGTGAGGGGATGAGGTTCCTACCCACCTCATGTTCGACAGAAGCATCTTCTATGCTCTTCATAAGGGTGCTTTGTAATTCCCTGTAATCTGAACGATCAAAGTAGTTGGCGACCTCGACATTTTTGGAAATGCATCGATAGCAGTAAGAAGTGAGATGGTTCAAAGTGTATGGATGACGGAAAAACTCTATGTTGAGGATCTCTGTGGTTACCGGTTTCAAGCTTTCGCTTTTACATCTCTTCGTTGTGTGATTGAGAACACATTCCTCATCAATAATAAGCCTGCGTTTCTTCGGATCTTTTTTGATGGTTGATGACGACGAAGAGTCTCGAAGTGTGCTTTTGAACAAGCCGGATATTGTGGACTCAACCTGTGGTTCTTGCCCTTGGGGATAGATGATATCTGGGAGCAAGGTATCCATGTTCACATCCTCCTCGATATTATTTTCAAGCTGATGACCCAAGTCAAGTGCAAAGTCGTCATCGATGTCAAGGCTCTTATTAGATATGTGATGGTACTGCTGGGCTTGCGGTGAGGATATAAATCGTGTGCTTGTATCTTGTTCTTTTTGCTTAACTTCAAATGGTAAAGAATTGAAAGTTACAGCAGTCAAAGACAAAGTGAGATCCATCTGGATGTCAAAACTTTGATCATCAGATAGAAACGTAATCTTCTTAGACCTCCTAGCTTCTCCATTATTAGTGACCTTGGTCAGAGGAAGAATGTTTAAGAACCTAGCCAGATTCAACTGAAACTGAATATTGGAAACATCTCTCATGATACAAGATACCTGCTGTGAGTACATGATAGATAAGCCATGCATCAATTTCGACAAGTCACGAAGTAGAAAAGTCTGGCTATTTTTCGAGATTTGATTGCACAATTCATGAACTGAATAATTGGTAATTCGGCTTTTGGCTAACTTCGAAGCAAGGCCACTAATTCCTATATTATCCAATTGCCATGCTAGACGTAATCCCTCATCATTCTCGAGCCTGCTCAAGAGGTTCATGATAGTATGCAAAAGTGGTAGAAATATAAAGGGTGAGTGTGAAAGTTATGTGTCAGATAATGTGAATTTTGCAACCATACCCACTAATGGAACGCGTGCAAAAAAAGGTAAATTTTTAGATAAGATTAAGATAGTTTATAACGAATACTATAGATTGCATCGTGCAAGACAACAACCCATTTTATAGTATCTGTGTAGTTGCTGCGTTCTGCCGCATCATATAGTCTCCATAGAAGTACTTGTCGACTGTTGGTTTCAAAATAAGTCGAATTTTGTTCAGTGGAAAAAGGTACCTCTCCATATATCAAATGGTGGAACCATGTTTCTTTCGCTGGTGAGCTAAAGATGTACTCATAATGCCTTGGTTTTAACGACAACTCATTCTCTAAATGTATCAACTTATGGTTCACAACCTTGTATTGAGCATAACGTTTCAACTTGACAAGAGCCTTATACCAGGGATAATCCTCAATAAGACCATCTTGAACTTCCTTGGAATAGGTATCGAAATGGCTGGAGATCTCCACCGCTGATTGTAGAAGGGACTGGAATTCAGCTATCAAGTCCCCGAATCGCACACTATTAATATCCACATCGTTCTTCACGTTGTTATATATGGTCGACTTTTCAAGGAGCTTTGAAGGAACCAATTTGTTGCTCCATGCTGATAACTGGTTCTGGTACTTCTCTTTGTAATTGTCAAAGGACCTTGAAATACTTTCAAAGTATGGTTCGGTTTTACTATGAAGAATCTCTCTCTCGCTCAAGGAAATGGTGAAAAGACCAACAAACCGTGCTAACAGAGAATGTAAATTCAAGTTCTCATCGACGTCTTTAACATGTTTTAGAGAGAACATATTGGAATTGTGACAGTATCCTGTTTCATTATCAAACCTGACATTGATTACAGGTGCGCTCAAGTGGTTTTGAAAGACAAATGCATCGGACCGGTCAGGATTGTCTGATATAATGTTATGGATGACATTTTTGTCTTGTTTGTTCCAGTAACGAAAAAGAGTCGACCTGGACCCCTTTTCGTTTGGAAATGGGATATATTTGGCCGTCTTTTTAATCAAGTGATCAAACACAGGAGTTGATTCTATTCTGAAATTAGTGCCTCTCACAATGTCAAGGTCAAGGTTGATGTAGCACAAGACTGGGTGCTTATTATCAAGAGCTTTCGGATCATCGCCAAAAAGTTGACTGCCTACCAAACCACTTCTGGATCCATCCCAAGACACGAACTTTATGGTCCGTAAGGGCTTCCAGCCGAGTTTTAAAAGCTGACGGAAATGCTTCATAATCTCAAACAAAACAGCATGATTGCTCAAGACATTGGCAGAAGTTAGCGAGTCTCTACCCGCGCCAATGATAATCTCCCCGTCGTTAAGAATTCCCTTGACAGATCCAACGACGTTGGAAATTCTTCTCGGTTTCTGGTCGAGAAAATTGCTGCTCAAATGGAGCATTAAGCGCTCGTCTGTTGCTTTGGACGCTTCGAGTATCGGTTGAATGGAGGCATAGCTAACGGGAATGGCCGGGATAGATGGACGAGAGTTGGCATTATTCCAGAACGGTATCAAAGACCCACTATCTCTTGAAATTGCCGCCGAATTGTTCAAATCTTCATGGTAGATGATGAACCCTACAGCGCCTTTGTGCTGGGCAATTTGTAGCTTTTCGGCTGCGGAGAGTACCGAAGACAGATTTGACTTGGCTATCACTATACAGCCGTTAACATCCTTAGTGTAGCTCAGATGGGTCCCTTCTTCGACGTAGACAAATGGGGCCGTAACCGCTCCATTGGAGCCGAAACTGAGGTATGCGGGTGTTGAGAAGCCCTTCTCGCTCAAGCGAGCATCGTAGATGACCGCACCATCGTCAGCTATCAACGAAAGTGTCAGGGATTGCGGGCAGCGGAGTTGCGGTACGTTGTAGGAGTAGGTATGAGGATGGTATCCAAGCAGTTTAAAGACGTTAGACACATACCGTTCTAGGTCTGGATTATCTGTAGATGTCAACGAATGGCTTTTGGCCTCGCTGATTTTCGTGAGGTTTCCCAACCACATGTCTATGGATTCCCTATTGGTGAAGCTGGTGTTTTCTGTGTCGCTGTAAAGAAGAAAGTTGCGTTTGATGTCAGATTTGGTCAAATGGAGGCCATACCATCTGCGAAAGTCTCGGCTGAGTGACGTTCGAGGTAAGAAAGAAAGATGCATTATTATGATGGCGGCGAGACCCAAACAGCAGAACCACCAGAACCGTCGCTTCACGAGCTTCTGTTGTTGAACTTGGTAGTACTCATCGTATTTGGATTGAAGGTCTTCTATCATTTCCGGTTCCAAGTCACCATCTCCTATTATCGAATATTGCAGATGACGATGTTCTAAAAATGGCGTGGTTTCGGATACCAGGGAATAGACTTCATTTTCGGTGTCTACTACTGACAGGTTCGTTCTCTCGGACGAAATAGACATGTCACGTTCTGTTGCAGCATAAAAGGAGAAACTGAGTGCTTCCCCACGTGAGGTTGGTTATCGTCCTGCATGTCTTTCAAGTGCAGTGACGTGCGACCAGAGAAGGGCTCTGTGCAGTCTGCGATGCCATTTAAGTTTGGCATCTACAAGCACCTATCAAGCACCCAGCGAAAAATCACGGTTTTGCAGCATGGCTCAAAGTGCTTCTGGATCCACGGTGCCGCAGGTGACCAGCTCACAAATACTTAAGGAGGCGTTCGAAAGCAAGGAGCAACGATGGCTGCGGCCCCAGCAAACGATCCAAGACCTCGAGGACTTGCGATCATTTCAGATCACCAAGCGCCGAGAATACGAACAGCAAATCAACAAAAACAGACTCAATTACGGCCAATGGCTTCGGTACGCCAAATGGGAGGTGGAATTCAATCGAGATTTCACTCGAGCCAGATCCATCTATGAACGGGCACTCGAAGTAGATGTCGAACACATCCCATTTTGGACCCAGTATATCCGGATGGAATTGCATCACCGCAATGTCAACCACGCGAGAAACCTCTTGGAAAGGGGTGTGACTGTGCTTCCGAGAGTACACAAGTTGTGGTTTATGTATGTTCAAACGGAGGAGATCTTGGGCCATTATCAAGCTGTCAGGGACATCTTTGAACGATGGCTTTCATGGCATCCTACTCCAGAAGCATGGGACGCCTATATCAACTTTGAGCGACGCTACGACGAATATGACAATGCCAGGTCTATCTTTGTGCGCTATGTACTGGAACATGACACTGTCGAAACTTGGTCCAAATGGATCCATATGGAATCTGGTATTCTCGATAATGTGCCTCATATTCGAAAGATCTATGAACTTGCGGCTAACACATTACTTGAGAAGTTGAAAACGGGTACTGTGAAAGAGGATATAATGAGCATTTTCATCCAGTGGGCTTCGTGGGAAGCGTCGGTTCGTGAGCAGGAAAGAGCCAGTGCAATATACTCCGTCTTGTTGGACGAGTCCAAGTTTCAGTTCCCACAGCACCAAAGGGAAACGTTGTTGCGTGGATTTGCTGACTTTGAAAGACAATATGGTAACCATGATACCATCGAAAAAAGCATACGTTTGAAACGTCGAGCAGAATACGAACAGGAGATTAAAACAGACCCGCATAATTACGATTCGTGGTGGGCACTTATCGATATTCTCAAAGAAGAGAATAAAACTGGTGATATCAAAGAGACCTACGAGAAATTTATGAATACTTCCCCCACCACAGACGACGGTAAGACGGTTTATTGGCGCCGATTTGTGTTACTAGGAATCAGATATGCTCTATGGACCGAATTCGACGTTGAAGATGTTGAAGAAGCACGGTCAGTATGGAATAGGCTATTGCAAGCTATTCCTCACAAACAATTTACATTTTCCAAGGTGTGGATTGGAGTGGCTGAATTCGAGTTGAGAAATAGTCCTGAGGACGGCTTACTACGTGCGAGGAAAGTTCTTGGTAGAAGCATTGGACTTACAAGTTCAAGAGCCAAACCAAAGTTGTTCCGGTTCTATATCGAACTAGAGAGAAAACTTGGCGAATGGGATCGAGCTCGCAAGCTATTTGAAAAATGGATAGAGACTGAGAGTTCAAATGGAGTTCAGAATATATGGCTGGTGGTGAAGCAATATGTTGCTTTCGAAGAGGCTAACCGAGAACACGAAAGATGTCGTTCATTATTTGAGTTCATGTTGGACCTTACGACTCGGGAAAATGATGTGAAGTTAAAAGGGACAGTATGGAATCTGTACATTGAGTTCGAAAAGGACCTCTTCAACTACTCCCTTGCAAGAGATCTTTATGAACGGTACACAAAGACCAGCGATGTTGCATCTTCGTGGATATCTTTTGCCTTGTTTGAATCGAGTATTCCTACGGAAGAACAACTTCGAATCTTTGAAGAAAGTGAAGAAGAAGAGGTGGAGTTCAACATAACCGACCAGCATAAGCAGAACACCAGCGCAATTTTCAAGCGGGCATTGGAACATTTCGCTGCAAAGGGACTTTCAGAAGAGCGTCTTGTGGTGTTGAGAGCATGGCAAGGTTACGAAAATGAACATGGAGACGAACAGAGCGTAAAGCAAGTCCAAGAGTTACTTCCTGAGTTTGTTCGGAAGCGCAGGGTGGTCAATGGCGTTGAAGAAGAGTACATTGAGTACGAGTTTCCCGGCGACAAGGAATCCGCCCCGGCAGAGCCATCGATCAACAAGTTCTTGCAAAATGCCAAATTATGGGCGGCTAAGAACGGCTGAAAGCAATTACGTCAAGTTCGTGACTTCTGGTAGTATCAGCATAGTTATTGAGTATATGAATAAAGAATTGCATTCGTCAAAGGTACCAATGACTAGGATAAACGCTAAATTTCGAAAGTAAGAGATTCAGTAACCGGTACATTTCTACTCCACTAACCTCTGGCCAAGATTAACATCCTAATTCGGCTATCCTACCATCCACCTCTCAAGGTCAACACCAAGTGCAAGGAACTCCCTGGTGTGATATTAGACTCCAGAACCGTGCTTTCGTCGTCCAACTGTGATCCGTTGAAAATGAGTCTTTGCTGGGAGGGAGGAATTCCCTCTTTTTCTTCCATCATTTCCTTGACACGAATGATTCTGTCGGTCGGTTCGATGTCAACAGGGATGTCTCTGCCTGTCAATGTTTTCACTTTGACTTGCATGGTATCTAGTATATAATCACAAAGTTGGATTCTACGCGCGATGAAGTGCAAATCGAGTGCGATGTGCGATTCGAGTGCGATCGATTCGGTCCATGCTAGCTACACCAGAAGTTCCCACGTTGGACTTAAATGTATATGAGCCTGCTGAGGACTCTTTCCTACTTCTAGACTGCTTGGAGCAAGACCAGCACTACTTAAAACTGCATTTAAATACGTCTGTGCCTATAGTATCGGAGATTGGAGCTGGTTCAGGAATTGTGATTGCATTTATCAAACGACACTTGTATCCCTGGGGCATCTATATACCTACCGATGTCAATCCACATGCCTGCCAGGCGGTTCTTGCCACCTTAAAGAAGAACAGTGGTGGTGTTCCTCTGATATATGACGTTTGTCAGATGGACTGTACCACGGCCATACGAAGTCAATGCCTTGATTTATTGGTATTTAATCCTCCCTACGTCCCCGCAGAGGCTGTGCCTGCTACCCCTAATACTCTCGATGACGAAACTTGGCTTGACCTTGCGTTGTTGGGAGGAGACGATGGCATGGAAGTCACATGGAGAGTATTGAAAAATTTGAGCTCGATTCTTGCTCCCAATGGCATAGCATATATATTGTTCTGTGCTCGAAATAAGCCGAAGGAGGTGTGTCTTTACATGCGTAGCCAAGGCTGGCTAGCAGAGGAAGTCATTACTAGAAAGGCAGGATGGGAAGTGCTTACCGTGGTGCGATTTGAAAAAGACGAAAATCATCAAAAGTAAAAAGGCGCTTTCAAGTAGTACTGTCGTCAAGGCATTATACTCCTGAACCAAACGGTTTCCTCTTGTGTCTTTTTTATGACCTGACTTTCTCCATCCTTAAGTATGGGTGCATCGCGGCACCATCTCATCGACTCAACTTGAGACTGTCACAGTCCACTTTACATTCCTAATCACAACTAAAAATGGAAAATCCAGCTTCTTCCAGACCTACAAAATGGTCTGGGACTCCGTTACGACATAAAACCATCGATGGACAAAAACTCGATACCATTATATCTGGCCATCTCACCTCCGAGCAGCTCGATGCGTACCAGCAGTACTTCAGAATCGAGGAGATCAGCGACCTTTTACGAACATCCAACAAACGCAGAGTTGGTGTACTTCTGTTGTTGCCTTCTGGAAAGCCACAAGAGAACCCAAACCTAAAGAGAGACCCTTCCCCTCCTCCCAAGTATGACAATTATGGCAACAGAGTCAACACTCGCGACTCGTTAATGGGCCTTTCACTCGAAAACGAACGCCATTACCTTGTGGAAAAGGCAGCTTCTACCATCAAGTACTATATGTCTCCACTTGACTACCATAAACCCGCCAAAATCTACGAAAAATTGTATATACCGTTGAAAGATTTTCCTGACATAAACTTTGTTGGATTACTTTTGGGGCCCCGTGGAAATACCTTGCGTCAAATCCAGGAAGACAGTGGTGCAAAACTAGCAATTCGAGGAAAAGGATCGGTAAAAGATGGGAAATCAAGTGGCAACGTTATAACGGAATCAGAAGAGTCTGGTGCACTCATGTCTCCTAAATCGTTCGCTAATCCGTTTGTGGACAACAATAGTGAAGACCTCCATGTGGTGATTACAGCAGACTCGTCCAGGAAAATAGAAAAAGCAATCATGTTTGCTAACGAAATCATCAATAAGGCCATTTCGTCGCCGATGGGTCAAAACGACTTGAAGCGTGGTCAATTGCGAGAATTAGCCATCTTGAACGGTACACTTCGTGAGTCTCGTCCATTTATCCCTGAAGAGGAAAGACAAGCTCCACCTGTGATGGATATATCTCTGATTGTGTGCAAAATATGCGGTAAAGTTGGACATTTTGCAAGAGATTGTAAATTAAGAAACCGTAATGAAAGTGCTCCAGAAAGATCCTACCAGCCCCCAGAACCACAATATGCTCCAGAGGAAGAGGCTGTCCCTGCTTCATATAGTTACGAACCTCGTCACAAGGAAAATGGCAGACGAAGGGACGACGATGCTTCTCTTCCTCCATGGAAACGCCAAAAGCCTTCAATCCCTTCATTGCCTGTGTCCCCATGGCAATCACAGCCTCCAATCCCCACACCATTGGCTAGGTCCACACCGCCCATGCAAACACAAACTCTTCAAAATACAAAGCCAAAACCACCTCCAGGTCTTCATATGGGAGAAAGACCTCCGCCTCCAGCCAATACGCTAAAGCCCCCACCTCCAGCAACCACTTCAAAACCACCACCACCCACAACTATATTAAAACCACCACCTCCATCTTCAGCGCCCAAACCACCACCTCCAACAAGCAAGCCCGTACCACCTGCGAAACCCGCTCCTCCACCTCCCACAAAGAAGCCGGATCCTCCTTCATAATATATGGCATTCACTACAACCTCGTCGTATTTGCGTAATATTCTATGTAGTCTTAATTACTTGTCATTATACAAGCGTATGCTAGGACATGGCAATGCTCACTTCACCAAATCTAAGTTTTCATACACCGATCCAGAAGCCTTGAATAATTCAGAGGCGGTTACTCCGTTCTTAGTCTCTTCGTTTTCCTTCAATTGTTGTAACATAAGTCTGGCTTTTTCTCTTTCTTTGTAACCATGCAAGCATTCGAAATAGTCGTCAAAATGAGGGGTGCATTCTTTCTTGGTCTGAGTGTCCGCACTGGTGTAACAAGAAACCAAGGTTTGGAATTCATAAAAACACCTTCTTGTGCCCCCGTTTCTTGAATAGGGTTGCATTTCAGACTAACTGTATTCTTCTTTACATTTCCTCAATCCGCATTGGACGAGTTTGCGGTTTGCGCACTACTGTCTATACACTTTCATGGCTGCGAAAATGAAATGCTGTTTATATGTACGCTAGCATTTCTTTTATGCACGCTTTCACCTTGTAGTATAATGGTCCCACTGTTCCGTCAATCTCGATGTCTCCTGTATCGTCTCCGTCAATGCTACCGTAGGTAACTTTTCTGATGGCAATTTTACCATTTACTACCAAAGTACCCTCACCTTTGAACTCGGCATTCATTTCTTTGGCAATGAGTTTTCTTTTGAGTTCTGGAAGTCGAATATTACCAATGGCAAACTTGGGACCGCTTGATCCCTCTTGTTGCACAATCGCTTGGCCCGCCTCGGTTTGGCGTTTCATGAATTCTTCCTTTGATATGTACTTCAAAGAGAACTGAGTGGAAGGATTGATGTAATCTGGAACGGTTTTGGCCTTCTTCCTTGGCATGTGTGGATTGTGAAGCTCAAGCTCACCATAAGCAGGAGCAACACGGTAGTTTCCGTCTACTTTTTGCCACTTCAACGTATCGACGATCTCATCTTCAAGAACCACTTCGAAATTTGTTAAGGCAAGCGAGTCTTCTTGCTCATCAACTCCAATCTTCAAGCTCGTCTCATAGTCTGCAGCATGTATTGCCATTCGTGATGGCCCTGAATACTTACCAGACGAGTGACCACTGAGACCTCCACGAATAGATACCAAAGAAAGTGCTCGAGAACTATGCAATAAAGACAGTTTATTTTGTTCTTTCTCCTGCATTGCTTGCAGTTGTTCAAACATTTTTTTCACGGCCGGAAGGCCATCGTACTCCTCATCCAAATCAGCTGTTTTCGATGGGTCAGGCAAGAGAACGAGATTGTAAGGTTTCAATGATGAAACGATCAAACTGAGAGATCTCAAGTCCACAAGCCCTGCCAAGTCAACAAACGACAAACTGCATCTGAACTTTAGATCTTGCGTTTTAGTAACAATCACTCTCTTGCGAGGCTGGAAGAGGGTATGGAGATTCTTTTGCAAGATCTGATTATTAAGGGTTTCTTGAGGAGTTAAACGATTTGTTTGAATGCCTCCTCCTCTACCACTTCTTCTGTCATCATCATTTCCCCACTTCAACTTGTCTTCTTGCTCAAACTTTCGCTTAGAATCCAGAATAAGCTTTGCGTTCGTCAAGTCCTCGGCTCTCTGGTAGTCCTTGATATCTATAACTTCTCCATAATCATCGAACTTTCTCTTGTGAGGTGGGATATACGGAAACATTGCCTGACGTGGCTTCAACTTATGGGTAATTTTGACGTCAAGAGGAAGTTCGTCATCTAAGGTTTGCTTGACTTGGTCAGCGACAAAGGCATCTTGGGTGACAATTGCATTCACATTTGTGTCAATTGCACCGGGCATTGCTCCTGCTTCTGTCTCGGTGGTGGTTGGCATTTCCTCGTCAGAAGACTCGGCGTCTTCCCCATCATCCGATGAAGAGTCTTCTTCCTCAAGATTATCGGCATTTAACAAATTTTGGTTCTTTCTATCACGCACCTGTTCGAATAATTTCTTCTTTCTTTGGTGATTTATACGCTCTTGGAATGACGTGAGCTCCGAGCCACTCAAGGGATCCTCTCGAGATAAGCCTCGAAGTGGAATTGTACCTTCATAGCCAATTGCGAGTCCATCTTCGGCATTTCCATATTTCTCCCTAGAGAGTCTTACCCAGTCAGTAAATAATTGGGCGTTGATACTAAAATCGGCACCAAAATGAGTTTTTTCAGTCAACAAAACCGTATTCTTCTGATCCAGGCATAAGTATTTCAAAACTTCAAACGATACATCACCACTATTCATATCTATCCCAGCACATAATACGATTTTGGGGCCACTGAGTTGAATCAATTCCTTGGGATCCAGCAAGAGATCAACCTTGGAGGGATCAAATGGGAAATTATTCTTGTTGGTGCTGTTCATGGAGGCAGAAGATGCAGCCTCCCATTCTTTTACCAACAGAGTGGACATCCACTCGAGTAAACTAGATGCATAATTGAGAACCTTAGTTCCTGAATAGGACAAGAAATAGACTGGAATTGGCTGACTTTGAAGATGGTGGTCCACGAGATGCAAAAGTTCGAGAAACCGGCCAGAAAGTGACGTTGGAAGCACCACAGCACCTCCATTCGCGAGTGTAGCATCCATCAACTGGAGGAACTTTTCTGCTCGTTTTTTATGGGGAAGATTAGAACCAAGATCAGTGTTGGTTATCAATACAGTGGGTCTCATCAATTGAGACAATGGGTTACCGGTTGATGCTGAAAGAAAGCTTGAACTACTCAAGAATGAGTCCTTCGAATGGTTCCATGAGGGGGCATAAATTACCTTTTCTAATCTCTTGGTTATACACCAGAAGGTACCACCCAAAGTATGTCCAGCATTGTATGGTGTAATTATCATTTTATTTTCAAACAAACTTAAAGTTTGCGAATATTTCAACGGGCACTGCCTTATCGAACCAGTCATCCACTTCGTCCACCTCCATAAGTGCATCTTTTAAAGGTCCTAAACACCCTTCGATCTGTAAAATTCTACTGTGGAAACTCGACCTAGCTGGTTTCACGGGAAGTGTTGAATATATAGGGATCTTGGACATTATGTGAGGAAATTTTTAC